AAAAGCACTGTCCGCTATTAATGACGATCATCATAGTTATAAACAAATCTCAGTTATAGTTCTGAAAATAATCTAAATCGGCTTCATATCGCCAGAAGTCAAAGTTGCTCACACTCATTCTAAGGTTCGTGCGATTTTACGACGAATTTTCAATTCAGGTGTGTTGCGCGCGCGACTTTTGATAGAAAAAACCTGCACGCGCTATAACTTAAAAAACGTGTCAGCTGAATGAATCAAATCTCTATCATTTTGCATACATTCTTGGGAACTGAAAAAACGACTTAGAACAAACATTCTAAATATAGTGTTCATTCCGTGCAATGGGGCATTGACAAAAGGTTCTGGTGGAGAAGACACCTTATTTTATACCACTGATGACGAGCAAAAAAGGTCATATGGTACCCCGGTTAAAAATATATATTGATAACTCTATTAATTAATACCAGTTCTAATGTAAAGGAGAAAGTTATGAGATAAAATAAAAATTGTCTGTACCACGAAGCACGCCTCCACTGTTTAGGCTGGGAGTCCTGAAGCTTTTTAAGTATGTATTCGAATATCTTATGGCAATAAGCCCGCCGCCCACCCCCCACCCCACCCCGCGCTATACCATTTTCACTCAGCGGTCACGTTTATGAGGTAAACATGGCGATCGCTACCTGATTACCGTTCTTGTCGATCAGAAAATCAAAATACCAGCGTGATATTGCCTCCAAGATGAAGCAGTTATGTTATTTGATTCGTACTTTACATTCGAGTCGAAGCTTGGGGTGGCACAGGTTATTTCTTACGGTGGAATCGACTAGGGGAATTCGAACACTAGTTGTAGTGTTTGAATTGTTGGAAGAATTGGTCGCACGGGGATGTAGGAATGGTAAGTTCAACGAACAGTTTCAAATTTTGCTGCTTGAATTGAAAGTAAAGTTCATTTGAATTGCTTTCGTATGTATTTCTGACGGTTTTAGATCTACCTGCTTGATTTATATCTGCTACGCTCCATATTGACAAGTCCCTCAAAATGGCGGCTAAACTTGGAAATTGCCGAAAATTAGGTAAGTTCACGGAGTTATAAAGTTTTCGTAAAGGTCGAGCCGCAAGTTTTTTTTTTTCTGTAGTTACCTTTTCTATAGTACCTACTTCCTAGCTATGTTAGTTGGATCAGTTAAGAGCGCCTCACTTTTTCAAAAATTTACATTGAATTTGATCGGTTTTGGCATGTGTGACTTAAACGAACGGATAAGGTGTCATTCAAGTCTTCCTGTTTCCTTGATTGAAACGTGATGTTCACGAAAGTCACCTCGATGAATAAGATAGAGTTAATGTACATGGCTTTGGTATTTATTTTTTGCTAAGCTCCGTAGTTTTTTGTAAATTGTCCTTCAAAGTTGTCATAAATTAAAGTCTTGAAAAGTGTCACGACAAGCCTTCGCTCGAGTGAAATTTAATTTCCGTAAAACTCTGAAAGATAAAGAGATCCGATCAAACGGATTGTGGTTTTAGTATAGGTACATGAATGTCTTACAACACACAAGAAATGAGCGAAATCCGTGTCTCAAGCAGAATCGACCGGACCGCTCTTACAGAGACACTCTCTTAAACACGCAGTTGGGGTCATTAGATATCTTAATTGGCATCTTCCTGAATAGATTATGTATGAACTCAAGGGTTCACTCCATTGCTATAAATGTATTTCGTCCTTGTTGAAGTCTACAACCATAGTGCTTGTGCCAAATAACAAATTGTTATTCCTCGTCTGTTATTTATAAAGCAGAAACCATTGGAAAAGATGCGCAAAACACTTCTCGACTCGGCTATTTATCTTAAAAATCTGCCAACGATGAATGTCTCGCTTGAAAGGAAACATGAACAAACTTGTTGATTAAAAAATTGTAGACCCCATTCGCAACATTAAGCATCCAATAATATTGATAAGTGGGTCTTAAGAATTATTCTACCCACTGAGAATTATGACATAATGGATCCTTAAACATTGCTTTCGACTTGTATTTTTGAATAGTGACTACAGGAGAGCGCTAAGAAATAAACTTAGAGCTGTGCAAAGTTTCGTCAATCCTGAATTAATTTTTTTCCGTGTTCGGGGGCTACATCGATTTAAAAAAAGTTAATTTTACTACGTGCCAGAAAGAAATCGCGTCTGAGTAAAAAATCAGATACATTCTTTAGCCTGACTATGATAGACACTTGTACCCATACGCTTTCTTGCAATAGAGATGTGTCACCTACCTAGTTACGAAAAAATATTATTCTTGACTCTGAGGTTAAACAGATTCGTCTCAGCACATGTAGAACCCTGCAAGTGCAAAATAATAATAATGAAAAAAACAGGACTTGTCAAGTTATGTAATGTTGGATCTGTGATTTGATTGGCTTAAAGCTTGTGACTGATGGCGAATTTTTGCCATACTCTGTGATCCTATTGGTTAGGACGGTTTAGATTGACATTCGGCCTATAGAACAAGGTGCGTCAAACAGTTGCCAATTCAAGTCAAATTTAGATTTTCCGCATATTCTCTGTGTATTTTTATAAGCTGTTCTAACCGAATATTGCCTAAGGAATGAAACGGAAAAAGTGTTATGAGTGAGTGATGCGTTGACCCCTCCACTTAGAAGAATGGCTCTTTTTTTTGGTAATCAAAACTGAACAAATAGTAAATACAACTGAAGCATTTATGCACTAAATCCTTAGTTCCTAAAAGAAAAAGATGTTGACATATTGTCTTAAGCGTGGGATTAGTCCCACAATGCGATAGACGTTTAAAACATCTCTTAATTCGACGCGCGAGCGCAAAATTTACCATCTTTCTTCCAAATTTTTTCTCTATATCCGACGCTTTCGACCGCATCACGTAAAAAAGGCCAAGCAAATTGTCGTGTACTCCGCAGCTAGCTTGGTAGTGGTGCATCAGAGTGCGAGATCCTAACATTTGAAGTTCGGATTCGCCTGGTAACTTACATGCATAGAGTCTCTGTAGCTTAATGGAAGAGCATCGGAGCCCGATAATCGAAGATCTGTCAGAGGTTCGATTCCTCATAGGAATGAGTTTAAAGACGAAAAAAAATTTCTCTGTTTTACTCCTTGTCTCACGATCATGACAAATAATTGTTAAAATCTCTCTTTATTTGATGACCAGACGGACGAGAAATTAGGCTATATCCTCTTTCCTCTTTTTGTGTTATAGCATTTGAAGGAGTAAAACCGAACTGATTGAATCCTGAGTAACGAAGTGGTTTATCACTAAAATGTGGACTGCACGCACAAAGAGCACTTGGGTATCATTAAAAGTCCACCCTAATTTGTACGGGTTCCGAAGAGAGTAGATTGTTGTCAAATTGGCTGAAACTGCCTTCTTTGCTTCTAAATTTAGATGATCTTTGACGTTTTTAAGATCGGGTGTGCGATTATTGAAAACATAAATTATTTTATTTAAATTTTAAACTCATCTATTTTGCATTCGTTAGCATTTTTCAATATATCCATAATATTTCAGCTGGAAAGCCTTCTTCAAGAAGCGCTATAAATCATGTATAATGTGTTTTTTCTACCTGACTTTACATAAATGGGACTGGAGTAGAAATAAGTTCTCTAAACAGTTGTGTTTGCATTTAAACCTAAACGAAATTTTCGATCATGTTGACACTAAAAGCAAACACTGTCTTTGTGTTTACAGCCGGCTGCCTTGAAACAACTGTTGATATTTTTTAAGACAAAAATTCCCTCACGCTAATGTGCTAGCAAACATTTATCATTTATTGTAAAATTCTAGGAATCGTTTGATCATTCGATCTACTTTAAATATTTGTGCATGAATCACCGAGAAAGATATGCCAACGCAATAATTACATGGAATGAATCTCAAACAGGGAATGGAATTGCGTAAACCAACTTGATGTATACCAAGGACGGATGAGGAAAAATGGTTTACGCACTCTTGATCGCGAAAAAGAGTTTGTGATCTAGCATTCCAATATAAAAGCTAATGGTCATTATTAAATTTTCAACTCCGGATATTACATTTCTGGTGTTCTGACTGGTTCACTCAATTCCGGTTATTAGCTCATAATCCGGGTCACCTTATACGGATATAAATTGCGCTAATTGTTGAGAAGAGAAAAAAAAGGCTCTAATTATCCAAACATTAAGGATTTAACGAAATTCAATAAAACAATTATTCCATTCGCACTTGTTGGACACGAGATTGTTGAAAGTTAACTTGGCTCTATGTCCCTTGTTGGCTATTTATCATCTCATATCCAACGCGCGGTCATGAAATAATTGTTAAATATTTCATAACGAATTTATTTTATTTGAGGATAATTTAATGCGATTGGTTTTCAGAAATATTCCGTGTCGTGTAACCTTAAACAAAGCAATATTTTTTGTATAGTTTTAAACTTTCCTCACAATTAACTTTTAATTTGAACTACTGATGCTTTTTTCCCAATCATTCACGCTACAACGCCCGAAACTGCTCCTAAAATCGACCTATGTGACGCTTTATACACTACCGTTTTCAAAAGCCTCTATTTTTAACCTGTTAACACAAAGATGAGGCCTTTTCAGAATGATGCGTTTTGAAAGATTCTATGCATTTGAAATAACCTCTACGGTCTTACACAGACAGTAAGCGATAGCGCAAAAAGCAGTATGGCCCTGTGTGCGGTCTCGCTCGAAAAAAATGCAATGTGCTGGGTCGAAAGAGAAAGAGTGGCCATATGAAAATATCTTTATCGACCGGGTTGGTTCAAGAGGTAGGGAAAAATATTTGGCTCTCTCTCGTGACGCACAGTCTTCGAATCAATTATTTTCTCGACCTGCCCCGGTACCTACTGAAGTTGAGAGGCCCATAGAACTACAGAAGTGCTTTTTAAAATAATAATCGGAATGGCCAGTGAGCTATGCTATAGTGAACTTTATGCCTGGTAGATCTGCCACAATCATGTTTCTTGGAGGCAAGTCAGTTATTGTTTAACGAATGGGACAGAGTATAGTCCGTTGGTCCCTAGAGACCACTCCACAATTTTTCTTTTCACGTACTTTCCCAGCATCCTTTAGAAGCAGCAATGGCGGACGCTTCTTCACGTGCTAAGTAATATTCCAAGGTTAAAATCCATTGAATTCTCCTCTTGATAATGAAGGCCATGTTAGGCGTGGTAAAATTATTTCTCTGCTTAGTATTTCCGGCATTTGCACTCCAGCAGGAGATCTTAAACCAAGACTGTCCTTTGTATGCCGGAACGACCTTTTTCGTCAACACTTCTGGAGTAAACTCTCCTAATTGTGGGGCTTCATCGAAGCCCTGTTACAGCACATCCTACGCCGTCAATCTAGCGGTTAGAAAGAACGTTAGCTCGCTAACTGTTAATATTTCCACGGGAAAATACGAAGAGTTGGAAAGTATTAAACTGGACTGTGGAAGATGGAGCTTACGGAAAGTTACTTTTTGGGGAGAGCGGTTAGTGAACAGAGTAATATGGTTTTGTGTGTGTCCAATGGCTTTTTCACGTGACAACTTATCAACCGCTTTGTATTTTGATTTTCTCCAACTTTGCTTATAAAAAATGCTGCAATCTATTTTTCACCTTTGGTTTCCTCTAAAAATTTTTTTGTAACTTTTTTTAAAATAGGGTTGATGAACAATTGGTCGAAGTTGACTATTCATTAGACGTGCTGCTCTGTGAAGTGAGCTTGATTGATCTTCACTGGCTAAATAGCAGGCCAGTGATTCACCAAGCCTCTATGTCAGATGTGGCGATCTGCCAGTGCACTGTAAAAGGAACAAATATAAGCATCACTGGTAGCTCATCCAACATTATTCTTAAGTACAGCAACATTTCAAGCAGTTCAGGTTACCATCCAAAATTACCATTACTATCGATGGCAACTCTTTCAGGATTTCACAACTTCGTGCAGATTTTAAATTGCAACTTTGTGAAGAATGTTGGGCCTGTCCTCACTGTAGAAAACATTAATCAAACATCTATTGTTGACTCATATTTGGAAGGAAACAAAGTACTGGCAGGTGGTTCCATTATTACGGGACATGTTTCACATCTTAAACTCTCTGGAACAAAATTTATCAGAAATGTTGGACATTTGCTGTTTTTAGATGATAATCATTCTTTGGCCAGTTTAGAGGTGAGTATAGAAGTCACAGCAAGCTTTTCAAGTTATTTTAGCTCTGAATTTGGAGCAGTTAACCCTTCACAACCTAAGATGGTTCTCCATACTGTTTTTCTACACATTTCCTATGGACTACCTACAAGAAGAATTTGCCCAAAAATCAGGAGCATCTTGAGTTTGTGATCATTTCCTTTTTTCTCACAACCTTAATGTTTGATTCAGGGGGGGTTAAAGGGATGATGAATCAAAAGATGTTGACACATTTCAATTTGTTTTATAGTATGACTAATAACTTTGTTTTTTTGTTGGTTATGAGGAATGTGATTTCAGCTGTAACATGGTCAATAAGAGTTTGTTTTTGTCACCTGTGCTGTTGCAAAACGTTCATCAAGTGTCCTGTGATGACTGCACTGTGGATGCAGACTGCCCAGGTAATATGTCTGGTTGAAGTTTCAAATTCTGAAGTATTTTTAAGTTTTAGGTTGAAATTACTTAATATATACCGGTAAGTCAAATCTGTGAGTTGTGTACTTAAACCCAATATGCTAGTGGTTGCTATATTGAATACATGTATGTATAGTATGGACTATTCTTGAGTTCAGGAAACCTTCACTTTCTGATTAAGGTCAGCTGGATAACTTCTTTCTGTAATGGAAGGTTTATCTTGTATCATTTTTATAAACAAGGCTTGCGTTTACTCTTGGCTCCCAGTTCAAAGATCTCCCTTCTTGCTGTCATTCACATTTCCATTTGAACTGGTTAGGGAAATTCAGTGAAATCTCAAGATTACACCCTCTAGCTTGTAAGTTTATGTGTTCTCATCAGCCTGGTCCCAGTTGTTTAAATGTTGGATAACACTATCCTCTGGATAAATTGCTATCTGGTGAATAGTGCAGTACATTTTGTAAACAGTTATCCACTGGATAGCAATTTATCTGTAGGGTTTAAACACAAGTGACAAAGCTTGTTGGGAATATGACTAAAGATATTTTTTTCTTGTCTTTCAGTCCTCTGTGGACCAGGGGAGTTTCTGTCAAGTAACATTCTTTGCAGTCCTTGTCCAGTAGGAACTTACAGCTTAGGAACTGCGTCAAACAAAAGCATGCTACAATGCACAAGGTAAACTGTAATAATAAGGTAAACTGTATAATAGGTAGAAGCTGAAGGGAGGTTTCTTGTGAGATAAATGAAAATAGACAGTGGAAGAAAACTCTAAGCATTCGTTTCACAATAAATGATTTTGAGTAGATGCAAGTATTAAGGTGCATATGGATGTAGCCTGACCAGTCCAAATTTGTTAATAGAGCCTGGAACTACCATGCAGGACATTAGGGGAGATTTCTTAGAAAGGTGGTTTATCAGAAAAGAGAGAGGGGCTTGTTGGACAGTGGGCTGTTATAGAGGGGGCATGTCTGAGAGGGGGCAAATCAGAGAGGGGCATACTTAAGAGGAGGATTTTCTAACAGAAGGGTGGTGTTTTTTCGACGGTGGGCTTATCATTGAGGGAGCCTTGTTATAATGGAAGAGGGGAGGGCTTGTGGAGACAAGGGCTTCTTAGGGAGGGGATCTTTGACAGGAAAGCTCAAGATGGGGGGCTGATTTAAGATGAGGACTTTTAAGAGAGGAGTCTTATTTATGAGGGCCAATGAATAGAGAGGGGAGCTTATTACAGAGATGAGCTCATTAAAATGTGAGTGCTCTATATGGATTGTTAACAGACCCTTTGGTGTCTGTTTCCCTTATTAATACTCATCAGAGAAAATTTCACCAAACACATTGAAGTACTAAACTTAATTGCTTGTGATCTTGCAGCTGTCCAGCTGGAACATACAGTTCAAAGACAAGAAGCATGCAGTGCACACGTTGTGCAAAGGGTGCCTTTGCATCAAAGACAGGGTTTGTATTATTATTATTATTATTATTTTGATTTTTGTTATTATTTCTTTCTTGTTGTGGTTGATAAGATTCTAGTTTTCTAAAAACAGGCACTTGTAAAGATGTTTCTTCCTTGGTTATAAACTCAGAGAACTCAACCTCAGTACACTGTGTAGCATGTGCCATTATTGAGTTTTAAGGATTAAGATTTGTGTTAGGAAGCAATGAAAACATTTCTGCATGACATTACTGCAACTGACAGTTTAGTAGACCGTTTCCTATTCCCGAAATAGATTTAGGTCAAGTGCACATTCCCTCTTGTAAAATTCCGCTTTATTTGTATGAAGATTATGGAATTATTTCTAAAGATCTTTATAGAGGTGTCTTATGTGCATGCGTTGAAATATGAAAGTTACCTCGTGATACTTTAACCCTTTAACCCCTATAAGTGATTAACATGTAACTTCTTGCTATAACATACACGCATTGTCCAACCAACATGTTATAAGAATACTCAAATTTATCAAGTAGCTGATTTAACACCAAATTCTCGTGACTTATTAACAAGAAAATGTATAGCAGTTAGATGGGAGAATTAACAATCAGATCTTGGGAGTTAAAGGGTCAAGAATGAATAGATATATTGACTTGTTTCAGGTCGACATCGTGCACCAAGTGTAAGAACGATTTTTTCACCTCAAAACCAGGTCAATCTTCATGTTCTTCAGGTAGGAAGTAATTTGATTTTATTAGTTTCTGGTTTTTCTATTTGGTCTCTCTTGTTTTGTCTCTTATGGCTAAGTACGACAACAGGGATAATTAAATATTGTGGCCAATAACACAATACAATGGCCTGATCAAGGCTCGAACCCAAATCTCTCTTCCTGGAGTCCTGCTCGCAGACCATTAGGGCTCTGTGGCCCTCCATAGTAGAACTCAGAAAGTTTTGTCTTCTTGGTTCACAAAATTCCTAATATTTTTGTTCTTTACTTTTTTTTTTCCTATCAGCGAGAATTGGTTTTATCGTGTTCACAGTGTTCGTGTCTCTTCTAATTGCCGGGCCCCTGCTGATTCTGATCTTGCAAAAGCGTTCACGAGATGAAAAGTGTTTCTTGTGTATTCCGCGCTCGCCGTCAAGGCAGAGATTGCGCGAAGATAAACAACCTAACATCTATGTTGTACAAAATGAATAAGACACCGGGGACATTTATAAGGTTTTACGTATTACGCTCGTAAAATCGTGAAGTATGCTTCTTTTTTTCGCGTCACCGAGGAGAGCAAGTGCTTCTATCCTCAAAACTATTACCTGCTAAAGTAATCTTTTTTTTTTCGTAATTATGTCGGAGCAAAAAGACACTTCTTTGCTTTCCGCCCTATAGAAGACTTTCCCACCAAAATTCTTCCGCATATTAAAAAAAGGGAAATAAAAGTAAAGAGATTTAACTAATCAATAACTTAAAGTACACGAATGTACTAGCCTGTGCTCAGTATTGTCGCTTCGGCACAAACCTTTCTTCGCCCTTGGGAAATTAGGAGGCTTTAAGGAACGCGAGATAGCGATAGGTAAACCTCTCCCCGACTCGTTTTAAACCTTCCCGCGGGACGAAAACGCCTCCTCGCAGGCTATGAATGTACTCGATTTGCACTCAGTAGGTTCTCCATGAGTGATAAACAAGTGGCACCTGCACTCCACCTAACCGTGACGTGATCATCTATCCCATTAGAAATTTAATAAGCCAAAGTTGTAAAAGAACCCTCTGCATCGAAAAGTTTTGAAGTTTCTTGAAGTTTTATAGCCTATTAGCAACAGTATCTTTACCAACAATGCAGTCACGTTTTTTTTCGAATTTCGAGACAACAAATGCATTTCGTAACGGCAAATAAGTTTTTTGACACCTCGAATAGTCTCAACTTAGCTAGTAAGTATGTAGTGTACAGGGGCGATTAAAGTATGTAAATAATCGTAATTTTTTGTCATCAGTGTTTTGGTATTTTTTTTGTTTTGTTTTAAGATATTAAGCTAAAGCACATTTTTGTAACGATTTTCTTTCTTCATTTTTTATTTTGAGGAAACAGAAATATACCATAACAGTTTCGAAAATTTCACTGTCTTGTCCCATTCTTGCGGCCACTTACTTTTCCAGGCAGAAAAGTTTGAAACTGGACTCTAAATTTCCCACTGATAGCGGAAGTGTTTCCCGGTGAGCTACCATAGGTCGTTTCTTACGCGCGTAAAGTTCAGATTAGAAATTGTTAGGCATGAGATTTACCGTTCTCATGCCAAACTGTGGGTATAGGTAACTTCTATCTCCAACAACTGAGCAAAAACAGAGGTTCCCAACAGGCATGGATGCGTCGAAAGAGAAGGATTCCAAGCCCTTTGCCGCCAGTGCAAAAATCAACGTGCGATGAGTCGAACGCATGGATCTGTCATTGTGGTGAATTGATCTCGCAATGTATTTATTTCTGTAACAATAAGCCAGAGACAATCGATTCATTCTCTAAATCTCCTGGATCGTCTTTTTTCTAAGGGCGGACAACATTATTTAACTAATAAATAGCTATCCAGCAGACGTGCTGGCTATCCACTTAGTACAGATTTATTCATCGGACGGCAATACTTACCCTTAGAGCGACTGGGGCCTGGAAAAGGGATCATAGGTGAGAAAGAGGCACCCACGATCGTCGAAGAAAGAACAACTTAGATTGAACAAATCGATCAAGGAAAGAGAAAAGGGGAAGCAGACATTCTGAATTCTGAACGACTACCTCTCCGTCTTTACAGACTCGCGTCTGTCGCGCTCTTGGTCTAAAGTTACTCCAACCACACCTTTCTCACGCCAAAACTTTTCATCTTCCGTAACACGAAATAAACACATCCACAAAATATTGAGTGAAAACTAGTTTATTTTGCAATGGTACGTTCCTCTAAAAAAATTTCTTCAGCTTTTGCACGTTTTAATTTTACGGACTACACTGTACATTGCCTTCTGTTTTGTGTTTAAGTTACCTTTGTCTATTAATCCCTCGCGGTTTTGTAAAGGCCCATCAGAACTTTACAGCTTTAGTTATCTTACTGAAAATAAGCTTAAAGGTGCATATCTTATGGCGCAGAATACTTTACTGTTTGGAAACAAGGTTCAACCTCATGAATTCCAACCTGATGATGTGGCTCCTAAGTTCCAGGTGGACTTGATTAATTATTGCATTAGCCAACAAGAGCCACCGAACAGATGTCTGTAAGGCTGCATCATGTGTCTGGAGTTTTTGGATCAAACATTACACTCAGTCAACTACGTGCGCGGGAAAGACTCAGTTTCAGAGCTATGCCAATCTCGTTTTGAGTACCGCGATCCATTTGGTCAGCTGCTCGGACGCAAGGTTTTGTCGTCGAGCTCGCTTATTTAAGTACGAGCAAAACTCTGTATCCTGTTCTGTGTTTTAGAGAAATTTTCAATTGAGTGCCGAAAGTAATCTGGAATTGTTTTGGGTTTGGCCTTCGCTCTGCGATAGGTCAAAGAGAACTCGCGCCAGCTTCTCAACCAATAAATACAAACTAGAAGCAACCTCAACTTGGTCACTCGCGTTCCCGCGCCTCAAGCTGGTTGCCTGTCTTTGCTGAGTTCTGATTGGTTAATGATGTTAACCCTTTGCTGTGATTGGTAGTTGTGATTACTTTGATTTTGGTTTACAACATTCAATTGAAAACTGCTCTGTTTAATTCACCAGTCAATCCGCTGAACATGGATAACGAAGGCACTAAAAGCGAGATCGCACATATGCAAACAGTCCACTTTTTAACACCAAAATACAAAAGGGAAATTATTGAAATAGTCTTAATTAAATACTATAAACGGTAACTACGTTTCAGATCCTTTTAGCAGCTGTGCATGAACCATCCTTTCATTGACAATACAATCCTTGTACTAAAATTTAGGACAAACAACTTACAAATAACTTTCGACGTGGAATGTTGATCATTATTGATAAAATACAATATATAAGCAAACGTGTGCATTGAATTCTGCCTGTTATTTACTAGTCATTATAATTGCAACATTGGAATTTTTTTAGTGAAATTTTGGCAAAACATGACGATTCGTATCCCACCCACCCCTCCCGGACGTTTGCACTCCCAAAATTAGTCATTGCAAGTCAACACAGCGGGTAAGCGTAGGGCATGCGCGAGGGGATCAATTCTGGACGTCCGCGCCCTAATTTTTCGCGAAATTTCTATCGAAAAATTAATAAACATTGTTCCGCAAAAGAAGCGAAGGAAAATTGAGACGTTCATAGAAATCTAAAAAAGGAAACAACGGTAGGAAAAAGGAGACTTACACAAAGCTTATTCAAGTACGGGTATCCTGTTGATTTAATATTTTGTTTTGAGCTTTACCGAAAAAAGTTGCAGACTTTTTAAAATACCGTGACGAACTAGCTTGTGTAATTACTTTTAACTTGAGTGAAACAACTTAGTCCTAATAGCCTTAAGGCACGCCACCCAACAACTTTCGCACAAGCACAGACGTTTGACTGCTGTGTTTCGCTGGACAATGATCGAAAAACCTTGAAGAGTTTCAAACGTGGGGACAGTCTTTTTAACGAATAGCAACATGTCAGAAGCCTTTTTTTTTACTGACAAATAAAATATTAATTAATGACACGTATCTTATAATTATCTTAAAATGTAACCATGGCTTTTTTCACAGGAAACTTATACTTGTTTGAAGTTTGCGTTCCGTTGGTGACATTGGTGGGAAAAATCTGTTATTGGTCGGCCGCGCTGACTCCCGCGAGGGTTCCCTGTTTTGACGCGCTTTTAGCTGCTCAGCGTACGCCTCCCATCTTGCGTCATCACTTTCGTGAGTAAGGTAGCGTTCTCCGACAGCCGCTTCCAGACTCCTTAGGTCCAACCAGGTTTGATAGTCCTGGGTACGAGATGGATGAAAAAGTTACTGAATGGGTCACACAAAATGAAGATTGTTTGACTCTGATTTGAAACTGCTGATCGTGAAACCAGCAACTCATACGTCAAATAAGAGCTTGATAATGGGGAATGGATGTTTAAAATTGGAGAAAACAATGACTTACATTCAATAAAAATGAATTTATTATTAACGAAGATTAAAGGAATCGTTTCAAATAACCTCTTTTAAAATACAAAACGTCCCCGGGATACTGTGCATCACATCTCGTCATCTTCTCATAGGGGAGTGGTCATTATTTGCCGCCTTGAGAGGGAGGGGGTGGGTGGGTGGTCGGATGTTGGGGGAAGGGAAAGATTTTGGCTGTGTCTATAGAACATTTACCTTATCCCCCTCCTCCCTCCTCCCCCCCCCCCCCCCAAAAAAAAAAATTACCGGGATAATTAAGAATGGGCCCAAAGCAAGTCTCTTTACAATATCCAAGAGCTTATTTCTAAGTTGCTACATCAGGTGCTACAGAACTTGCTCTTTGTAACTCACCTGGAGCCACGAATGTATAAGCGACTTATCACAAGTGTAACGACATCTCTGTTTGACTTGTAAGAGATTGTTTATCAGATCAATTGCTAGAGAAGAGAAGAGAAGAGAAGAATGATTCACATTGATGAATGAGAAACCATGATTAGACTAAGTTTTGTCGCTCTGAAAGTTTTAAACCAAGAAATGTACTGAAACTCACCTTCAGGCGAAATCTCCTGCCATGGATCGGGTGGATACATAAAAGCAGCGTTGTGAATTTGATCTTGAATATCCTCTTCTTCATTGAACGGGAAAGTGCCGCTTAAACTGAAAAAGGACGGATTTCAGTCTATGTAATTTCAACTTAAGATCGGCTTGTCCCATGGCTGTTATTTACACCAATGTATACTAACGAAGAAAGTTCAAATTTTCCCATGGTGTCGAGCAGAAGTTACGGTTTCGCAAGGAAGTTGTTTTAACAGACCCCTGATGCGTTAAAACGCATGTTGCCCCTCCCCCCTCGCCTTTACACCATTACCCTGTTCCAGTACCTCATCATTTGAGACAAGAGTCCAGAGCACTTTGCGGCGTAACGATTTAGCACCAAGTCTGTCAGATTCTCTATAAATGACATCTGCCTTAGACACGTTTAAGACACCCAGGTTTTGTACAGCGATCAGTCGTCGAAGAGCATATTTTCCAATTTGCTTGAATACATAAGTGCTTTCATTCATTTGCATAGTTGTGTGGATGGAAGGGTCTTATTCATCGTTGTGTCTGATACCGTGGAGAGACTCAAGACGTATTCCCTTGCTGTTTCAAGAAAGAACTTGAAGATGACTTCTACAGTGTGCGGCAAACGACGAAATAAACTTAAAGTTCCGTCACTTAAATTCAATTCAGGAGAAAATTAGGGGAAAAAAAGCTATTCTAAGAAGTAAAGAAAGATATCATCATTTTAATATCACGGCTAAAGGAATTCTATAAAAGTAGTGGTTAAGCTCTCTATTGATTCTTACCTTACATAAACGACGACACCGACCGACCACATATCGAGCGATCTGTTGTATCCTTTATTGAGTAGGACCTCAGGGGCGAGGTAGGCTGGAGTCCCGACAACCGATCGACGGAACGATTTCTCTTCGATTATCCGAGCAAAACCGAAGTCGCACAGTTTGATCTGTTGAAGAGAACAAAAAAATCAGGCCTCGCCCGATAAGCTCCTGAATAGTAATAATGATAATAATAACGATAATGACAAGGGTGATACTGATACTGATACCGATAACAATAATAATAATAATAATAATAATAATAATAATAATAATAACAATAATAATGATAATTATAATGATAATGATAACGATCTAGATATCTATCATGATCAAGATAAGTGTAATGACTACATTAATAACAACAATCACTTGACATCTAAAAATACTTCACAGTTTTGTTTTATATTCTTCTCATTCCACTATTTTTCAAAGCTTTCTACTCTTAATCATTGCCATTCTCTAGAAAAAACAAGGCCCACAAATTTATTTCAAAAGAACAGCACGAACGGAACCTCACCTGTGGGAAACCACATTCGGATGATACTGACGATAACAACACATTCTCTGGTTTTAAGTCACAATGAACAATATTTCGGCTGTGTAGATCTCTCAGAGCCACTAAAATCTGTACGCAAAGAAAAAAAAAAAGAAAAAACGTAAAGCAAATCGAGATCATGTATCGCTGAGACAACATGACTCATTCAACATCTCTGCTTCTGGACCAAATCCGTCCATCAAGGAGAATGTTGCCATTAGCCGATGGAATACCTATCACCTTAAGAATCGTTGCTTAAAAAAAAAAATACAGCAACAATGATGATAAAACTAGGGATCATTGTAAGTATCTGAGCCACTGTGAATCTACCCCCCCCTCCCCCCCAACTCAACATTAACCCTACCTTTTTATTGGTTGACTATTGTTGATTCTAGGGGGAGTTTTAGATGCGCAGTTGCTTAGATGCCGACATTGATCCAAAACTTAGGTCTGACAAAGAAAAATGTGTTGCTATTTCTCTCAAGTGGTGATGTCTGTCCGTGGGAAAATTTCAAGCATTTGTATTATTTTAGTGTAACACAGCATGCGAGGTAAACAGTATTTCACATCGTTCTCTTTATGAATGAACTAAGGTCTTCCTTCCACTCTCAATTTTTTTTTCTATTTGTGTCGCACCCTGTCGGAATCATCCCAAAGTCAGACCCAACTCATTCCACCCTGTCGGCGTGCATTGTAATTCAACCAAAGATCAAAGTTTTCCTCATTGTAAGCTGTTTCTCCGATTCGAATTTGTGTGCGTAAATATCGACCAATTACCGATGGATCTCTTAAAGCTACGTCGTCAGAATTGAGCTTTCGATGCAAGTTACCCCAGCTGCGTTTGATAGGGAAAGTGAATTCATTTTACCTGTGTTATGAGGAATTTCGTGCATCTCTCGTCCAATCTTCCTTTGGCACTCGACAGAATAAGTTCCAACATGTCGCCTCGCATTTTTTCCATGACTACAAACACCTGAAAGACAGATGTTTAAACGTGAAATTTATTGTAAACATAGGGGGACCCGAGTCACACCACAGAAATTGGCTCGGCTTTTTCGGGCTTTTCCTGCGCACTCCGTGTGAGGTGTCTACATCCTTGATGATCCTTGCGTTGCTTTCATTTATTTTAATTCTTTTGCTGTTTTTCTTCCCAACCAAGTTATCATTCTGTTTCAAAAGGAACTTTCAACACGGAAAGCAATGATCCTTAATCCCTAGACTCCGCTCCTTGAATTCCTTCGACTGATGAGTAAAAAACCTGTTTTGATGACATGAAAATCGACGAGCACTCTCCTAGAGAGCCAAACAGCGCCTATTTGTAAACTGATGCTTTTTCCGTTACACTGAGACCCATTTTATTCCTCCTTGTGAAATTCATAGAGTGAGCAACAGAAGCGGCAACCGAAATAAGTTACCCACATTGAAGCAAGGTTTTCATTTGAGTCTCGGAAAAACTCTGGGATTGCTTTGTTTTTTGCTTCGCACTGTGATTGGTCAAAAAAACACTCGCGATGCACTTGGTCACCCGCGTTTTTTCCAGCGCTTCGCGTAGTTTGCTTGTTTTTACTTAAAGTTCTGGTTGGCTGAGGTTTCTTGGTGTTGGCTTAATCCGCTCTCTTTCTAGCTGTACTTACCCTTTCAGGAGTTTCAAACATCTCTTCTAAATTCACTACACCTGGGTGGTTGACATGCTAAGGAAAATAAGATGAATAAAAAAAGTAACTTCATTAATGAAAACTTTTCATACGGCACGCTAAATAACGAAGGTTCTGGCCATACTCTCCAAAATGATCTAGGGCGTAATCTTTTTAATGCAAGCACCTTTGAAAAAATTTTAAAAATTGGCAACAGTAAAAAGGGAAAGCACAGACAATGAGAAAAGCAGCGTATTACACACCTGAAGAATTCCTACTTCATTTTTCAATTGCGCTTCTTGTTTTGTAGGAAAGCGTTGTTTGTCAATGACTTTAATAGCTACATCTCGTCCACTTTCGCGATGAACCCCTGTTAGTTTTACAAAAAAAAATCCACTGTCTCGCTTTCTTATAAAGATTTGTAAGGTTGGTGTAAATTATTGAGTTATACCAAAATTGTTTTATTTTCTTTTATTCCTCAGATAACCGCTGCATTCTGCTTATTAAGGGCACCGTTTATTCGAGGACAGTACTTACTCGAGAGCATAAGGTTCACGTCAGGATTTCGACTTGATAACAAAACTTTGGAAGATTATTTCCTACCTCCAAATACATTCAAAATAGTGACTGGGGTAAGGGATCTGAGTGCTCAATCTTACTTGACATGTACAAAAGGTGACTGATTTTTTCTGTTTAATACGAAATGAATGGCTCGGTGGGTAACTATACGGATTACTAAAAGCTGAAGATAACCTTTTCTATGCATCAGTACCTCAGAGTTTGTCACAAACGAACTACGCCGCTAATGAAAACCTAATTAAAACACATACCTCCATAGACAATTCCAAACTGTCCTGATCCGAGAATTTCGTCAGGGAATACTTGGTACAGCTGACTAATGTCCTTCAAAAGAGAAACGAAAAAAGTTCTTATCTAATCAAGTATGTAAAAATAAGAACAAAATGCAACTATTTCGCATAACTTAAGAGCTGAAATAAAAGATTGTCGTTGATTGCTTGTTGCTATACGTTAAGTAAGGAGTGCGTGACCAAGAAACATTTTACAAACCAATGGAGCATCTTTCACTTTCTCCTCTTCGTCTGTAACTTCCATCTCTACGTCAGAATTACTAACACCTAAACACAATGGAAAGTTTAGTGCTAACTGAGAGCAGATCATTATAATTACATCATACCCTTTGTAAGAGCGCATTTCCTTCGAGCATCGTAAAACCAAACGCAAAGTAATCACTTCAGCCTATCGGAACAAGGAAAATATCACAAGGAACCAATGAGAACTCAAGCGAAAACAGGCAAACCGCCTAAAGCGCGGGAAAACGCGAGTGATCAAGTTGCCATTGGTTTTGGATCTGATTGGTCGAGTCGTCAAGGGGGAGGCGCGAGTTTCCTTGATCAATTAAATCGTACTGAGGCAAAAGCATTCAAATCCAACATTACTTGAGATTATCTTGTGTATGGATAACGACATCTACTGAGAAAAATCGCCTCCCAAGGTTTCAAGCAACTCGTCCTCAAGTTAAGGAGCTATGCTACTCTTAGCGCTTCTTGAAAAATTTAGCGTAGAAATGAAAGGTTTTTTTTAAGTCCGTTTTATTCTTGCCCATACTTAGATTATCAGTTGTTACCACGGTGCTCTTCGCAAAGTAATACTTTGAAATCAAGTTACGATTTACTTTGCTAGGAGAGTGAAAAGACAAAAGTCACAACATCTCTGCGTATTGCTTATAACTTATGTCCGCTGTTTAAAATTACAGCCAAATTTCTACAATCTGCACTTGTTGGAAATTGAGCAACGAAGTAGAGTGACGTAGACTCACCGTTGTTGCTTGAGGGGCAAACACTCGTGGTCGGTGTCACACAACCTGGCATAAGAGCAGAGCGCGTGACACTAGCCCAGGCCTGCCCCGCCACTGCTCCTACTCCACTGTCAGGGTCTGGGGTCTCGTTTTCGTCTTCAACTTGCCCCACGTAGTACACCATGTCCCTTGTCTTCATTTCAAAACAGTGCGGAGCTCGAGTGGCGTCTGTCGCCAGAGGGTCAATATTAGAATCAACTGACAGTATTTCAGACAGTTGAATATCCTGTGAGAGATGGAAGAAGATAAAAAATATAACCTAGAATGTCGTGAACTAACTGATTATCATTATTATACAAAATGTGGTGTTTTACAAGGACTACCAGCCCTGAGGAAAGCTGGAGCTACACGATGTAAAATTACGATATTTTTTACGTGTGTTTAACATCGCCAATCAGTTGCTGACAAGTCACTCGCCTTTCAAGCCACACTGTCAAGTTGATGAATGGACGTACAATAAATTGTTTATGTGGAATTTCTCTTCTCGTGTTTAGTGTGAGTGATATCGAACGTGTGAGAAATTGAGTAGAACACTCGAAAAGAAATTCCACATCTACGTGGGCCTATGTATCATTCTCTATTCATTTATTGTGTTTTCAATGATCAATTTGTTGAATTCTTCACAATGAATGTATTAATTCACTATTTTGTTTCTGCCATGTTTGATCAAGAATTATCAGATAAGTCAAAGGTGCAGTGAATCGATTTCATTGTTCACAGCAACAATATCCTCTTCGCTTTACCACTGGAAAGCAAACTTCATGAGAAAAATCAGATGTTTAAATTGGGCTTTGTGGATTTATATTTTGAGCAAGTGATTTTAAAAGAGGAGACTTTTTGAATTTTCAGCAAAGTTGACTTCTAATCAAAACCGACAAGTATTTTAAATTTATGATTCTTGATGTTTCAAAACTTTTGGAAGAATAATTTGCCACCCTGTGTTGTTAACTAATGAATCTGTGCCATCACCAACTGCTATTCATCATAAAATAATAAAACTTAACAAAGAACAAACCTTGTAATATCTACTGCTAGTTGAATCTTGGAATAGTGTCAAACACTTTGTGTCTAGTCTCCAGTAGTGTCTTTTCCTCTAAAAACCAAATTTAAAATTATAACTTCATTTAAGAAATCAGTAAAAAAGAATTGACAAACTGAATTCACTGGACAAAGTCGTAGCCAAAGAGTAAAAAAAAAAAAACTTGAAATGAACACACTGTTCATAGTTCTTAAAACACCTTGTTTGAATATGAGCTTAGAGATAGGAATTAGTCATGGTCTCATGCACACATGTACATTTAAGGTCAATTTGGCATAGACAACACATGCACGTCATTTGAAACAAAGTTGTCCTATGGTTGTGCTGCATGGAGGAGCCTGCTGTGGTAAGAACTCAAGCTAACCTTAAATTGATCCCTGAGGAGTGAATAGTTTTGAATGTCATGCTAAACTAACATGCTCAACTTGAAATTAATGAACAAAGTTAGTTTGGCACAAATATAGTGCAATACTTGGAACAGAATTGACACAGCACAATAACCCTTTAAGTCCCTAGACTTCAAAAAAAATTTTCATTATTGTCTCCTGTACAATTCTCGTGATTTTAGTTTAGAGAATTTGGTATTGGACCAACTGATAATCCCCAAATTGATATCTTTCTTTATTCTCATCATTTGTCTGCTTGATATTGTATTGATATTGTAAGGAGAAATTCTCTTGTGGTCACTGATGAGGGTGAAAGGGTTAAATGACAACAAAACATATGCCACACCTGAGTATCCTTGCTAGTAAAATGCACCATCCATCCCTGCTTCAACACTTTTGATCCTTTTCTTTTGGTATGCTTCACAGATACAACAATCCGTTGGAGTGGAATGTTGTTGCTCATTGTAGGAGTCAGCTGAGGCAACTCACTGTCTGGTGATGAGGGACTAGTTGGTTCAAAGCCCTCTTGGCTGCTGCGACTTGCTGATTCAATTTCTGTCTCGTTCTCACTTAACTCTTGTTCATTTGGAACGTCATTTGAAAGATCCATTTCTGACAAACTTTCAGAAATGGCACCTGAATCAGAAGATCCAAGAGACCCTGCAGCATGAAAAATTCTGGGTTGTATCTTTAGTTGGATAATGATAATTTTAATTTATTTAGAGTTTAAGGGTTTTAAAACCCTTTAACTCCCAGAAGTGATTAACATGTAACCTCTCCCTACAATATTCCTACATTATCCAGCAAACAATTAATGAGAATACAAAAACTTATCAGGTAGAAGTTGTTATCTTGATCTTATCACAAATTCTCATAACTAATTTACAAGGAAATGTGTAGCAGCTAGAGGGGAGAATTAACAATCAGATCTTGAAAGCTGATGGGTTAAAACTTAGAAGGAATATATAGTATTGGTAGGGGGAGGAAATTTCAGACCTAGGGATCCACAGAATTAAAAAAACAACCACTGTTTACATTTGTTTTCATGTAAAACTTAAATTATCAGAATCACTTATTTTTTATTTACCTGCTTCTACCATTGCTCCCTCACCCAAACAAGTCTTGCCAACAAACTTCTCACACTTTCGATGGCAGTTATATTTACAATCTGCAATTATTCCAGAGAAGAATATCAGTCATTTGATGACTCAATAGTACAAATTAAGAAAAGCAATATTGATTTTCAATTGCTCATGTCAATTTTATTCAAAGGATCACAAAGAGGAGTACCTTTACGGGAATTGTCATTTTAGACATTAAAAAGATTCTAGTTGAACATCCACACAAGCTTTAATCAGTAGAAATATGTCTAGGGATACTAAGTTTTACATGCCTGTATAGATGTTTGCTTCCCCATCTAAATGTTATTTAATTCAGTTTCCCAAGCACTTTTGCCACCAACAGCAGCTATTGGTTCGCTCACAGGCTTGACCTTTGTTTGGAGCACTCAACAAGGAGCATTCAGATTTCCTTTTCTTTACATTTCTTACTTTGAATTCCTATTTTCATCAATACACAATCTTAACATTCACAAAATATAAAATGTGGAATGAATTTATCCCTTACCTTTACACTGTAACCCTTGACGGAATAGGCCCTTTAACTGTGAAAAGACAATAAATAGCCAATGTTGGATCTTGGCAATAACAATAACTCATGTGTAAGCATCCAATGAATGTAACTTTGCTTACAAGCAACCTTATCTCAATAGGTAGTCCTAATTGTCTAAAATAACCTTTAAAGTTACAACTTGTTTTCATAAATGGAAATGAATATTGAATCTTCTATGGACAATTCTTCATTTCCATCATTTTAACAACAACTTGCTTTACCATGATTAGAGTTTCCTTTCAGTATTACTTTAAAACTTTTAAGACAACTTCTCTAGTCTGCTACTGGTCAAAAGCAACCAGCCTCTATGGTCTAAGGAGTGCTAATTTTGAACATAATGTAGTTTTAAAGGAACTCTATGATTTATCACAAAGTCATTTTTCCTACCAGTTTTTTGCAAAAGTGGCACACTGTAGGTTTTTTATAGGAATGAACCACGAATGAGTGAGGTATTTGTAATTGGACTCTACCAGACAGCATTCTGTCAATCCAGATTGGACGACCACTCCAAGTTGCCCTTCTGTCTCTTGATGAAGGAAGGCTCTCGGAAAAGGAATTGGAGTGCTGGATCAAGAATGCTGAATCATTTGGGCCACTGACCTGAGAAGCTGGCCTCGGAAGAGTATGTGAATGCAGAGCCATGTTTAATCCAGAAGCACTGTTGCGATGTCTTGAATCTGAACAATTATTTGGTATCTTGAATGCACATTTCTTGTGATAGTTGCCACCACATCCTGTGAAAGTAAACGTAACAGTCCTTGCTCTTTTTCAAAGTCTTCCATTTTCTTACAATATCCTTTTTATCGAACATGACCAAGTAAAGAAACATGCCCAGCTGCTACTGTATGGTTTGCCATAGTAAGTAGAGAAAGATTTTTAAAAGGAATAAATTTGTAGTTAAAGTTGTCAATACAGCATATGATCATTAACAAAATGGTGACCTTTTCATTTCTAAGTGATGTGATTTAAGCTAGAGAGAAACAAACATTTTCATATGGGGGGGGGGAGGGGGGGGGAGGGAGGAGTGACAAAGTCATAGTTCTGAAAATTGTTTGACAAACAGAAAGTCTTTCACTTTCAGAGGTTACCATGTGTTCATTTCTCATTAAAATGTTATTACAATGTCAAGTAATTAGGCACTGATATAAAAAGCTGTATACAGAACAGATCAAGCAGATGTTATCTTGATAAAAGTCCAGATTTTTGTCAGCATTTATCAAAGAAATGTGGGGACTTCTGTTGCAAGAATCCATTTTTAGATCCTGAGAATGAAAGAGTACCATATCAAAAATAACTAGAGACTGTACCTTCACATTTGATTCCTTGTCTCACAAGGCCAAACAACATTTCACCACAAAAGTCACAAAATGTTGGAGATCTGTACGAATGAACAATCAGCATGTGAGGACGAATAATGGTCTCATCTGCTGGGACTTTAGCTGAAAAAAAAAAAAATCAACAAAGAAGAAAATTATTCAAAACACTTAAAAAAGATAAAAGGAATTATTATCATAATGATAATAATCAACACATTATTTGCCATTATTGACATTTATTCCATTTAACTTCAAAATTTAGAGAATTTAAAACATAATTGAAATATCAGAGACTCCCATCTCATGTACCATTAACACCCCATCCTTAAAAGTGCCTCCCCATCCCCACCCTCTTCTCTGCCGTAAGTTTGTCCCCTTAAAACTAAACCAGTTACGGTGAAAAGTGTATTAAGGCAAAACTAAGGAAAATTTCATCTTGTCAACTTAATTAACTTTATCCTAATTTCCTCCTGGTCACGGTCTGATTCAATGCTGTTCATGCCTGGAATACATAACATCATAATTTTCTAAGATGTCAACTTCTCCAATTTGCATCACACCCAGCCACTGACCACTTATAAACCCATATAGACCTCTTGCTGGGGAAATAACCTAATCATATTTCACATATAAGTAATTAAAGTGAAATATTTTCTCTTAGCAGCAAACCCAGTTTTTAAGCTGACATACCTGAAACAACAACTTCAATAACAGAGCCTTCATGCAACTGGTCCACGCTGGTTAACTTCTCCAATATGTTAGTTGTGGAATAGTTGTGTATAAACATGATCACTTTGTCTGCTATGCCAATGCAAGAGTGGTCTGGGAACTGATTGGGGGAAAAAATAAAGAGTAAAGAAACATAACCAAATGACACAAAACAGTCTGTGATCCAAAATTTCCCACACAACATTAAGCACAATGTTATAAACGCAATGCACTATGAGTGTTATAATCAAAATAGGTTATTAGTTAAATTGTGAAAAAGTCCTGAGCCTAGTTTGTTCTGCTGCTGAAGCATATGTTTGTTTTGTATCATGAGCCAAGAGACCCTTATTTATTTTTCAATCACAGATTTTACTTTTTGAAAAAGCTTCGAAAGATATAATTCCATACACTGATGGGACGCTGATCTACTGAGGGTGACCCTCCAACCCCTGTATATTAAATCAGTTTTCCTTGATAATTTCTTACAGTATTTACCCTCCTGGACATTGTGGAAAGAGAAGTACTGTGGGTGTTTCTCTCATGAACAAAACATGAATTATCATTACTCTGTCAGGCATTGTGGCATATTTTGCAGGCCTAACCTTTTAACTCCCAAGATCTCTTTAGTAATTGTCCTTACTGTCTGCTATATAGTTCTTGTGATGTTAGTTTGGAGAATTTGGTATTGGTATCAACTAATGATCCCCTGGTTAAGATTTTTCTTTATTCTCATCACTTGTCTACTGGATATTGTATTGATATTGTAAGGAGAAATTCTGTCTTGGTCACTCATGGAAAGTTTAAGCATTAAATAGCATGCAAGCTAGGGTAACTGTTCGTACTCTTTTGTCGTCATTTTTGTAAGTTCTTATTTGCTCAAGGCCCTCCAAAGTGATAGTTATAATGATACTACAAATAATAATAATAATATCATCATCATCATAAAACTGTTGATTTTCTTTGACCTAAATGTTTTGGTCCCCTCTAAGTGCCCATTTTAACTTGATCTGTTAAACTCTGAGAAGAGGCCAGAGCATATGGACTCTATTGATTTACTAACACATCATAACTTGACACCAGAAATTTTCTACAGGAGCACAGCAGGAGAGTACTGCAGTTTATTGGTGTAATGCCTCTGCCATTACTATTTTGTTTTCATTCTCATGGTAAATTTATTATGTATCAATTGGGTAAGTGTAGTAAAACTCCCCAAAATAGCACTTAGCAATCAACCAGTTGCCTGTATCACCTGTAAGACAGGCTTCATCAAATCTTACCGAGGGAATTTAGAGAAACATAAGCCAACAGAAAAGATGCTTTAAATTGAACTGTTTGGGTGAAAAAAAATTGATTTGCCACTTAGAACAAAGAGTTGCAATGAAATTGGGAAGATAACATAATGTGCTTGACTCTTCAACACAAGTAACCCAAACTCAAGACAAAAAAAAAAAAAACTTGTCAAAATAATCCATTTTACATCAGGATAATTGGATTTTCAAGTTCATTATCCCAATCATACCACACACAAACCCTTTCATATCGACCGATGACAGATGTGTACTTCAAACACAGGCTGACTGCAGTCATGCTTAAGGATCCAGCAGTGATAGTTCGTCAGGAGCAGGACTTTACTCAAGAAAGATCTAACCAGTTTAAGAAATGCCTTAAGTTGTTTATGCTTGATATATCAAATTTCAGATCCTTAAAATAGTTCATTGTGCTCTAGGATATAACGCAAGTAGAATGAAAATGCAATAGTGTGCATTTACCTACTTCTTCTGCTTGTAAATTTTCACAGAACAAAGCTCAATCTAAACAGCTGGTATTCATTCATGAGATCATTTTCAATTTGCAAATTGCTGAATTTGACATACAGCATCAAAGGGAAAAATTTTCTTTCAAGTACAAGCAAATAAGAATTTTTTTCACACCTGATGTAGTAAAAGCATTGTTTAGTTTTAGTAAATTTGTCTTAAACACTCAAACTACAGTAGCGGGGTTTTTATTCCTTTGCTTTAACAATAAGAAAAAAAACCAAAAGAGGAGAAAATAAACAAACTTGCCTAATTTCTAGGTCTTTGACGAACATTCTGATTAAAATTTAGAGCGATACAAACTCTAGCAAAGCCTGTTGAAATGACATATACGTGCGAAGTTCGTGATCGAACCGAGCTTTTGATGTTGAATATATTTTTGGTTATAAATGTGACATTTGCAGGTGCACGCGACAAAACGCCTCCAGAATTGGCAATATCGACGTTATTTGAATATCTACGACGACAAATGAACCTATCTAATGACTGTTCAACTGAGAAGAACCCGTAGTTAAAAGAAAAAACTTAAAGAAAAAAACAGGAAGTTATTGGCGCTGGTGTGGCGACAAACGCACCGATACACAGCATAAATCGACATCGCCTATTTCGTGTCTATTTGATGACCGATCCATTGCACTAATTTGCCAATTTCCCAAAAAGAGGAATCTGGTTGATGCAAAATGGTTTATGAAGCTAGACGTTAACCAGGGGTATAGAAAAATTGTACACAGCGATTTAGAGTCTAGTTACACTTGAACAATATGAACAACCGTCCACAAACTTTGAAAACTTTAACAACTAAGAACATTGCCACTTGCAGATAAGATCACTTTAGACCGGTTTAAATTGACGGAAACTCTGAGCCGAGAGACCCTTGTTCATTTTTCATTCCCAGATTTTAATTTTCGAAAAAAACTTCGAAAGATATTACTCCGTACGCTAGAATGGTTTAGTGTCTTGAATGAATGACCCATGCCGCGTGACAGCAAATAGTCGTTGATGGTTCTTCACGTTGTTTTCGCTATCGACTGTCGCTCACGAACAAGGGGCGGTGGGAGAAAATCGAGATATAGAACCACTAAACATGCTATAATCGGCCATGCGGTCTGTCGTGGTGAATATTTAAACAAAACACGATTTAAATAAAAGAGCCCTCTAAAAGACACGGACACAAACTGTCATTTTACATCCTGTGAGCTCGCAACCGTTAAATAAACTATAAAAACAAAAAAATTATTGACCATCAAAGTCACCATCTATTTTCTGTAGTTGGCGGCGAACTCGATGACTAATAAGCAGTCGGTGATATTAAAGAGTGACTTTACGAGCCAAGATAAAGATTTGTTCCTTGTACGATCAGCAGAAAATATAGGCTTGAGAATTAAAGATCCGAATGCTCGAATCTTGTTCTTTCCCCCGAATTAAAAGTAACAGAAACGTCAAATAAACAGCAGTTGGATGCTATATTTCTCACGGATAAACCCTAAAAGAGAGCAACTGTGGTTAAACCAAAATGCTGGCGATTAAATAAGCTTAATTATACCTTTTGATCGAGGAACGAATGTGCCAGTTCTCTTAACGCCGACATATCCTTTCCTTCAAATCCATACGTTTCCCTTGCCAAGCCGCATTGGAAGGAAATTCCTCTCCGCGGATAGACAGGCTCAGTCATAGCTGTACACACAAATCATCAAAGAATATTCTCTAAACATCAATCACACACAACCCAAAAGGCGATAAATTTCGCTGACCAAAGAGTTATTACTCGCTACTGTCTCTACTAGAAATATTTCCCTAACAATATGGGCGACAACATTGTCACGTGACAGCTACATATTGCCCGGCAGAAAAAAAAAGAGAGGAACGTATTTCCGGTAATTTTAACTTCCGGTATTGTTTGAAGGGTAAAATTGTATGATCATAATACACAAAAGCAAACAAGCAAAGAAACGGAAATAAATAGTTGAACTGATAAACGTACGTCCAGTGTAATAACACCTAATATAGAAAATGAAATGAAAGACTATAAGCTCGCCAACCTGCAATTGTTCATCATTTGCGACAAAAATGGAATGTGAGATCTTTCAATCTTTTATGACACAAGAAAGGCTGCTCAATACAGAGTACAATATAACAATCAAACTGCAAGTTTTATGTGCACGCAATTTCGTGGGTAAAGAAATTCGATAGTTCAAGAAATTTGCTTTAAAGTATTTTTCCTGAAAAGCCCCTTTTCTCATTTCTTGCTTTTTCAATGAACTTCCGCGATTTGCCGTAACGAATTTGGTTAGGTTGACACTGATGACGTAAGTCCCTCTTCTCAATAACGTCAGAGCAAATGTAATAATAGGAATCTGACGTCACAGAAATGCGCTCTATAGACAAAAATAATGGTTTACGAGCAAGACAGCAAGTAGACCATCCAGTTCTATAAACAGCTCGCAGTCACGGTTAAGGCTGCGACTCTATACATCTAGAGTGGTTTACTCTCGTTTCGTCAAGAAAAGCCTGCAATGGAGAGTCGCAAATTTGACTGTTACTAATGTTTTGTGAAGTATTACACCGATTTGAAATGACATATTGTGCGATAACCATGCTATCTAACATTGACGAAGTCTAAATAATTTGCGGCAAAGGAATTCGAAACTACTCTGATAACTTATTACCGCCAGGGGTATTCCCTTACCTGAAAATAGAACATTCTTTTAAACTTCATTGAGCACTGTTAGCTCACGCATTTCTAGCACAGAATGTCACAAGTGCAAGTGAAGCGCTTCACTTACTGAAGGGAATGCTGATAACCGAGAAAGACGTAGGAATGATTTTCATTTGAGAATTCGAGGAGAACATTTCTTATTTAATGGGATAATCTGACAGATTGATATTTGTATGTAGCAATGATATGTCTTAGGAGTAATAACGCAGTTTAGTGAATAGGTCAAATTTTCTACACCAAAAACGGATTAAAATGTTTTTCATCTCCACAAATATCTTCGCGTCGTTGTAAAAATGGTTACCAACACTGCAAGTCTGAATAAATTTGACATTGCTTCTTTATATTGGCCGTGCCGTTCACTCTTTCTTCAATGGCCTTGGGAGAACTTTCGTAGGTTGAACTACCTATTAGCCAGGCTGGGAGTGACCTCCAAGCCCTAGGAAAGCTACCAGTAAACAACAACTAAGGATGACTGATATCAATTGGCCGCTTCCAGAGCTAACATTGAACATTTGGATCGATGTGCAACATGTGCTTGACAACCAAACGGAAACTTGAATAGGACACCCCAATAATAAGACGACGTTGTGACGAAAAGCGATGTGAAACTTGCTCAAGTTTAAATATAATTCAAAGGCCTCCGAGATTTTCTAGAGGATGTTCACTCACAGGAAGTTAAAAAGATACTAACATCTCATATCTGAAATTATCCAAAGCCACTCTCAGTGATGTGCGGATACAGGTTTGTTTTAAGGTTCAACAAACAATCGGAGCAAGAGGCTAATTCCTAATTTCGCACCCTCTACTTTAGACACGAAAATCATAATTTGTTTGATAGCAAATAACCTTCAAGACACAGTCATGCCTTTCCGCTCACTCTCTCTCTCAAACCGCAACGTACATTATTATTTACTTTCTTACTGGACAAAGTCAAGTTGACTTGTTATGTCTGTTAAACCAAAATACTTCAATAAAATAGTTGCGATGTTCGACTTTTTTTTTATTACTGCATATATGGCAACTTACAAGGTCTCAATCTACGAATGGCGTTCCGTGAGCCGTGATCGTTTCGGCCAGCGCACTAACTTCGTACTCACACCTTCGACGGCTGGGTGAGATTGCTGGCCGAAAGACGTACGGCTCTTGCGATACAACTGAGTATTGCTGAAAAGCAGGTACAGATTACGTCTCTCTCTCTAATATACACGTTTGGCTTATTGAACCTTTATACAGCGAGTGTAAATTCAGTCTCATACAGATCATATCACAATAGTTATTTTAAATGACATAGATTACTAATTTCCGAAAAACAAAACAAAACCTAAAAAATTTTTCGTGCTCCCATCAACTTAAGTAAGTTTATTTTCAAAGAGGCAAACAAGTAAATTTGCTGAGTTAGTTAGATTTCAACTTCGAAGATCAGACACAAAACTTGCAGAATATCACCACAACAAACAACAAAGCCTACCTTCTGAGGAACACAAAGAAAAAGTTTGGATTAAATACCATTACTCTAGTTCAGTCTTGTTGACAGTTCCCCTACCATCCCACTTCCCAAATGTGTATTATAGTTAAACAGCTTATTTCATTTTAACACATGATGAAATTGATCCCATTCAGCAAACTTGTGATCTTGGGACTCCAGGTGCAAACTACAGCCATCACAAATTTCAATATTAACAGATTTATCAACAGTGGACACACTCCTTCAGAGAACAGACTACATAACGAGAATTCATCTCTGCAAAATACCCACAAACCTGACAAAAAGGTTTTAACACTTTTCCTCATTCAACCAACCCAAATGAAACCTTTAATATCTGTAGTTTCAACAGACATAGTAGACGAAATCTGCATGAACAATTCTGCACTGTCAAGAAAATCTATAAATAACAACAATTTTCAAAAACCAACCTCTGCAAAATGCTATCTACTTCATTACTGAAATCATTTTAAACAAGTGTCATTCACAGACAAAGAACCCTTATTACATGTGCTCAAAATAATTAATGTTCTGTTCTGAAGGGAATGGCCAAGCTTCATAGGAAACACCTTATAGAGCTTAAACCACAGCAGTTGAGACAAAGAAGCTTTCAAGGAAAATTTCACACCATGGCTGGGTCTTCAACTCAGTACCTCTTCAGTGAAGCCATTTCCATAAAAAGAAAACCAACGACTGCTACCAATGCTGTAGTAAAGAGTGTCAAACAAAATTCCAACAGATTTCAACTTTCTCTGACATTCATGTAAAATCCACACAAATTAAGGAGCAAGGCAGGCAATTGGGAGAATTACACTTGAAAATCAGATCTCATTTTGGAATCATTTGAATTCCATGAACTGGAGTTTTGGTGTTTATGAAGCTTTCTGCTTTTGCAGTTTAGCAGGCAGCTTGGACTTTGCCCTGAAAGATACAAAATGTGAAAATTATGGTCAAACAGGTCAAGTGTTCATCCACAGTGAACATTCAAGTCCCTTTAAAAAAAATTGTTAATAAGCATTGCTGGTAAATACCTTGCAGGAAATAGTGCTATTTGCTAATTCAGAAGGGACAAAATTGTAAGTCACAAGTGTAATTTCTAACTTTTCAGAATATGGACAAAAATAAACAAATATTTTGGTTACTGTGTGCTATATACTGAGACATTTATTCACCTCAGTATCAGTAAAAGTGGTGGACATCTACCTTGCTACTTCATGGCTTGTTAAATATCCACCAATATTCACTTCCACTTTGGTAAATTATTGTTGAATAAAAAAAAGCAACAACAACTTACTGTTCAATGAGGCTTCCAACTTTCTTTCGAGCCAATTGGACATACTCATCAACCTTATCCTGAAAGTGAAAACAAATATTAAGTAAGGGGAAAAAATGTACTTCTTATCAATTTCAACATAAAAAATTCTCTTAAATCAAACGAGATACAGAGATATGAATTCCTAATCATTGCTCAATTTTATTACGCACCTGATGATCTTCATACAAGCGAGGCACAGAGAATAGGACAATAACACCTGTCGAGGAAATCACCAGGAAATAATGATACAGAAGGACTAAATCACTGACTCGTTCACTGACTTCCTGATTCACTCTCTAACCAACTTGATCACTGACTCATTCACTCACTCACACACTCACTGATAAAATGACTTGTATTGAAGGCACCCACCGATAATGATGAGAGTTAAGGCACTGAACCAAGCTCCAACATAGGATAGAACCCATAACAAAAGTCCAAACTGCAAAAAATTACAACCATTGGCCACTAAGTAAAGAAGCTGACTCATCTGCCTTAAGCCATATTTACACTACAGTTCAGAAGCCATTTTCAAAAGCCACATTAAGTCAAGAATAACCTCTGTTTCCTTTACATAGCAATGAATAAGTCTTTGCTTAGATCATTGTTAAAATGATCTGGGCTCAATTCATCTTGAATTTTATCAATTCATTAAGGAGCTACTATAAAAGAATGGCAGACATAAGAGCACACTTGACATTCTATTATATACCTTGATGGAGTCAACAATATCCTCTACTAGGAAGAGTCGCCTCAGTTCCTTGGAATAACAGTTGATATGATCAATACTGGCCTCTACAAACTCCACAGCCTGCAATGAGTAACACAATCAAACTTTAGGTTGCACTGCAGCAGTTCTATGCTTAATATGTAAAACAAAAACTGTATGCACAAACTAACCCTCTCACACATAAATTTGTCTTGGTCAGTATCCACCAATCCTGACCTGACACTTGGTCAATAACACACAGTGACCAGAAGACATTTTTGTGCTGAGTGCCGAGGTTCAATTCATCTGATTGCAAAACCTTTTCTGAAGAGTCCAACCAAGGCCACTTAAAGCAAAAACATCGAGAAACTCTATGTAGAGGATTTTAATACAGGAAACCACCATGCAAAAGACCAAATTTCATTTTACCTTTTCTTTGGGGATATCCACGTCTCTCTCAAGAACAGTTCTGTCAAAGATGGAAGAAAAGAAGTCACATGAAATGAATATACTTAATAGTGCAACTTTGGATACAGGTACAAAGTTGTGTTAAGCTTGTTGATACAATTTAAGCTTACACTGTTACATTTTAAATTTGATTTAAAAATATTAGTTATTCCTCATTATTCATCATTCCTCCTTAGAGGAAGCAGTGTAGCCAAGTAGTCAGAATGCTGGCTTGTAATCTCAACTGATTTTTTCTCAGCTGTCCAGAGTTCAATTACTTAGCTGCACTTTATGTATGGCCAACTGGTCTGCCTCCCGCCAGTTGAGTGTTTTAAACAGTACCTTCCTTAACAATGTCACGATTTCTTCATATTTGCCCTGAAGAGCCCCCATTGGGGAGGTGGTAAATCAAGTAAACATACAAACATTGTGAAAAAAAGTAGTGATGAAGTATTATGGTGGGCCTCATGACATGGTCATTTCCTATGAGGGTCATGCCATTTTGACTGCATACTGCAAGTCTTCTTCAGGCAATAAAGGTCGCATGGTTATTACGTTTCCCTGTGAAAAACTAGCTTTCAACATCAGTGTTCTCTTTTTTAGGCACTAACATCTTAAATTTACCACTTGTAGTGCCTCTTATTACCAGCTAGGATTTCTAAAAATTTTTGAAAATTCAAAAACAGGATCAAACTCAAACAGTTTGAAAATTTCTTTCACCTGTCATACTTAAAATAGAGAAGAACACTGCAACAGCTCTGCTATTTTAATGGTTGGTCACCAAAAGCTGTTCAGTACCTTTTTAAGCACTTACTTGAAGGGATTCTCAGTGCCGCTTTTCTGGATAGCACCCATAACAGTCATGCCAACTCTATAAAGCAGCGACACTGTTAACAGCGCCATGGAGAAGAAGGTCACAACACTGAGGAATGTATACATGGTCAAAGAGAACAACAAAACCAGTTCAATGGCAACCACTATTCCTGTTTTCTTCAGACACCGCCAGTAGATCAGATCAATTACTAAAAACAAGAAAGAGCAGAAATTACATCAAAACTTTCTGAACAGTACAGATCTCTGTATTAACAGTTCTAACACCTTGTGGGCAATCAAATATTTTGAATGCTTCAAATTTAAAAAGTGAACTCTGCATCTCTACTACAGCCACCATATGGCGTACAAATCTCAAACCAATTCTGCAGGTTTTCAGTAATTCTGAAAGATTGAAACTAAACTGTACATCAAAATTCCCTCGCTTTTCCTATTTTCTCTTAACTCCACATTCTAGTCTCAAAAGACCTCAAACAATCTTTTGCTTTACTTATTTGTATCATTCCTGTCTATTGAAAGCATAAGAAGTGGATATCAGAAGAGTTTGCCTGTATAAATAGTTTTTTAAAATAAGTGAACTTCAACAGAAGGAACAATCTGGTCTTGTTTGAAGGTAACTAATCTGCAATAAAAATCAAGTTCTGATGTGTTAACTCCCTTGAAAGCTTCTACAACAAATTGCATCAATCTACTAAGACAAATCTGTATGGCATGCTGTCCTCTCTCAAAATGTTTTAAAAAATTGTCTGTGTTGCCAAAAATAACGCCACAAAGTAACTGGCTCAAATAATAGGAAGAGTATGATGCTTTAAAAAATTTATTTGGAATGCTGGGGAACAGTAAAGGTAGACTACAAAGAATAGAAGCTTAATTCTCCAGTGGTAACAGAGTTTTACCCTCAAAGAAGAATGAAACAAAAATTCATTAGAAGAATGTCTCTTAGACCAGAACCACCACAATACAAAATATGAAAGTGAAAATGCAAATTCACTCAAAAAATAAGCATAACATTTGACTTTACATTAAATTTTGTACAAGCATATAGGGTGTGGAATTATTTCAAAACGGATTTAAATTCTAATCCTGATAGAATGCTTAATAACTTGTACCATAAAAAAAGGAACAGTCCATACAACGAGTTTTTCAGCATTAGATACACAGAGGAGGTGTATTCTTACATAAAAGCTGAAAACAATTCCTCTGCAAGATAGGATCAAATAACTGAATCTACAAGAGCAACAGGATTGAAAGGAATATTGTAAATACACCAGCAGGTGTAATATTGAAAACTCTAAGAAGCATTGATCTCATCGTACTTTCATGGAAAAATCAAGAAACTCTGCTACATGAAAAGTAAAATTTATCAGAAAAGAATGTGACTCATGTAAATAACCAGAAATGAAGTGAAAAAATTTAAGTTAGTTTATAGACCCCACCCCAAATCTTAGTCAAAAACCAAAATATAAGGTGGTTACTTATAAATAATTCAGTTTGACATAATCATAGGGAATAATTATGTCAGTCAACTGGAAAGAACTTCTATGAATATCTGGGGCAAAAACATAATACGAATAGATTTGAATTGAAAATGAATGATTCACTTTCTCCTGTAAACAAAATGGCATGGTCATATGCGTGGAGAAGAGTCCAATACACGATTCAAGGCCAATTTTAAATGGGGAAAATTGCCTAACCATAATGAAGCTATTTACTCTCAATTCCTCCCTATATTCTGGGCTTTGGTTGCGATTTAATAAACGAATGAAGTTTCCAATAAAGCAATGAACAGGGTGCGACCATCGTTTCATATGTTTTCATTTTTAAGACAGCGCCCTGGTCTACAGTAGATAACACCGTAACACAGTTTCAAGTCCGTGCAATTGAATTCGCAGTAAATAAAATATATTACCTTACTGTTAACATTTTTTTTTTTTTTACGAGATATTGATTTCAACGACGATGAAGAGTCAACTTCGATGGCCAACAAAGAAAATCTTGTACACGTTCTGTCGTGTCGAGTGCCTCGCTCGCCTCCGCAGGTCATCTAAGCAACAATGAACCTTTACTTAAATATTCCCGATTATTGAGAGCTATATACCTCGTTGATCCACGCCGTTTTGTTTCATCCATACCGCCGGCCAACTTGTCAGCTCTACAATACAACAAAGATCAAATTTTTTTAACAAAATATTAGCTCACGGCCTACTGAAGTAATCCTTCTTCACTGTCTCTGTGTTCGTTTGCCGGCAATCGATCTCAGAATAAAGTGCACTTCTTGTCTTCTACCTCGAACTACATTTGCAAAGTTACAACAAAAATCAAACGTAATTAGCTCTGCTACTTTACATCATCCGCGCAAACCAGTTCAATAAGTTTAGCGCTCCTTAGTACAGTACATAAATACACATGTACAACCATCAGCCATAATTGCCAATCTCACCTTTTGTGGCTGGTTCTTCTGGTTTTTCTTCCGATTCTACTTGCTCTGATACTAGATCTTCGACAGCCGACGTTTCTTCTCTTTCATCAGGCACGTTTTCACCTTCTGGCGATGGTTCGTCTTTTACAATGTCATCCAAAGATGGTGTAGTCGAGGAGACATCCTCCTGATCCTCCATGCCTGATGAAAAATCTACCAAGTCTCCTGTTTCTGGTGAAGCGGACTCCGACATCATCAAACTCAATATTCCCAAATGTTTACGCTTGACCTCCAATACAATACTTTAAAACTTCAAGTAAATTGACCAGAAAGTTAGATCTTACGCAAGGACGAAACTTAGAAGTGATGGTGGATTATGTTTTCAAAAATCACGCTGGCGCAATTTCCACAAGTCGCCATATTTGGGAAAGCGAATGTAAAAGAACCAATCAGAGTAGTCGTTATCATTCTGTTTTTTTTTTAATAGTCTTCCAAATAAGGAAGTCTCAAAGTTCAAAGTGAAACTCAGAGCGAGCAGAAAGATACAAGCTAACAGAGTTTATGAATTCAGATCGAAAACTCGCTTTGGGCACAAAATATTTAAAAAAAAAAAAAGTTGCAAAAAAGGGAAAAATGAAAAAATTCGGGCTTCGCTACGACGGGATTCGAACCTGTTCCTCCCAGAATACCGGACATATGGTTGCTACTACCTCCTACCCTTGCGAACTGAATTCTCAGTTTTCTGGGAATTCCTTGGAATTCTCCGAAATTCCCAATTATGCAAATGACCCTCGCAAACTGAATTCCCAGTTTTCTGGGAATTCCTGGGAATTCCTAGGAACTCTCAAAAATTCCCAACTATGCAAATTAACTCTGATTTAAAAAGCTTGGAATTACTGGGAATTTCTGGGAAAGGAAGACTCCAGTTTTGCGAGGACTTGGAATCCCTAGGAATTCCAAGGAATTCTCAGCTATACAAGCTACCTATAATTTAACAAGTGTGGAACTCTTGGGAATATCTGGGAATTGAATTTGAGGCAATTTAATACCCTGAGGTCCACATAAATTCTAAGAAATTCTCAATACCTTGAATGTGAAGGTTTTAAGAAAAGGAGTAATTTCAGAGGCTTAAAACTTTAGCTCAATAAAAGGTATGCTATACAAAACTTACCAAGAGATATACATACATGTATATGTTTATAACTTAAAGATCATGAAATTTATTATTCAAACTAAGTTTTAGTAAATCTTTACATTAATATGGATCTTCTCATGAACCAGCAGTCAGTTATGTTAAATGGAAATTGCCAATTAATCCAATGTACTCATATCACAGATTTGCTTTCTAACTTCAAAGGACTCTTGGATTCCATAATCAAAAAATATTTTTATTGTGATGCAAATTAATGTCTCATGTTTACTGATGTGCCAAAATCATCAAACATTCATTAGCTGTTCCTTGGTACACAACTTCCTCAATAATTAACAATAATTACATTGTTATCTACACTTAAAGAACTTTGTTAGTTATGAACATAAGTTACTTCCCCAACCTTCATTACTGGTTGCCTTTGTTAGAAAACCTTGGAACAGTCAAGCTCAGTTGCCTCAAACACTGTCAGAGACTTTTTGTTGACAATATTTTTAGTAGAAATTTCATGCCTTAAACAAACAAATTCAACACCTAATTAATCTTTCTTTTTTCATGATTTTTGTTGCCGTTTTTTTTTTTCAGTTTTTTGCTCTGTTTTCGTGACTAATTGCTGTAATTTGTTTTGCTGTTTTTATTCTTACAAAACATTTTTGTAGGACTTCCAATACTTGTGGATCATCCACACACTTAGCAATCATTTGGCAAGCAGACAAGACAGAGGTAGTCAATGTTCCCATTGAGAAAAAACACCTTTTAAATGACGTCTTTAATTTATTTTATTTGAAACTCTGATCTGAAAATATTTGTCAACAAGACTTGTTAGTAGTGAGAAGTACCAACCAAGTTTCCTTTCATAACTTAATTTCTTAAATGTCCCAATCACTGGACCTCCCAAAAAATATTACATCTTTTTATTTTTGGTGCAAAATACAAGTCCTTCTTTATATAAAAATGAAAAGTGCAATTCACACTTCAATAATAACAGCTCTAAAGTTTACTTGTTGTTCTTCTCTGTCTGTCAGCTATCAACAAAATTGTTTTATACTTCGGACAGTGCATAACTATTTGTGGACCAGAGTTCCAACGCATCTCTGTAATCGCATATAGTTACTTCTGTCTCTTGTACAAATGTTTCTCCTTTGTAAGACGCACTCTACTCTGTTGTCACTACTGCTTTAAGTTCAGTGGAAACGACTGACTGAGGAATCGAGATGGCGGTGTTGGAACGTGTTGCTGAACGCTTGCTACTGTCAAGCTTTGTAGATTTAGGTACTGGTACACTGGGATCATCTATGTATCTCTTATACTTCCTAATGTGGTATCCTTCTTTTATAAATATGAGGGTAAAAGACGATTTGCAGTCGCATTCAAAACTGTGATTGGCTTGTGTTATTTCTCACCTTTGCCATGAACACAACTCAAGTGAGTTTCGAGTCTTTGTTTCCTCGACAACTTTCGGCCACAAATCGTGCATTTGTAATACGATCGATTCTTGTCGATTATTTCTACATAGAGTGAGCTCACATCATTATTTATATCACCAAGGTATCCATCGTCTTGAAGCAGAGAACCGGTCGGAGAAGTCAGAATAAAGTTGTGCGCTTCTCTCAACACTGCAATCGGCAAGCCAGCGGATTCACTTTGCTAGCCAATGATAAGTCCTAAAAGATCCACGTGATCATGCCCGTGATCGGAAACAAAGAAGACTCCATTTGGCGCTCGTCTTTGAACTTTTCATCGGTTGATCGTTTTTCTCAACTGTTTTGCTTAATATAACATTTCAAAAGATAGCTTTTATTGTGGTTCAATGGGAAAACGAGAACAGCGTGAGTGTTGTAAAAAAAAGAAAGTCGTTGGCGCCGTGGAGTTAAAAGAAGGGACAACAGTTGACATATTGACTGGTACAAACAAGGGTCGAGTGGCCATCTGTAAAGCTACGACTTTGAAAGTTGTGGTGAGTAAAAATTGCGATATTCGTTACGTGATCAAAATCTTATAAAAGAATAGATGTAGCGGGTTGAATTAGGCTTACATAACGCTCGGCGCAACTGAAACTAGAATAATTCTGAGAATCGAATCGGTCACTTGCATGCCGCAGTTTCTTAAGCTTATGCTTTACAATGAAATAAACCTATCAGTAAGGTTTCAAGATTCCTCTAGTCACGTTTGGGAACATTCAAGATTCATAATAGGAACTGTTATTAAACAAACCTTATTACATAAAGAAGCTCTCCTTGGTAAAAACAAAATAATGTATTCAGCCCTTTTTTAATAAAATCCATGAGAGGGATGTACTAACTCCAATATAAAAGTCACTCAATATAACAGAAATTTCTCAATTTGAGAATTCAATGAATGCCCTTTTCCTCATAGCCATCTTAAAGGCCTGGTCTGAGCTTTAAATATATTTATTTTAATATATATATATTTTTTTCAAATTCAGATGTCATGGAATCCAGATACAAAATGGTCAAGCTTCTTGTGGACAACCTCATTCAAGGCCAACTTATTGTGAGCCCAGGAAAAAAAATATAAACAGCAGCTAAGTTTGCAGTTTAGGATAACTTCATTTTAATTTATTGTTACAGTTATAACAAGATTTTAATCAAAAAATCAATTTTATTTGTCTGTAATTAACCCCTTCACTCCCAAGAGTGCTTGATTTTCAAATATAATTCAAGATATTGTATTTTATGGAAAAGAATCAACAGATTTTATTCACAATTTGTGTCAAACCAAATTTAATGATTGATTATGACTATTTTATATGAATAGCTGTAATTGAGGATTAATCCGTATGAAGTTTTCAAGAAAAGAAAAATAAATCAAATTCCATCCTAATATTACCACACGTTGATGTTAATAATTAATCAAAAATATTTTACACGTAAGACTTAATTAAGCTTCTAAATAAATTTCATTGAATTTTAGCTTGAATTAACGGCGCCCGGTCGCCTGAGGGTTTTTTTAATTTTTTGTATTTACTTTTTTATATCATTAGCCTCAAATGGGTTTTTAAAAATTAAAAGTAATTATTAAACATTCCTGAAGAAAAAATGAAGATCTTAACTGACTGATTTATTACTAGGAGGCCCGGGCACCTCAGCTAAAATGTTTCCCAGAAGAAAGAAATTCCTGGGAATTTTCTAGATTTACAGCTTTTCAGAGAAAGTCATTGGTTCTCTGAGTTGGAATTAAACATTCCTAAAAATTCCTATTCCCAAAAATTCCAAGTCCTGAATTTTCTATAAACTTGGAATTTGGTTTCTCTGAGGAATTTTAGGAATTGGGAATTTCTGGGAATTTCTGGGAATTTCTAGGTTTTTAGAACCAGAGTTGTTATGTTTGGGAATTCCTAGGAATTCCCAGTCTGAATTTACCATGAAAATTCACACCTTTATTCCTAGGAATTCCTAGGAATTCCAAAAGCCATTTTGCAAGGGTAAGATTCCAAACCACATATCACAAAAGAGGACAATTTAGGCAGTTTTTTATTTTTTCCTTGATATTGGATGCAGTAATTTTAGTTGGATTTGTGGGTGGAAAAAGAAAAAGGATTATGACAAAGATGAACTGAAATAAGGGAAAGAGTTGCCTAAAAAAGTCTCGGTTTCAACTGGGTTTGAACTATGCTTTCCAGATACTACCTGGGTGCTAATATCAACTGAGCTACTAATGCCAAACCACAGACATTTTGGAAGCTCTCCTGTTAAAAAACACACAAACAAACAAAACAAAGCAAAACAAACAAAAAAAGAGAAAGGTTTCGATGTGATTCGAACTCATTCCTTCTCTGCCAAGTGAGTTTCAAAGCCACATCTTGGAAAGCCCCCATTGGAGAGGTGGTAGATCAAGTAAACATACAAACATTGTGAAAAAAAGTAGTGATGAAGTATTATGGTGGGCCTCATGACATGGTCATTTCCTATGAGAGTCCTACCATTTTGACTGCATACTGCAAGTCTTCTTCAGGCAATAAAGATCGCATGGTTATTACGTTCCCATTGTGGAAAACTAGCTTTCAACATCAGTGTTCTCTTTTCCAGGCATTAACTTCTTAAATTTACCACTTGCAGTGCCTCTAAAAATTTTTGAAAATTCAAAAACAGGATCAAACTCGACTAGTTTGAAAATTTCTCTCACCTCTTGTGCTTAAAGTTGAGAAGAACACTACAAAAGCTCTGCTATTTTAATGGTTGGTCACCAAAAGCTGTTCACTACTTTTTAAGCACTTACTTGAAGGAATTCTCAGTGCCGCTTTTCTGGATAGCACCCATAACAGTCATGCCAACCCTACAAAGCAGCGACGCTGTTAACAGCGTCATGGAGAAGAAGGTCACAACATCTTGGAAGCGAATTTTGTCCGAAGTGTAGAGTGGTTGGCTGGTTGACAGGGGGTGGGGTAGGGGGTAGATTAGATACAAAATAAACGGCTGGTTAAGAATTAGCTCGCGAGGCCAATGCACAAAGTGAAGAAAAGGGCAAAGTTGATATAAGGGCAAAGTGTGATCGGCAGGATTTCCCACCCAGATCTTCATATCTTAAAATACATGCTGACGTAAATGCCGCCTTCCCACCCCACCCGCGTCGTGCGTGAGGCACGCAGGTCAGTAAATAATAAACAAGTTCACTCGTGGTCGCATTTAATCAACAAATAGACCTCAAATATCGAGATGTGCTGCTTATAAACGTGCTTTTTCATATATAAAAAAGAAGATCTTCGTCTTCTTGAAGGCTTTAATGCATTTTTGTGTTGTTATATTTTAAGGTTACTTTACTCCACAAAAGAACTGTTTCTGTAATGTTCTTTATAGTTCTTTACTAAGTTCAGCCCAGCTACACTCCTAAAAAATTAACTCTTCTCTCTTATATTGGGTATACTCATATACTTCATACTACTTTACATTACTGTACTGTGCTCTATTCTACGACTTTACCACTTCTACTCTGCTCTTTCTTCCTCCTCACTTCTTCTCTCTTAGCCTGTTTCATCCTCTCAATCAGCGAAGACACGCGAAAAATGGCGCGCGCGTTAACTTGCAGACAAGCGGACGTAATCTGCAGACGTCTCCCTTGTAACCGCAACCGCCGCGGCTCGCTTGCTTCAACACAGCGGTTCAACGTTTGTACATGTGTGCAGGTTGTAATTACTAAGTGGAATGCTGTCATAAACGAGTTACACACAGCCTAACATGCAAGTGAGTCGAGGATGTTTTGCAATCGTCTTTGTTTTTGTTAAAGATTGAAACGGAAAGGTCAAGCAAAAGGATACCCGTACTTGAATAAGCTTCGTGTTCGAAAATTGTCGAGTTTTCTCTTTCCCTTCTTTTATTCCTTCCACATATAACGATGCACGTTTCAATTTTCTTTCGCTTATTTTTCGAGACAGGGGCTGTTTTTCATGTTTTTCATGTTTTTCTATGAAATTTTCCGCAGGAAAATGGTGATGGGCCTGCCAGAATTGATCCCCTCGCGCACGCCCGACGTTTGACCGCTGTGTTGCTTGCTTCCTGGTTCACCCCCCCCACACACACACACACACACACACACACACACACACACACACACACACACCTCTATTTCACGCATCTCCACTTCCTAAAGAGCCTAAAGCAGGCTAATTCTCTTCACTTTCTGTCTTCAATCAGCCAACAATAGCTGCCATACTAACATGACTGACATCAGCCACCAACACATTAGCTTTCCAGGCGCTGCAGATTTAGGAAGGTTAGGGTAACAGTCAGGCTGTGGACAATCTCCCAAAGACTTTGATTCATCTTCTTTCTCGTCATCAGGAGACCTGCCTATTCAAAGATACTCTCTTGTGAATTTTGGATAGCAAGAGTTAAAGTGGACAAACTACACAGGGTATGAGAGGAGAGACGAGGAATGGTGGGAAGCGGAGGAGTTGGAATTAAGTGAATGGGTAAAGACACTCCTCAGAGTTTTCTCTCCAAGACGTGTTCCTACCATTGGACTAGGAGGCAAAAACTAAATTTGCCATAACTTTTCCCAGAGAAAAAGACCAAATGCTTGTTTAAGATCACTGAAACTTTCAATTTATTGTGATATTTAAAATACCAACATTACTGGAAGTGAAAAACACCCACGAATTAATGGAATTTTAAATGATTATAAGTTCCGTATTTCCTTGAATAAGCGCCTACCCTTAGCATAAATTGAAGTAACCGAACGAAAACGTTTTTCTATTGCCACTTTATCCAAAACCTTTTGAGCTTCAGTTCCCGAGTTTCTTTTCCGTTCCAGATATTTCAGTCTTCATGCGCTTGTAGAATTTCCTTATGTATTTTATCTGTGGTTTTGACTTTTCCGTCCTATCAGTGCGCTAACTCAACTAACGCCTACTCGGTAAGGCGCCCTCCTACCAATAAGCGTCCCTAACCCCCCCCCCCCTTTTAGCCACAATTTTATGAGCGCTCGGGCGTTTGTTCGAGGAAATATGGTATTCACTTCTCCTAAATAAAGGGGGAGGGGGTGGGGGGGCGTACCTGCACCTTTAGACCCCTGCCAGCTACGCTCATGCAAAGTGTTCTGTTGCGCACCCAATCCCCCGCGCTGAAACGACAATTTTGCAGGCTGGTTTTACGAATCTATTTAACCAATTCAGAACGGACACCAACATACAATGGAAAGCAAAATATTCATTCTCACCTTTTTCATCGACGTCTTGGTAATCATAACCGAACTCGAAAGACTTCTTGAACATCTGTTGGTGAGTGTAAACCGGAAACAACGGCACAATGACGTCATCTCTGTTGTGACCAATGGGTGCATCGTAAGAAGATAGCACATTCGCATCCTTCTTAAACTTCCGCAACCATTTTTCATAGATACGATCCACAAACGCGTGATGAAGAAGAAAGATCGGGTCGTTTGATGCTGAAGGTACGTCCCCCATTTCTCCTCCAACAACTATGTGGACCCGGTTGTGCAAGCCGTGGACGTTAGGAAGGCGAAAACCAGTTTTGGTGCTAACATAACCCTCTAGGATGTTTTTAAAATTGCAGCTAGACTCTTTATTGTAGGGTGGGAAGTCGAAGGTTTCAAAACGGAGCGCAAAGTTAACTTCTGTTTTTGTTGGAAATGTCATAGTATATCCTTGTTCCTTCACTTTCTTCTCCTTCTCATCATCTGTGTCCCGTTTCAATCCAGCTCTTGTTATGTTAGGCTCACACGCCTTTTTTAGGGCATTGGTTTGGTTGCTGGTGCAAAGGACATACCAGTTATCCAAGTATTTGCCCCTCACAATGCCTGTAGCTTGGTCCGTTACGCCAAGGAGCTCTTCAGAGCAAATTGTAGGGTCGCATTGAGTGGCATTCCCAGTCCAGTCCCAGAAAGGAAGGGCAAATTCTTCATCTCCTCCAATTTCCTGCAAGGTTCTCTCCCATGCCAACAAGTACAACCGATGCCATGAGGGAAATCCCTGACCATCGTGTGCGAAGTCGATATCAGATTCAGTGACATCATGAGGTAAAATGGTGTCACTTGCCGCATAGTAATGCATCCACGTGAACAGGTCATAGTTAGTGACATCATAAAAGTAGGACTTTGGGTCGCCACCCTCCATAACGGTTTTGTTTATCTCCTTGTAAGGAGTAGACGTAACCACGAAGTCACTTACATAGTGCTTGGACATGTTAACGTATCTCATGAATCGATCTTTCTCCTCGGCTGTCAGGCTCAGAAAATTTCTTCGTATCAAATTTTTCTTCTGCGTGCAGTTCTTGCCATAGTAACCAAACGCGCATTTGCTGCAATCGTAACCTGCATAGTTTGCATTGCATATGCAGACTTTATTGTAAAGAGCACGCGGCCAATTGTGTCTCTCGTCCTTCATCTGGAACGGTCGGTAATGGCTGTACTTGAATGTCCAATCACGAATGGTCAATTCCTGGCACTTTCCTCTGTCTCCATCGCAGCCACATAGTGTGGTGAAGCCTTTGGGAACAGGACAACATTTCTTGTCTCTCAGGCTGTCCCGGTCAGTACAGACTCTGGGAAACTGGCCTTCAACCCAGGGTAAAATGACGACGACAAAGACAAGGTATGCGATGCTGGGGTAACCCATTTTATGATCGACTCCCTGAGAGACAAAATTTAGGTCTTATTGTTATCTGTCCTCCGAGCCTAGACGTTCAAGAGTTATGTGAAACATAGATATCTCTGTTTAATTTTTAATAGTTCTAATAATAGTAATGACAATAATGATAAGAATTATAATAATGATGATGATGATGATAATAGAAATCATGAAAACTTTCAAATAGAGAGAAACTGGGTTTTTATGTGTTTGTTTTTGAAGAAGAGGTGAAACTCAAATATGAAAATTGTTTTCTATAAACCTCACCGAGCCAGGAAAAAAGGGTTGATTATTTTTCACATTTTCTTTCGTATTTTGTCTGACTAAAGTCCGAAGTTCATTGATCCATCTTGGAACGACTGTGTTTACAAATTTTAGGGCTACAAGATCCTAAAAATGATTTAAAACTCTGGATTGATAGATTTTAGAATCTAAAAAGGGATGTCATCTATAACCTGCTTCCTGAATAAATGTTTCTTTTTTATTCTTTTCATGTCACAAACGGTTGGATTATACATCTCGGAAAATTTGACCTGTACTCTCGATTATTCCGGTTCTTTCATTATTTATGCTGTAAGGTTACTCCTCGCATGAAATCCGCATAACAATGAGCCGTAATTTCGCTTTATCTCACGAAGTTAACAATCATAACCAGCTTAATTTTCCTGTTTGTGACTTTGAAGGCAACAACTGTTCAGATGCAAAATCTCTGGTTTAGTTCCTTTCAAGTGAGTCGGGATCACGATATCCCGAAACTTATCTTCCAGTTCACACTACGCAATTATTATTCATATTCTGGGAATTGTTCAAGCAGCATATGTAAACTACCTAACAAACGAGGTTAAGACGATATGAATTTTCTTAATGTCATACGGGTTATCACTGTACGCTTGAGACAAATCGTGTTTCTCTGTTGTCTCTCTCACCCAGTTCTTACGCTTGTTTGGCAACAAATCCATCACCGAAAATATTTACCAAAAGGTTTAAACTTCCAAATCCATCGCTGCTCGCTTGAGAAACTGATTTTCTCCACAACGTTATTAAAAATGAACAGCTTTTCTGGCGCAAAATATCTGCGATTTGAATCAATGGAAAACTTCATCATATCACAAAACCACATAATTGACGGCGATGCAGCTGGATTAATTTCATAGAATAGGTCAACTTTCCCAGAAAGCATTCCGTAAGAACGTCTTACTTGTAAATATAATTTTCGACCCAAAATCAAACTTTATTGCAAGAGACCGTTTGCCGTTTGCCTTTTTCATGAAAACCTCCTTCGATTTTAGTCAGAGCCTGAATTCCCTCCCTTTACGAACCGAACTCTCGAAGTTAATCCACGATCGACCTACAACAAAAGCATGCGCATTTCTGGTGAGGACTTTGACGAACTGAACTTAGTTTGATCATCAGATGTTTGAGACATGTGCATCGATTACAACCGCATTCTGTCTATTGAATAGACATCGTTTAAAATGTACCTTGGACATTGTTACCACAAGAGCAGTATATAAATCCTTTGTAGCGATCATGTTGTGAGCGCCTCTTCATTAAGATTGGAGCTTCGAGGTAAGACTACGTGTCTTCCTTGAGAACGAGTTTGATGTTTGATTAAAGCATACCTTCGTCTTCTTTAAAACTGCAAGCTTCTTTGTTCCTAAGATTTGAAATTTCTCCTCTTAAAGTTTGTTCCTGTACGTCGTGGTGCTATTGACAAGTCGACTGAACAGTAAAACTAAATTACAATGAAACTATATCTCATCTATTTTGATGGATTCTTAGAAAAGGTTTCCTCAGAATGAGAGTACAGCGTACCTTTGTACTCAAGATTTCTTAGAACTCCAAGCATCTTTACTAGACTTAAGACTCTCCTGGTAAAATATACCTTCGGCAGATGCTGCCGAATTTTTCTTCTCTAAGAAGCCTGCTATAGTGCCGTCAGCTTTGCATGCGTCGGCGATTTGTACACAATGTGTTTTGTGTAGACCTCTGAATCGCTTCCAAGAATTCAGCAAACATAATCAACGAACTACATTATTTCATTCTACAAATTTCAAGTCAAGGCATGAAATAACATCCTTGCGAGCATTAGATAGAGATCACTAAATTTATTTCAGAATTAATCGACATGATACAGCAGATGCGAAGGTATAAAGTCTGTACACGGTTTTCACTCATTCATCGAACATAAATAATATACCTTTCCGGGTATGCGCTAATCTTCTCAGCATTGCTGTATGGATATAAAATCAGTCTGTGTCATTCAGGTGTTTGTTGCTTGCAAGTTTTACAAAACTGTAACATGATGAATTGTATAGTTCATTGGAAATCTCTCCGAACTTCTCCTATCTACCAAGGAGAAGGGAACTTAGCAACATACTTAATCTGCGGTTAATGTAAAATCTTTGCTCGCTTCAAACATGGAAGTAACACGGCAATCATTAAAGAAACATGATCAAAGCGTACCTGATCCACTAGCTTGTCAACTATGCACTCTTAATGCCTCAGTTTCTTAGGACTGAAACTTTTAGTATCCTTTCCTGAACGCTTCTTAAAACAAATAACGCGCTAAAGTCGCGTGACTTAAGTTTACCCAATGTGTGGTTGGCGGGGGTAGATTAGATACAAAATAAACGGCTTGTGAAGAATTAGCTTGCGTGACCGATGCACAAAGAGAAGAGAAAGGGCAAAGTTGATGTAAGGGCAAAGTGTGATCGCCAAGATTTCCACCCTGATCCTAATCCTAAAATACACACTGGCATAAATGCCGCCTTCCCACCCCTCCCCCGTCGTGCATAAGGCATGAAGGTTAGAAAATAATGGACAAAGTTCACTTGTGGTCGCATTTAACCAACAAATAGACTCAAAATATCGAGATGTGCCGCTTATAAACGTGCTTTTTCATATAGAAAAAAATAAGACCTTCGTCTTCTTGAAGGCTTCGATGCTTTTTTGTGTTGTTATATTTTAAGGTTACTTTATTCCACATAAAAATCACACGCTTCTGTAATGTTCTTAATACTTCTTTACTAAGCTCCGCACAGCTGCACTCCTAAAAATTTAACTCGTCTCTCTTATATTAGGTGTACTCAGTTATTCCTTTCAATCTTTCCACACTTAAGTCCAATGTAATATATACTACTGTACATTACTGTACTGTGCTCTATTCTACGACTCTACCATTTCTACTCTTCTCTTCCTTCCTCCTCACTTCTTCTCTCTTAGCCTGTTCCAGCCTCTCATCAGCGAAGACGAGCGAAAAAGCGAATACGCGAAAAGTGGCGCGCACGTTAACTTGTAGGCAAGCGGGCGTAATCTGCAGACGTCTCCCTAGTAACCGCAACCGCCGCGGCCCGCTTGCTTCAACACAGCGGTCCAACGTCCAGTCTCACATGCAAGTGAGTCGAAGTGTTTTGCAGCCGTCTTTGTTTTTGTAAAAGATTAAAACGGAAAAGCGAATCAACAAGATACCCGTACTTGAATAAGCTTCGTGTTCGAAAATTGTCGAGTTTGCGTTTTCCCTACTTTTATTCCTTCTACAGATAACGATGTACGTTTCAATTTTCTTTCGCTTATTTTTCAAGACAGGAGCTGTTTTTCATGTTTTCCTATGAAATTTTGCGCAGGAAAATGGCGCGCGGCCTGCAAGAATTAGTCCCCTCGCGCGCACCCGACGTTTGACCGCTGTGTTGCCCGCTTCCCGCTTTTCCCACACCCACTATTTCACGCATCTCCACTTACTAAAAGCCTAAGGCAGGCTAATTATCTCCACTCCCAGTCTTCAATCAGCCAACAGTAGCTGCCATAGTAACATGACTGACATCAGCCACCAACACATTAGCTTTCCAGGCGCTGCAGATTTAGTTGGACAATCTTGCAAAGACTTTGATTCACCATCTTTCTCGTCATCAGGAGACCTGCCTATTCAAAGATACTTTCTTGTGAATTTTGGATAGCAACAGTTATAGTGGACAAACTACACAGGGTATGAGAGGAGAGACGAGGAATATTGGGAAGCGGAAGAGTTGGAATTAAGTGAATGGGTAAAGACACTCCTCAGAGTTTTCTCTCCAAGTGTTCCTACCATCGGTCTGGAAGGCAAGAAAATAAATTTGCCATAACTTTTCCCAGAGGAAAAAATGAAATGCTTGTTTAAGATCACTAAAACTTTCAATTTATTTTGACATTTAAAATACCAACATTGGGGGAAATGGAAAACACTCACGAATTAATGCAATTTTAAAGGATTGTTATAAGTACCGTATTTCCACGAATAAGCGCCAACCCCTTAGGCCATAAATTGAAGTAACTGTCATCCCCCCTTCCTCACTTTCTTAAAAAGTGGGGATGCAAGGAAAACCTATATCTATTGCCACTAAATCTATAACTTTTTGAGCTTCAGTTCTCGAGTTTCTTTTCCGTTCCAGATATTTCTGTCTTCATGCACTTGTAGAATTCCTTCATGTGTTTTACCTGTTCTTTTGATTTTTTTGTCCTATCAGTGCGCTAACTTAATAAGCGCCTTTTAGCCGAAATTTTACGAGCGCCTCTATTTGACCAATTCAAAACACGGACATTGCCTGAAAAACATTGGGCAGGCAGAGGAGTTCTGACTCTGATAATTAACTAGTCTCATGAGAGTCAACCAAAACTACAATGGAAAGCAAAATGTTCATTCTCACCTTCTTCATCTACGTCATGGTAATCATAACCGAACTCGAAAGACTTCTTGAACATCTGTTGGTGAGTGTAAACCGGAAACAACGGCACAATGACGTCATCTCTGTTGTGACCAATTGGTGCATCGTAAGTGGATAGCACATTTGCACTCTTATTAAACTTCCGCAACCATTTTTCATAGATACGATCCACAAACGCGTGATGAAGAGGAAAGATCGGGTCGTTTGATGCTGAAGGTACGTCCCCATTTCTCCTCCAACAACTATATGGATCCGGTTGTGCAAGACGTGTGGACGTCAGAATGGTAACGACCGGTTTCGGTGCTGGCATAACCCTCTAGGATGTTTTAAAATTGCAGCTGGAACTTTTGTTGTAGGGTGGGCGGTCAAAGGTCTCAAAACGGAGCGCAAAGTTAACTTCTGTTTTTGTTGGAATTGTCATAGTATATCCTTTTTCCTTCACTTTCTTCTCCTTCTCATCATCTGTGTTCCGTTTCAAGCCTTTTCTTTTGTCGGTGGGGTCGCACGGCTTTGTTAAATTATCGGTTTGTTCGCGGGTGCAAAGGACGTACCAATCATTAAAGTATTCGCCCCTCACAATGCCAGTAGTTTGGTCCGTTACGCCAAGGAGCTTTTCAGAGCAAATTGCGGGTTCGCATCGAGTGGGATTCTCAGTCCAGTCCCAGAAAGGAAGGGCAAATTCTTCATCCTTATTAATTTCCTGCAAGGTTCTCTCCCATGCCAACAAGTACAATCGATGCCATGAGAGAAATCCCTGACCATTGTGTGCAAAGTCAATATCAGATTCAGTCTTATTATGCGGTAAAATGGTGTCACGTGCAGCATAGTAATGCATCCACGTGAACAGGTCATAGTTAGTGACACCAGAAAAGAAGCGCTTTGGGTTCCCACCGTACATAACGGTTCTGTAGATCTTTTCGTAAGAAGTAGATGTAACCACGAAGTCACTTTGATCTCTCTTGGATTTTTCGACGTATGTCATGTATCGATCTTTCTCCCACCATTCCAGGCTTAGAAAATTTCTTCGTATCAAATTTTTCTTCTGCGTGCAGGTACTGCCATAGTAACCAAACGCGCATTTGCTGCAATCGTAACCTGCAAAGTTTGCGTTGCATTTGCAGACTTTGTAGTAAAGAGCACGCGGCCAGTTGTGTCTCTCGTCCTCCATCTGGAACGGTCGGTAATGGCTGTACTTAGATGTCCAATCACGAATGGTCAATGCCTGGCACTGTCCTCTGCCTCCATCGTAACCACATTGTGTGGTGAAGCCTTTAGGAGTAGGACAACATTTCTTGTCTCTCAGACTTCCCCGGTCAGTACAGACTCTGGGAAACTGGCCTTCAACCCTGGGTAAGGTGACAACAACCAAGACAAGGTATGCGATGATGGGGTAATCCATTTAATGATAGCCTCCAGCTCCCTGAAAGATAAAATTTAGGTCTTATTGTTATCTGTCCTCCGAGTGTAAACGTTCAACAATTATGTGAATCATAGATATATCTGTCTAATTTTAATAGTTCTAATAATAGTAATGATAATAATGATAAGAATTATAATAATGATGATGATGATGATGATAATAGAAATCATGAAAACTTTCAAATAGAGAGAAACTGGGTTTTTTATGTGTTTGTTTTGGAAGAAAAGATGAAACTCAAACATGAAAATTTGTTTTCTATAAACCTCACTGAGCCGGAAAAATGGTTGATTATTTTACACATTTTCTTTCGTATTTTATCTCACTAAAGGCCGAAGTTGATTGATCCATCTTGCAATAACTGTGTTTACAAATTTTAGGGCTACAAGCTCCGTGTGTCATTCGTCCATTCAATTTTTGTTTAAAATCAAAAATTGAAAATTGATGTCAAATTTTTTATTTTTTTCAATTTTGTTATAAGAAAAAAATATGAAAGTGCCAAATCGAAAATATTTGACATTTTTTCCTTTTGGTAGAATATTGAAACATAACGCATATTTTTACTTGAACCCTGTCAACAATGAGGAGAAAAATCAAACTGAGCGGCAATATTGCTTCTCCGACAATGTTGCAGTCTGTGGGGTGGCTTAGTTTTTCTGTTTTCGGCGGAAGTGTAAAATTTGAAAATTGAAAATTGTAAACAAAACCTCCTAACTGACCTCGAACTAAGGCCTTTCTTGTCGGGAAATCTTTCTTTTAGCAATAAGCTCACCTCGGAGCGTGTTTTTCGTTGAGTTATTACAAGATCCTTTATGTACTCAGCGCTGAAGTCGTTCACGTTCGGAAAAGTGACCACGCGGTAAATACGAATTTCCGCTTCCTCCTCCTTTCCAGAGAAGTGTAGCCTGGGAGGGGAGGGTAGGGGGCAGGGGCAGGGGCAAATAAATTCTCCCAGCGCATGAAGGGAAGCGGACCTACCTGGGGAGAGGGCGCTGGGGGAAAAATTAACGTGCGAATGGACCCCTTCCCCTCCCTCCTGGGTAGTTCTGTCAACAATTTGGAATGTTTTGTCCGAAAAACAAAAATTGAAAATTAATTGCAATTTTCAATTTTCAAATTTTAGACTTCCGAAAACAGAAAAAAACTAAGCCACCCCACAGAATGCAACATTGTTGGAGAAGCAAAAATTGCCGCTCAGTTTTTTCTCCTCATTGTTGACAGGATTAAAGTAAAAATATGCGTTATGTTTCAATATTCTACCAAAAGGAAAAAATGTCAAGTATTTTGGATTTGGCACTTTCGTATTTTTTCTGATGACAAAATTTTAAAAAACCAAAAATTGACATCAATTTTCAATTTTTGATTTTAAACAAAAATTGAATGGACAAATGACACACGGACCCTACAAGACCCTAAAAATGATTTAAAACTCTGGATCGCTAGTTTTTAGAATTTGAAAAGGGCCGGATGCCATCGAATCTTGAATAAATGTTTCTTTTTTACTCTTTTCATGTCACAAACGGTTGGATTATACATCTCGAAAAATTTGACCTGTACTCTCGATTATTCTGGTTCTTTTATTATTTACGCTGTAAGGTTACTCCTCGCATGAAAATCCTCATAACAATGAGCTGTAATTTCGCTTTATCTCAAGAAATTAGCAGTCATAACCAGCTTAATTTTCCTGTTTGTGATTTTAAAGGCAACAACTGTTCAGATCCAAAATCTCTGGTTTAATTCCTTCCAAGTGATCGAGATCCAGATTCCCGGAAACTTATCTTCCAGTTCACACTCGGCAATTATTATTCACATTCCGGGAATTAATCATGCAGCAGATTCAGACTACCTGACAAACGAGGTTAAGATGATATGAATTTTCTTAATGTCATGCGGGTTACCATTGTATGCTTGAAACACTATATAGTGTTTCTTTGTCGTCTCTCTGACCTAGTTTCCAATAACAATTTTCTGACAAGAATCCATCGCCGAAAATATTCACCAAAAGGTTAAGACTTCGAAATCCATTGCTGCTCGCTTGAGAAACTGATTTTCTTCGCAACGTTATTGGAAATAAAATTCTAGCGCAAAATATCTGCGACTTGAATCAATAGAAGAGTTCATCATATTAGGTCCTTAACTTACAAAGCCACATAATTGACGGCGATGCAACTGGGGTAATTTCATAGAATGGGTCAACTTTCCCAGAAAGCATTCCGATAGCATATGTGGCAAGTCTTACTTGTAAATATAATTTTCGGCCCAAAATCAAACTTCATTGCAAGAGACCGTTTCGCTACTTTGTCACGAAAGCCTCCTTCGATTTTAGTCAGAGCCTGAATTTCCTCTTTAGAAGCAACTCCCGAAGTCAATCCGCGATCGGCCTACAACAAAAGCATGCGTATTTCTGGTGAGGACTTTGACGAACTGAACATAGTTTGATCATCGGATGTTTGAGACATGTACATCGAGTACAATCCGCATTCTGTTTTTCGAATAGTTATCGTTTAAAATGTACCTTGGACATTGTTACAACAAGAGCAGTATATAAATCCTTTGTAGCGATCATGTTGTGAGCGCCTCTTCATTAAGATTGGAGCTTCGAGGTAAGACTACGTGTCTTCCTTGAGAACGAGTTTGATTAAAGCATACCTTCGTCTTCTTTAAAACTGCAAACATCGTTGTTCTTAAGATTTTGAAAGTTTCTCCTCTAAAAGGTTGTTCCTGTACGTCGCGAAGCTATTGACAAGTCGACTGAACAGTAAAACTAAATTACTATGAAACTATATCTCATCTATTTTGATGGATTCTTAGAAAAGGTTTCCTCAGAATGAGAGTACAGCGTACCTTTGTACTCAAGATTTCTTAGAACTCTAAGCGTCGTTACTAGACTTAAGACTCTCCTTATAAAATATACCTTCGGTAGACGCTGCCGAATTTTTCCTCTCCAAGCAGCCTGCTATAGTGCCGTCAGCTTTGCATGCGTCGGCGATTTGTACACAATGTGTTTTGTGTAGACCTCTGAATCGCTTCCAAGAATTCAGCAAACATAATCAACGAACTACATTATTTCATTCTACAAATTTCAAGTCAAGGCACGAAATAACATCCTAGCGAGCTTTAGATAGAGATCACTAAATTTATTTCAGAATTAATCGACATGATACAGCAGATGCGAAGGTATAAAGTCTGTACACGGTTTTCACTCATTCATCGAACATAAATAATATACCTTTCCGGGTATGCGCTGATCTTGTCAGCACTGCTGTATGAATATAAAATCAGTCTGTGTCATTCAGTTGTTTGTTGCTTGAAGGTTTTACAAAACTGTAACATGATGAATTGTATAGTTCATTGAAAATCTCTCCGAACTTCTCATATCTACCGAGAAGAAGGAAACTTAGAAACATACATAATCCGCGGCGCGAACTTCCCTCGCGGATCTAAAATCTTTGCACTAACACGGCAATCATTAGAGAAACATGATCAAAGTGTACCTGATCGACTGGCTTGTTAACTGTGTACTCGTAATGCTTCAGTTTCCTAGGACTGAAACTTTTAGTATCCTTTCCTGAGCGCTTCTTAAACCGAATAACGCGCTAATGCCCAAAGAACGTTGGAATGTATCGCGTGACTTTAGTTAGCCCAAGGTGTGGAGTGGTTGGCAGGGGGGTAGGAGATAGATTAGATACAAAATAAACGAGAAAGGGTAAAAATAATATAATGGGAAAGTGGGATCGCCAGGATTTCCCACCCTGATCCTGATCCTAAATACGCACTGGCGTAAATGCTGAGTTCAGAGTTCTCTCTCCAAGACGTGTTCTTACCATCGATCTGGAAGGAAAGAAACTAAATTTGTCATAACTTTGTCCAGAGACAAAAATGAAATGTTTGTTTAAGATCACTGAAACTTTCAATTTCTTGTGATATTGAAAATACTAACATTGGGGGAAGTGTGGAAAACACTCACGAATCAATGGATCTTTAAAGGATTGTCAGCAGCATATTTCCTCGAATGAGCGCCCACTCCTTAGCCCATAAATTGAAGTAACCGTTTCCCCCTTCCTCACTTTCTTAAATAGTGGTGATGCAAGGAAAACCTGTCTCTATCGCCACTTTATTTATAACTTTTTGAGCTTCAGTTCCCGAGTTTATTTTCCGTTCCACATATACCCGTCTTCGTGCGCTCGTAGAATTCCTCTATGTTTTTCACCTGTTCTGTTGATTTTTTTTGTCTTATCAGTGCGCTAACTTAATAAGTGCTCCCTCGGTAAAGCGACCTCCTACCAATAAGCGCCCGCCCCCCCATCACCCTTTTGGCCGAAATTAAATGACCGCCCGGGCGTTTGTTCGAGGAAATATGGTATTCACTTTTCCCAAATAAGGGGAAGGGGGGGCGTACCCCCGCCAGTGCGAAGTGTCATATCACGCCGGCTTTATCCCACGTGGTGAAACGACAATTTTGCCGGCTGGTTTTACGAATCTATTTAACCAATTCAAAACACGGACATTGCCTGAAAAACATTGGGCAAGCAGAGGAGTTCTGACTCTGATAATTAACTAGTCACACAAAAGTCGACCAAAAATACAATGGAAAGTAAAAAATTAATTCTCACCTTTTTCATCGACGTCTTGGTAATCATAACCGAACTCGAATGATTTCTTGAACATCTGTTGGTGAGTGTAAACCGGAAACAACGGCACAATGACGTCATCTCTGTTGTGACCAATGGGTGCATCGTTAGTGGATAGCACATTCGCATCCTTATTAAACTTCCGCAACCATTTTTCATAGATACGATCCACAAACGCGTGATGAAGAGCAAAGATCGGGTCGTTTGATGCCGAAGGTACGTCCGCCATTTCTCCTCCAAGAACTATGTGGACCCGGTTGTGCAAGTCGTGGACGTCAAAATGGTGACGACCAGTTTCGGTGCTGGCATAACCCTCTAGGATGTTTCTAAAACTGCAGCTGGAACTTTTGTTGTAGGGTGGGAGGTCAAAGGTTTCAAAACGGAGCGCGAAGTTAACTTCTGTTTTTGTTGGAAATGTCATATCATATCCTTTTTCCTTCATTTACTTCTCCTTCTCAACATCTGTGTTCCGTTTCAATCCAGCTCTTGTATCGGTAGGGTTACACGGCCTTGTTAGGTCATGGGTTTGTTCGCTGGTGCAAAGGACGTTCCAGTCATTCAAGTATTTGCCCCTCACAATGCCAGTAACTTGGTCTGTTACGCCAAGGAGCTCTTTAGAGCAAATTGCGGGATCGCATCGAGTGGTATTCTCAGTCCAGTCCCAGAAAGGAAGGGCAAATTCTTCATCTCCTCCAATTTCCTGCAAGGTTCTCTCCCATGCCAACAAGTACAACCGATGCCATGAGGGAAATCCCTGACCCTCGTGTGCGAAGTCGATATCAGATTCAGTGATATTATGAGTTAAAATGGTGTCACGTGCAGCATAGTAATGCATCCACATGAACAGGTCATAGTTAGTGACATTATAAAAGAAGGGCTTTGGGTCGCCACCCTCCATAACGGTTTTGTTTATCTCCTTGTAAGGAGTAGACGCAACCACGAAGTCACTTACTGAGTATTTGGAAATGTTGACGTACCTCATGTATCGATCTTTCTCCTCGGCTGTCAGGCTCAGAAAATTCCTTCGTATCAAATTTTTCTTCTGCGTGCAGGTACTGCCATAGTAGCCAAACGCGCATTTGCTGCAATCGTAACCTACATAGTTTGCGTTGCATTTGCAGACTTTGTGGTAAAGAGCACGCGGCCAGTTGTGTCTCTCGTCATGCATCTGGAACGGTCGGTAATGGCTGTAGCTAGATGTCCAATCACGAATGGTCAATTCCTGGCACTTTCCTCTGTCTCCATCGTAACCACATTCTATAGTGAAGCCTTTAGGGGTAGGACAACATATCTTGTCTCTCAGACTGTCCCGGTCAGTGCAGACTCTGGGAAACTGGCCTTCAACCCAGGGTAAAATGACGCCAACGAAGAGAATGTATGCGATGATGGGGTAACCCATTTTATGATCGACTCCCTGGGAGATAAAATTTAGGTCTTATTGATATCTGTCCTTCGAGTCTAGACGTTCAATAATTATGTGAAACATAGATATCTATGTCTAATTTTTAATGGTTCTAATAACAGTAATGACAATAATGAGAAGAATTATTGTAATAATGATGATGATGATGATAGAAATCATGAAACTTTCAAATAGAGAGTGTGTTTTTTGTGTTTGTTTTTGAAGAAAAGATCAAACTCAAAAATGAAAATTGTTTTCTATAAACCTCACTTGGTCAGAAGGAAAAGGTTAATTATTTTACACATTTTCTTTAGTTTTTTTTTATCTCATTAAAGCCCAAAGTTAATTGATCCGTCTTAAAATGACTGTGTTTACAAATTTTATGGCTACAATACCCTAAAACTCTGGACTCAAGACTCAAAACTCTGGACCGCTAGCTTTTAATCTAAAAAGGGCCGAATGTCATCAAAACCTTTGCTTCTTGAATAAATGTTTTTTTTATCAGTTTTTGTGTCACAAATGGATGGATTATGCATCTCGAAAAATGTCACCTGTACTCTTGTTTATTCTGGTTCTTTTAATATTAATGCTGTAAGGTTACTCGTCACATAAAAATCCGCGTAACAATGAGCCGTAATTTCGCTTTATCTCAAGAAGTTAGCAATCATAACCAGCTTAATTTTCTTGTTTGTGACTATGAAGGCAACAACTGTTCAGATCCAAAATCTCTGGTTTAATTCCTTTCAAGTGATCGAGATCCAGATTCCCGGAAACTTATCTTCCAGTTCAAACTACGCAATTATTATCCACATTCTGAGAATTATTCGTGCAGCATATCCAGACTAACAAACAAAGTTAAGCCGATATGAATTTTCTTAATGTCAAACGAGTTATCATTGTACGCCTGAAACATATCCTGTTTTTCTGTTGTCTCTGACCTTGCCCTAAAGATTTTTTGGCAACGAATCCATCACCGAAAATACTTAGCAAAACGTTTAAGAAAAGTTCATCACATCAGGTCCTCAACTTACAAAACCACATAATTGACGGCGACGCAACTAGATTAATTTCATAGAGAGCATTCCGTAAGTATAACGGTATACGGCATGTCATACTAGGAAATATAATTTTTCGGCCCCACATCAATCTTTTTTGCTAGAGACCGTTTCGTTATTTTGTCATGAAAGCCTCGTCCGATTTTAATCAGAGCCTCGTTCTCTCTTTAGAAGCAACTCCCGAAAATTACGAACCGAGACTCGGCAGTCCGCGATCGGCCCGTAACAAAAGCAAACGTATTTCTAGTAAGAACTTTGACGCACTGAACATAATTTGATCGCCGGATGTTTGAGAGCTTTGCATCACGTAGAATCCGCATTCTCTTAGCGAGCATTAGGTAGAAAACACTAAATTCATTTCAGAATTAATCGACATCACACAACAAAGGCGAAAGTACAAAATCTCCACGTGGTTTGTACTCATTGTTCGAACACGAATAACATAGCTTTCCGGGTATGCGCTCTTTTTGCCTGCCTGCTGTATGAAAATATCATCAGTCTGTGTCATTCAGAGGTTTGTTGCTTGAAGGTTTCACAAAACTGGTGACGCGTGCAGTTCATTGAAAATCTCTTTGAACTTCTCCTAGCTACCGATAGGAAGAAAACTTCGCAACATGCACAATCCGCGGCGCAGAACTTCCCTCGCAGAATTAAAATCTTTATGCGCTTTAAACGTGGAAGTAACACGGCATTCATGAGAAAAACATGATCATAGTGTACCTGATCGACTAGCTTGTTAACTGTGCACTTGTAGCGCTTCAGTTTCGTAGGACTGAAACTTTTAGTAAACGCTTCTTGAACCGAATAACACGCTAAAGCCTACGGAACGCTAGAATATATCAGGTGACTTGAGTAAATCCAATGAGGAGCCAGCATTGCTTCGTTGGTTAGGCTCTAGTCAGAAGCTAGCTTCATTGTTCGGCATGTCTTCAAATTATATGCGACTGTAAGTAGACAATCATGATCCGCTATTTTCACCGTTCTTAATTTTGAACAATTTTTCGCATTTGGCAGTCCGAAAGACAACCACACCATGTAGTTTTTTCTAATATTAATTTGGTAACATTGTTCCTCAAATCGGGAATTGTATTTGTTTTGCGATCGTTGTTGCGTCTCTGCTTCTGTGCGTGCGCACTATAAATAAAACAGAAACAAAACAAAACAAAACAGAAAACAACAAAAAGAAAAAGGCTTCGACGTGGTTCGAACTCATGCCTTTCCTGCCAAGTGAGTTTCGAAGCCACATTTTGAAAGCGAATTTCGTCCACACTGCAGAGTGGTTGACGGGGGGTTCTCTTCCCACCTTTGAAACGTTGAAAACTCGGTAAAGATATATTTGTAGTTCTTTTACTGCGTGGGATAGGTGAAAGTTCAAAAAAAGATGACCACGTCAAGAGCTATATTATAAAATTTAGTTAGATAAAAAATAAATGACTGGTAAGGAATTAGCTTGCGTGGGGGGTGCACAAAGTAAAGAGAAAAGGTAAAGTTTGTGTAAGGACGAAGTGTGATCGTTAGGATTTCCCAGCCAGATCCTGATCCTAAAATACGTACTGGCGTAAATGCCACCTTCCCACCTCACCACCGTCGTGCGTAAGGCACGCAGGTCAGCAAATAATAGACGAAGTTCACTCGTGGTCTCATTTAACCAACAAATAGACTTCAAATATCGAGATGTGCTGCTTATAAACGTGCATTTTCATATATAAAAAAAGAAGACCGTCTTCTTGAAGGCTTCGATACTTTTTTGTGTGGTTAGATTTTAAGGTTACTGTTTCTTGGATAGTCATTGTTTCAAATGTACCTTGAACATTATTACAACAAGAGCAGTATATAAATCCTTTGTAGCGATCATCTTATGAACGCCTCTTGATTAAGATCGGAGCGTCGAGGTAAGATCACGTGTCTTCCTTGAGAACGAACGAATCGTCTTCTTTAAAACTGCAAGTATCGTTGTTCTTAAGATTTTGAAAGTTTCTCTTCTTAAAGTTTGTTCTGTACGTCGTGGTGCTATTGAAAGTTGATTGAACACTAAAACTAAATTACACTGAAACTATATCTAATCTACTTTTTGATGGATCTTAGAAAAGGTTTCATCAATTAAAGTACAGCGTACCTTTGTTGTCAAGATTTCTTAGAATTGTAAGGCGTCTCTACTAGACTTTAGAGTCTCCCTGTAAAATATACCTTCGGTAGACGCTCCCGAATTTTTCTTCTCTCAGAAAACTGCTGTAGTGCCGTCAGCTTTGCATGCGTCGGCAATTTGTCCACTATGTGTTTCGTCTTGACCTCCGAATTGCCTCTAAGGATTCAGCTGACGTACTTGCCAAACTGCATTATTTCTGTTTTCATACTACAATTATCAAGTTAAGGCACGGAAAAGCATCATAATATAATATGGTTTTTTGGGAATGCACTATTTTTGCCTGTACTGCTGTGTATAAATATATAATTAGTCTAACATTCAGGTGTTGGTTGCTTGAAGGTTTCACAAAACTGTAACATAGTGACGAGTAAAGTGAAATATATCTTCGATGGACCCTGCAAACTTTTTTTTCTGTCAGAAGACTGCTGTAGTGCCTTCAGCTTTGCGTGCGTCGGCGACTTGTACACTGTGTTTTGTCTTGAGCTTTGAATTTCCTCCAGGATTCAGCAAACAAACTTGGCAAACTGCATTATTTCTGTCTTCATACTATAAATTTCAAGTCTAGGTACGGAATAACATCCTAACGAGCATTAGATAAAAATCACTAAATCTATTTCAGAATTAATCGACATCACACAGCAGATGCGAAGGTATAAAGTAACTCATTCATCGAACATGATTAATATAACTTTCCGGGTATGCGCTAATTTTTTTAGGACTGCTGTATGAATAAATAATCAGTTTGTATCATTCAGGTGTTTATTGCTTGCAGGTTTCACAAAACTGCAACATGGTGACGTGTATACTTCACTGGAAATCTCTCCGAACGTCCCCTATCTACCGACAAGAAGGGAACCTTAAAACATACATGATCCGCGGCGCGGAACTTCCCTCGCGGATGTAAAATCTTTACTCGCTTTAAACATGGAAGTAACACGGCAGTCATTAGACAATCATAATCAAAGTGTACCTTACCCAATGTGTGGAGTGGTTGATGGGAGGGGGGAGGGAGATTAGATACAAAATAAACGACTAGTGAAGAATTAGCTTGCGTGGACGGTGCACAAACTGAAGAGAAAGGGTTAAGTTGATATAAGGGCAAAGTGCGATCGCTAAGATTTTCCGGCCAGATCCTGATCCTAAAATACGCATTGGCGTAAATGCCGCCTTCCCACCCCTCCCCCGTCGCGCGTAAGGCACGCAGGTCAGTAAATAATGAACAAAGTTCACTTGTGGCCGTATTTAATAAAACGGTCGACTCAAAATATCGAAATGTGCTGCTTATAAACGTGCTTTTTCATATATAAAAAAAGAAGACCATCGTCTTCTTGAAGGCTTCGATGCTTTTTTTGTGTGGTTATATTTTAAGGTTACTTTACTCGACATACGAATCACTCGCTACTGTAATGTTCTTAATACTTCTTTACTAAGTTCAGCGCAGCTACACCCTTAAAAATGAACTCTTCTCTATTATATTGGGTATACTCAGTTATTCCTTCTAATCTGTCCAGACTTAAGTCCACTGTACTTCATACTACTGTACATTATCGTACTGTGCTCTATTCTACGACTCTACCACTTCTACTCTTCTCTTCCTTCCTCCTCACTTCTTCTCTCTTAGCCTGTTCCAGCCTCTCAATCAGCAAAGACGAGCGAAAAAGCGAATACACGAAAAATGGCGCGCGCGATAACTTCCTGACAAGAGGGCGTAATCTGCAGACGTCTCCCTAGTAACTGCAAGCGCCGCGTTCCGCTTACTTCAACACAGCGGTCCAACGTCTCTAGATGTGCGCAGGATGTAATTACTACGTGGGGTGCTGTCAGAAACGAGTTGCAGCCGTCTTTGTTTTTGTTAAAATTAAAACGGAAAGGTGAATCAACGGAATAACAGTACTTGAATAAGCTTTGTGTTCGAAAATTATCGAGTTTTCTCTTACCCTACTTTTATTTCCTTCTACAGATTACGATGCACGTTTCAATTTTCTTTCGCTTATTTTGCGAGACAGGAGCTGTTCCTTAAGTTTTCCATTGAGCGGGAAAATGGCGCGCGGCCTGCCAGAATTGATCCCCTCGCGCACACCCGACGTTTGACCGCTGTGTTGCTTGCTTCCCGGTTTTCCCACACCCACTATTTCACGCATCTCTGCTTACTAAGAGTCTAACGCAGGCTAATTCTCTCCACTCCCTGTCTTCAATCAGCCAACAGTAGCTGCCATACTAACATGACTGACATCAGCCACCAACACATTAGCTTTCCAGGCGGTGCAGAGTCAGGAGGTGGACAAGTTGGACAAGTTGGAGAAGTTGGACAATCTCCCAAAGACTTTGATTCTTCTTCTTTCTCGTCATCAGGAGACCTGCCTAAACAACGATACTTTTTTGTGAATTTTGGAGAGCAAGATTTTTAGTGGACAAATTACACAGGATATGAGAGGAGAGACGAGGAATGGTGGAAAGCGGAGGAGTTGGAATTAAGTGAATGGGTAAGTACACTCCTCAGAGTTCTCTCTCCAAGACGTGTTTCCACCATCGTACTAAAAGGCAAAAACAAAATTTGCCATAACTTTGCCCAGAGAAAAAAATGAAATGCTTCTTTAATATAACTGAAACTTCCAGTTTATTGTGATACTGAAAATACCAATATGTGGGCAAGTGGAAAACATTGACGAATTAAAGGAATTTTAGAGGATTATAAGCACCGTATTTCCTCGAATAAGCACTCACCCCTTGGGTCATAAATTAAAGTAACCGTCCCCCCTCCTCACTTTATTAAATAGTGCGTATTGCCACTTTATCTACACTTTTTGAGCTTCAGTTCATGACTTTCTCTTCCGTTCCAGATATTTCCGTCTTCATGCGCTTGTAGAATTCCTTTATGTGTTTTACCTGTTCTTTTGATTTTTCTGTCCTATCAGTGCGCTAACTTAATTAGCACCTACTCGGTACCAATATACGCCCCCGCCCCACCCCACCCTTTTAGTCGAGATTTTATGAGCGCTCGGGCGTTTGTTCGAGGAAATACAGTATTCACTTTTCCCAAATAACGGGGGAAAAGGGAAGGAGGGGGGGGGGGGCGTACCTGCACCTCCTGCACCTGTAGACCCCATCTACAGATGCATGTGCACCCCATCTCACGCGGTGAAACGACAATTTTGCCGGCTGGTTTTACGAATGTACTTAACCAATTCAAAACACGGACATTGTCTAAAAAAGATTGGGCAGGCAGTGGAGTTCTGTCTCTTATAATTAACTAGTTAAATGAAAGTCAACCAAAATATAATGGAGGCAAAAAATTAATTCTCACCTTTGTCATCGACGTCTTGGTAATCATAACCGAACTCGAAAGACTTCTTGAACATCTGTTGGTGAGTGTACACCGGAAACACCGGAACAATGACGTCATCTCTGTTGTGACCAATGGGTGCATTGTAAGCAGATAGCACATCCGCATCCTTATTAAACTTCCGCAACCATTTTTCATAGATAAGATCCACAAACGTGTGTTGAAGAAGAAAGATCGGGTCGTTTGTTGCAGCAGGTACTTCAAACATTTCTCCTCCAACATTTATGTGGACCCGGTTGTGCAAGCCGTGGATGTTAGGAAGGCGAAAACCAGATTCGCTGCTAGCATAACCCTCTAGGATGTTTTCAAAATTGCAGCTAGACTCTTTGTTGAAGGGTGGGAGGTCAAAGGTTTCAAAACGGAGCGCGAAGTTGACATCTGTTTTTGTTGGAAATGTCATTGTAAATCCTTGTTCCTTTCTCTTCTCCTTCTCATCATCTGTGTCCCGTTTCAATCCAGCTCTTGTTATGTTAGGGTAACACGGCTTTGTTAAATCACTGGTTTGTTTGTTGGTGCAAAGCACGTACCAGTCATCCAAGTATTTGCCCCTTACGATGCCAGTACTTTGGTTCGTTACACCAAGCAGCCCTTCAGAGCAAATGGCGGGGTCGCATTGAGTGGGATTCCCAGTCCAGTCCCAGAAAGGAAGGGCAAATTCTTCATCGTTTCCAATTTCCTGCAAGTTTCTCTCCCATGTCAACAAGTACAACCGATGCCATGAGGGAAATCCCTGACCATCGTGTGCGAAGTCGATATCAGATTCCTTTTTACCATCAGGTGAAATGGTGTCACGTGCAGCATAGTAATGCATCCACGTATAGAGGTCATAGTTAGTAACGTTATAAAAGAAGTCCTTTGGGTCGTCACCCTCCATAACAGTTTTGTTTATCTCCTCGTAAGAAGTAGACGTAACCACGAAGTCACTTACATAGTGCTTGGACATGTTGACATACCTCATGAATCGATCTTTTTCCTCGGCTGTCAGGCTCAGAAAATTTCTTCGTATCAAATTTTTCTTCTGCGTGCAGTTCTTGCCGTAGTAACCAAAGGCGCATTTGCTGCAATCGTAACCTGCATAGTTTGCGTTGCATTTGCAGACTTTGTGGTAAAGACCACGGGGCCAGTCGTGTCTTTCGTCATTCATCTGGAACGGTTGGAAATGGCTGTACTTGATTGTCCAGTCACGAATGGTCAATTCCTGGCACTTTCCTCTGTCTCCATCGGAACCGCATTGTGTGGTGAAACCTTTAGGGGTAGGACAACATTTCTTGTCTCTCAGACTGCTCCGGTCAGTGCAGACTCTGGGAAACTGGCCTTCAACCCAGGGTAAAGTGACAACAACAAAGACAAGGTATGCGATGATGGGGTAACCCATTTTATGATCGACTCCCTGAAAGATCAAATTTAGGTCTTGTTGTTATCTGTCCTTCGACTCTACACGTTCAACAAAATTCGTGAAACAACGATATACTCGTTGATCGAACATAAATAATAAGGCTTTTCATGAATGCACTCTTTTTGTCTGCACTGCTGTATGATTACACAATCAGTCTGTGTCATTCAGGTGTTAGTTGCTTGAAAGTTTCACAAAACTGCAACATGGTGACGTGTTTAGTTCGCTGAAAATCTCTCCTAACTTCTCCTAGCTACCGACAAGAAGAGAACCTAGCAACATACAAAATCCGCGGCGTGGAACTTCCCTCGCCAAATTAAAATCTTCGTGTGTTTCAAACGTGGAACTAACACGGCATTCATAAGGAAAACAAGATCAAAGTGTACCTGATCGACTAGATTGTTAACTGTGCACTCGTAATGCTTCAGTTTCTTAGGACTGAAACTTTTGGTGTCCTTTCCTTAACACTTCTTGAACCGAATAACGTGCAAACGCCCATGGAACGCTGGAATATATCGCGTTATTTTAGTTTATCCAGTGGGGAGTTAGGAATGCTTCATCGGTCAGCTAGCTTCATTGTTCGGCATGTTTTGATCTCAATATTTGTTAGAATTCTAAGCGTATTTACTAGACTGTAGAGTCTCCCTGTAAAATATATCGGCGGTGGACGCTCCTAACTTTTTCTTCTCTCAGAAGACTGCTGCATTGCCGTCAGCTTTGCATGCGTCGGCAATTTGTACATTTTATGTTTCTTCTTGACCTTCGAAATGCCTCCAAGGATTCAGCAAACACACTTGTCAAACTGCATTATTTCTGTCTTCATACTACAAATTTTAAGTCAAAGCGCGGAGTAACATCCCAGCAAGCATCAGATAGAAATCACTAAATTTATTTCAGAATGAATCGACATGACACAGCAGATGCGAAGGTACAACATCTCTACACGGTTTCATTCATTGTTCGAACATGAATAATGTAGCTTTCCGGGAATGCGCTATTTTTGTCTGCACTGCTGTATGAATATATAATTAGTCTGTGACATTCAGGTGTTTGTTGCTTGAAGGTTTCACAAAACTGTAACACGATGACGAGTTAAGTGAAATATATCTTCGGTAGATGCTGCAAACTTCTCTCAGAAGACTTCTGCAGTGCCTTCAGCTTTGCATGCGTCGGCGATTTGTACACCATGTGTTTTCTCTTGACCTTCGAATTACCTCCAGGATTCAACAAACATACTTGTCAAACTGCATAATTTCTGTCTTCAAACTATAAATTTCAACTCAAGGTAAAGAATAACAGCCTAGCGAGCATTAGATAGAAATACCTAAATTCATTTCAGAATTAATCGATATCACACAGCAGATGCGAAGGTACAAAGTCTCTACACGGTTTTTTACTCGTTGATCGAAAATAAATAATGAGGCTTTCCGTGAACTTCCCTCGCCAAATTAAAATCTTCGTGTGTTTCAAACGTGGAACTAACACAGCATTCATAAGGAAAACAAGATCAAAGTGTACCTGCTCGACTAGATTGTTAACTGTGCACTCGTAATGCTTTAGTTACTTAGGACTGAAACTTTTGGTATCCTTTCCTGAACACTTCTTGAACCGAATAACGCGCCAACGCCTACGGAACGCTGGAATATATCGCGTTATTTTAGGTTACCCAGTGGGGAGTTAGGAATGCTTCATCGGTCAGCTAGCTTCATTGTTCGGCATGTTTTGTTCTCAAAAAATTTTAAGATTCTAAGCGTCTTTACTAGACTTTGGAGTCTCCATGTAAAATATATCTTCGGTAGACGCTGCTAACTTTTTCTTCTCTCAGGAGACTTCCGTAGTGCCGTCAGCTTTGCATGCGTCTGCGATTTGTACACTATTGTTTCGTCTTTAATCCGAATTGCCACTAAGGATTTGGTAAACGTACTCGTCAAACTACATTATTTCTGTCTTCATTCTACAAATTTCAAGTAAAGGTGCGGAATAACATCCCAGCGAGCATCAGATAGAAATCACTAAATTTATTTCACAAATAATCGACATGACACAGCAGATGCGAAGGCACATCTCTACACGGTTGCACACATTGTTCAAACATGAATAATGTACCTTTCCGGGAATGCGCTATTTTTGTCCGCACTGCTGTATGAATATATAATTAGTCTGTGACTAGGTATTAGTTGCTTGAAGGTTTCACAAAACTGTAACATGGTGTTGAGTAAAGTGAAATATATCTTCGGTAGACGCTGCAAACTTTTTTTCTGTCAGAACACTACTGTAGTGCCTTCAGCTTTGCATGCGTAGGCGATTTGTACACTGTGTTTTGTTTTGAGCTCCAAATTGCCTACAGGATTCAGTGAACATACTTTACGGCAAACTGCATTATTTCTTTCTTCATACTACAAATTTCAAGTCAGGGTGCGGAATAACATCCTAGCGAGCATTAGATAGAAATCACTAAATTCATTTCAGAATTAATCGACATCACGCAGCAGATGTGAAGGTACAAAATCTCTACACGGTTTACACTCGTTGATCGAACATAAATAGTAAGGCTTTCCGGGAATGCGCTCTTTTTATCATGCACGCGTATTTCTGGTAAGGACTTTGACGAACTGAACATAGTTTGATCATTGGATGTTTGGGACATGTGGATCGAGTACAATCCGCATTCTGTTTTTGGATAATCATCGTTTAAAATGTACCTTGAACATTATTACAACAAGAGCAGTATATAAATCATTTGTAGCGATAATCCTATGAGCGCCTCTTCATTAAGATTGGAGCGTCGAGGTAAGACTATGTGTCTTCCTTGAGAAGGAGTTTAATTAAAGCATACCTTCGTCTTCTTTAAAACTGCAAGCTTCGTTGTTCTTAAGATTTTGAAAGTTTCTCCTCTTAAAGTTTGTTCCTGTTCGTCGCGGTGCGATTGACAGGTCGATTGAACAGTAAAACTAAATTACAGTGAAACTCTATCTCTCATCTATTTTTATGGATTCTTAGAAAAGGTTTCCTCAAAATGAGAGTGCAGCATACCTTTGTAATCAAGATTTCTTAAAACTCTAAGCGTCTTTACTAGACTTAAGACTCTCCTTGTAAAATATACCTTCGGTAGACGCTGCCGAATTTTTCGTCTCTCAGAAGACTGCTGTAGTACCGTCAACTTTGCATGCGTTGGCGATTTCTACACAATGTGTTTTGTGTAGACCTCTGAATCGCTTCCAAGAATTCAGCAAACATAATCAACGAACTACATTATTTCATTCTACAAATTTCAAGTCAAGGCACGAAATAACATCCTAGCGAGCATTAGATAGAGATCACTAAATTTATTTCAGAATTAATCGACATCACACTGCAGATACGAAGGTACAAAGTCTCTACACGGTTTGCACTCATTGATCGAACATAAATAATAAAGCTTTCCGTGAATGTGCTCTTTTTGTCTGCACTGCTTTATGAATACACAATCGGTCTGTGTCATTCAGGTGTTAGTTGCTTGAAGGTTTCACAAAACTGTAACATGGCGACGTGTTTAGTTTGTTGAAAATCTCTCCTAACTTCTCTCCTAGCTACTGACAAGAAGATAACCTAGCAACATACAAAATCCGCGACGCGGAACTTCCCTCGCCAAATTAAAATCTTTGCACTTTTCAAACGTGGAACTAATACGGCATTCATAAGGAAAACAAGAACAAAGTGTACCTGATCGACTAGCTTGTTAACTGTGCACTCGTAATCCTTCAGTTTCTTAGGATTGAAACTTTTGGTATCCTTTTCTGAACACTTCTTGAACCGAATAACGCGCCAACGCCCACGGAATGCTGGAACAGATCGAATTATTTTAGTTTACGCAGTGGGGAGTTAGGAATACTTCTTCGGTCTGCTGGCTTCATTGTTCGGCATGTTTTGTTCTCAAGATTTCTTAGAATTCTAAGCGTCTTTACTAGACTTTAGAGTCTCCCTGTAAAATATATCTTCGGTAGACGCCGCTAACTCTTTCTTCTCTCATGAGATTGCTGTAGTACCGTCAGCTTTGCATGCGTCGGCGATTTGTACACTGTATGCTTCGTCTTTAATCCGAATTGCCACCAAGGATTCAGCAAACGTACTTGTCAACTGCGTTATTTCTGTCTTCATGCTACAAATTTCAAGTCGAGCATCAGATAGAAATCACTAAAAATTATATCAAAATTAATCGGCACCACACAGCAGATGCGAAGGTATAACATCTCTACAAGGTTTGCACTCATTGCTCGAATATGAAAAACATAGCTTTCCGGAAATGCGCTATTTTTTGTCTTCACTGCTGTACGAACATGTGTAGCATGATGACGAGTAAAGTGAAATATATCTTCGTTAGACGCTGCAAACTTTTTCTCTGTCAGAAGACTGCTGTAGTGCCTTCAGCTTTGCATGCGTCGGCGATTTGTACACTTTGTTTTGTTTTGAGCTCCGAATTGTCTCCAGGATTCAGCAAACACACTTAACAAACTGCATTATTTCTGTCTTCATACTATAAATTTCAAGACAAGGTACGGAATAACATCCTAGCGAGCATTAGATAGAAATCGCTAAATTCATTTCAGAATTAATCGACATCACACAGCAGATGCGAAGGTACAAAGTCTGTACACGGTTTTCACTCGTTGATCGAACATAAGTAATAAAGCTTTACGGGAATGCGCTCTTTTTGTCTGCTTTTCTGTAGGAATACACAATCAGTCTGTGTCATTCAGATGTTAGTTGCTTGAAGGTTTCACAAAACTGTAACATGGTGACGCGTTTAGTTCGTTGAAAATCTCACCTAACTTCTCCTAGCTACCGATAAGAAGGGAACCTAGCAACATACATATTCGCGGCGCGGAACGTCCCTCGCCGAGTTAAAATCTTTGCGCACTTCAAACGTGGAAGTAGCACAGCATTCATAAGGAAAACAAGATCAAAGTGTACCTGAAGGACTAGCTTGTTAACTGAGTACTCGTAATGCTTCAGTTTCTTGGGACTGAAACTTTTGGTATCCTATCGTGAACACTTCTGGAACTGAATAACGCGCCAACGCTCACAGAACGCTGGAATATACCGCATGATTTTGGTTTACCCAATGAGGAGTTGGCCATGTTTCGTTGGTCAGGCTCAAGTTGGTGGCTAGCATCATTGTTCGGCATGTTTCCAAAGTAGATGCGACTGTTATCAGGCGTTCATGATGCGGTGTTTTCACTGTTCGTAATTTCTTACAATTTTTGTCCGAAAGACAACCCCAGTCCATACCATGGGTTTCTTGTTTGAAGCAATAGACTGTCTGTAGTTTTCTCAAGTATTATTTTGGCAACATTGTTGCTCAAATCGGAAATTACATTTTTTTACGATCGTCATGCGTGTCTGTGCGTGCGCGCTATGGTGGAAATGAGTGTGGAAGGGTGGGAAGATGACGATATCTCGTTTTAAGCGCGAATTTTTAAAGCAAATTACAAGGTATTGTGCGATTGTGGCTAATGCGGTACAGAGTAACGTTCTTACCTATATCGTTCTGTCCACAACCAAAAAGGTAACGTATTTTCTTCCCCCAAAAAGGGGCGCAGTTTGGTAAATATTTAACTCAACAATCTACTGCTTATAGGGCACACATATGTCTAATTTTGCTTCGTTGTCAAGAACTTGGGGTCCGAGCGCAATGTGAGAAATTACATGAATAATACAGCAATGATTACTGCCACATTCGACCCAGGTCAACAGAACCTTTTTTTTTGGTTATTTAGATTATTCCTCTGTACAAGGACACAAATGTTATTTTGCAAATGTTTTTTAGACGCAAGTTCTGATGTCTCCTTGAGTAGTAGTTTGACAGAAGTTCATTACTTTTAATGAAGCAACAACTTTTGGTTGTTTCATCATTTTCTCTTCGCACTCCGACTTTCGTGATCCCTGGAAAAAAATAAAAAATAAATAACAAGTAGCAAATAGAATGAGTAAATTTTCGCTGAGGAGTATTTCCGGATTGATTCTGTAGGTTCTGGAAGGTATTACTAAATAATTTGGTTTTTTCAACTATTTTGATAGGGTAAATTGGCCACTGTAAAGAGTTTCTAAAACTGACGTTTCGACAAAAGGGAAAACGCTCGAAACGTCAGCTTTTTAAAACTCTTTCCGGCGGCCAATTTACCTTATCAATTCTGTTGATAAAATCAAATAATTTTATTCACAAATAGCTTAATTTATCGATCGCACCAGCTGTAAGGACACTTGTTCCTCGCACAAAAGCCACACGAATCTATCTATCTACACGTAGGCTATATTCACCCGGCCAACTGTCTACTTCCCCGCCTCCACCCCTCCCCTCACTTTTTACTGTCGCTCACCCCCTTGATACAAATTTCTTTCTCTCCCCAGCCTTCCTCTGCCATTTAAATCAAAGCTGGCGGCCATACTTGTCGCTTAGAAAATACCGAGCACTCGCTCTCCAAAACTACGCATGCTCTGCAGGGTACACAATGATAGCAAACAAAGAATACTCATGTTATAGTTTCGTATATGTATCATTGAAACAGGTTCGAAACTAAAATTGGCTTTGTCTTGCTAAAAACCATGCTGTCAACTAATTCTTTAACCCTCTTATTTCCTAACCTCGCTTTTATTCAATGATTTGGTTCCATTTCCAAAAATGTAACTGGCAGAGAAAGATATTTTCGTATTGTAAAGAGCGCGGAACAAATAAAAAACTTTTTGAGTTTTCATGAGGAATCGAACCTCAGACCGTCGAATTCCGCGCTCCGATGCAGTACCACTGAGCCACATAGACTTTAAAGCAAGCTAAGTCATTACGAGTCCTATGCTGGTGACAAGACGAGATAACATATTTCTCGACTTCACTTCAGAACGTATCCTTTACGATATTTCTTATTCTGTTTTCACACAAAGTAAATGATCGATTATCATCAGAGTTTGAAGTATATAATACCTTGATCTGGAGGGTTCGTCTAACGGCTTCCTTCCTTTTTAAGCCTCTGTAAGAAACTTATCCAAACCAAAAAGGTCTTCCTCTTCCTTTTCAAACTGAACCGGCCCACCACGCCGCTGACCACGATCTGCGCCAGCAAATACCTTGTCAGGCTATTATTAGCTCACAGCCTTCTGAAGTAAAACTTCTTCAGTGTATGTTCATTCGCTTGCCGGCAATTGATCTTAGAATAAATTTTTATTTTCTTCCTCGAGCTACATTTGCAAAGTTACAACAAAAATCAAATGTAATTAGCTCTACTACTTTACATCATCCGCGCAAACCAGTTCAATAAGTTTACCTCTCCTTAATACAGTACATAAATACACATGTACAACCATCAGCCACAACTGCCAATCTCACCTTTCGTGGCTGGTTCTTCTGGTTTTTCTTCCGATTCTACTTGCTCTGATACTGGATCTTCGACAGCCGGCGTTTCTTCTCTTTCATCGGGAACGTTTTCACCTTCTGGGGGTGGCTCGTCTTTTGTAATGTCATCCAAATATGGTGTAGTCGAAGAGACATCCTCCTCATCCTCCGTGCCTGATGAGAAATCTACCAAGTCTCCTGTTTCTGGTGAAGCGGACTCTGACATTGTAAAACTCAATATCCACAAACGTTTACGCCTGACCTCCTATATGACACTTTTAAACTTTAAGTAAAAGGACCAGAAAGTTAGATCTTACGCAAGGACGAAATTTAGAAGTGACGGTGGATTGTGTTTTCAAAACTCACACTGGCGCAATTTTCTACGAGTCGCCATATTTGGGAAAGCAGATGTGAACGGACCAATCAGAGTAGTCATTATAATTCTCTTTCAATATTCCTCCAAATAAGGAAGTCTCAAAGTTCAAAGTGAACCCAGAGCGATCTACTGCTTTTTTTCTTTTTTTCTTTTTATTCTTCAGCAGAAAAAAATACAATCTGATAGAGTTTATTAATTCAGATCGAAAACTCGCTTCGGGGACCACAAACTTATATACGAAATGATCCTCGTGTGAACAGCGATAAAGGAAGTTGCAAAAATAGGAAAAATGAAAAATTTCAGGCTTCGCTACGACGGGATTCGAACCTGTTCCTCCCAGAATACCGGACATATGGTTTTTACTACCTCCTAAGATTCGAAACCACATATCACAAAAGAGGACAATTTAGGCAGTTTTTTATTTTTTCCTTGATACTGAACGCGATTAATTTTAGTCGGACTTGGAGGTGAAAAAAAAAAAAGGATCATGACAAAGATGAACTGAAATAAGGGAAAGAGAAGCCTAAAAGATTATCGGTTTCAACTGGGTTTGAACTATGCCTTCCAAACACTAGCTGGGTGCTAATATCAACTGAGCTAATAACGCCAAACCACAGGCATTTTGGAAGCTCTCGTGTAAAAACAAACAAACAAAAACAAAACAGAAAACAACAAAAAGAAAAAGGCCTCGACGTGGTTCGAACTCATGCCTTTCATGCAAAGTGAGTTTCGAAGCCACATTTTGGAAGCGAATTTCGTCCAAAGTGTGCAGCGGTTGGCGGGGGGGGGCGAGGGGTAGGGGGTAGATTAGATACAAAACTACGACTTGTGAAGAATAGGCTTATGTGGCCGGTGCACAAAGTGAAGAGAAAGTTGATCTAAGGGCAAAGTGCGATCGCCAGGATTTCCCAGCCAGATCCTGATCCTAAAATACGCACTGGCGTAAATGCCGCCTTCCCACCCCTCCCTCGTCGTGCGTAAGGCACGCAGGTCAGTAAATAATAAACAAAGTTCACTCGTGGTCGCATTTAACCAACAAATAGACTTCAAATATCGAGGTGTGCTTCTTATAAAAGTGCTTTTACATATATAAAAAAAGAAGACCGTCTTCTTGAAGGCCTTGATGCTTTTTTTGCGTGGTTATATTTTAAGGTTACTTTACTCCACATACGAATCACTCGTTACTGTAATGTTCTTAATACTTCTTTACTAAGCTCAGCACAGCTGTACTCCTAAAAAATTAACTCTTTTCTCCTGTATTGGGTATGCTCAGTTATTCCTTCTAATCTTCCCAGGCTTAAAGTCCACTGTACTTCATACTACTGTACATTATTGTACTGTGCTCTATTCTACGACTCTACCATTTCTACTCTTCTCTTCCTTCATCCTCACTTCTTCTCTCTTAGCCTGTTCCAGCCTCTCAATCAGCGAAGACGAGCGAGAAAGCGAACACGCGAAAAATGGCGCGCGCTTCAACTTGCAGGCAAGCTGGCGTGATCTGCAGACGTCTCCTTGGTAACCGCAGCCGCCGCGTCCTGCTTATTTCAACACAGCGGTCCAACGTCTGCGCATGTGCGCAGGTTGTAATTACCACGTAGAGTGCTGTCAGAAACGAGTTACACACAGCCTCACATGCAAGTGAGTCGAGGTGTTTTGCAATCGTCTTTGTTTTTGTTAAAGATTAAAACGGAAAGGTGAATCAAAAGGATACCCTTACTTGAATTAGCTTCGTGTTCTAAAATTATCGAGTTTTCTTTCCCTACTTTATTTCCTCTTACAGATAACGATGCACGTATCAATTTTCTTTCGCTTATTTTGCGAGACAGGAGCTGTTTTTATGTTTTTTTAGAAATTTTGCGCGGGAAAATGGCGCGCGGCTTGCCAGAATTGATCCACCCGAGCACATCTGACGTTTGACCGCTGTGTTGCTTGCATCCCAGTTTTCCCACACTCACTATTTCACGCATCTCTACTTACTAAGAGCCTAAGACAGGCTAATTCTCTTCACTCCCTGTCTTCAATCAGCCAATAGCAACTGCCATACTAACATGACTGACATCAGCCACCAACACATTAGCTTTCCAGGCGCTGCAGATTTAGGAAGGTTAGGGTAGTATTTAGCTTGTGGACAATCTCCCAAAGACTTTGATTCATCTTCTTTCTCGTCACCAGGAGACCTGCCTATTCAAAGATACTTTCTTGTGAATTTTGGGTATCAAGAGTGATAGCGGACAAACTACACAAGATATGAGAGGAGAGACGAGGAATGGTGGGAAGCGGAGGAGTTGGAATTAAGTGAATGGGTAAGTACACTCCTCAGAGTTCTCTCTCCAAGACGTGTTCTTATCATCGGACTAAAAAGGCAAAAACACAATTTTCCATAACTTTGCCCAGAGGAAAAAAATGAAATGCTTGCTTAAGATCACTGAAACTTTTAATTTATTGTGATATTTAAAATATCAACATTGGGGGATGGAGACCGCTTACGAATTAATGGAATTTTAAAGGATTATAAGTTTCGTATTTCCTTGAATAAGCACCCACACCTTAGGCCATAAATTGAAGTAACCGTCCTCCCTTCCTCACTTTCTTAAATAGTGGTGATGCAAGGAAAACCTGTCTCTTCGCCAGCTACGCTCATGCAAAGTGTCCTGTTGCGCACTCAATCCCCCACGGTGAAACGACAATTTTGCAGGCTGGTTTTACGAATCTATTTAACCAATTCAAAACACGGACACCAAAATACAATGGAAAGCAAAACATTCATTCTCACCTTTCTCATCGACGTCTTGGTAATCATAACCGAACTCGAAAGACTTCTTGAACATCTGTTGGTGAGTGTAAACCGGAAACAACGGCACAATGACGTCATGTCTGTTGTGACCAATGGGTGCATCGTAAGTAGATAGCACATTCGCATCCTTATTAAACTTCCGCAGCCATTTTTCATAGATACGATCCACAAACGCGTGATGAAGAGGAAAGATCGGGTCGTTTGATGCCGAAGGTACGTCCCCCATTTCTCCTCCAACAACTATGTGGACCCGGTTGTGCAAGCCGTGGACGTTAGGAAGGCGAAAACCAGTTTTGGTGCTAACATAACCCTCTAGGATGTTTCTAAAATTGCAGCTAGACTCTTTGTTGAAGGGTGGGAGGTCAAAGGTTTCAAAACGGAGCGCAAAGTTGACATCTTTCTTTGTTGGAAATGTCATAGTATATCCTTGTTCCTTCACTTTCTTCTCCTTCTCATCATCTGTGTTCCGTTTCAATCCATCTCTTCTGTCATCAGGTTCACACGGCTCTGTTAGGTCAAAGGTTTGTTCGCGGGTGCAAAGGACGTACCAGTTATCCAAGTATTTGCCCCTCACGATGCCAGTAGTTTGGTTTGTTACACCAAGGAGCTCTTCAGAGCAAATTGTAGGGTCGCATTGAGTGGGATTCCCAGTCCAGTCCCAGAAAGGAAGGGCAAATTCTTCATCGTTTCCAACTTCCTGCAAGGTTCTCTCCCATGCCAACAAGTACAACCGATGCCATGAGGGAAATCCCTGACCATCGTGTGCGAAGTCAATATCAGATTCAGTGATATCATGAGGTAAAATGGTGTCACTTGCAGCATAGTAATGCATCCACGTGAACAAGTCATAGTTCGTGATATTATGTCACTTTGTCATGAAAGCCTCCTTCGATTTTAGTCAGAGCCTGAATTCCTTCTTTAGAAGCACTCCCGAAGTCAATCCGCCATCGGCCTACAACAAAAGCTTGCGCATTTCTGGTAAGGACTTTGACGAACTGAACATAGTTTGATCATCGGATGGTTGCGACATGTGCATCGAGTAGAATCCGCATTCTGTTTCTTGGATAGTCATCGTTTGAAATGTACCTTGAACATTGTTACATCGAAAGCAGTACATAAATCCTTTGTAGCGATCATCTTGTGAGCGCCTCTTGATAAAGATTGGAGCGTTGAGGTAAGACTATGTGTCTTCCTTGAGAACGAGTTTAATTAAAGCATACCTTCGTCTTCTTTAAAACTGCAAGCTTCGTTGTTCTTAAGATTTTGAAAGTTGCTCCCCTTAAAGTTTGTTCCTGTACGTCGTGGTACTATTGACAAGTCGACTGAACAGTAAAACCAAACTACAGTGAAACTCTATCTCTCATCTATTTTCATGGATTCTTAGAAAAAGTTTCCTCAGAATGAGAGTACAGCGTACCTTTGCACTCAAGATTTCTTAAAACTCTAAGCGTCTTTACTAGACTTAATACTCTACTTGTAAAATATACCATCGGTAGACACTGCCAAATTTTTCTTCTCTCAGAAGACTGCTGTAGTGCCGTCAGCTTTGCATGCGTCGGCGATTTGTACACCATGTGTTTTGTCTAGACCTCTGAATCGCTTCCAAGAATTCAGCAAACATACTTGACGAACTACATTATTTCATTCTACAAATTTCAAGTCAAGGCACGAAATAACATCTTAGCGAGCATTAGATAGAGACCACTACACAGCAGATGCGAAGGTACAAAGTCTCTGCATGGTTTTCACTCATTCATCAAACATAAATAATATAACTTTCCGGGTATGCGCTAATCTTGTCAGCACTGCTGATATAATCAGTCTGTGTCATTCAGGTGTTTGTTGCTTTAAGGTTTCACAAAACTGTAGCATGGTGACGCGTATAGTTCATTGAAAATCTCTCTGAACTTCTCCTATCTACCGAGAAGAAGGGAACCTGGCAACATACATAATCCGCGGCGCGGAACTTTCCCCGCGGATAAAAAATCTTTGCGCACTTCAAACGTGGAAGTAACGCGGCAATCACTAGAAAATCATAATCAAGGTGTACCTGATCGACTACCTTGCTAACTTTGCACCCGTAGCGCTTTTGTTTCCTAGGACTGAAAGTTTTGGTATCCTTTCCCGAACGCCCCTTGAACCAGATAACGCGCTTATGCCCACGGAACGCTGGAATGTATCGCGTGACTTTCGTTTACCCAATGTGTGGAGTGGTTGGCGAGGCGGGGGGGGAGGGGGGCGGATAAGGGGTAGATTAAATACAAAATAACGACTGGTAAAGAATTAACTTGCGTGGCCGATGAATGGGGGCCTGTGAAGGGCAAAGTTGATGTAACGGCGATGTGTGATCGCCAGGATTTCCCACCCGGATCTTGTTATCCTAAAATACGCACCGGCGTAACTGCCGCCTTCCCACCCCACCCCCGTCGTGTGCAAAGCACGCGGGTTAGTAAATAATAGATAAGATAGAGATAAGATAAGATAACTTTATTTATACACGGTATTTCCATCAGTTGTTAATTATCTATAAAGGTATATCTATCTTCCTAACTGTAATAAAATCTAATAATAACAATTCAAATAAAAGAAACAAATAAAAAATCTGCTTTTCATGGAGGCCGTATCTAAAATTTACTTAAAATTAAGATATTACTTTAAACTGTGGCGACTTAATTTAGATTTGAAATCGGTCAGTGAAGACGCTTGTCTTAGGTCTAAGGGTAAGTCGTTCCACAAGTGAGCTCCGCTGTACAAAAAACTTCTCTTAAGATAATCAGTTCGAGGTTGTGGAAGAACTAATTTGTTTTCCGTATTCCTTAAACGATAAGCACTTATATTGTCACGATATACAAATCTTGATCTCAGATAATCTGGTGTCATACCATGTAAAGTTTTATACATTAAGATAGATTTTTGTTCCAATCTTTGATAGTAGAGTCTTCGCCACCCTAGTGCCCGGAACAAATCATCTAAATTACTATCATAGCTCGCAGACATTAGGATGCGAGCTGCCCGATTTTGAAACCTTTGCAGTTTTTCAGAAAGGCCCTTGTTACAGTTTCCCCACACTACATTACAATAATCAAAATGTGGTTGAACAAGGCTATTGTAGACTTTAATTAGAACATTAAATGGAGTGAGGTGCCGAATTCGTTTAATTGCACCAATGGCACAAGCTATCTTCTTAGAGATGTTTTCAATATGACACTCCCAGTTGATATTTTGATCGACATAAACTCCAAGGGACTTAGCGGAGGTTACTTGTTCTATTGCGATTTCGTTTATAGTAAGAGAAGGACTTTCCGTAAATTGTGATAACTTCTGCCTTGATGCAATAAGCATAAACTCAGTTTTTGTCATATTTAGCGTAAGCTTGTTAGCACTCAGCCATTCGTACACATTACTCAGGTCGTAATTAAGGCAATAATTTATATGATCAAAGTCAGTACTGGCAAGCGTCAGGCTGGTATCATCTGCGTACATTCTGGGTTCCGAATATGTCAGACAATGTGGTAAGTCATTAATATATATTAAAAACAGAAGGGGTCCCAAAATTGTTCCCTAGGGAACACCACATCTTAGATATTTCGGAGTTGACTTACAAGAATTTATATGGCAAATCTGTGTTCGATTATCTAAATAAGAAGCAAACCATTGATGACTGGTCCAACAAATCCCATAGTATTGCAATTTTCGTAGCAAAATATCGTGATCTACTGTATCAAATGCCTTTTTGAGGTCTAAAAACACTACGGCATTAACAAGACCACGGTCTAAATCCATTGCCCAACTATCTGTAGCTTCGATAAGTGCTGTGAGCGTGGAATGCAAAGACCGAAAACCAGATTGATGGCACGAGAGAAAGTTGTTGTTAGTTAAATAACGATAAAGCTGATCGTAAATTATCCGTTCAAAGACTTTGGCCACAACTGGAATTATTGATATTAGTCGATAATTAGTCGGATCAGAGCGCTTCCCAGAATTTTTATACAATGGAGTGACTCTGGCAGATTTCCACTCATCGGGAAAGATGCCAGTCATTATGGATTGATTGAATAGATGAGTAAGAGATTCCGCTAGAACATCAGGACATTCCCTTAGAAGTTTTGCTGAGATATTATCTAATCCAGTTGCCTTTGACTTGCAAAGCTTTGATAGTAGTGCAAAGACATGTGTTGGTATTGTTTTTTCAAAAAAAAAAAAACAAAAACAAAATTTTATCAGTTTCAATAAGAAATTCTTCGAAGGATTTATCAACTTCTGACACTTCTCTACTAAGGCCTGGCCCAATTTCTGTGAAAAAGGAGTTTAGCATTTCTGCTATATCCGTTTGATCTCCAGAATTTACCCCATTATATTCCATCTCATTAATAACAGTTTTAGTGGACTTTCGTGAGGTCAGTTCATTGATTGTTTTCCATGTTTTCCTTTGATCTCCACAACAATTGTTGAAGGCATTTTCATAATAAGCTTTTTTCGCACTATTAATTTCCCCGTTAACTTGATTTTTAACTATTCGAAATTGGTCCCAAATAACTGGATCCTTTGTCTTAATAGCCTTTCTTTTGAGGCGGTCTCTGAAATTCATCCGCTTTTTCAGAATAGTGGTTATCCATGGGGATTTAGAATCTCGTGTCCGTTTGGTCTTCGTCGGTGCGTGCTTTTCACATACATTCAGGAATAGACACAGTTCACTCGTGGTCGCATTTAATCAAAAAATAGACTTTAAATATCGAGATGTACTAATATAACGCGCCTTTTCATATGTAAAAAAAAGAAAACCTTCGTCTTCTTGAAGACTTTGGTGCGTTTTTGAATGGTTAGATTATGAGATTACTTTACTTCACATGCGAATCAGTCGCTTCTGTAATGTTCTTAATACTTCTTTACTAAGCTCAGCACAGCTAAACTCCTAAAAAATTAACTCATCCCTCTTATATTGTTTATTCTCAGTTATTCTTTCTAATCTTTCCAGACTTAAGTCCACTGTACTTCATGCTACTGTACATTATCGTACTGTGCTCTATTCTACGACTCTACCACTTCTACTCTTCTCTTCCTTCACCCTCACTTCTTCTCTCTTAGCCTGTTCCAGCCTCTCATCAGCGAAGACGAGCGAAAAAGCGAACACGTGAAAAATGGCGCGCGAGTTAACTTGCAGGCAAGCGGGCGTAATCTGCAGACGTCTCCGTAGTAACTGCAACCACCGCGTCCCGCTTGCTTCAACACAGCGGTCCAACCTCTGCGCGTGTGCGCAGGTTGTAATCACAACGTGAAGTGATGTCAGAAACAAGTTACACAGCCTCGCATTCAAGTGAGTCGAGGTGTTTTGCAACCGTCTTTGTTTTTGTTAAAGATTAAAACGGAAAGGTGAATCAACAAGATATCCGTACTTGAATAAGCTTCGGGTTCGAAAATTATCGAGTTTTCTTTTTCTCTACTTTTATTTCCTTCTACAGATTACGATGTACGTTTCAATTTTCTTTCGTTTATTTTGGGAGACAGGAGCTGTTTCTTAAGTTTTTCTATAAAGTTTTGCGTACAAAAATGGCGCGTGGCCTGCCAAAATTGATCCCCTCGCGCACGCCCGACGTTTGACCGCTGTGTTGCTTGCTTCCTGCCCCCCCTTCTATTTCACGCATCTCCACTTACTAAAAGCCTAAGGCAGGCTAATTCTCTCCACTCCCTGTCTTCAATCAGCCAACAGTAGCTGCCATACTAACATGACTGACATCAGCCACCAACACATTAGCTTTCCAGGCGCTGCAGATATAGGGGGGCAAGTTGGACAATCTCCCAAAGACTTTGATTCATCTTCTTTCTCGTCATCAGGAGACCTGCCTATTCAAAGATACTTTCTTGTGAATTTTGGATAGCAACAGTTATAGTGGACAAACTACACAGGGTATGAGAGGAGAGACGAGGAATGGTGGGAAGCGGTGCAGTTGAAATTAATATAAATGAATGAGTATAGACACCCCTTCAGAGTTCTCTCTCCAAGACATGTTCTTACCATCGGACTGGAAGGCAAGAAAATAAATTTGCCATAACTTTTCCCAGAGGAAAAAATGAAATGCTCGTGTAAGATCACTGAAACTTTCAATTTATTGTGATATTTAAAATACCAACACTGGAGGAAGTGGAAAACACTCACGAATTAATCGATCTTTAAAGGATTATAAGTACCCTTTTATGTGCTTTACCTGTTCTTATAATTTTTTTTCTCATCAGTGCGCTAACTTAATAAGCGCCCCCTCGGTAAAGCACTCTCCTATCAATAAGCGGCCTCCCCCTTCCCCCATCACCCTTTTAGCCGAAATTTTATGAGCGCCAAGGCGTTTGTTCCAGGAAATACGGTATTCACTTTTCTCAAATAAGGGGGGGAGGGGGTGGGGGGCGTACCCGCACCTTTGGACCCCCGCCAATGTCATATTGCGCACCCCATCCCACGCGGTGAAACGACAATTTCGCCGGGTGATTTTAAAGATCTATTTAACCAATTCAAAACACGGACATTGCCTGAAAAAGATTGGGCAGGCAGAGGAGTTCTGACTCTCATAATTAACTAGTCTCATGAACGTCAACCTAAATACAATGGAAAGCAAAATATTCTTTCTCACCTTTTTCATCGACGTCTTGGTAATCATAACCGAACTCGAAAGACTTCTTGAACATCTGTTGGTGAGTGTAAACCGGAAACAACGGCACAATGACGTCATCTCTGTTGTGACCAATTGGTGCATCGTAAGTAGATAGCACATTCGCATCCTTATTAAACTTCCGCAACCACTTTTCATAGATACGATCCACAAACGCGTGATGAAGAGGAAAAATCGGGTCGTTTGATGCCGAAGGTACGTCCCCCATTTCTCCTCCAATAACTATGTGGACCCGGTTGTGCAAGACGTGGACGTCAGGATGACGACAACCAGATTCGGTGCTGGCATAACCCTCTAGGATGTTTTCAAAATTGCAGCTAGACTCTTTGCTGAAGGGTGAGAGGTCAAAGGTTTCAAAACGGAGCGCGAAGTTGACTTCTGCTTTTTTTGGAAATGTCATATCATATCCTTTTTCCTTCTCTTTCTTCTCATTCTCATCATCTGTGTTCCGTTTCAAGTCATATCTTTTGTCGGTGGGGTCGCACGGCTTTGTTAGATCCTCGGTTTTTTCGTACAAAGGACGTACCAGTCATTAAAGTAATCTCCCTTTACAGTGCCAGTAGTTTGGTCCGTTACGCCAAGGAGCTCTTTAGAGCAAATTGCTGGGTCGCATTGATTGGGATTCCCAGTCCAGTCCCAGAAAGGAAGGGCAAATTCTTCATCGTTTCCAACTTCCTGCAAGGTTCTCTCCCATGCCAACAAGTACAACCGATGCCATGAGGGAAATGCCATGAGGGAAATCCCTGACCATCGTGTGCGAAGTCGATATCAGGTTCCTTTTTATCATGAGGTAAAATGGTGTCACGTGCAGCATAGTAATGCATCCACGTGAACAGGTCATAGTAAGTTACATCATAAAAGTAGGACTTTGGGTCGCCACCCTCCATAACGGTTTCGTTTATCTTCTTGTAAGGAGTAGACGTAACCACGAAGTCACTTGCATACTTCTTGGACCTGCTGACGTAATTCATGTATCGGTCTTTCTCCTCGGCTGTCAGGCTTAGAAAATTTTTTCGTAACAAATTTTTCTTCTGCTTGCAGGTACTGCCATAGTAGCCAAACGCGCATTTGCTGCAATCGTAACCTGCAAAGTTTTCGTTGCATTTGCAGACTTTGTAGTAAAGAGCACGCGGCCAGTTGTGTCTCTCGTCCTCCATCTGGAACGGTCGGTAATGACTGTACTTAGATGTCCAATCACGAATGGTCAATGCCTGGCACTGTCCTCTGCCTCCATCGTAACCACATTCTATATTGAAGCCACTAGGAGTAGGACAACATTTCTTGTCTCTCAGGCTGTCCCGGTCAGTACAGACTCTGGGAAACTGGCCTTCAACCCAGGGTAAAATGACGACAACAAAGACAAGGTATGCGATGCTGGGGTAACCCATTTTATGATCGACTCCCTGAGAGACAAAATTTAGGTCTTATTGTTATCTGTCCTCCGAGCCTAGACGTTCAACAATTATGTGAAACATAGATATCTCTGTTTAATTTTTAATAGTTCTAATAATAGTAATGACAATAATGATAAGAAATATAATAATGATGATGATGATGATAATAGAATCATGAAAACTTTCAAGTAGAGAGAAACTGGGTTTTTTCTGTGTTTGTTTTTGAAGAAGAGGTGAAACTCAAATATGAAAATTGTTTTCTATAAACCTCACCGAGCCAGGAAAAAAGGTTGATTATTTTACACATTTTCTTTCGTATTTTATCTCACTAAAGTCCGAAGTTAATTGATCCATCTTGCAACGACTGTGTTTACAAATTTTAGGGCTACAAGACCCAAAAAATGATTTAAAACTCTGGATTGCTAGATTTTAGAATCTTAAAATAGCCGGATGCCATCGAATCGTGAATAAATGTTTCTTTTTTATTCTTTTCATGTCACAAACGGTTGGATTATGCATCTCGAAAAATTTGACCTGTACTCTCGATTATTCTGGTTCTTTTATTATTTATGCTGTAAGGTTACTCCTCGCATGAAAATCCTTATAACAGTGAGCCGTAATTTCGCTTTATCTCAAGAACTTAGCAATCATAACCAGCTTAATTTTCTTGTTTGTGATTTTAAAGGCAACAACTGTTCAGATCCAAAATCTCCTGTTTAATTCCTTTCAAGTGATCGAGATCCAGATTCCCGGAAACTTATCTTCCAGTTCACAAAAGGCAATTATTATTCAAATTCTGGGAATTAGTCATGCAGCATATGCAAACTACCCAACAAATGACCTTAGGTTGATATTAATTTTCTTAATGTCACACGGGTTATCACTGTATGCTCTTTGTTGTCTCTCTGACCTAGTTTTCAATAACAATTTTTTGGCAACGAATCCATCACCGAAAATATTGACCAAAAGGCTTAAACTTCGAAATCCATTGCTGCTCGCTTGAGAAACTGATTTTCTTCACAACGTTATTGGAAATAGGCGGCTTTTCTGGCGCAAAACATCTGCGACTTGAATCAATGGAAGACTTCATCATGTCACAAAACCACATAATTGACGGCGATGCAACTGGATCATGTAATTTCATAGAATAGGTCAACTTTCCCAGAAAGCATTCCGTAAGCAAGTCTTAATTGTAAATATAATTTTCGGCTCAAAATCAAACTTTATTGCAAGAGACCGTTTCGCTACTTTTTCACAAAAACCTCCTTCGATTTTAGTCAGAGCCTGAATTCCCTCTTTAGAAGCAACTCTCGAAGTCAATCCGCGATCGGCCTACAACAAAAGCATGCGCATTTCTGGTAAGGACTTTGACGAACTGAACATAGTTTGATCATCGGGTGTTTGAGACATGTGCATCGAGTACAGTCCGCATTCTGTTTCTCGAATAGTTATCGTCTAAAATGTACCTTGGACATTGTTACCACAAGAGCAGTATATAAATCCTTTTTAGCGATCGTGTTGTGAGCGCCTCTTCATTAAGATTGGAGCTTCGAGGTAAGACTACGTATCTTCCTTGAGAACGAGTTTGATTAAAGCATACCTTCGTCTTCTTTAAAACTGCAAGCTTTTTTGTTCCTAAGATTTGAAATTTCTCCTCTTAAAGTTTGTTACTGTACGTCGCGGTGCTATTGACAAGTCGACTGAACAATAAACCTAAATTACAATGAAACTATATCTCATCTATTTTGATGGATTCTTAGAAAAGGTTTCCTCAGAATGAGAGTACAGCGTACCTTTGTACTCAAGATTTCTTAGAACTCTAAGCGTCGTTACTAGACTTAAGACTCTCCTTATAAAATAAACCTTCGGTAGATGCTGCCGAATTTCTATTCTCTAAGAAGCCTGTTATAGTACCGTCAGCTACAAATTTACAATCTACAAATTTCCAAATCTACAAATTTCAAGTCAAGGTATGAAATAACATCCTAGCGAGCATTAGATAGAGATCACTACATTTATTTCAGAATTAATCGACATGATACAGCAGATGCGAAGGTATAAAGTCTGTACACGGTTTTCACTCATTCATTGAACATAAATAATATACCTTTCCGGGTATGCGCTAATCTTGTCAGCACTGCTGTATGGATATAATGAGTCTGTGTCATTCAGGTGTTTGTTACTTGCAAGTTTTACAAAACTGTAACATGATGAATTGTATAGTTCATTGGAAATCTCTCCGAACTTCTCCTATCTACCAAGGAGAAGGGAACTTAGCAACATACTTAATCTGCGGCGCGGAACTTCCCTCGCCAATGTAAAATCTTTGCTCGCTTCAAACATGGAAGTAACACGGCAATCATTAAAGAAACATGATCAAAGTGTACCTGATCGACTAGCTTGTCAACTATGCACTCTAAATGCTTCAGCTTCTTAGGACTGAAACTTTTAGTATCCTTTCCTGAACGCTTCTTAAAACAAGTAACACGCTAATGCCCACAGAATGCTGGAATATATCGCGTGACTTAAGTTTACCCAATGTGTGGTTGTCGTCTCTCTGACCTAGTTTCCAATAACAATTTTCTGTCAAGAATCCATCACTGAAAATATTCACCAAAAGGTTAAGACTTCGAAATCCATTGCTGCTCGCTTAAGAAACTGATTTTCTTCACAACGTTATTGGAAATAAAATTCTAGCGCAAAATATCTGTGACTTGAATCAATAGAAGAGTTCATCATATCAGGTCCTTAACTTACAAAGCCACATAATTGACGGCGATGCAACTGGAGTAATTTCATAGAATGGGTCAGCTTTCCCAGAAAGCATTCCATAAGCATATACGGCAAGTCTTACTTGTGAATATAATTTTCAGCCCAAAATCAAACTTTATTGCAAGAGACCGTTTCGCTACTTTGTCACGAAAGCCTCCTTCGATTTTAGTCAGAGCCTGAATTTCCTCTTCAGAAGCTACTCCCGAAGTCAATCCGCGATCGGCCTACAACAAAAGCATGCGTATTTCTGGTGAGGACTTTGACGAACTGAACATAGTTTGATCATCGGATGTTTGAGACATATACATCGAGTACAATCCGCATTCTGTTTTTCGAATAGTTATCGTTTAAAATGTACCTTGGACATTGTTACCACCAGAGCAGTATATAAATCCTTTGTAGCGATCATGTTGTGAGCGCCTCTTGATTAAGATTGGAGCTTCGAGGTAAGACTACGTGTCTTCCTTGAGAACGAGTTTGATTAAAGCATACCTTCGTCTTCTTTAAAACTGCAAGCTTTTTTGTTCCTAAGATTTGAAATTTCTCCTCTTAAAGTTTGTTCCTGTACGTCGCGGTGCTATTGATAAGTCGACTGAACAATAAACCTAAATTACAATGAAACTATATCTCATCTATTTTGATGGATTCTTAGAAAAGGTTTCCTCAGAATGAGAGTACAGCGTACCTTTGTACTCAAGATTTCTTAGAACTCTAAGCGTCGTTACTAGACTTAAGACTCTCCTTATAAAATATACCTTCGGTAGACGCTGCCGAATTTTTCCTCTCCAAGCAGCCTGCTATAGTGCCGTCAGCTTTGCATGCGTCGGCGATTTGTACAGAATGTGTTTTGTGTAGACCTCTGAATCGCTTCCAAGAATTCAGCAAACATAATCAACGAACTACATTATTTCATTCTACAAATTTCAAGTCAAGGCATGAAATAACATCCTGGCGAGCATTAGATAGAGATCACTACATTTATTTCAGAATTAATCGACATGATACAGCAGATGCGAAGGTATAAAGTCTGTACACGGTTTTCACTCATTCATCGAACATAAATAATATACCTTTCCGGGTATGCGCTAATCTTGTCAGCATTGCTGTATGGATATAATGAGTCTGTGTCATTCAAGTGTTTGTTGCTTGCAAGTTTTACAAAACTGTAACATGATGAATTGTATAGTTCATTGGAAATCTCTCCGAACTTCTCCTATCTACCAAGGAGAAGGGAACTTAGCAACATACTTAATCTGCGGCGCGGAACTTCCCTCGCCAATGTAAAATCTTTGCTCGCTTCAAACATGGAAGTAACACGGCAATCATTAAAGAAACATGATCAAAGCGTACCTGATCCACTAGCTTGTCAACTATGCACTCTTAATGCCTCAGTTTCTTAGGACTGAAACTTTTAGTATCCTTTCCTGAACGCTTCTTAAAACAAATAACACGCTAAAGTCGCGTGACTTAAGTTTACCCAATGTGTGGTTGGCGGGGGTAGATTAGATACAAAATAAACGACTTGTGAAGAATTAGCTTGCGTGACCGATGCACAAAGAGAAGAGAAAGGGCAAAGTTGATGTAAGGGCAAAGTGTGATCGCCAAGATTTCCACCCTGATCCTAATCCTAAAATACACACTGGCGTAAATGCCGCCTTCCCACCCCTCTCCCGTCGTGCATAAGGCATGAAGGTTAGAAAATAATGGACAAAGTTCACTTGTGGTCGCATTTAACCAACAAATAGACTCAAAATATCGAGATGTGCCGCTTATAAACGTGCTTTTTCATATAGAAAAAAATAAGACCTTCGTCTTCTTGAAGGCTTCGATGCTTTTTTGTGTTGTTATATTTTAAGGTTACTTTATTCCACATAAAAATCACACGCTTCTGTAATGTTCTTAATACTTCTTTACTAAGCTCCGCACAGCTGCACTCCTAAAAATTTAACTCGTCTCTCTTATATTAGGTGTACTCAGTTATTCCTTTCAATCTTTCCACACTTAAGTCCAATGTAATATATACTACTGTACATTATTGTACTGTGCTCTACTCTACGACTCTACCATTTCTACTCTTCTCTTTCCTCCTCCTCACTTCTTCTCTCTTAGCCTGTTCCAGCCTCTCATCAGCGAAGACGAGCGAAAAAGCGAATACGCGAAAAGTGGCGCGCGCGTTAACTTGCAGGCAAGCGGGCGTAATCTGCAGACGTCTCCCTAGTAACTGCAACCGCAGCGGCCCGCTTGCTTCAACACAGCGGTCCAACGTCTGCGCATGTTCACAGGTTGTAATTACTACGTGAAGTGCTGTCAGAAATGAGTTATACACAGTCTCACATGCAAGTGAGTCGAGGTGTTTTGCAACCGTAATCAACAAGATACCCGTACTTGAATAAGTTTCGCGTTCGAAAATTGTCGAGTTTTTTTTTCCCTACTTTTATTCCTTCTACATAGAACGATGTACGTTTCAATTCTCTTTCGCTTATTTTTCAAGACAGGAGCTGTTTTTCATGTTTTCCTATGAAATTTTGCGCAGGAAAATGGCGCGCGGCCTGCCAGAATTAGTCCCCTCGCGCGAACCCGACGTTTGACTGCTGTGTTGCCTGCTTCCCGCTTTTCCCACACCCACTATTTCACGCATCTCCACTTACTAAAAGCCTAAGGCAGGCTAATTATCTCCACTCCCTGTCTTCAATCAGCCAAGAGTAGCTGCCATAGTAACATGACTGACATCAGCCACCAACACGTTAGCTTTCCAGGCGCTGCAGATTTAGTTGGACAATCTTGCAAAGACTTTGATTCACCATCTTTCTCGTCATCAGGAGACCTGCCTATTCAAAGATACTTTCTTGTGAATTTTGGATAGCAACAGTTATAGTGGACAAACTGCACAGGGTATGAGAGGAGAGACGAGGAATATTGGGAAGCGGAAGAGTTGGAATTAAGTGAATGGGTAAAGACACTCCTCAGAGTTTTCTCTCCAAGTGTTCCTACCATCGGTCTGGAAGGCAAGAAAATAAATTTGCCATAACTTTTCCCAGAGGAAAAAATGAAATGCTTGTTTAAGATCACTAAAACTTTCAATTTATTTTGACATTTAAAATACCAACATTGGGGAAATGGAAAACACTCACGAATTAATGCAATTTTAAAGGATTGTTATAAGTACCGTATTTCCACGAATAAGCGCCAACCCCTTAGGCCATAAATTGAAGTAACTGTCATCCCCCTTCCTCACTTTCTTAAAAAGTGGGGATGCAAGGAAAACCTATATCTATTGCCACTAAATCTATAACTTTTTGAGCTTCAGTTCTCGAGTTTCTTTTCCGTTCCAGATATTTCCGTCTTCATGCACTTGTAGAATTCCTTCATGTGTTTTACCTGTTCTTTTGATTTTTTTGTCCTATCAGTGCGCTAACTTAATAAGCGCCTTATAGCCGAAATTTTACGAGCGCCTCTATTTGAACAATTCAAAACACGGACATTGCCTGAAAAACATTGGGCAGGCAGAGGAGTTCTGACTCTGATAATTAACTAGTCTCATGAGAGTCAACCAAAACTACAATGGAAAGCAAAATGTTCATTCTCACCTTCTTCATCTACGTCATGGTAATCATAACCGAACTCGAAAGACTTCTTGAACATCTGTTGGTGAGTGTAAACCGGAAACAACGGCACAATGACGTCATCTCTGTTGTGACCAATTGGTGCATCGTAAGTGGATAGCACATTTGCACTCTTATTAAACTTCCGCAACCATTTTTCATAGATACGATCCACAAACGCGTGATGAAGAGGAAAGATCGGGTCGTTTGATGCTGAAGGTACGTCCCCCATTTCTCCTCCAACAACTATATGGATCCGGTTGTGCAAGACGTGGACGTCAGAATGGTAACGACCGGTTTCGGTGCTGGCATAACCCTCTAGGATGTTTTTAAAATTGCAGCTGGAACTTTTGTTGTAGGGTGGGCGGTCAAAGGTCTCAAAACGGAGCGCAAAGTTAACTTCTGTTTTTGTTGGAATTGTCATAGTATATCCTTTTTCCTTCACTTTCTTCTCCTTCTCATCATCTGTGTTCCGTTTCAAGCCTTTTCTTTTGTCGGTGGGGTCGCACGGCTTTGTTAAATTATCGGTTTGTTCGCGGGTGCAAAGGACGTACCAATCATTAAAGTATTCGCCCCTCACAATGCCAGTAGTTTGGTCCGTTACGCCAAGGAGCTTTTCAGAGCAAATTGCAGGGTCGCATCGAGTGGGATTCTCAGTCCAGTCCCAGAAAGGAAGGGCAAATTCTTCATCCTTATTAATTTCCTGCAAGGTTCTCTCCCATGCCAACAAGTACAACCGATGCCATGAGAGAAATTCCTGACCATTGTGTGCAAAGTCAATATCATATTCAGTCTTATTATGCGGTAAAATGGTGTCACGTGCAGCATAGTAATGCATCCACGTGAACAGGTCATAGTTAGTGACACCAGAAAAGAAGCGCTTTGGGTTCCCACCGTGCATAACGGTTCTGTAGATCTTTTCGTAAGAAGTAGATGTAACCACGAAGTCACTTTGATCTCTCTTGGATTTTTCGACGTATGTCATGTATCGATCTTTCTCCCACCATTCCAGGCTTAGAAAATTTCTTCGTATCAAATTTTTCTTCTGCGTGCAGGTACTGCCATAGTAACCAAACGCGCATTTGCTGCAATAGTAACCTGCAAAGTTCGCGTTGCATTTGCAGACTTTGTAGTAAAGAGCACGCGGCCAGTTGTGTCTCTCGTCCTCCATCTGGAACGGTCGGTAATGGCTGTACTTAGATGTCCAATCACGAATGGTCAATGCCTGGCACTGTCCTCTGCCTCCATCGTAACCACATTGTGTGGTGAAGCCTTTAGGAGTAGGACAACATTTCTTGTCTCTCAGACTTCCCCGGTCAGTACAGACTCTGGGAAACTGGCCTTCAACCCTGGGTACGGTGACAACAACCAAGACAAGGTATGCGATGATGGGGTAATCCATTTAATGATCGCCTCCAGCTCCCTGAAAGATAAAATTTAGGTCTTATTGTTATCTGTCCTCCGAGTGTAAACGTTCAACAATTATGTGAATCATAGATATATCTGTCTAATTTTAATAGTTCTAATAATAGTAATGATAATAATGATAAGAATTATAATAATGATGATGATGATGATGATAATAGAAATCATGAAAACTTTCAAATAGAGAGAAACTGGGTTTTTTATGTGTTTGTTTTGGAAGAAAAGATGAAACTCAAACATGAAAATTTGTTTTCTATAAACCTCACTGAGCCGGAAAAATGGTTGATTATTTTACACATTTTCTTTCGTATTTTATCTCACTAAAGGCCGAAGTTGATTGATCCATCTTGCTATAACTGTGTTTACAAATTTTAGGGCTACAAGCTCCGTGTGTCATTCGTCCATTCAATTTTTGTTTAAAATCAAAAATTGAAAATTGATGTCAAATTTTTTATTTTTTTCAATTTTGTTATAAGAAAAAAATATGAAAGTGCCAAATCGAAAATATTTGACATTTTTTCCTTTTGGTAGAATATTGAAACATAACGCATATTTTTACTTGAACCCCTGTCAACAATGAGGAGAAAAATCAAACTGAGCGGCAATATTGCTTCTCCGACAATGTTGCAGTCTGTGGGGTGGCTTAGTTTTTCTGTTTTCGGCGGAAGTGTAAAATTTGAAAATTGAAAATTGTAAACAAAACCTCCTAACTGACCTCGAACTAAGGCCTTTCTTGTCGGGAAATCTTTCTTTTAGCAATAAGCTCACCTCGGAGCGTGTTTTTCGTTGAGTTATTACAAGATCCTTTATGTACTCAGCGCTGAAGTCGTTCACGTTCGGAAAAGTGACCACGCGGTAAATACGAATTTCCCGCTTCCTCCTCCTTTCCAGAGAAGTGTAGCCTGGGAGGGGGAGGGGCAGGGGCAGGGGCAGGGGCAAATAAATTCTCCCAGCGCATGAAGGGAAGCGGACCTACCTGGGGAGAGGGTGCTGGGGGAAAAAATTAACGTGCGAATGGACCCCTCCCCCTCCCTCCTGGGTAGTTCTGTCAACAATTTGGAATGTTTTGTCCGAAAAACAAAAATTGAAAATTGATTGCAATTTTCAATTTTCAAATTTTAGACTTCCGAAAACAGAAAAAAACTAAGCCACCCCACAGACTGCAACATTGTTGGAGAAGCAAAATTGGCGCTCAGTTTTTTCTCCTCATTGTTGACAGGATTAAAGTAAAAATATGCGTTATGTTTCAATATTCTACCAAAAGGAAAAAATGTCAAGTATTTTGGATTTGGCACTTTCGTATTTTTTCTGATGACAAAATTTTAAAAAATCAAAAATTGACATCAATTTTCAATTTTTGATTTTAAACAGAAATTGAATGGACAAATGACACACGGACCCTACAAGACCCTAAAAATGATTTAAAACTCTGGATCGCTAGTTTTTAGAATTTGAAAAGGGCCGGATGCCATCGAATCTTGAATAAATGTTTCTTTTTTACTCTTTTCATGTCACAAACGGTTGGATTATACATCTCGAAAAATTTCACCTGTACTCTCGATTATTCTGGTTCTTTTATTATTTACGCTGTAAGGTTACTCCTCGCATGAAAATCCTCATAACAATGAGCTGTAATTTCGCTTTATCTCAAGAAATTAGCAGTCATAACCAGCTTAATTTTCCTGTTTGTGATTTTAAAGGCAACAACTGTTCAGATCCAAAATCTCTGGTTTAATTCCTTCCAAGTGATCGAGATCCAGATTCCCGGAAACTTATCTTCCAGTTCACACTCGGCAATTCTTATTCACATTCCGGGAATTAATCATGCAGCAGATTCAGACTACCTGACAAACGAGGTTAAGATGATATGAATTTTCTTAATGTCATGCGGGTTACCATTGTATGCTTGAAACACTATATCGTGTTTCTTTGTCGTCTCTCTGACTTAGTTTCCAATAACAATTTTCTGACAAGAATCCATCACCGAAAATATTCACCAAAAGGTTAAGACTTCGAAATCCGTTGCTGCTCGCTTGAGAAACTGATTTTCTTCGCAACGTTATTGGAAATAAAATTCTAGAGCAAAATATCTGCGACTTGAATCAATAGAAGAGTTCATCATATTAGGTCCTCAACTTACAAAGCCACATAATTGACGGCGATGTAACTGGAGTAATTTCATAGAATGGGTCAACTTTCCCAGAAAGCATTCCGATAGCATATGTGGCAAGTCTTACTTGTAAATATAATTTTCGGCCCAAAATCAAACTTCATTGCAAGAGACCGTTTCGCTACTTTGTCACGAAAGCCTCCTTCGATTTTAGTCAGAGCTTGAATTTCCTCTTTAGAAGCAACTCCCGAAGTCAATCCACGATCGGCCTACAACAAAAGCATGCGTATTTCTGGTGAGGACTTTGACGAACTGAACATAGTTTGATCATCGGATGTTTGAGACATGTACATCGAGTACAATCCGCATTCTGTTTTTCGAATATTTATCGTTTAAAATGTACCTTGGACATTGTTACAACAAGAGCAGTATATAAATCCTTTGTAGCGATCATGTTGTGAGCGCCTCTTGATTAAGATTGGAACTTCGAGGTAAGACTACGTGTCCTTGAGAACGAGTTTGATTAAAGCGTACCTTCGTCTTCTTTAAAACTGCAAGCATCGTTGTTCTTAAGATTTCGAAAGTTTCTCCTCTTAAAGTTTTTTCCTGTAAGTCGCGGTGCTATTGACAAGTCGACTGAACAGTAACACTAAATTACTATGAAGCTATATCTCATCTATTTTGATGGATTCTTAGAAAAGGTTTCTTTAGAATGAGAGTACAGCGTACCTTTGTACTCAAGATTTCTTAGAACTCTAAGCGTCTTTACTAGACTTAAGACTCTCCTTATAAAATATACCTTCGGTAGACGCTGCCGAATTTTTCCTCCCTAAGAAGCCTGCTGTAGTGCCGTCAGCTTTGCATGCGTCGGCGATTTGTACACAATGGGTTTTGTGTAGACCTCTGAATCGCTTCCAAGAATTCAGCAAACATAATCAACGAACTACATTATTTCATTCTACAAATTTCAAGTCAAGGCACGAAATAACATCCTAGCGAGCATTAGATAGAGATCACTAAATTTATTTCAGAATTAATCGACATGATACAGCAGATGCGAAGGCACAAAGTCTGTACACGGTTTTCACTCATTCATCGAACATAAATAATATATGCCCTAATCTTGTCAGCACTGCTGTATGAATATAAAATCAGTCTGTGTCATTCAGGTGTTTGTTGCTTGCTTGCAAAATAAGCGAAAGAAAATTGGACCGTACATCGTATTCTGTAGAAGGAAATGAAAGAAGTAAAAAAGAAAACTCGATAATTTTCGAACACGAAGCTCATTCAAGTATGGGTATTCGGTTGATTCACCTTTCCGTGAAACTGAAAAAAACTGCAACATGGTGAAGTGTATAGTTCATTGAAAATCTCTCCGAACTTCTCATATCTACCGAGAAGAAGGATGTAAAACCTTTGTGCTAACACGGCAATCATTAGAGAAACATGATCAAAGTGTACCTGATCGACTGGCTTGTTAACTGTGCACTCGTAATGCTTCAGTTTCCAAGGACTGAAACTTTTAGTATCCTTTCCTTAGCGCTTCTTGAACCGAATAACGCGCTAATGCCCACGGAACGTTGGAATGTATCGCGTGACTTTAGTTAACCCAAGGTGTGAAGTGGTTGGCGGGGGGGGGGAGGGGGTAGGGGATAGATTAGATATAAAATAAACGAGAAAGGGTAAAGTTGATATAATGGGAAAGTGTGATCGCCAGGATTTCCCACCCTAATCCTGATCCTAAAATACGCACTGGCGTAAATGCTGCCTTCCCACCCCATGCGCGTTAAAATAGCGCGTGGCCTGCCAGAATTGATCCCCTCGGGCACACCCGACGTTTGACCGCTGTGTTACCTGCTTCCCGCTTTTCCCACACCCATTATTTCACGCATCTTCACTTACTAAAAGCCTAAGACAGGCTAATTCCCTCCACTCCCTGTCTTCAATCCCTGTCTTCAATCAGCCAACAGTAGCTGCCATACTAACATGACTAACATCAGCCACCAACACATTAGCTCTCCAGGCGCTGCAGATATAGGGGGACGAGTTAAACAATCTCCCAAAGACTCTGATTCATCATCTTTCTCGTCATCAGGAGACCTGCCTAAACAAAGGTACTTCTTGTGAATTTTGGATAGCAAGCGTTATAGTGGACAAACTACACAAGATATGAGAGGAGAGACGTGGAATGGTGGGAAGCGGAGGAGTTGGAATTAAGTGAATGTGTAAGCACACTCCTCAGAGATCTCTCTCCAAGACGTGTTCTTACCATCGATCTGGAAGGCAAGAAACTAAATTTGTCATAACTTTTTCCAGAGACAAAAAAGAAATGTTTGTTTAAGATCACTGAAACTTTCAATTTCTTGTGATATTGAAAATACCAACATTGGGGGAAGCGGAAAACACTCACGAATCAATGGATCTTTAAAGGATTGTAAGCAGCGTATTTCCTCGAATGAGCGCCCACTCCTTAGCCCATAAATTGAAGTAACCGTTCCCCCCTTCCTCACTTTCTTAAAAAGTGGTGATGCCAGGAAAACCTGTCTCTATCGCCACTTTATTTATAACTTTTTGAGCTTCAGTTCCCGAGTTTATTTTCCGTTCCACATATACCCGTCTTCGTGCGCTCGTAGAATTCCTCTATGTGTTTCACCTGTTCTTTTGATTTTTTTTGTCTTATCAGTGCGCTAACTTAATAAGTGCTCCCTCGGTAAAGCGACCTCCTACCAATAAGCGCTTCCCCCCCATCACCCTTTTGGCCGAAATTAAATGACCGCCCGGGCGTTTGTTCGAGGAAATATGGTATTCACTTTTCCCAAATAAGGGGAAGGGGGGGCGTACCCCCGCCAGTGCAAAGTGTCATATCACGCCGGCTTTATCCCACGTGGTGAAACGACAATTTTGCCGGCTGGTTTTACGAATTTATTTAACCAATTCAAAACACGGACATTGCCTGAAAAACATTGGGCAAGCAGAGGAGTTCTGACTCTGATAATTAACTAGTCACACAAAAGTCAACCAAAAATACAATGGAAAGCAAAAAATTCATTCTCACCTTTTTCATCGACGTCTTGGTAATCATAACCGAACTCGAATGATTTCTTGAACATCTGTTGGTGAGTGTAAACCGGAAACAACGGCACAATGACGTCATCTCTGTTGTGACCAATGGGTGCATCGTTAGTGGATAGCACATTCGCACTCTTATTAAACTTCCGCAACCATTTTTCATAGATACGATCCACAAACGCGTGATGAAGGAGAAAGATCGGGTCGTTTGATGCCGAAGGTACTTCAAACATTTCTCCTCCAACAACTATGTGGACCCGGTTGTGCAAGCCGTGGAAGTTAGGAAGGCGAAAACCAGTTTTGGTGCTGGCATAACGCTCTAGGATGTTTTCAAAATTGCAGCTAGACTCTTTGTTGTAGGTTGGGAAGTCAAAGGTTTCAAAACGGAGCGCAAAGTTGACATTTGTTTTTGTTGGAAATGTCATAGTATATCCTTGTTCCTTTTTCTTCTCCTTCTCATCATCTGTGTCCCGTGTTAATCCAGCTCTTCTTATGGTAGCGTTACACGGCTTTGTTCGCTGGTGCAAAGGACGTACCAGTTATCCAAGTATTTGCCCTTCACGATGCCAGTAGTTTGGTCCGTTACACCGAGGAGCTCTTTAGAGCAAATTGCGGGGTCGCATTGAGCGGTATTCCCAGTCCAGTCCCAGAAAGGAAGGGCAAATTCTTCATCGTTGCCAATTTCCTTTAAGGTTCTCTCCCATGCCAACAAGTACAACCGATGCCACGAGGGAAATCCCTGACCATTGTGTGCGAAGTCGATTTCAGCATCAGTGATATCATGAGGTAAAATGATGTTACTTGCAGCATAGTAATGCATCCACGTGAACAAGTCATGGTTAGTGACATTATCGAAGAAGTCCTTTGGGTCGCCACCCTCCATAACGGTTTTGTTTATCTCCTTGTAAGGAGTAGACGTAACCACGAAGTCACTTACATAGTGCATGAACATGTTGAAGTACCTCATGTATCGATCTTTCTCCTCGGCTGTCAGGTTCAGAAAATTTCTTCGTATCAAATACTTCTTCTACGTGCAGGTCCTGCCATAATAACCAAACGTGCATTTGCTGCAATCGTAACCTGCATAATTTGCGCTGCATTTGCAGACTTTGTAGTAAAGAGCACGCGGCCAGTTGTGTCTCTCGTCCTTCATCTGGAACGGTCGGTAATGGCTGTACTTGATTGTCCAATCACGAATGGTCAATTCCTGGCACTGTCCTCTGTCTCCATCGTAACCACATCGTGTGGTGAAGCCTTTAGGGACAGGACAACATTTTTTGTCTCTCAGACTGTCTCGGTCAGTGCAGACTCTGGGAAACTGGCCTTCAACCCAGGGTAAAATGACGACAACAAAGGCAAGGCATGCGATGATGTGATAACCCATTTTATGACCGACTCCCTGAGAGATAAAATTTAGGTCTTATTGTTATCTGTCCTTCGAGTCTAGACGTTCAATAATTATGAGAAACATTGATATCTCTGTCTAATTTTTAATAGTTCTAATAATAGTAATGACAATGATGATAAGAATTATAATAATGATGATGATGATGATAATTGAAACCATGGAAAATTCCAAATAGAGAGACACCGGGTTTTTTCATGTGATTCTTTTTGGAGAAAAGATGAAACTCAAAAATGAAAATTATTTTTTATAAACCTCCCTAGGCCAGGAAAAAAAGATCAATTATTTTACACACTTTCTTTTGTATTTTATCTCAGTAAAGCCCGAAGTTAATTGATTCATCTTGCAATGACTGTATTTACAATTTTTAAGGGCTACAAGACCCTATAATGATTTACTCTGGATCGCTAGTTTTTAGAATCTAACAAGGGCTGGATGTCATCTATAACATTGCCTCTTGGATAGATGTTTTTTTTTATTCTTTTTATGTCAGAAATGGTTGGATTATGCATCTCGAAAAGTTTCACCTGTACTCTTTATTATTTTGGTTCTTTTATTATTTATGCTATAAGTTTTTAGCCAAGGTTTCTTCGAATGTAAGTGCAGTGTAACTTTATTCCCAAGATTTCTTCGAATTCTAAGCGTCTTCACTTGAAGTTAGAGTGTCCCTGTAAAATATACCTTCGGTAGAAGTTTCTAACTTTTTCTTCTCTCAGGAGACTTCTGTAGTGCTGTCAGCTTTGCATGCGTCGGCGATTTGTACACCAAGGTTCAGCAAACGTATTCCACAAACTGCATTATTTCTGTCTTCATACTATAAATTTCAAGTCAAGGCACGGAATAGCATCCTAGCAAGCATCAGATAGAAATTACTAAATTCATTTCAGAATTAATCGACATCACACAGTAGATGCGAGGGTACAAAGTCTCTACGCAGTTTTCACTCATTGATCGAACATAAATAATGTACCTTACCGGGTATGCGCTAATCTTGTCAGCACTGCTTTATGAATATATAATCAGTCTGTGTCATTCAGGTGTTTGTTGTTTTAAGGTTGTTGTTTTCACTCATTGATCGAACATAAATAATAAATCTTTCCGTGAATGCGTTCTTTTTGTCTGCACTTCTGTATGAATACACAATCAGTCTATGTCATTCAGGTGTTATTTGCTTGAAGATTTCACAAAACAATAACATGGTGACGTGTTTAGTTCGTTGAAAATATCTCCTAACTATCGAGAAGAAGGGAACCTAGCAACATACATAATCAGCGGCGCAGAACCTCCCTCGCCAGATTGAAATCTCTGTACACTTCAAACGTGGAAGTAACATGGCATTCATAAGGAAAACAAGATCAAAGTGTACCTGATAATAAAGGAATAAGTTTCTAAAGAAAGTGCAATGCTGCGTCGGTAAATGGGGTGGGGTGGGGTGGGATAAGGTATTGCTAAATAATTTACTTTTATCAACTATTTTGATAAGGTAAATTGGCCACTGTAAGAGTTTCTAAAGCTGACGTTTCGACAAAAGTGAAAACGCTCGAAACATCAGCTTTTTAAAACTCTCGATAAAATCAAATTATTTTATTCAAAAATGGCTTAATTTATCGATCGCGCCAGCTGTAAGGACACCTGTTCCTCGCACAAAAGCTACACGAACCTATCTATCTACCGTAGGCTATGTTCAACCGGTCAACTGTCTACTCCCCCACCCCCCCCCCTCTCCTTTCTTTTTACTGTCGCTCATCACCTTGATACGAATTTCTTTCTCTCCCCCGCCTTCCTTTGCCATTTAAATCAAAGATGGCTGCCATAATTTTCGCTAAGAAAATACCAAGCACTCGTTCTCCAAAACTACGCATGCTCTGCAGGGTACACAATGATAGCAAACAAAGAATACTCATATTATAGTTTCGTATATGTATCATTGAAACAGGTCCAAAACTAAAATTGGCTTTGTCTTGCTAAAAACCACGCTGTCAACTAATTCTTTAACCCTCTCATTTCCTAACCTCACTTTCATTCAACGATTTGGTTCCATTTCCAAAAATATAACTGGCAGAGAAAGATGTTTTCGTATTGTAAAGAGCGCGGGAAAAACTTTTTGAGTTTTCATGAGGAATCGAACCTCAGACGGTCGGATTCCGCACTCCGATGCAGTACCACTGAACCACATAGACTTTAAAGCAAGCTAATTCATTATGAGTCCTATGCCGGTGACAAGACGAGAAAACATATAATACTTCTCGACTTCACTTCAGAACGCATCCTTCACGATTGCTACCATTACCAGGAATAACGAATTTTTTACGATCGTGATGCGTGTCTGCTTCTGAGGGTGCGCGCTACGGTGGAAATGGGGGGGGGAGTAGGGTGGAGAGACGACAATATCTCGTTCCAAGCGCAAATTTTAAAAGCAAAATACAAGGTAATGTGGCTAAAGCGATAAAGAGAAACGTTCTTACCTAAATCGTTCCATTCACAACCAAAAAGGTAACGTATTTTCTTTCCCCCAAAAGGGGCGCGGTTGGGTAAATATTTAACAGAACAATCATACTGCTTATAGGGCATACATATGTCTAATTTTGCTTCGTTGTCAGGAACTTGGGGTCCGAGCGCAATATAAGAAAGACATAAGTAACACAGCAATGATTGCCGCAACATTCGACCCAGGTCAACAAAACCTTTTCTTTTTAATTATTTAGATTAAACACAAACAACTCCTATGTACACAGGAAAAGTCTCATCTAAATTAGAACCAGTTTGTCATTATTGATGATGTAAAGAGCCAGCGGTTATCAACAGTAGAGTAGTTGACACATACGGGGAATAGAATCCGCGTCACGATAACGTCACGAAATTCTGGAAAAAGTCATGAATGGACCGTAATGCTTTCACTGGCTGATGGGATTAATCCTCTTTCCACAACGAACATTTGGCTAACACAGCTCGCGGTTTCTGACAGAAATTTTAGTCACGTAACCTGATGTTTTAATCGACAGAAAACTAGGATCTTTGTACAAGGACAAGTATATTTTGAAAATATCTTTTAGACGCAAGTTCTGTCTTCTTGAGTATTAGTTTTACAGAAGTTCATTACTTTTAATGATACAACAATTTTTGGCTGTTTCATCGTTTTCTCTTCGCACTCCGACTGTCGTGATCCCTGGAAAAAAATAAAAAATAAATAGAATGGAATAGATTTTCGCCGAGGAGTATTTACGGATTGATTCTGAGTCGAACTGAAATGAACAAAACAAAATCACAATTACAAATAAAGGAAATAAGTCTCTGAAGAAAGTACTGTGCTGTGTCGGTAAAAGGGGGTGGGGTGGAGTGGGGTAGGATGGGGGACGGTATTACCAAATAATTTGGTTTTATCAACTGTTTTGTTGAGGTAAATTGGCCACCGTAAAGAGTTTCTGAAGCTGGCGTTTCGACAAAAGGGCAAACGTTCTAAACGTCAGCTTTTTTAAACTCTTTCCGGTGGCCAATGTACCTTATCAAAATACTAGATAAAACCAAATCATTTTATTCACAAATGGCTTAATTTATCGATCGCGCCAGCTATTAGGACGCCTGTTCCACACGAACCTATCTGGACCGGTGAAAGGAGACAATTTTCTCATGAGCGAAAGACATTGTTTAGGACAAGAGTTTCACCTGTAGGAGGAGGGTACGGCTACACGTAGGCTATATCCAACCGGCCATGTTTGATTTGGAGTAGAGTCGATGATAGGGGGGAGGGGGTGGGGAAAGGCGAAATCTTTTACTCTCCCGCCCCCACCCATTTCCTCACTTTTTACTGTCGCTCACCCCCTTGGTACAATTTTTTTTCTCCCTCCAGCCTTCCTCTGCCATTTAAATCAAAGATGGCCGCCAAAAAGATGGCGCGCCAAAACTACGATCTTTCTAATTCTGTTTACACACAAAGTAAACGATCGATTATCATCAGAGTGTCAAGTATATAATACCTTGATCTGGAGGGTTCGTCTAACGGCCTCTTTCCTTTTTTAGCCTCTGTAAGAAACTTGTCCAAACCAAAAGGATCCTCCTCTTCCTTTTCGAACTGAACTGGCCCGTCACGCCGCTGACCACGATCTGTGCCAGCAAATCCCTTGTCAGGCTGAAACCTGAAAAACAGGAAAGTGCCGATTACGTGATATAAGAACAATTTTTAAAACAGCCGTGAAAGTGGGAGGAATGTGACAGCCAAACCATCTCATCTTAATCCTTTAACTCCTCTTCAATTTCACCTTACAAAGTCAATCCAATATCAACCAGACAAGTGATGAGAATAAGCAAAAAAAATATATTATTAGTTGATCCAATACCAAATTCTCCGAAGTAACATCATGAGAATTGTAAGGCTGACAGTAAGGAGAATTACTAAAGAGATCTTGGGAGTAAAAAGACTAAGCAATAAGCCCCTCGTTGTTCAATTGAAAACTACTCTAAAAATTACCGAAAGGACAGAACATTTTGCATTCTTCAGAACAATGTTTTTCAATATTTTCAAGCATCTATTTAGCCACATAGCACTGTAAATAATGAAAAAAGCTCATCAAATTGTAAATAATAATCTATTACCGTTTTTTGATTTGTCAACTAAATACTTTAATCGAAGCCAAACTAAAAGTATAAAAAATATTAAATTAAGGTTTAATATAACATATTTTTTAATATATCAACCCCCCCCCAAAAAAAAAAATTTTTTTTTAACACTCTTCCTTGACAATAATCTCGAAGGGAATATAACTAGGGGCAGAAGAAAGTCCCACGGTGCTCGGTTCTTGGTTATCACAGTTAATTACCTGCTTGTTTGAACCAGTTTTTCCAGATCATCTCCATAAACATCGCGGTCCACATTCTTGCTCGGCCTATAGATTGCATTGGCTGTGCTGCCCTCTCGTCTCCAGGCCTTGTCGTACACATTGTATCCATCGTCATCTCCAGCGAATCCGGAGTCCAGGCCCTAACGGACAAGACACTAGATTGTCAAAGAGTGGTGGAAGGGGGAGGGTTAGGGAACTAAATACAATTGGATCGGTAAGCAGGTAGGGGGTGGGGGGTAGGGGGAAAGGGATACAGATTCAGGATCTTCCTTCGATGGGGGTGCACTATTAAGGAATGACGTAAATTAAAGGGTGACCAGGCAATAACACAACTTGAACTACTGATAGTACATTACAAATAATACAGCAGATTTTGTAAAACCATTTGTATGCATATAGGAAAGCCGCAAGTCAATTCGAGGGGGAGGGGGGTGTACACCTCTGCACGCGTCACCTAGATATGCCCTTGAAATAATACGAAAAAGACGCATAATTGTGACATAAGCTGTAGTGACTTACCTTGCTTTGATTAAATAATCGCTGATCAAACATTGCTTCCTGTGAGGGAGGAGCAGAAGCCAGGCCTAATGCAATCTGCTCACTTATGTCACGCTCTTTGTCACGCTGAAGTTTGGACCTATAGGAACAATCAGTCATTCCATGTAAGTGCGCAAAGATCTACCGTTACCACTAATGTGAATATCCTAATCGATGTCTATTTTGAACGACAAGCAGAGTTTTTGCATAGTATACGGCTTCAGCCACTTCAAGGAAATAAGAGTAAATTACAGTAAATTACAGTATATGGATGGTGATCAAGCTTTGCCATAGTCAAGATAAGAAACATTTTACTTTAAATAAAAGTAGAAATAGAGAGTATGTGGAAAGTTATTTCACCTTAGCTAAGGTATTTTTTTCGTCCTATAACAAACGTGGAAAAAAAATCTGACTTCCTATGAGGAATCGTAGCTCAGGTCTTTGGATTCCGCGCTCCGAAGCAGTACTCTTCCATTGAGCCACAGAGACTCTCTATGGGTGAGTCAGACCAATACTACGTTCATATTTAACAAGGATTCTGACGTCGAAAGCATCATGTGCGTAAATACAACACAAAAAGTTTTCTGTCTCACACGCGCGAGAAGAAAAGAAAAGAATCTTTCTCCATTTCATTACCGAGCTCAACTTCTTAATCTAGTTCCTTTAGGTACCTTTTATCAGGTGCAGCTTTAGAAATTCTCCGATCTCTTTCTCTCTCCTTGTGTCGTTCATGACGCAGCTGGTCTCTTTCTCTCTCCTCTTCAGACCGCTCTAAAATACGGGTTTTAAACAGGACAGCAATTTTGTTAGAGGAGACGCGTAAATATCACTTCACTTGCGACTAGAGGTGTTCAATGATTTCACACCAATTTACAAATGGAACCTGTTTTGAATTTGGATCATCCCACATCAGCTAGAACCCAATTTTGTTTAATCCCTTTTTTATGATAGAAATTTCCAATATTTCTTTATCCCTCGTCATTTTATTTTACTGTATTCAAACTTTATTTCTCTAGGGTCCATCGTCCATTGAGATCCTATTCGCAAGAAGAAAACTGCTTGTAGTTACTACTGTAATCTCACCACCGGGTGGTTTTAAAAAAGGAAGAATTTAAAAACTTGGAACGTTTGCCTCTTTCTTTCTCTCGACAATTATATCGAACAAACCTTTCCGGACATTGCTGCGAGTAGGATTTTAACAGACGCGTAACGCGATTGTACGTATTTACGGTGAACCAACAGGAGTTGCGCTGCAATTGCAGTGTGAAATAACTGGACTTAACAGTTAAAATACGCCCCTCGGTTTGTTTTGAAAACCGCACGATTTACCTGCAGTAGCTCTGATGCCAGCTCGTTCTTCCCTCGCTTGCTTGGCCAGCGCCGCCAACTTCTGCTCTTTCTTCTCCTTCTCTCGCTGCGCGACCTTCTTTTCCAGCTGAGCTCTCATTTCAACAGCTTCCCGAGCCTGACAGAAATTTCAAACAAACAAATTATTCTCAACACAATGCGCTGTGTCTCTGTCATATTCAAGGTACACAATGGTAATAAAATAATGATAATAAAAAAAGTTATTGCTTGCAGTATGTAGTGCTATTTACAACAAAAAGATCAATAGCACCAATGGTACAAGTCAATGGCCAATCCTCAATAAATTATAAGGATGTCACGGGGAACTTTACTCTCAAAGTTTCTCTCTCCACTCAGCGGCATAATCGGCACCAACGACCTCTAAGAGAAACCAGACGAAATGCTTGAGGGTGGAGGGGGGAAGCCTTGCAATGGATCAACATCCCATCCGAGAGGGAGTAACATTAGTGCTATTTGCTTTATGCAACAGAAACTGGGGTGAGCTTGCAGTTCAGACTTCTCCCCCTTTTTAGTTTCAAAACTTGGAATGTGGTGCAGTGATAGGAGTCTTGCCTCCTCTGGCTTGTTAAAAATTGCGTGTGTATGTTGGGCACAAAATTAGCAACCACTGAGTGAAATTACCAAAATTCAGCCAAAATGATGCGAAATACCACATGACATGAAAGATCAGGTAAGTAGAACATTATTCTGCACTTTGGTGACTTTTTGTGATTTATGGGAGCAAATTTCCACAGTTCATAATGACCAAAATTTATCCTGATAATTGGTACATGTGATTTTCTGGTTTAGAGGCAAGAAAAGAAACTAAACATTTTCAAATGCTATTTCGTTGTTGAGTGATATTAAAAGGAGTTATAAAGTACATGTGTTAGGCCTTTACAAGTCATTCTCCATAAAGTTCACCTTTCTGTCTGCTATGTACAGTGCTTCAGCCAACTTTGCAAACTTGTCATTGATGTGGGGGTCTTGAAGACCACGCCCATCTGCGGCTAAACGTTTGTCAAGAGGGATGGTGTACCCCTACAGCCAACAACAACAAAACAAATACTTTAACATTTTATAGCCTAACATCAGTATGCATATTTTCCATATGTAGCCCTTGATTCAGAGAAGCACTTTCTGTAGAGAGCCTTCCCTCGATTTCTTTTTCTTATGTACATTTTCAAATTGTCCTCAAATCAAATTACCTTGGCATTCTTCCAGTTGGAAATACAGGGAGGGATCTTCCACTCCTGCTGTTCTTTCACAGTCACCTGAGGAAAAGAAATACTAATTGTAGCATTTGTCAAGTAACAGCCCAAAATTCCAACTAAATCTAAACTCCCTTACAACCAGTGGACACAGGTCAATTCTGTGGAAACACTACAGCTTATTAATATATCTTTGGGCCTTTCCGCACTAGTGGACAAAACTAGAATTGTCCCAACAAAATCAAATGACAAATTTTAGTTTCATCTGTTGCACCTGCATTAAAAATTTCAAAGCCGTCAAATTAGAAAGACACTCCCCAAGCAATATCCACCTAAAAGGTCTCAGTGGTACTCTTAAGAATACTGCTTTCCTGGATTTGTGAAGCAACGTTCATTTGATGTGCACTTTCCCTTACCTTTCTGCTTGGTGAGTGCATCACTGGAGCAGGAGGTGAGGGGGGTCCCCTAGGGATCTTCTTGTTTGTTCTAAAAATTAACAAGATGAGTGAAAGATTACTGTGAAGATGTGCATCAAAGTACTTTCATTTTCTTAGTAGTCTTCTTCCCATCAAAATTCTAAATAATTTTTTAAGCTACAAGGGGAAGATAATGCGGCAGATCATTGATGAGCAGAGAAGACTTGGAGTGAATCCCAGGCAATTTGCTCCAAGAATTCTTCAACAGTAATATGCTTATGACAATCTTAACCTTGTAGTCAGCTTTGTCTAGAAACTGATTGATCAATGGGCAGACTGGATGATAATCTGTCGATTTTCTCTCAAGTAGATGGAAAGGGTAGTGTTAATGAAAAATAAGAACATGTAAATAACTCATCCAAACTTTACAGTCACAACTTTGGGAAAAAAAAAAAAACTTAAAGATTCATTATGTTGTAGTACAGCAGTATTCAAGGTATCCAGTCACTTTGTACCCAACGTCATTTTTTATCCAAATGCAGTAGATTCATACCCAAGTTTGGGTTGCTTTGAAACCCAAGTTTAAGTTGGTTTGTACCCAAACTCCTGGTCAATTTACACATGCTTTCAAAATACCTCACACAAGAGTGTGTGAACAGATGTCAGTCATTGTGTATGACAAGTTAGTAGAGTCAAGTGAGAAGTAACAAACAAAATTGTCTTGTGTACATGTGTACTCGTGACTCTCTTAACCAAAACAACTTAATTATTGCCTAGCACAAGGCAAGCATGATATTATTCACAGAAAAGTCTATTGTTTATACCCGTGACTTTTTTAATAATAACAGTTTGTGAAAGTGTGATACTTTTTTGCTAGTTGTCAACATGGAAAACATACTTTACTAGTTTGGGAACAAAACAACCGAGCTGGATACAAAAGGACTCAACTGACTGAGTATGAAATGACTGTTGGTAAGAAATGATCTGTAATCTATTCAACTGCCATACTTAAATCTTGGTGGCTCCATAGGATCTTTCTGCATTTCCACCATTCTTATGACTCGCTGTTTAGCACCAGAGTTGAAAGCTACTCCTTGCTGGGAAGGTGTGTATCTGATGTACTGGGCTGCCTGTGGCTTCTGAGCAACTTGGGTGGGCTGTGCTGCAGCAATTTTTGTTGTAACTTCTTTTTCCAGAGCTTCTCTTGTTTTCCTGGTTGTCTGAAGTTAATTCATTTCAGACAAAATGAGTTAATAGAATACAAGATATTAAGGGATCCTTAATATAATGCAGATAAGTTTGTAAATCCAAAAGTATTGAGAGAATGCTCAAGAAAGGAATTAGATAGCTAACAATGTTGTCAGTAAAAACAAATTTCCATGAAATTCTCTTGAGAGGAAAAAACACTTATCTATTTTTTTATTCTGATGACAACATCAACCAAAAATAGACAGATTCTCTAACACAGAGCTACAAAGAAGGTATTGCTGAACAACACCATGTGTTTTGATCACATTATAAGCAGGTTAATTTACCTCTTCAATATCTTCCTCTGATGGTCTTTCTAAGTCTGGATCACCTTCATCTTTTAAATGTACAGGAACTAAGTCTTGGAATCTGGAATGTACAACCTGAGAACATAAGAAAAATAAATTAAAAACTGAATTTGATACCAAATCAACCAAGAGGTATTGTTATTACTAATCTAAACAAGACACAGTGCAAAATTTTAAGTTATGTTTTTTAAATCATGGAAAATGAATTTAAAGTAACAGCAAGAAGGTGTTAACTCTCAAAATCTGGATGTAAATTCTCTCCTCTAGCTGCCACACAAATCCTTGTAAATTACAAGTAGGTAAAAGAAATCTGTTTGCTGGATAATGCATGGATATTATCAGGAGAAGTTGCCAGTTAATCACTTCTAGGATTTAAAGGGTTTAAAATAAAGGAACTTCAGAATTAACAGAAAGGTGGCAATGATGGTTGGGGATGCAGAATACAATCTAATTGTTGCTCATTAAAAAAAAAATGTTGGCTATCATCTGTGACAAAGGATGATAGTGAAACACGAGGTGCATTTGAGGACAAGTTTTGAATGTGGAGTATAAAAATGCAGCAAGTGATATATAAACATGACTTCTTTTAGCCCTTTACACCCTAACATCAATATTCATACTCTCCATACTGTTCTCTATATATTTTCTAAGATTCTAATGAGGAGAATTTGTTTAAAAACACAAACTTCTTTAGTTGGTTATCATATCCTTTATTCTTGCGACCTTTTTGCATAATTCAGGTCTGATATTGTAATGAGAAATTAGATGCTAGTCATTTTTAGGAGTCAAAGAGTTGCTGGGAGGGGCACATGTAAAAATGATAATGTCTCTAACGCTTATTTCTCCTTTCTCCATAACCAGGTTTTGTTACCTTATCTTTGCCATGTCCCTGTTTAACAAGAGCATCATACTTCACCCTGCCTTTTGAATCAAGCTGCACTGGTAGAGCATTTGTTCCTGAAGCAGGCTGTGACATACAATAAACACAGAGTCATGAAACATCAGAAGTGAGAGTTCCAAAGGCTAACAAAAACATAATTCACATAACACTCTTATCCCTTTAAAGACAACATATCTGACCTTTTTTGTCCGCCCCATGTCCAGAGGATACCTGAAAGATTCTTGTTAAGAAAAGTTTTGGTCAAACATAATCAAACCTTTTACTTAGACCATAGCAAGTTAATTAAATACACATTCAAAAATATATATATATTGAAGCCTCTGGCTAGTTCTCAATTATATTCATGGTTGGAGAGAGACACTGTAAGGCTAAAGTTACAAAATGATCCAGTCACACCTTGAACACAGACCAACCAATCCATTGTCTAGTACAGCAAAAGGCCACAAGTTCTGTTAAAATATCTTTATAGTAACTCTTCTCAAACAAAATCTCATAATGAAGATGATTAGCCAAAACACTGCTTATTGCGCTCTCTGGAGCAAAAAAAAAAAAATTCACATAAGGATACTGTGCCACATGAATTTCAGGAAAAGCACCACCATCACCAAAGTCCTGAAGAACAAAAATAATCAACATAACAGTATGTTAAACAATCTCAAGTTTGACAATATATTTTACTATACATCAAAACAGTGGATAGTGTTGAAGGCACGCTCTGATTGGCTACTTTAACTCCAAATATTCTTTACTATTCACATCCGAGCACCAAGCATAGTATTTGCAAGTGTTGAAATCATGGTTTTGTGCTGTATCATCCCAACAACTATTCACAGCAGCATCAGTGGCTAGCCACGGATATTTACCTCGCCAGTTATAAACTCAGTAAAGAACCACCACTAGCCACTGGCACTTCAGTGAATAGTTGTTAATTATCCTGATATCTTATGTGCATGGACCTGTATATCAGTAAGAGTGCATTCAGAGGAAGAAAATTTCAGAATGATCATTCTCAAGCTACATCGCTAGTATGTACATGTAGCTTCACTGCCATCATATTTTTTTTCAAATCAAAGTGATTGCAATAATGGCAACAAGGACTTTTTCCAGATTGTACCAATAGCATGAAATCATTCAAAAGTTTATCCTTATAATTCACCAAAAATTACAGTGCAAATACTTCAATGTCTACAAACATTTAAACAATTAAGGCTTAATATCAATGAGAGGGCAAGCCTTTTCTGTAATTTGAAAATGGCTACGTACGCACTTAAACTTTACATTCCTTCCTTGCAAAATATAGCTTATTTTTTTCTATGATATGCCGCATTCTTCTGAAATGCAACGTTTACTAAAGAAAACATGTGACTATGACTAAAATAGAGGAACGTGATTGTTGTCGAAGCTGCCATGTCAAGCTGTATGTTATCATCAAGGGTCTCATATGATAACAACAAGAATCTTCTATGTAAGAAAAAAACTCAGCAGCATATAAATTCATAAAACCACATAGAACACAACTAAAAGGTGTTAAGGTGGTCCATAATTACAGTCTGTATATCACAGGCGTTGTAACCTCGATTTGCATGGCAATGTTAAATTGCTGAGCGTTATCATCAACAAACCTCCAACTTTCTTGGAATCCAGCCCTGTCTTTTTCCATATGGAGGAGGCTCTTTCTTAAAAGCTGTTACCTTTAACTGAACAAAGATCGACCGTGTAAAAATCATAATAAACCTCGCGATCGAACAACAGGTCAAATCAAACATGGCCGACTACTCAGAACGCTCACCTCTTTGTAAGCTTTCTCTAAGTCATCGTCTTCATCTCTTTCGCGATAAGGCACATGCAGCGGTGCTGGAAGCAGACTGAAATAGTAAACGTTAGTTTTTTTAGAAAAATCTACCAAATATCTTCTTTTAAAAATGAAAAAATTGATAGGAAGTACCTTGCTAAAGACATCTTTCTCGTGTTATGAGCAAAGAAGCCGAATCGTCGGCAATCCCAAGAGTCCTTGCCGGCTTGTTGCGATCATTCGAGTGAAGTGTATGATGGGACTTCTGAATTTACGGGCTCATCGGATATCGTCCTCAAAAAAAGCAGATATTACTAATATTGAACCCACTATTTTTTATCGTGGAACAGAAAATTAACCCAAGTTATGTCGAATTCTCAATAAGGGGTACCTAATGATCATGGATTCCGTCTTTCACTCGGGTAGATTATTTTAGATGTTGCAGAGTCATGTCTCCAGTGAAACTCCCCAAAAATTGAACCGCAGACAATTCCTCAAGCTTATTGAATCTCAGCTAGTTTCTCGGTCAGCGGTTTACTCACACCGCTGAACTGACACAAAGGATGACATTCGTAAATTTGTTTCAAGTACATCAGCGAAATCGCACAAAGTATTGCTCTCAGGTTTCTTTTAGGTTTCATTTGCAGGTGGCATCTAAGTTGGAATGGCTTGGTACACAGGCTCGTCCCCAGAGCCCATCAGTTCTAATAACCGGTTGGGTTTGCTCGCTAAAGGAACCGATGGTTCCTGGGGATGAGAGAGGTCATCGAAGGACTGTATGCTTCTCCTTGTCGCTTACTTCTCCTTTTCTCTGTTTTTTTTTTTTTCCTTGTTCCTGGCCACATATGAAATTTTGCTAAATCAAACCTGTTATGATTTTTTTTCTTGCGTCCATACAAACCAGCCAAACCTGCCCAGAAACCAAAGATTGGTCTACTGACGGTGTTTCCAATGAAAAGTTACTTTCTTTCATAGCTTCAACAGAATGTTTTTGTAAGGCGAAATGTTTGTTTTTTTCAAAAGCAGTGATCCGGAGCAAAAAATTGAAATTTAATTAGGGGCTGGGGAGTTATTTGATGAGTCAGTAATCGTTCATAAAACAACTTGTTCAGAATCCCACGATGGTTCAAAGTTGCGGGAATCTTTAGAAGTCGAACTGATGACGTTGTACTAAGAAAATTGAGAGAAAAATTTGAGCAGAAAAAACAGGTACCAAACAGGGTAATAAAACAGGTAAAAATATTTAGATTTCACTCAAAATCCACTTTTGCTCTAAACCTCTGCCAAACCTGGCGCTTTGTTCGCCAGAACTGGCAGCGTTAATTAAAACAAGGAAAAGTTTGAATCTGTTATTTTTTGGGTTATGAAAACTATCCGCTGAAATGTCCAACGCTTCACCGCTTCAAAGAGCATTGCTAAACAAAGTCACTTCAATAATTTATTCTCTCCATATATGGTCAGAACAAAAATGTGAAACCTGACGGGTGGACTAAAGGTTGACTGGCGAAAGCGGGTGCCAGGCACAGTGTTACAAGCTAACATTGATATTTCACGAAGAGTCAAGAACACGATGAATGAATTTTCCACGGGAGACCTACTGTTGTTTAAAAGCGATTTGTCGCTAGTGAATGGAAGGCCGTTGTCAGAGGCCTTTCACGAATTACTTGTAAGGAGGATTTCAAAAGCATGAAGCAGGCAGTTGCTTGAAATGGTGCGGCGCAACCCAATTCGCAGGATTTCAAGAGAATGCTTCGTTCTCTCCAGAGAATTTTTTTAAGAAGAGTAATTTCGCCTTCCCTTTTGCTGGTCGCCTTTTTTTTAATGTGTGCCATTCTCTTCCTAACGAGAAACGAAGATTCCGATGCGATGTGTCTCAAAAATCGGCAACTTCAAAGTGCCTCCAAGATGGACGAATTCAAGACGTTTATTCCAGATCACGACGGATGCAACGACAAAGATGGCTCGGCAAAAGATAATACAAAGAACGCAGATAAAAATTTCGAACAAGACACGAACTGCTCCAAGTTGTACAAAGAAATCGACGCATTGCGTAAGAAGCTCGCAATGTACGAGAGATTAAACAAATTCATGGAACTAGATTCACTAGCAAGTAAATACGGGAGTAAACTGCGACAGAATATTCTTATCATCTCGGACTCCGCTTCCGGAAGCTCTCTCTTAGGAGAACTTCTGAATCAGCATCCTAATATTTTTTACCTTTTTGAACCTTTGGAATCTTTGGATTATTATAGGGACAATCGCCCCGAGAGCGTTTACGATGCAATGGTAACTCATCTTCTCAACAGCATTTTTCATTGTAACTTTCTGGAACTTTCGTACTTTACGGATTTTTTATCGTACCAATACAGTGCACTTCGACATCGCCTTTCAAGTCGAGCCATCTCTTCACCCCCCTTATGCCCCGAGAATTTAAACACTCCACACTTTAGCATCCGAAAATGTGCGCCATTAAGGCCACAATCAGCGTCGGCGATTTGTCGACTACATAAACACACCGTTGTCAAAACAATCCGAATGCAATCCATTCACAAACTCTCCTATCTCATGGACAACACAGGCCCTGTCGATTACTCGCTCAAAGTGATTCATTTAGTGAGGGATCCGCGCGCCGTTATAAATGTGCGCGTTCTACACAGTTCACACGAAAATTGGACCATAAAATCGGTGCGTGATCATGCGCAATCGTTATGTCGCGACATGCTGCGTAATATAAAATACGCTGTCAGTGCCCCAGCTTGGTTACAAGGACGTTATACGCTGCTACGATACGAGGACTTGGCGACAAACCCGCATCAAATAGCTGAACAATTGTATCAGTTTGTTGGGGTCGGTATTGCACAGAATGTCCGCTTGTGGATCGACCGTACTTTGCGCGAAGGATTTGTACCCCCATCACCCGTTAAATCAATTTATCGTCGGCTTTCCTACAGTGCGCAAAATCTGACTGACTCCGTAACAAAATGGCGTGCGCACGTCCCTTATTCAATCGTGCGCCTAATTGAGACGGAATGTTACGAGGTTATGAATCTTCTCGGCTACAAGATTGTCGAAGACGAAGACGAATTAAGGACGGTGTCTTTTCCACTTACAGATTAAACAAGTGGAACCTGCTCCGGGAGAAACTCTCATAGATCGCTTCCGCAAGACAAGTGAGGCATTTCAACTTTGCTGCATTTGCGTCATGTCCACCAACAGAACATTTAAATAGCTTTGTGGCGGCATTTAGTCCGTGAAGAATGTGGAAATGATAGTTCAAATTCAGTGAACCGAGAGCACAGCCGATGAAATTTATTACTATCCCCTAATATAATATCCCCTTTGCTCTCTCAAAAGAAGAGGGTCTTGAATCTCAGCTCAACGAGTTTTACATTTTTCAAATAAAATCCTAATAAAAAATGCGCTTGTGATTCTTCAAAAGCATTTTCCCGTTTTCCGTGGGCATATTTTCAGTCACCCATGACACGAGGAACCGACCATTATTTATCGTCTAAGAGGGAGGACATGTAGACATTCCTCTCAATTGCAGTAAGATATCATCGTTTCTATCAATCTTCGTACACTCAAGATGCAAATAGTTTTCAAGTGGGTTGTACTTATATAAATAATCACCACAAAAGATATTATCTGTTACTCGCACTTGTCCTACTGCCTGTCATGACATAACGCCATCTTCCTAATAAGTGTTGTCTATTAATTTTTTTGATAACGTTCATTTTTTAAGCACACATAAGCCCAAACACAGTCACCCATCTTTAAAGCGGTCCTCCAACCTCAACCTCAAGTGATTTCCAGTATAGAGAGTCTGCATGTAGTGTTACTGTTTCTTAATTCTTTGAATGTAGTAGTGTTACTGTTTCTTAATTCTTTGAATGTAGTAGTGTTACTGTTTCTTAATTCTTTGAACCCGAGAATTTTCATTAGAAAGGCGATCTTATTTGTGGAAAGGTAGATTCTCTAAAGTCAGGTCAGATAATAAGGAGTAAGTAAGTTTTTTTTATTCAATTGCTTATATATAGGGGACACATAATAAACGTGCGCAATTTCAAATTTAAATGGTAGGCTAGGAGCGCGAAGCGTTTCAAGTTATCTTAGCAGGTTCGTTGTCATTGTTGGAAATTAAGCCCCTTGTTTTCCAAAAATAAGATATCCTCAACGTGCTCATAAAAGTGCGTGTTTTTATGCTATACATTTCAGACGCTCTTTTACTTTGGAAACTAGTACACCTTGATAAATGGAACTCTATTAATTTGAGAATTGACCAAAGGATACGGCTAATCCTTGATAAAACCATCTGAGCGCATCTTTAGGCTGTAGAGAATTGACATCGGCAAAGGCTCCTATTTAAAAAAAACACAGTGAACATCATTTAGCAGAAACCATACGACTGAGCTAATTTTCATCTTAAAATTTTCCTTTGTTTATATATAAAAAAATACATATTGCAATTTGTTCTTGTCTGGTTTTAAACAATACATCCAACGACATAAACTTAACAAGTGGGGGCGGGAATCTGTAAGAAAAAAAAATACAAATTCAAATTACAAAGCCACCTTAAGAAAAGACAACTATGGAGGGCTCACCTCTTAAAGTTTCTTCATAAAAATCAAGTATAACCTCTTCTTCAGCAGGTGGTTTGACGTCATCCAAGGCTTTGCTTGAACCCTCCACCATGAATGCCGGGAGTTTATATCTCAACGGACCAACGACTCCTTTACGGCTCCTGTTCAACAATGATGTACACATCAACTTGTTATCAAAATACTGGAAAATCCGACTTAAGTCTATCTGTACTCTAATTTAACAAAATTGGTCCTTTTACAGTGGTAAATCTTAGTACTCAAACAGTGCTAAAAAATTGCGCCTCTGCCCTCAGGCTGGAATAATCGCTTAGCGAAAGACACGATGAAAAATGTGAAAAAAACTATGTAACAATCTCTTTTGCCAGCATTTTCTTCTTAAAGGTTGAGAGCGCGTAATCTAATCCCAAACGATGCTAAACTTCGAAACCAAATTTAGATTGATTTGAAGTAATCAAATAATTTCGAGTTCATAGTGGAAAACAACATTCCAAATGCAAGATCTTTATTCCACCAAACATTTTCATTTATCAATCTTGGTATGACATTCGGAAACATTCTATAAAGACATACCTTCATAATAACATCGTTTACCAAACTACATAGTGCGACAGACTCTCTAATTTCGATCGTTCTGTGAGCTGTGAGCAAATGAAAAAAAAAATGATATGTCAAATTAAAATTCTTGCGGTTCAGTTTCCTAATCTATTATTGACGGAACTTGCAGGACGGAACATATAATCTTAAAAAAAAATAAAAAACAGTAAACCTGGCTGAAAAAAAGTGACGATCAACAGGTGTTGTCAACTTCAGTCACCAAGAAAAAGATTTGTCTACGAATGACTGTGATGAGATGGAAACCGTCTTTAAATAAAAGAGTTGCTATTTGACAAGAAGTAAGTTTCATTTTCCACTGTGATATGATGAGTGGGGTTTTTTTGGCTGAAACTGACATCTAATTATAACTTCACGCCAGAAAAAAGCGGGAAAAATATTGAATGAGTTATTTTCATATTTATTTACATATTTGATGACTAAGAGTATGCAAAAAAAATATGTTGAAGATATTTTTTCAAAGCCCTAATATTCATGCCATCATAGTGAATTCGTATGATTGGAGAGAGTTTTATCAGACATCCCAAAGAATTCCTTTCTAGTCTGGGGAATTCACGCGATGCCCTGGGTTGCTCTTCGGATGGCTTCAGCATATTTAGGAGCTCGTTTCGAACCTGCAACTTGTTCTGACGGTACATCTTACCGACCACAGGCAACTGCTGTGCGTTGAACTACGCAAAAGGCGAGAAAAGGCGTCAGAAATTAATTTACTTTCGGAATAGGTTCCAAGGTTTTATGTAAAGTTCATCACGTGTACAGTTTCATCACTGAAATGTAAAAATTTTGAACATTTTTGTGTCAGTTTAGAGCGCTTGTATCCTTATTCAAATGACCCATCTTGGTTAGGACATCGAATAAATTTATTTTCGGGAAAAAGTCCACAAATTCTTGTAATTACTTCCGTATGTGACTTCATCCCTGTGTCTTGCACTTGTAACTTCTACATTTAAGTTTAACTCTGCGCGTTTTGTTTATTATTAAGGGAAACAATACGATCGCAGTTTGTCCGAAACCGAAGTGTGATACTTTTCTTTTTTGGAGCAAAATGTTTCACTTTTCCTCTCTGATTATATTTTGCAGCCAACCGGTTTTAACTTGTAACAAAATGTAATGTATCATCAAAGGAAATCTGAGAGATTGAAAACTGCACAGACTGTAAAGGACAATCTTTATTCATCATTTGTTTTACATGCAACAATTTGTGCACAGCGCGATATATAGTTAAAATGAATGAAACAAAGAAAAAAAAAACCATAGCAGTTTTCACTGGTTCGCCTGGAAAATCTGTGGCGACTCCTAATTCATTTTAAAAAATCGACTGTGGTTTAGCGTGGTCTGCATTCTTATCGACAGCAATCGTCAACACAGTCAAGACATTGTCGATTCGTTTTTCACCACAGTGTCGACGTCAAATAAAACTATTCTTTCGGTAATCAAAACTATAACAAAATTCTCGAACGTGATTCGTTATCACCAGCCCGATTTGAGCACTAATGCCGAATGCTGGTAATTGGACAGTGAAGCACCATGTGCGCGCGCTGTTGTGGTTTGTTTTTTATGAAAACTTATGACCGATGTCTACTTTCTTTCTCCAATTTTAAAATGAATTTGATCAATAATGGTAATAGGACCGAGTGGAGTCCAATTCGGTCCGTAATCATAGGGGTGATTAACAAAATCAGATGGACGCGAAGCGGGAGTCCGATTTGTTTAACACGATTATGATTACTGACAGAATTAGACGACAAGAAATCGTGTTACCAATAAATCATAACCATTTCAATTTCCGAGAAAACGAATACACCTAGAACAAGTATCTACAGTGGAGACAATGTCTTTAGTTAAATATTCCTCTGTTTTGGAAATTGCCTTATTTTTCTTTGGATAAGTGGTTGTTGCTATGGTTAATCTGATCAATTCTGTGATTGGTGGATTTAGCTTAGTGGACCTAGTATGATTGGCTGCTTCAACTTTCCAATTACAGGTGTCCGATTACAGCCAACTGTCTGATTACAACTGTACAGAATAATTAGTGAAAAATGAAGCAGCTGATGCACCAATCACATTTGAGGAAATTGTAATGGTAACGATTGATTGGTAACAGGATTTCGTGATTAACAAATCGGAGTCCACTTCGCGGTCGTCTGATTTTGTTTATCACTCATATGATCACACGCGGAATTGGACTCCACTTAGTTTTGGTAGCATTAATGATAAAATGCATTGCGTGACATTTTGACGCAAGCAATGTCGCCTGTTTAACAAATAATCTATTTGTTTTATATAATAAAGAATTAAAAAAAAAAATTTAATGATGACGTAATCTATACGTCTGTCCTCCAATAGATCATAAGTGAGAACCAATCAGAATGCGTGCATAACTGAGCTTATTATACAAACTCTTATTGACAACGGCAAATTGGTCCATCAGATCGCGACATTACTGCTAATTATAGCAAAATACAAGTATGCCTTCAAACTTTTAGGTTCGAAGGCATAAAAGGTCTTAAAATACCTACTCAAGAACTGAAAGAAACAAAACATTACCCGTAAAAACCGATAAGATATCATACTTTAACTTAGCCGAGGCGTTTTCACATGAATACTTCGTCACAGAACACAAATATTACCCCGCAAACACCAGCTCAAGTCAGTGGGGATGAAGGGATGGACTGGAGAGTAATAATCGGCCCGGCGACCTTCCAACTTTTTCATAAGTTAGTAAATTATGTATAACATCTTCAATTCAGGTTTTGAAAAACGCACAAAATCCAAGAATACAAGAGCACATACTGTTTGGTTTTAGACTTCATTGACCAGTCCCTCTCGATGTATGACTATGAGCCGCTGATATACAAGGCAGTGAATCATGTAAGAGGCGCAGATATTTATTACCTTGACCCCTCACATCGCATCTCGAAGAAACCTAGCTAGGCCCAGTCTTCGCGTGGAATGAGTGCCTGGTACAGGCTATCCAACAATTGTACGCCATTTCATAGTCATGTCAGAAATGAACTGACAGGTTTGCATTGATACCAAGTTTGCAATTCTCCCAAACCTGTTTTTAATTTATTCACAATCATGTCAGGAATGAACTAAGCACAAAATACTACCACTAAGACACTACCAAGTGCCGGGTGGGAATGCTATGGGGCCTTGACTACATCTCAGTCATTTCATTAGCCCAAAACTGAAACCTTTTTCAATCTAAAAAGATGTTCAGTTTAATAATTCTGAGATAAAAAAACACATTAATACAAGGTTTGTACTAGTTGTTGCAGGTTAAGTTTTTTTAATTTTGCCCATTCTCGCTGCACAAAGTACTTCTAGAGATTACATCAATTTGGATTTTTTTTACACTGCATCCTTTTTTCTGGTAAAAACTTGCTACTTAAGTCTAATAGTTCTCAGAGAAAAACATATCAAAACAAAAGTTCATAAGAGTCTTTGCAAGTTTCTTCTTCTCTTCTGCCTATTCTCCCTGCATAATGAATACAGCAATTTATTTTTTTCTTGCATTTAAAGGTATAAATAGCAATTGCTAACAAACGAGTTGTCCATAAAAGACACAAAAGTACTTGGATTAAACACATTATAAATACAGAATTGTTCAAAAAGGTTGCCAAAAGAAGAGAGGAAAATTCCAGCTTTGAATTTGCTTTAAATTGCCTTTCTCAGTAAGAATTATGTGCTGTCCAAGAATAACTGATAATTCTGCTGTTGAGGAGAAGATCGAGGCATGGAGTGAGTGTTAGACTTCTGTGGACCCCTCAGGTGCATCTTGATTTGGATAAATTAAAACCTAAGTAAGCAAAATTTGAAAGTTTTATTAACCCTTTCTGCCTTTCAAGATCTAATTAGTAATTCTCCTTACTATCTGCCATACAATTCTTATGATTTTAGTTCAGAGAATTTAGTATTGGATCAACTAATAATCCCATAATTGATATTCTTCTCTATTCTCATCACCTACCTGCTTGATATTGTATTGATATTGTAAGGAGAAATTCTGTCTTGGTCACTTGTGGGAGTGAAAGGGTAAAGGTAATCAGGCCACCTTTTGAAACACTGAGCAGTTCAATTTCAAATTTCTGACAATCATTTTTACACCTTTCTGGTAGACAAGGGTATCCAGTTGTTTTTGTACCCACAGTTGTTTCATACCCAGTACCCAATTTGGGTTATGTTTGTACCTGAACTGCAGGTTGATGGTACCCATCCTAATATTCACTCATTTGAAGTGCGTCATACATGCACATGTGAACAGATATTGATTTTTGTATACAACAAGTTGGTAGAGTCAAGCAAGTAATATCCAAGTAAAATTGAGTTGTGTTTACTTGTGACCTTCACCTTCTTTACATCTGTCTTAAGACTCCCACACCCCAAATTTTCAGGCCTTAAATTTGGTGGTTGTGTATCAAAAATGGACGCATTGTAAACAAAACTTAATTTAACTCACTCAAGTAATATTGCTGTTTTTCACCCTTTAACTCCTGTGAGTGATCAAAACAGAATCTCTCCTTTAGAATCATTTAGCAGCCAGTAAGGAGAATTACTAATGACATCTTGGGAGTTAAAGGGTTAAAGGTGATTGGCATTGTATTTCTCCTTACAGTGTCAGTGTTGAATCAAACATAAAGGCCATGAGAATAATGGAAATGATCAACCACAAGAGAAGCTCTTGACTGTTGAAAAAATTCTCCATGTCAGTACCACTGGATGTGTACCAAGAACAGTGTGGATAATGTGCATGCCTATCTTTGTTTAAGGGTTTAAACTTACTTAACAAGGAAAATACACTGTAATAGTTCTGATGCAGAATGACTTAACGGACTGGGTTTAAATGGACCAAGCTGGATAAGAATAGACTGGGTACAAATAACCTTGGATATAAAATTACAGGTGACCTTGAGAAACCCTGTGGAAGTGCAATTCACTTGAACTTACCTTTGATCCCTCAATCACATGATTTTCTGTGGCAAGTGCTTTCTTAAACCCTTCAGATGATCCAAATTCAACAAAACCAAACCCTCTATGTCTGCCTGTGTATTTGTCCTGTTCAAAATGGTAAGTGACCTATTAGTAACTTAAATTTTGCCAACAGAAATTCTAGCCCTTGGTCAGTGTTGTGGGATGAAAAAAGGTGGACAACTAAATGAACATACAATAGCTGATGAAGAAAGAAATGTCACATGTTAAAATCTTTATGGTGAGAAACTCCCCGAAAAATAGCTGTTACAAATGAAAATACATGAGCAGATTAATAAGAAGGCAAAGCAATTCAGAATAAAAATTTAGGGGTCACATGCAGCATTTCATAATTGCCTTGGTAACATTTTCCAAGAAAAGAAATTGAAGATTCTAAGACAGTGTAAAATAGTTTTTCTTCTCTTATATCATTAGCAGAATTTAAATTGGATTTAACAAATTCAAGACCACTGACCTTACACCATCACAACTTTATTACCATCTTCACTCCTAATATCTTAAAACTGATTCTCTTTACTATCTGCCATGCATTTCTTACAATGTTAGTTCTAAGAATTTGGTGTTTGATAAAGAAATGATCACCTAGTTTATTTTTTTCATTATTCTTTCCACTTGTCTGCTTGATATCGTATTGATATTGTAAAGAGAAATTCCCTCTGGTCACCCCTAGAAATGAAAGGGTTACTAGATCCTTTTAAATTGCAAATTAATGCACTGCATGGACTTACAGATTTTCTTGAAAACCAAAAATTTTTTTAATTATTTAGTGTCTCCTGTTGCTTCATTCAAGGAGATAGGTAAACTATACTGGCATTGGCAAGTATAAACAAAAGTGAACACAAGAATGAGTTAAAACACAGGCATCCCAAGCTCACATCTCAAGAAAAGGGAAAGATTAATTCTTGGACTTGTTTGTTTTTATTTCTGAAAACGTCACCCAACATGTTACACAGTGTTAGGTAATGTGAGAAACCATTGAGAATTTGAACCCCTTATAAGGATTATTATGGGGAACAAAATATGGTCAATTTACAACACTACGTATTCTGAAATATGAACACTTTACGCGTTAAATTGATCAAACTTGCTCATTGCTTGTGTGTTGCTTGTGGTTTCTGGTGATCTCTGTCAATTTGAGCTTACTTTGCCATCAATGTTATTCCTGTCATAAAATGGAGTCCAAGGCTGCTCACAAAACAGCAGAGATCACCAGAAACCACAATGAACACACATAGAATGAGTAACTGTTATTAATCTCACCTGTAAAATGTTCATAATATGAATTATAATTATGTATATAGTTATCTCCCAATAGTTAGTGTTGTACATCGTCAGCATTTTGTTTCATTTCCTTATAATGGTTCATATTATCACCAGTTCCTCATGTAACCTAACACCGCGTAACACAATGCATGACGCTTCCATGAATAACGACATACATTTCCATGAATAATCTTTCCCTTCTCTGGAGAAGTGAGCTAGGGAAACTTGTGGTCACAAAAATTAATAAGTACTTACAAATGAAATTTTCGAACTTTTGACTTTTCCAAACTGCTGAAAGTACGCGCTCAGGGTATCTGTTTAAAAATTCATTAATACAAAGTAAGCATTTTACTCCCAAAATCTGATTGTCAATTCTCGGTGTAAGCCGGTTTTCAACCCACACTAACTGTCGTTAATTCTGCCTCCGTTATGTAACTAATTCTGAAACCATCATGGCTCATACTCAAATTAAAAGAAGCCAGATTGGGTTTCCCTCTCGTTTCGTGAGAAGCTGTAAATAATCTGGCGTTAATAGAAATTATTTTGAAGATTCGATTAACATCCTAGGAATAACAAATTGAAACTATAGCTGCACGTGGTTAGGGTTCCGAATGTAATATCTACAAGGTGCCATATCTGTCTGATGCCAATGATATGCTATTTTGTAAGAGTTTCCTTAACAACAAGTGATCATTACTAACCTCGACAAACCGTCCATGGCACTTTGGACACGAAAATTGTGTGAGGACCCACAATTCGAGACGACGCCATTTTAGAGAGAGGAAGAGCTAATACGAGCTAGAGTAATCTCGAGCCCAGGGTCATTTTGGCTCCTTACCGCTGACAAGGAGCGAGAGAGAGTGAAAACTAGTTCTTTTGGGAGAAACTGCTGGCCATTATTTGGACTTTGGCACATCGTTGAAGTCCGGTGACAGAGCTGAATAACGTCTGTGCATCTGCTAAGCTTTGGCGCTTTGGCATGTGCAGATTTGTTTGTTGTTGTTGTTTTTCCTGTTTTTTTTTAACGAACAAAAAAAAAAATCAGTAACAAAAATTCGCAACCTCTCTTATTAAAAACAAACCCCGCGATCCATAGGGGGCGGCGGTTGTGGATGAAAGACGAAACATTCCTCGCGGAGAACGGATTTTCAGTCGTTTGCACGTTCGATTTTCAATTCTGCCGCTTCTAGACGTTGTTTCCTCGCCGCTTTTCTTTTACAGAACAACCTCCAAAAAATTTGGTCATCCCCTAAATATTTTCTGTATATGTTGGCCAAAAATCCTGAGAAACAGAAGATTCTTCGACAAGTGCTCTCAGTGTAAGGAAATTCTATTTTTGCAACGCTGGAAACGCCCGCTCGGATGCCATACCTAAAGGCCTGGTTACGAGAGACTCTCTGCGCCTCTGTCCTGTTCTCTCCGCTATCCCACGAAGACCGAAACAAGACATAATATTAGGGGGTTACCATATCTCTGGGGGCACTGCTCAAGTTGAATTCCTTGTTCATCAAATGGGGCGGGATGTGACTATTTTTGAAGATGCCGAAGCATTTAAACCTAAGAGATGGTTCCAAACCAAAGATACTGTTTTGATCGAAACAGTAGAAGCTTTCGCTTCTCTTCAATTTGGATTACGAACACCATTTAGTCTGATAGCCCTGTTAAAGTGCAGTTTGTTGACAGAAAATGAGTCCGGTTTCCATGTGGCCACGTTCACCTTGCATTGAAACACTGTTTTGAGTTGAAAGTGGGACAAATTCTGATGACAACTCGTTTAAATAATCCACACTTATTGGATCGAAGGTGTTCAATAAGTCACATTTAAAAGTCAGTTTCAACCATTTCAGTGATTTCCGACATCTGATAAATATTTAACTCCTCTGGCTGCCAATCACTTTCCATTTTATTTCTCTTTAGAATTATTCAGTGTTGTGTTACTTGAAGGTCACATCTTCTCGTTAATAATTTTCTGTATCCTTATCAGTAGTTCGCTCGGTAATGTATTTTATTCGGAGTTTTGAAGCATTAGAGAAGTTATCTTAAAAAGCTGCAGACATATATTTATGTGTTTCAAATTCATTTGAAAACGGTCTTATGAACTATTTTTCTCGCACGCAAATTTTTGTGACATACAAATATACAATTATATTTCGTATTGTATTCTTTCGGTTTTCATTGTACATATTGATTCACAGATATGGCACAAAAGTAGCAGACGAAAAATCTGTTAAGTTTTTTTGGTCAACAAAAACCAATCTTCCACATAAATTTTCTTTTGATAATAAAGTAACCTTTTCCAGGTGTTCAGTTGATAAAACGGAACGAAATAGTAGCGGCAGAGCGAAAGTGAAGGATAATAAGTATACAGAAGTATCTATGAGCATACAAGAGTCTGTGTGAGGATACAACAGTGTCTACGTGTAGGGGTATCGATTGACCCTTTACACCTTAAGATCAGCATGCATATTCTGCATACTGTTTTCTATACATTTCCTAGAGTGCTGACGAGGAGATTTTGCTTAACAATCAAGAGCTCCCGTACTTGTTGATCATTCCATTATTCTCGTGACCTTAATTTTTGATTCAGGAGTGATATTGTAAGGAGAAATTAGATGCTTGTCACTCGATCTTAGGGCTTAAAGGGTTAAATTGATAAAATTACCGGGGTATCTATGAGAATACAAGGGTTTGCATCACTATACAAGTCTATCTGTTTTTTTCTTTTCTTTAAATGTGTTTATTTTGGCATGTTAAACCACAGATTATTTCTTGTCAAAAGCCTTGAAAGAAATTTACAAAAATTTAAGTTTAGAAAAACCTTCTTTTCCAAGTCATACATTTTTTTAAAAGTATCTTGCATTGACTAACTAATCACCTTTGAAAAAGGATTAAAATTTTTCTTTACTTGACGAACTAGTCGCGTTCTAAACCTAAAAATTGTCACACTTTGCTTGTCTTGTTTACTGAACTAATAACTTTTAAAACATGGAGTTTTTTAACTTCGTAACTCTTAAAAAGAGGTAACATTACACGCTGTCTTGTTTCAGATTATTACACTTAGATGTATGATGGGCATTTTACTGAAATGCCATCATCTGTGTATCGATCCGAGTTGTCCTTCGCAGATGGCGTCCTCTTTCTACAAGCTAGTAATTAAATAGTTCTAAGCTTTACTAAGTCTAGTTCATTCTGCTACAGAGTTTCTATTAAAGTCATGGCCCTTAAGGTGCGCTATGCGCCGGCCAATTTCCGAAATCAAATGTCACGTTGTCGCCCATGATCATAAATGGCGCCCATTGAGAAACTTTGTCAAAGCCGTTATTTCTCATCCACTTCCTGGCCTTATGGAGAGATTCACTGGCGCTTTCACCGCGGAACAAATGTTTGTAGAAACATGTCATGAACTGCTCTGTGGCTGTGTCATCCAGTGCCCATCGTGCCGCTAACACTGAACGAGCTCCGGATCCTAAGAACGCTCGAGCAATTCCAATGATTCCCTCGGTTCTAATCTGTCCACGAGCACTGTAACTACAACTAAGCACCACTAGTTTAGCTCGCAACCGAGTTTTTGAAATATCCGCCATCGTCAAAAGATAATCTTCTTCTCGAGGAAAAGGTGGGAGTGGGGAAGGGTGCTCAGGAGAAAGAGCAATCTCCCCTCTATCGGAATAACCACGGGCAGAAATGTGTATCAGGCTCACTGAATTTATCGCTTGGAGTACAGAATGCTTTGTCGCGGAATCTCCTATCAAAGGCGTCACGCCAAGAAGTGTTCCAATCATCTCTGCTTCCTTTCTTGCACACGGCGATGGAATCATATTTCTGAGCTTCCCCTCGTAAATCACCTTTCCAACTACAGGGTCACCCACTATCAGTGCCCCGGTCTGACTGTGAAGGTCTGGAGGACTTTCCTGAACAAGCTTGAGAGTCGTCAGGGAAGGAACCAGCCGAATCCTGTAGGTCTCTGATAAATACTTGCCTCCTTCGTCAGCCAAGGCTGCAAATGGCACTTGGTACACACAGGAGTCAGGGACAATTATGATCTCGGGCTGCTTCAGTAAACTGGCCACGGGAGCAATGATTACCTTGTAACACAAGTGAAGACATCTTTTGAAATCTTCGGTATCATAGTCTTTCAGCTTTGGTCGGTTGCGAAATGACATCAGTTCTTTAAAAAACTCATCTAACTCAGGGACCTCGTTTGGGTCCAGGTTCACTTCCTTTCTTGAAAAATGAATATCTCCCGTTGCTTTAATTATCCAAAACCGTACATCATTTTCACCAACCGAAATGTACAGGCATGCACAGTCTGCTTCTTTTGCGATGATCCCTTGAATGCCACACCAAGATTGTGGATCGCTTGAGATCTGCTCTTGAACAGAGTACCGAGCTGCCATCAAGTTGGCCAGGCCTCTTGCCCTTCTCAGCTCTTCGACGTAAAGGGCGTCTTGCGGCTTTCCAGTGGAAGAAAGCAACCTACTGAACAACATGTAGGGAAAGGCACCGTGCGTTTCTAGAAGACATATTTGAAACTGATCGTTTTCTTTAAGAAAACCTCTCAAAGTTTTGAACTTTTCAATGCCTTGAAGAAGATACGAAGAAGCCTCTTATCGATGACATTGTGACAACTTTAACGCAGATAGATTACAAAGGCTGCAAAACTCGTTCAAGTTGTGTCCAATATCCCTACTTAATAGGAGAGACTGCTTAAGGAATTCTTCGGCCTTGTCATATTTACCACGCGATTGGAAACACAATCCTAAATCCCTGTAGTTGACTATTACTCCTTCTCTCTCACCGATTTCCATGCAAATTGTAAGGGCTTTCTCGAAATATTCTTGAGCCTTGTCATATTCACCACGCTCCTGAGAAATTAACCCGAGGTGATTGTAATCTATTGCTTCTCCGCTTCTATTATTCATACCGTTTGTAACTGCCATTGCCTTCCCTAGATAGTCGTCAGCCTTTGCATACTTGCCAAGTGAGAGAAACAAAGATGTGAGGTATCTATAGATTCTTGCTTCTCCATTCTTGTCACCAATTCTTTTTTTGATAGAGAGTGCTTTCTCCTGATATTCTTGGGCCTTGTCAAATTGACCGAGTGATTGGAACAAATATCCTAGGTTTGCGTAGATTGTTGATTCTCCTTCCCTGTCACCAATTTCTGTTGTGATAGCGAGTGCTTTCTCGTGATATTCTCGGGCCTTGTCATATTGACCGAGTGATTGGAACAAAGTTCCTAGGTTTCCGTAGACTTTTGCTTCTCCATTCCTGTTACCAATTACTAAATTGATGGCGAGTGCTTTCTCCTGATATTCTCGGGCCTTGTCATATTGACCGAGTGATTGGAACAAAGTTCCTAGGTTTCCGTAGTTTGATGCTTCTCTATTCTTGTCACCGATTTCTAAATTGATTGCGAGTGCTTTCTCCTCATATTCTCGGGCCTTGTCATATTGACCGAGTGATTGGAACAAAGTTCCCAGGTTTCCGTACCTTGTTGCTTCTCCATCTCTGTCACCAATTTCTAAATTGATAGCGAGTGCTTTCTCCTGATATTCTTGGGCCTTGTCATATTGACCGAGTGATTGGAACAAAGTTCCTAGGTTTCCGTAGCTTGCTGCTTGTCCATTCCTGTTACCAATTTCTATTGTGATAGCGAGTGCTTTCTCCTGATATTCTCGGGCCTTGTTATATTGACCGAGTGATTGGAACAAAGCTCCTAGGTTTCCGAAGCTTGTTGCTTCTCCTTTCCTGTTACCAATTTCTAAATCGATAGCGAGTGCTTTCTCGTGATATTCACGGGCCTTGTCATATTGACCGAGTGATTGGAACAAAAGTCCTAGGTTTCCGTAGCTTGCTGCTTGTCCATTCCTGTTACCAATTTCTATTGTGATAGCGAGAGCTTTCTCCTGATATTCTCGGGCCTTGCCATATTGACCGAGTGATCGGTACAAAGTTCCTAGGTTTCCGTAGCTTGCTGCTTCTCCACTCCTGTCACCAATTTCTATTTTGATAGCAAGTGCTTTCTCCTGATATTCTTGGGCCTTGTCATATTGACCGAGTGATTGGAACAAAGTTCCTAGGTTTCCGTAGCCTGTTGCTTTTCCATTCCAGTCACCAATTCTCAATTTGATAGCGAGTGCTTTCTCGTGATATTCTCGGGCTTTGTCATATTGACCGAGTGATTGGAACAAACATCCTAGGTTTCCGTAGCTTGTTGCTTCTCCATTCCTGTCACCAATTTCTATTTTGATAGCGAGTGCTTTCTCCTGATATTCTCGGGCCTTGCCATATTGACCGAGTGATCGGTACAAAGTTCCTAGGTTTCCGTAGCTTGCTGCTTCTCCATTCCTGTCACCAATTTCTATTTTGATAGCGAGTGCTTTCTCCTGATATTCTCGGGCCTTGTCATATTGACCGAGTGATTTGAACAAAGTTCCTAGGTTTCCGTAGCTTGTTGCTTCTCCATTCCTGCCACCAATTCAATATTAATAGCAAGTGCTTTCCCCTGATACTCTCGGGCCTTGCCATAATGACAGAGTGATTGGAACAAAGTTCCTAGGTTTCCGTAGCTTGTTGCTTCTCCATTCCTGTCACCAATTTCAATATTGATAGCGAGTGCTTTCTCATGATTTTCTCGGGCCTTTTCATATTGACCGAGTGATTGGAACAAAGTTCCTAGGTTTCCGTAGCTTGTTGCTTCTCCATTCCTGTCACCAATTTCTAAATTGATAGTGAGTGCTTTCTCCTGATATTCTCGGGCCTTGTCATATTGACCGAGTGATTGGAACAAAGTTCCTAGGTTTCCGTAGCTTGTTGCTTCTCCATTCCTGTCACCAATTTCGATTCTGATAGCGAGTGCTTTCTCCTGATATTCTAGGACCTTGTCATATTGACTATGCGATTGAAACATTTGCCCGAGCTTTGCGTAACATGTTGCCTGGCCATGAGTGTTTTCCATCGTTTTCATGATGTTGATAGCTGATTCGTAAAATTTCCAGGCCTCCTTTAATTTGTTTTCTATCTGAAGTATATCTGCAAGTTTTAAATGTAGCCATCCCTTTTCAGCGGTGTCAGTAGAGTCTAGGTATAGGAGGAGTTCTTTGAGGAATTTTTCTGTACTTCTGTAATCCTTTATGTAATCGTAAGCAAGGATTATTCTCTTGTAGATGGCTCGGAACTTAAAGTTTGCCAATGAACTATCGATAGCTTGCGCCTAACTGTGTACTATAATCAAACATTCTTTGTATACCTCGATGGCTTGCAACACGCGACCAGTTTTGCGAAGGAAATCGGCGACCAATATACCTGTGACTTCTTTTATGCTGCCCATCTTGACCCTGTTTCTTCTCAGTTTGAAAAAAAAGGAGAAATTAGTCAAAACCTATTCACGGATTGTTTGTTTGAATGTTTTTAGTTTTGAATTTCAAATTGCAAGTTTTATCTTCCCCGCCCTACCTTGTAGTCTTTTTGTATTCACGTGCGGCGCACGTGATTTCACAATTAGCAAATCAGGTCAAAGAACTCTAACCTTGACATTGGAAAACTGACGTGAACATTTTTTGCGTACTTTTGTTGCCTGTCTTAACAGAGTTTAGTTGATTGTTTTTGAGCTTTCGTTCGCGCAATTTCTCTAAGCCTTTGTTTTGAGTTTTAAGAAGTTTCTGAGTTTTTATTTTAGCCAAATGTTGTGGTTAATTTAACAAGTTTAATACATAATTTAAACGGAGTTTGGACTCTAGCCTCTTTTTTCGTATATGGATTTTTGTACACTGTCCATCAAAGAGGAACACATCTTTACCGTCTCTTCTACCGGTGTGTTCGTTTTGTTACACTGTCACGCGAATCACGCAAATCAGAGACCAACTGGAAAATTGAACTGGCTAACAGAACACAACAAGTTTCATTTGACCTGCTGATTCATATTTAGTTTACAGTAACTGAATTCAATTATGTAAGAAGGAGCAATGCTCTTAACAAAACCGATTTACTGGGCTCTCAAGGGAGCTCGTGTTGCATCACACTGCTTACTGCTAATTCTAAACTGCCCAACCCATATCTTAATAATAATCAGAAAGTAGGTTTTCTTTGATCTGCTTCCCAAAAATATATGTAACTCACAGGTTTTGCATCTTGCATTTTGATTGTGGAAATCCTTGTAAAAGGCGCATTATTTGTCGATGTTTTTTGAAAAGTATTATAAATGGAAACAATGATGTTTTTTCCTTTCTACATCTCATTCAATTCATTCAATGTAAGAAGTCGTAGTTTCTACGGGGGGGGAGGGGGGTGAACAGTGAGATTTCTATATGCTGTTAATGTTGTCATTCTTGTAATTTTCTTTTGTAGTTTTCATAACGATACTATTGTTGTTTCGATTCCTAAAACAGTCAACATTGATGCAAATTACCTTTTGAAGTTAGAAACATTCCTTATTCATTTTGATGAAGGTAAAGGAACTTGTATGAGATCTTCCAAAGGAAGTAAACTTTTTCCTGGAAAAAAGAAGGAAAAAAATCCGCGGTGAAAAGTCGGGAATTTATCAAAATGATTTTTTTGGTTTCTTGTCACGCCATCAAACTAAAAGTAAACAGACTGAATCGGTTTAAAGCCAAGAATCACCGAGAAAATTTATAACAATCTGGCTAGGTCTTTTTTTCAGAGTCAATTATTTTCCACTGAAAAGGCTATCGCCCAAATTTCGGACAAAAATTAATGGGGTGTTGTTTGAGGGGGCCAATTTTTTTCCCTTTCATAGACTGCAAATGTAATAACCATAAAGTAAATAAATATTGTTTCTTTTCGCCATAAAAATGATAAACCGTTGCGTTTTGGCAAAGAATGATTTGACGACTCAGGAGACAAACACTCGATACCAACATTTTCATACATTCATGATGTCTTCCTCTGCCAGCTATTTTAAGATTTAGGAATAGCATTGGAGGTCATGCTGATGACTGGCGAAAAGTTTCATTTTTCACAGTTTTTTTCCTTTCGGAATATCGCCCGGCACAATCTTCCGTTGAGTGTTAGGGACATATTTAATTTTCAAATCGTTTCCAGTTCTGATGTATTAGTGTTCACGGCCCCTACATCATCGATCGTTTTAGATTAAAGAAAACCTCAATTCCTTAAAATATTATCTGATAGTTCATAAGTTCCTGTTTTCACTGTGTTTGTTAAATATCTTTGATCACGGTTCTCATTTTTCCTTCAAGTCATCAAAAATTGGTAACAACAGCTTCACCTACTCAGACTATTCAGGAGGGTAACCAAAAGGAACTTCGGTTGCTTGTAACCAGCTCCCCAATCAGTAATGACAATGGAACAAAGATTTGCTCCTAAATCCTTGTTAGATGCTGCTATCAAATTCCTCTCCGCCCCCTGCCCCATTAATCCAATTAATCCCTAATTATCCATTACTATTGGAAAGTGAAACTTGCGGTAAATTCCGGGTAATCAGGAGTACGTGACATCAGAAGGAAAAATCACTCGTTCTTTGAAGGAAGTTTCGATGAGTTTCAGGAAAAGAATTTGTGCAAAAAACTTGATCTATTCAGGAAAAGGCTTTTCAAGTCAAATTCGTTCATCAAGTTTTCGAGCATAATTCCTAACCTCGGCTCTCACATAGAATTTTCAACTTTTGATGACCCGCGGCTAATCGCTCGCTGCAGTACTTTTCAAGTTTAACTCGCTTGCCTGAATAAAGAGAATGTTTAAACTCGGATAGATGACCGATGTTGTACATTCTTAGGAAAATTCCTCTTCGTTAGAGTGGTCCAGGTTCACTATTCCCCTTTCCCTCCCCTCCCTAAAAGAGATATCATTTGTTGATCATCACTTACATAAAGCCAAGCGAGATCCTCTCGATCATAACATCACGTGATTGTTACCATATATCCATCTTATTTAGATTAACACCCTTAAGAGGTAAACGAAGACAGCAATGTGTTGTCTTTTAAGGGTACAACACTGATCAACCCGGCCGTTCCTCTTATTTACCAACTTTGTCTTCGATGACGCAAATCGCACTCATTGGAAAATGAACACCTCATGAAAAGTTAGTCATCGAGCACAAATAACTTACCGTTTTAAGACAGAAGCTCCAATTCAGTACTGCGAGAAGTCTTGATTGTAATTTCGGGTTAAAAATCCAACGGTTCTTTCAAAACAATGAATACTTAGACCGGATGTTACCTGCAACAAAAGTGAATTGTTTCATTTTTGCATGTAGTCACATCCATCATCGGTACAAAAGTTAGACGTACAAAACCGAAATACATTTACGTACATCAAATGGCGCTTCAAAAGTAGGATAACAAATATCCGTCACTCCTTATCTTTCCTTTACTGGAACGAACCAAATGAATTCATTTAAGATTTTGTCATGGACATTCGAAATTCATAACGGTTGAAATTCTGCGCGAGGTTGGTGCGCTAGTAGATAACCCTTCGGCTAACTCAGATGATGTCGGAACTTAAGAGAAGGTAGTTTGAAAGAAATCATCATCACGTCCAGTGCCGGTTGAAATCATAAGTTGATTCGTCGAATTTAGTCAACTTTTGGTAGGTCTCGGTGTTAAAACCGACTTTGCTCCTTGTGAATTCCTTCCAATTTTTTTCCGCACATATCAGAATTCTCTTCCGCCAAGCCATTAATCACAACATTCTTAAAAGAACAAGGTTTGAAGCAGTTTTAAAAACCGATGCTCCAAGCCAAAACGATTTCCATAGTCTATGTCAAGGCAAATCATGATGGAAGTGAATCAGGTCTTTTCACAAACAGTACTTACCACAACCTGTAGCCTTCAGTGCCCGGTCTCGAAGGTAACTTTAACCATCTCTTTTCGTCCTTCGAGTATTTTCCAACACACGTCATACGTCAGTCATACCAATAGAATGTGGTTGTCTTTTTCTGTTCGACCGTGTCATTCTCTTCCCCAGGCCCGCTGAACGCAACGGCCAAACGTAAGCGTCAATGGAAAAGGTCCTTTAAGTATAATCAATGACTTTTTCATTTTGTACGCTTGTCGTTGACCGATTTACGTAGGATTTCTATTAGACCAAGCACGGTACAATCTCTTATTTGTGGAGCGTTTTTCTGATGTATGCAGCGAGCGCCTTTTCACGGATAATTCACTTAGCGAGAAACTACCCAACATGAACATCGGAATATTCTCCATGGTCAGATATGAATCAATGGACAACCGGTAAGCTTATGAACCAAGTGAGAAAAACGAATAAAATCGCTCCAAGGACAACTGGAGAAGACTCAAGGAAGTAAATGAATTCATTTGTTTTCATGTTAATTGTCCTTCAATAATTCGTTAGGGGAGGAAGCTTTCTCTTCTCTCTTCCTATAGACCGTCTCCCAGCTGCAGGGTCTTTTTCAAGTGAGCGGAGAGAAGCCTGGGGCGAGCTAGAGGAAGCACGTGAGGGTGCCGAGCCTCAGATCGATACTTTTGGACGATTCTCTCAGATTACTGATGGGATTGCTAAGTTTTCATGACAAGAGAATTTGTAGGTATTCAGTAGTTTTTCATGTGGATATTTGTGTTTAACTTAGAACTCTTGGAATGACCAGTATTTAATTTCTCCTTATAGAAATAATGATAGGTCATTCCTTAAGATAACGAGAATAAGACAAATGATCACTAACTCAAGAAGCTTTGATTGTCAAACAAATTCTCCTTGTCAGTACCAGAGGAATTGTACAGAGAAAAGTATGGAGAATATAGATACTAATGTTAGGGTGTAGAGAGGTTTAGGTTTCAGATGATGCAAAATGATCAAATTCCTTCTGGCATTAAAAAAAATCAGAAAGCACATCTTGCACATCAGTACTTTCAGTGAGTGACCCTTTGTTTTGGCAAAAACCAGCTCTTTCTGTTTGGAAAGACCTGGTTTGGAAAGGGTCCGGAGACTGAAGAAGTTGTTCTAACTAACATGTTATGGTATGTCTTTGTTTTCTGTTGTTTCTATCCCGGCTCTCGATGAAAAGATGGTGACATGGTGTACACTCAAATTTAGCAAAAACTGGGTAGGAAATAATACATTTACCCTTTCAATCCCAAGATCTCAATAGCAATTCTCCTTCATGTCTGTTATACAGTTCTTATGATGTTAGTTTAGAGAATTTGGTATTATATCAACTAATAATCCCTAATTTAAACTTTTCTTCACAATCAACACTTGTCAGCTTGATATTGGATTAATATGGTGTGAAGAAATTTTGTCTTGGTTTTTTGTGAGAGTTGAAGGTTTACACAGACTTAAGATATGATAATACTCAACCAGGTGGTTGCATTCACAAAAAACAAACAAACAAACAAACAAATGCTGGTAAGAAATGTTTCTTTTTTTATTCCTCACCTTTCCAAGTTACTGGCTAGTGTTAAAACTATCTCCATGGCTATCCTGAACATATGAAGTAACAGAAGCCACTAAAGAACTGATACCATCATCTCAACATTCTATCTATCAACATCAGGCACACAGCCAAACATAACTCTCTAAAAGAAAGTTCTGATTTTAAGGTAAACATAATTAGTACTAAAGTTTACCGCAAATAATGTTCTTAGTTACATCTGAATCAGCCTTCTCTTTGAAAGTTGTTTTCTAGATCTTACCTGGTAATAAGAATAAACTTTGGTACATGCAAACCTCAATACTAAGGAGTAAGTTCTAGAAACCATGCATGTGTATCTGGTTTGGTTTGGCTAGTTTCAGTTGTTTAAGAAAATCACTGATATTCTGACACTGGTCACCTTTTAGCTGTAACACCTCCCCATATTATAGGTTTTCAACAGCTGTTCCATTGTAGTTGAATTCCTGCATAGGCGAAACGAGGAAAACTATCATCTAAACTAATACATGGGCGCGCGTTGATAAGGAATTTCCCCTTTCGTGTTATACTCGAAATCTCACTCTATCGCTGCGCTCACTCGTGAGCTATCGAGTAGAATACTCGTAGAAAAATTCCGTATCAACGCGTGCCCATGTATCATTGGTGCTCTAAGGGTAGCTATCGCTATGTACGTCCTTCGTTCATCAAGCGCTTGAGCCCGCGTTATTGACCGCATACCTGTGACTTAATATTTCATTAGATATACGGCTTTCTCTTTTTTGCACATTTGCATAAAACACGCGGGCGATGGCAGCAGCTTTTGGAAGGTATTCATCGGCTAAAACTGCTTCTTATGCATTGATATTTGCTTTTGCTGCATATACCTAAAATTTCACTTCTTATTTGTTACAGCTCCCCGAGTAAATACAAACTGGATCGATGGTTTGTGAAGAGATTTTGGCGATGTTGGAAAGTTATGACTCCAAGCTGCTCTTCTACAACCTTTCTTCTTTTTGTGCTCTTGGTGGGGTTCGCTTTGGCAGGTAAAAAGGCCAGGACTATTATTTCTAAAAATCGTTTCAGATAACAGAGGTTCGCATATTCAGTTGCAACTCGGTTATTTCCGTAAAGCTTGTGCTATCCAATTACAGTCTAATTACGCAGTACAGTGATAAATTCGTTTTCCCCCATGAATGTTCCATGTTTTATTCACAACCCCCGCCCCCAAGGGATCGAGGGGTTTGTTTTTCACTAAAGAGACTGCGAATTTTTGTTACCTTTTTGTTCAAAAAAAGAAAAAAAACCTTAGGGGCTTAAGGTGATCATAACAGCACATTTTAATACTTTTACTGAAAATAAAAAAAGTAATAAGAAAATGAAAAAATTAACTTGAAATAAAATAAAAAAGGAGTAATTTGAATCAATCTCAGAAAAGGAGTGGGGAGAGGACAGGGGGATGCAGAACTCTCTATCCCCCTCCCCCTACCCCCCTTCCACTAAATCTCCTCCTGTCAGTTTGGTCAAGGCATTTTATTTCTAATTTTTCTTAGTTTTCAAACTTTTCAAAGTCAATAATTTTATTTTACTTTGTTTTGAATTATTATCTATAACCTTGGACAAAGGCTCACAAAAATTAAAGTGGTTTAAGATATTTGAAACTAAGAAGAATTTGAACTACAATGAAGAGTCAAATTATCATGTGTGCATTTTCTTCCAGCTCAAATGATGGTTTACAACACTGGATTAATACCAAGCAGATTTTATGAAGTTCTTTTAGCCAGAGATAAAGAGGACTTTTCAAGTCTTTTGATATCATCTCTTCTGATAATCATTGGTGTTTCACTGGTAAGTTTTCAACTGAGATAAAAAAAAACCTCCTTTATGGTATTGACTGTTGGCTCATTATTATCCACAGCTACAACTTAAAGCTTGCAAACTCCTTTTGTCCACAATTATGAAGAACAAATATTCGGCAAATGTTTTTTCAACTATCTCAAATCCTGAGACTACTGGTTCTTCATCTTTTGCATCCTATATATTACTAATAACTTTTAATTTTACTATGGACTTACTATGGCTTATCAACACATTATCTGCTGTCTAGAATTATATCTGCCAGGTACTTTTTGGGGGGGGGGGACCTAATCTCACAAGCCTTGGTGGTTTTTATTAGTTTTTTTTTGCTGATAATTAGGGTTTTTTGTGTGTGGTTTCTTTACCAGTTCCTGTAAATAGTAGTTGTATTATGAAATGGCAACTCAACAGCACAAAAAAATGAGGCTTGTTTTGGGACTAGGCAGTTTATTGAATGTATATAATTTATATTCTGCACACATAAAAATCTAGACTATTACATCAAAGGTATTTGACAGATACACTAATACAGCAGTCCAGTAATCAGGAATTTATTACAAACACCAATGAAATATAGAAACAATCAAAAGTGCTTGTGGTGTGGGTAGGAAACTAAAGCTTTCTTTGAAGCTAGATCTAAATTGTTTCTTGCTTGGTTGATTGTAAATAAAAACATGCCCAGATACCCAAGCAATTAGAATGCACTAGCATGGTACAAAGTAACTGGGTCTGTCCAAGTCTTATTGCAATTGCAAGCTGAACAAATTGCTTCATGTAGGAAAGAACTAACTGCTTTTACCCAGGCTGGACCTCTCACTTATTTATATAGAATTATAGATTCATATTAATAAGGTTAACATTCACATAAAATAATAATAAAAAATTTTGTGCACAGTTTTATAAGCTTGTTTTTCCATAGACTATTTCCTCTATAATAACATTTATTTTACTTCTTTTTTGGTATTTTTAGGCAAACAGTGCAATGAAATTTGTCTCAAGAATTCTTTATGTCAAATGGAGAGAGTTACTTTGTAGGAAACTTCATGCAGGCTATTTTAAGCATAGGGCGTATTATAAACTGAATGTCCTAGATGACAAATATGACAACGTGTGAGTAGAATGTCCATGTTATATACTTATTACTGAAATGGGAGAGCTAGATGGGAAAGTATTTAGCCTGATAGGACCAAGCAGTGAAGTCCATGCCATAAGCAAGAACTACATACAAACTGTATGTTTTCTGTGGCCTAACCTTACACAGTAAATAAATTAATACGATGGCCTCTCTTTTTGCCTTTTGCCTTTCTTCTTGTACTCTGCATGTCATATTAGGACTCTGCATGTACACAGGATCCACTGACCCTATCGCTGGCTGGCCTAATATGATAATATTTAATCAATGAATAAATTTTTTTCCTGTTAAGGTAAGTGTGGAACTGTAGGAATATATTTAACAATGAAGAGCTTCATTAGTCGGTATTCGTTTTCTTTATTCTCTTAACCTTAATGTGTGATTCAGGGATGATATTGTAGGGTAAATAAGTCACTTTTAGGCTTCAAACGGTTAATAAAGATTTATATCCAAGCAATGTCATGTAGTTGATAATATAGTTGGCCTTGGATGGAGAAGTGTTAGTAGATGGCAAGGGTTTTTGTTACTATTTGCATTTTTTTTAATGCAAAATTTCCTTATTTCTTTCAGAGATCAGAGGATTACCCAGGATGTGGAAAGATTTTGCGACACATTTAGAAAAGTGATCATTGTTGTTGTGGTTTCCCCTTTCACCATTACATATTACACATATCTGTGCTATCAGAGGTGATTATCATATAATATAGATTTTTAAGAAGAAATTATTGTAATTGTTGGTAGCAAAGAAACTGAACTTTCACAAAGGAAAAATTAGCCATTTGTGAGAAGCAAAAGTTCTAATGCCTTCTGCCTTTGGGACACAAAAGGTTGAGGTTAATGAAGCCTCATTGGATGTGCATTTCATTGTGTCTCATGGCCAAGATACTTTACCTTTACAGTGCCTCTCTCTTCACAGAAGCATTAATGGGTTAACTGGTAAACAGAGGAAAAAAAAATTTGGTGGGGGAGGGGAGAGGTGGAGAAACTTAGTGTTGGAGTTATTTAAACTACAGGGGCTCAAAAGTTGTTGATAAATGCATACCCCCTTCCCCTCCCCCACTCCCAAAATATTTTGCACTCAGGCTGTAAGGTTATAGATAGAGAAAAATGAGTTGTTTTTTTGGGTTGGAGGGTGAGGAGAACTACAATAAAAACTGAGGAGGAAGAGAATTAAGCATGCAGAAGACTTAGGTTGTAGGCAGTAGCTGATGTTTTTATGAATTCAGTCTTGGATTCATTCTTGGAGTAGGTGGGGGACAGGTTGGTAGATGGGTGGGGCTGGTGGTGCAAGGCAGGTTAGGGCGCAGAAGGGAAGAATTGAAATAGATGGTTGCCTGCTGGTTGAGACTCTGTCTTTAGTAAATACTCTGACCTTTGTTATAATTTGTGTTTGTCATTGCCTTCCTCAACTGCAGTAACCAGCTGATCAAAATAAGCTGTTTATGTATATTTCAGCAGAGATCGCAAAGCGTAGCCCCATAATTATACAAAATAGTAGTAACCCATGAAGCTGAAAAAATTTGGATGTACGACTGTACAACCATATACAAGGTGCTACTTCTATCATGTGTGGTCAACTGTGCTGCAGGCACACCAACGCCATGGCTTTGTTCAGTAGTCCAGTGATCACTGCACTGGGCTCCGAGTCAGACGACCCGGGGCTCTAGTCGTGGCCGGGGCAAGGTGTTGTGCCCTTGAGATGTGCAGGAAAAAAAAATGCAAACTCTTTATATATTAATTAATGCTCATCAGTGTGTTGTTGTTTTGTTTTCAGTTCAGGATATCTTGGTCCAGTGTCCATATATGCCTTCTTTGTTGTTGGAACAATACTAAACAAATTAATAATGTCACCAATTGTTAACCTGGTTGTGAAGCAAGAGAAGCTTGAAGGAGACTTTAGGTAATTTCTCTTATCTCTGTTTGTCCTGGAATGAACCCTTTCACTCCCAAGATCTCATTAGAAATTCTCCCTATTGTACACCATACAATTCTCTTGATGTTACCTGGGAGAATTTGTTTATTGGATCAGCTAGTAATCCCCTAATTGATATTTTTCTTTATTCTCATTACTTGTCTGCTTGATATTATATTGATTTTGTAAGGAGAAATTCTGTCTTGGTCACTTATGGGAGTGAAGGGTTAAGCAGAAGCCCTCTGGGGTGGAATTTTTTATGTTTGTCTTTTTTTTGTTCATCTATATTTTGTTTATTTGATTTTTCCTGTGTATTAATATTATTTTTTTTTTGTATGAATAGAACAGTTTATTAAGCTTATTTTGTTTCAAGCCTGGCTTACAAAAAGCCTTCTCTTCAGAAATTGGTCTCAGAGTAATAGTGATAAATTTGGGTATGATATATGAGGCTTGGGTATCAGTGGTAGGATCTTCACTAATATTTTTGATAAGGATTTTTTTTTTTGAAATTGTTTCAGGTTCAAACACATGCAAATCAGATCAAATGCAGAATCAATAGCATTTTACAGATCTGCTGGCTTAGAAATGAGAAAAACCAACTCAAAATTACAGGTATTGTTCATTAGGGATTAATGTAGTGTCAACAGCTAATACCAATGAACTCATTGATGGGTCTCCATGTTACAAAAGAGTAGGCCATTATCACTCCATCTGGGAAGCTTAGGGTGTTTACGATGAATCTCCAGTGGGGTGCAAAGTCCCTCTCCATGTCCTGGTTGTGAACCCTGGGCAATGTCCCAAAGTAGGGGATGGGAGAGTGAGGGTGAAGTACAATGGGAACTCCACTCCACAAGTGCACAAGTTGGTAACATTGAAGGCTTGATTGGAACCCCACAGCAGGGCAGCAAACAGACCTCTAGTGTGTTGGAGAAGGCTAACCCTTACATGGTGGATTCAATGAGTTACTGAAACTGAAACTGTGCAAAACTTTGCCTGATCTTTATAGCAAGAAGAGATTTAACAGGAACCATTCAACCAGAATGTAACGATATTCTATTGTTAATCATGGGGATTATGTTATGGTTCAGCTCATGAATAGTTTGATGTCTGAATGAAAGGCATTTCAAATAAATTCCTGACCAAGTCTCACAGGTGGGAAGAATGGCTGTATTGGCAAAACTGACAGAGCTAGCTGTCTTTATTGTGATTCAAATGCTGAACTTTTCATGTACAATTTAATTCTGATGAATATATAAGGTTTGACTTGTGAAAAATTTGGTGTTTGAAGTTGGCTCTTCTCTAACTCAAATCTCTGTCCTGGATTGTGTGATCTTTATCAGGCTGGTGAACTTTCTTTCCAGCCGTACTGTTGCAATTTTTCCTTTTACAGCTCATCTCATTGCTCTGATTCAGCGTAATGTTGTCTTTTTTTTTTTTCTTTTTAGTCACTTATAAAAGTTCAGACCAGAATTGTGACCTTTGAGAGCATCCTTTTCTGTAAGTTCTTTAAAATTATAGTAAAATCATCAGAAATCAAAATTAAATTTATGTCAAGTTGCCAAATGAATAACTCTTATGTACTTACTGACTGAGTCGGAGAGCTGGATGGGAAAATGTTTGGCTCCAGGTCATGATTTTAGGACAAATTGCTAAATGTTTTCCACTCCAGCTGGGCCTAATTGAAACTACAATAACCATTTTATCATATAACCCTCACTTTTTGTCTTTCCTCTCCTTATCTTTCAGCTTGCATGTACATGTAGCTTTGCTATTTGGCTTTTTTTGGCCATGGTCATGTCCTTGTATGTAGCTTGGTTATTTGGCTTTTTGTGGCCTTAGTCATGTCCTTGTATGTAGCTTGGCTCTTTGGCTTTTTGTGGCCTAATAGTCATGTCCTTGTATGTAGCTTGGTTATTTGGCTTTTTGTGGCCTAATGGTCATGTCCTTGCATGTAGCCCCCATACAGGGATTTTTGTCCAATTTTCTTCCCAATGAAAGAGGAGGTGGTGCAAGGCATTACCAGTTATATGATGAAAATATTTGTGATCAACCTGTCTTTTATGTTATTTTGCAGTCTCTGTAAATATGTTTGATTATGTGGGAGCAATTCTCAGCTACCTAATTATAGCAATTGCTTTGTTTGGAGGAAAGTTTGACAACATGTCTACAACTGCTCTTGGTGGAGAGATAAGTAGGGTATGTATGAAGGGTCTCTGTCTTTATTTATTTCAATATCCTGCTAGTGAAAACTAGTGATGTCGTTGATACTATTATCATACTGTTTTGTGGTAACCTGAAGACTGACCAGGTAGAAGTCTGTTGCCTCATGGAATTCACTGACACAAAATGCTCTTAGGGTAGTTAGGCATAAACTAAATGATTTTGTTTCTGTAATGTTTTTTAATACTTCAATGGTCAGGGCTAGCTTCTTGTCTTTCTCTCCATTATTTCACTAGCTTCAGTAAGTCTTTTCCAACCATAATATGGTGGCTGTTGACTTAATATCGGGTTTTTGACTATCAAAACTACTCTCACTAATTGCATTGGGATCTGCTCCTTAAACCAACAATGGACCCTTACCAGAGTGTTTGCATTTCAGTGTTTCATTGGTGAACAGGGGGGGAGAGGGAAAGTTTACTTCCCCACTCCTCCCTCCTCCTTTTGACCAAGGCTTAATTCTAGACTGTACATCAAATTTTCAAATCTGTCAAATTCATCAAATTCTCTTTTTGTTAGTTCTTGTCTCTTTTATCCCAGCTTCAATATGACTTGGAATCCGTAGATGTAGAATAAACATGTGGATGTTCACCTACCTATTGTTGGTATACACCACTCATTTATAACTAATCTCCCATTTAATATTCAATAAAATCCCTGATATCTTATATGTTTTTTATAACTGCAAGGTTGTATTCATCTCAAACTTTTAGAGCTCATTTTTTGCAATGTACCTGATAAACTGCTGCACACAGCTGATTGACTTGTCTGTAGATGTTACCAATATGGCTGGATATGTTCACAGGTAAGCTGCTTGTGCTTAACATTATTCTCTATACATTTGACAGGGGGAATTTGTGTCACAATCTTGAGCTTCTTTATAAGTAAGTGATCTTTTCCATTATTCCTGACTTAAATGCATTGATTTAGGGGGATATTTGTGAGGAGAAATTAAATGCTATAGTCAGTCTTAGAGGGTTTAATGGGAACAGAAAAATGATCTTGGCTTTAGTTGTTAGGATGCTTTTAGATAAAAAGACAAGAAATTCAAAAAAGGTTGAGTTTAATAAAAAAATTTACAAAGAAGCAATGCTTCATGTATGCTGTTGGCTCCTCTATCATTGAATTTCCACTGAATTTTTTAACTTCCTCTTGGATCCCCAGGATAGGTCAGTTGTTGGAAGTTTTCTCTGACATGAAAACTGAAACAGAGCAGAAGACCAAGGAACATCCAGAACATTTCGGGTAATCCTAAGTTAGACACATACATGTAACGATATGTTTTGATTTAAAAACTGGATCACTGGATAATGCAATTCAAGAGGTTTCATTGGCGTAGCCATCATGGGCTATGAGCCATTATACCAAAGTGTGTATTGCAATGATTTAAACCAAAAGTGTTTTTGTACATTGAAACATTCTGTATGTTCTTATAAAAAAATTTAGGGAAAATTTGTATATATTTTGGGGCATTTTTAATAAAACTATTATTCCACTTGTGCTTGTTAATATCTATCTTCTCATTTTTGGTGTGTGCTTGTGGAATAATTGTTATATATAATAAGCTGTATTCTGCACTCATTCACACTGTATTCACTAATAGAGGACAGATTCATGGTTGATATCACAATAAACATCATTTTGTTTTATCAATTAATCCTTTCACTCCCAGCAGTGATTAAGAAGTAACTTTTCTTTACAATATCCATGCACTATCTAGCTAACAGGTAATGAGAACTCTCAAATGTACCTGGTAAAAGTTATCTTGATCTAACACCAAATTCTTGTAACTTATTTACAAGGAAATGTGTAGCAGCTAGAGGGGAGAACGAACAATCAGATGTTAGGAGTTAAAGGGTTAAGACAAATAGAATTTATGTTGCCGTGGGTCTGAGCAGTAATAGATCACAGTGGACATCAAATATGGACACACTCAGCTGCACCCCTCAAGTGCCAATTTTTCATTCTTAGCACATTTTGACTCCATCTATGATCCATTACTGAACAGATAGATGACATCATAGAATTTCTTCGTTAAACTGAGTATGTTGTTTCTTGTTTTTTCTGTGAATTGATTGCTTAACACAAAACTCAATGAAAGAGTATTTTAAAGGGATTAATTTGGAAGTTGAAGCTTAAGAAGGTGAACTTGTAGTGTTATGTTGTAGTTCAGTTGACAAGGCATTTTTCATATAAATTTTTTTTAATGCTTCAGTAGAGTTGAGAATTTAGCTTCACAAGACAGTGATGTTATATTCAAGTTCAGCTGTGTTTCCTATGCTCCGCCAAATTGCACAGATGCTCTGGTCAAAGGTGAGACATAACGTCCAGCACTAGATGTAACATTTGCATAATTATTTCAGCCTGGTACTTGTAACAGATGTATTGGTAGCTAAATATGAAAAATTCCGTTTATAAAACTAGCTTTTTCTTAATGTTTGTGGCCTTACATTGTGGCTGTTGTTACTGAAGGCATTCGCAAAAAACTGACTAATCAGTGAAGTGAAGTGAGCGATAAATACCTCGTCAATTCTTCGTTATCTTTGCCTTATTGGTCTGAAGTGCTGGTTCGAACAATCTAATAATTGAGTTGGTTTATTGTTTTTTTTCTGTAATATGTCTGATCAATTTTGATTATTATATGTAACTTTGGTAAATTTTACTCTGTTTTGAAGCTCATTGTGAATTTTTTCTAGATCTTGATTTGGAGATTCGCCATGGCCAGAATATTCTCGTAACAGGAACCACTGGTAATTGTGTTTGCCATCCTTGAGTTTGCTGCACTGAAATAAATTTATATTTCCTGTAATCACTGACTTGAAAGCCATTGGAGAATTTTTTTGTCTGGCAACGAGCCAATGAAAACCCACCTGAAGGGCGGGAAAACGCGGGTGACAAAGGCGCTTTGCATCTGATTGGTTGAGAGGGTAGCGCGAATTTTTAAACCAATCACTTTGTCACTATTAATATGTGTAACTTTTTCTTATCTATCAACAAACATTAAGAGGTCAGGCTCCTTCAAACTTATGGTAGTTTTGCTCATTCAAATAGAGCCAACTCCTCCAACGAAAAAAAAAAGTCGGAGAATGCTGCTATGATTTCGCAAATGTTTCTCTTCATTGAAGTGGTTTTCTATTTTCTTTTTCCAGGAAGTGGAAAGAGCTCTTTGTTTAGGATCCTGAGCGGAATGTGGGCTCCTCTTTCAGGTATGATATATTTACCCAAATGTAACATGAACCTATGTAGAATTAGCTATTTTGAATATCGTTTTATCATAATTTATTGTAGTAGCTGTTAAAAAGAGTTTCCAATATGATTGTATTTTTATGTTATTGATGTCACTCCATAACGACCCTCGTACAGTCTCTGATTGGTTATTCTTGGGATGGAAATTTCCCCCCGCCTTGAACAAACAATCACGGATCTCTAAAAATTGTGCATCGGGATGGGAAAAACTGAGCCGGTGAAAGAAAAAATACCTTTTATGGCCTCTGACCACAATTTGTTTGAAAGTGGGCAGCTTGCATAAGATTTCATGCAACAATTTGTCAGGTCGCTTATTCTTTTTCCATTATTTACAGGAGAGGTTATAAGGTTTTTACCTTTCGATCCCAAAGTTGTCTTCTTCCTACCACAAAAGACTTTCGTTACGGATGGTACACTACGACAACAGGTAAAGTTCTCCTGATCTCAGCGCCAATGACAATAAGAAACAAACTAAAGAAAAGTTATGAGGGAGACAGGTTTGACGAACAATGATTGGCAAACTAGTACGCGGCAAAACACAACAAAAACACAGGGGTCAAACGTAAGGCATGCGCAGTGGAGTAACTTTTTACCGGCCGCGCACCAAGGAAAACGTAAGAAACAACCACTGTCACGCAAAATGTGTGGGGAAAAAAAGACGTCGGAACGTTCGTTTAAATCTGTAAAATGGAACAAAAGTAGGAAAAAAAACTGAGTATTTTCGTACACAGAGCTTTTTGGGCTTTACCAACTGCAACGTATTCGCCTGTGTGGTTGTCGATAAGACAACACTTGGCTTTGACAGTCTGGAAGCACGCCACGGAGGCACATGCGCTCTGGTTTGACCACTGTGTTGATGTGACGTCAAGTAACACGTCTGGTACGTTTTCCCGCGCTGTTCGTCGTTCACGTGTGTTTTCTCTGACTTCTCTTGTTGGTGAACTACTTTTCGTCATTGATCAAGGCTTAATCATTTTTAAATTGGAGATAAGTCTATGATATGGCTCTGAAATGGGGGAGATACTACGCAAAATGCTTGATTTCCCCTCAGATACCTTAATCATCGTTATTTTGTCGCCCGTAGTTAAACTGTCTGTCTTATTTTTATTTGTTGTTGATTTTTCCAGTTAACTTACCCTTGTGAAAATCTTCTCCTTTATGGAGGCCACTCTGAAGCAGGTAATGACAGTTATGGTTCAGTTCGTAGTTGCTTCAATACGCTCTCTGATTGGTCGTGAAAACTCGCGCCACCCTCTCAACCAATCATATGCAAAACTAACAATTATGGCCACGTGCCGATTTGGTATTGATTTATTTGGTTTTAGTCTTCAAAGCTCTATAGAAGCGCGCTTTATTGGTTTCTCCTTGTTAGCTAGCGGTTTTCCTCGCTGTGAACATGCGCCGTTAACCAACCAACAACTAAATGTGGTCGTAAAAATTTCGATTAGTGAAAATTTGCATGGATCTTCCAATGTGTATTTCGCCATATTTTCATTTTAAACACAGGTGACGAAGACGAGAAACTTCTTGGATTGCTCGACACTGTAGGGCTTGTAAGTAAATGAAGTGAACTTGTCAACTACACAAGTGAAATTCTGAGATTTCGTGGAGGACAATGCATAGAACAAGTGAAAAGGAGGGAAGCTTTCGCTTACCTTTCCCTCGTTCACTGTTCCAAAATAGAAGTTGTAATCAAATCCTGGTTTTTGGAAACGAACGCGATACTGGAATATTAGCGTAACAGCCCTTATTTCTTTGTTCGCTCTACTTCACTCCATGAACATCTATGAACATCTCGGAAGCAAAAAGTGTTATTTTATCAGGGTCAATCAGATTTACCAATATCTTAGAAACTGCGTGAAGACATCAGCTCGACGCTTTCCTCTATGGAAAACTCCTCAACCTGTGTTCGCATCGGGGATTTCTACTGAAAATGCTCAAAGAATTTTGTTCCTGTAGTCTCAGATAATTTCCGGTTTTCGTTGCTTTGATTTCCTATCCTGTGTATGGTCGCCGCCGCCGCCGCCGCCCCCCCCCACCCTCCAAAAGATGGAGGGTAGGGGGCAGGTGTACATAAGTTATTATTTCCCTCATTGGGAATTTTATCACCATTAACACATTTATTACAGAAATGAAAAGAAATATTTAAAATTCCTTTAGCTAATTTACTCAAATTGGGTTTACTGAGGTTCATTTGTGTACTTTGTTTCTCTCTCTCCTAAGGCAAATCTCTGCAGCCGAGTGGGTGGCCTTGATAGTCCTGTGGAATGCAAGTGGTAGGTGATGAAATCTCGAACGCTTCTGCATGTCTTTGCTCCTCCGCTTGTACAGGCAGAAATGCACGGAGAAAGCTTGCTTTGCTCCCACGAAGCAAGCGATTATGAGTCAATCCTAAGCCGCAACGCAGCTTTAAGTCTTTCAAAATTCTCCCATAGAAAATCTGCTTGTTGTTTGATTGTTTGTATTTTTAGTTAAAACTGATAATTATTCCAGATGAGGAACTTAGAAATATCTTTTGATACAGGGAGGACATGCTGACTCCAGGAGAAATGCAACGGTTATCTTTCGCTCGTTTGTTCTATCAAAGACCACAAGTAGCGCGTAAGTAAAAAATCTCACTTCTTTTGGACAAAGTTGAAAATTATTAACGCTAAATAGCTTCATTGTTGATATTATTTTTTTCATTTTTTATGGAACAACAATTGTTCTCTTCAGTCCTAGATGAAGCTACAAGTGCCTTAGACACTTCCACGGAGAGTCAGCTGTATTCGATTTGCAAGGACTTTGGAATTACTGTGTCAAGCGTTGGTCATAGGAGATCCCTCAGGCAGGTATGTATCTTCGCGCAAACGAGAGCGAGAACGAACGAAATAACAAGTGTAGGAATGGACTGACGAAAGAACGCACGAACTCAGGAGCGCGCTTACTAACGCAAAAACGAATACACGAAAGCACGAAGAACCAAATGGAAGAATTGAAATGACTTGACACAAATGCATGGATTGGTAACGTTCCTCTTCAATATTTTTTCTTTAGTTTCACGACTTTGAGTTGAACCTTGACGGAGAAGGAGGATGGGAATTCAAGAAAATTGAAGATTAGTGAAATTTTGCAAGGAGGTCGAGAAGCAAATTGAATGTTGAAAGTAGCAAGGATTTTAGTAGGTTTTGCCGTACCTGGCTTTGTGATTGGATGACAAAAGCAGTGCAGCTCACGCTTTCCCACGCTTTGCTGCTGATCACGTGTATTAGCTTTTCACTCATTGGCTCACTGCTGTTTTCACGATTTATCAGATTAATCGCTACATTTGTTTTGTAGTCACTCACAAAGGAGGGAAATTTCATATTCTGCAGTCTGAGTATGGGGGCGAGGTGCCGACCTATTGTCTAAGATTGCAACTTAAGTTTTATAGATTTCATGTAGAATTACATTTCTGCTATCTGTTCATAGTAAAAGCTTTATATTTGTAGTAACGAATTATGAATGCGAAATTTAGCATTCCCTGCGTCATAAAATTCGTTCGTTAGAGACAATCCAGTAAGTTATAATAATTCAGAGAAATTTATTCACAATTCTACCTTTGAATTAAATCCAAATACAATTGTTAATATATTTTGGATCGAATTATTTCTAATATATTGGTATTTTTGTCCTATAACCACTAAAAAAAAAACAGACAGGTTCAGTGTACTTATTCAACCGTCGTTTTTCTTCCTTAACCAGAACTCTAAGTAGCGAGATTGTGATGTTAGTGCACGCTTGGAGTTTTAAACAATCGCTATCACTTTTACTGTTTCCCTTGTGTAGCTGCCTTTGATGAAGTTCTTTGTGAAGGCTTCAACTTCCCTCGCGATCGTGGTGAGATTTGTGATCAGTTGGTTCGTTGGGTTTATTGGAAAAGTGAGAATTTTATTGGTTTTCTCGTGATGTTTATTCGCTGATAGACTCAGGTGTGCGTGTCGCTTTTTCAAGTCGGGAATGCCCGTAACTTTTTGTCCCCGATGTTTCCAGGGAACATACTGAGTCGACTGTCGGAAAAAAAGCGGGTGTAATGACACTACTCCTTGATTGAAATCGGTAGATCGTCCAATAAGATAGGCTCATTGGGAGGCATTCGACCCCTTCATCAAAAACTTAATTTATAACATTAATAATAAATACCAGAAGATTGCTACCTGTAATCTTCTGTTAATATGAAATGATGCATGGTAATTAAAAATATATTTTTATATTATTTTCACATATATTTCGTAATATATAATTTTTTCTAAATTCAATCTACAGCATCTGTCAAGTTATTTGAAATCCTAATTTTAAGTAAATGAAATGTAACGACGATGAAATGCATCGTGGTGTATATTAACACTATTGCATTCATTGAATTTTGAGACGCTATACAGGTCGACGTTTAAGTTCAGAGAGTTGCTTGTAAGCCTTAGTTAGTCATGCATTAAAATTTAAATTTATTTGAATATTTTGAGGAGGGTTCTTTCTTTGAGGCAGAATCTACTGAATCAAGAAATTGAAAGTAGTGTTTATATACCATCTCCCATCTCCCCCATTCCGCGTCGGAGGATGGTGTGGTGCCGAGTTCTCTAAATTCAAAACTATTTGAAAATAATTTCTTTGTGGGAAAATAGCGTTTCAGAAACCTTCTCAACGGCACCACTTCAGTTTGTGTGACCTCATTCTGCGTTACTCTTTCTATTTTAATAGCTTTGGTGTCATCGCGTCGAAAAATATTACATTCGTGTCAGCTCCAACTTGTGGCGAACACATCCAACTTTTGTCCTCTTTAACCCTTTAACTCCCAGATCAAATTTTTATTTCTCCTTATAGTCAACCATAAAATTCTTATAATGTTAGTTCAGGAAATTTAGTATTGGATCAACTAATTATCCCCAAATTGATATTATTCTTTATTCTCACGACTTATCTGCTTGATATTGTCTTGATATTGTAGGGAGAAATTCTGTCTTGGTCACTCATGGGAGTTAAAGGGTTATGATATCACCTCTGAATGAAACATGAAGGTCACGAGAATAAAGGAAATGATAAGCTACAATCTCTTGATTGTTAGACAAATTCTCTTTGTGACGTGTAACGGGTTAAAGGAAAATCGTTGCGTGACATTAATTAGTTATGTTGGAGAGGGAACCGTGTGCGACAGACATTATTGTGCGTGTTTAGGTGAGTCACATGTGCCATGTCTTCGCCTTTTACGCTCTTCCCTCTCCCACCTAGCACGTGCGCAGTTTGTGGTTACTGTAGCAGGTTATAATCTTATCACGAGAAAATAGTGTGACGTGTTAATGGGGTAAAGGACAATCGTCGCGTGACATTAATGACGCACCGAAAGCAGGCCACTATTATAACTGCCAATCCAAGCTGAAGGGCAAAGGAAAGAGCAAAGGCAACCCAAGATGAAGGCTGTAGTTTTCCTTCTTGTCTCTCTGCTTGCAATTGCAATAGTTTCCTGTAAGCAAATCAGCTACCAGAAGTGCCCGTCTACTAAAGAGCTGGGTGAAATCGTCTCCATTGATATAACGCCGTGCGAGGAAGAACCGTGCGCCCTGAAGAAAGGAGGCAATGAAACAATCACCATCACCTTCATCCCACACGAAGTTGTCACCGGCGCTAAGATTTACGCATACGCTATCATTGGACGGATACATGTGCGCCTACCGCTGCCGAATCCTGATGCTTGTCAAGGTTACGGTTTATCTTGTCCATTGAAGAGCGGTGTCAAAGTGAAGTTTGCTTTGGTCGAATTCATCTCACCCTATTTCCCGAGCGGTAACTTGAAACTAAAAGCGCAAATCAAAGATCAAAATGGCAAGTCTTTGATCTGTGGGATTGTTAAGTTGCATATTCAGTGAACTTTGTTTCAGTATACTGTTACATTGTATGTCTCTTAGACTAATTAGTTCTGGTTGGTCAGTGTGAGATAATTGGTTTTTCGCATCCTTTTGCTAGATTTAATTAGGAACAATTTCATTCGAGTTAAGTTTTTATTTTGAAACATTTCGTCACGTTACAGTTCGATACAATTGCTTGACACATCACAAGAGTGAAAGTGGGTAGCAAGTCATCCTCAACCTCCTTGATCCGAAATTTTACGCCTTTTCCAAATGAATTAAGTTGGAAAGGGACTAGAATAAAACAGCCTTGTGCGACAGGCGTCTTTTTTGCGTGTTCAGGCGAGTTACACGCTCCGTGTTTTCGCCCTTTACGCTCTCCCTTCCCCACCTAGCACGTGCGCAGTCTGTGGCTATTTAACATGTAGCAACCTTATCACGAGAAAGTGACGTGATCCTAACGAAAAAGATTACTAACAGAGAAAGTGGTGTGATCCCGACGAAAAAGATTAGGAAAATAGAAAGTAATGTGATCCCAACGCCATTGAAGGCATTGAACCCGGAGTAACTCGACAGACAGAAGGCGAATCAACTCGCATTCTCTTTCCTCGGGCTGCCTTTTTCGCTGTCTTAGTTGCCATGGTAAACACCTTCAAAGCCATTTTCAGTATAGCCGCTCCCTTCGGTAGAGTGAATGAGGAAAAGTCCCAAATATTTACTACCAAAGTAAGGATTTACTTTAGTTCTACACATATAAAACTGAGTTCACATATAGTAACAGAAAAGTAAGCAACAATGTTTGACGTAGAATTCATCACCGAGGCAGTGCTGTCGCTTTACGTCTCTAGATACAAACTATTTTCGCATGGGTGTCTAATAGCTAACCAAGAATAAGTTAATGGCTCTCGATATATTTTGATGTTGTTTGTCTCTAACTCTAATCACGTTTTGACTCGAATAGAGCAGAATTCTTGATCACCCTCTGTTTAAATTCTCCAGTAATCATTTTAGAGTTCTGCAAAATTCGTTAATTAGCTTCTTCTTCCATTTGTTCCACTTCATTCACAATCGGCGATCCTGCCTCTTCATTAATTTCGTTCGCATTTTCTGTCCCGTGTTTCTCTCTAAACATGGGAATCATTCCAGTTTGTGTTACCACATTCTGCGTTACTTTTTCTATTTTAATAGCTTTGGTGCCATTGCGTGCATTTAAATACCGAAACTAGATGACGCACCGAAAGCACGCCTCTATTATAATTGCAAATCCAAGCTGAAGAGCAAAGGAAAGAGCAAAGGCAACCCAAGATGAAGGCTGTGGTTTTCCTTCTTGTCTCTCTGCTTGCAGTAGTTTCCTGCAAAAAAATCAGCTACCAGAAGTGCCCGTCTACTAAAGAGCAGGGTGAAATCGTCTCCATTGATGTAACGCCGTGCGAGGAAGAACCGTGCGTTCTGAAGAAAGGAAGTAATGAAACAGTCACCATCACCTTCATCCCGCACGAAGTTGTCACCGGCGCTAAGATTTACGCATACGCTATCAAGGGACCGATACATGTGCGCCTTCCGGTGCCGAATCCCAATGCGTGTCAAGACCACGGATTATCTTGTCCATTGAAAAGCGGTGTACAAGTGGAGTTTGTTTTGGTCGAATTCGTCTCACCCACTATCCCCAGCGGTGACGTGAAAGTAGAAGCGCAAATCAAAGATCAAGATGGCAAGTCTCTGATCTGTGGGATTGTTAAGTTGCATGTTCAGTGAACTTTATTTCAGTATACTGTTACATTGTATATCTCTTAGACTAATTAGTCCTGGTTGGTCAGTGTGAGATATTTGGTTTTTTGCATCCTTTTGCCAGATTAAATGAGGAACAACTTAATTCGGGTTAAATTGTTATTTTAAACATTTCATCACAGTACGGTCCGATACGATTGCTTGACACATCACAAGAGTGGAAGTGGATAGCAAGTCATCTTCAACCTCCCCGATCCCAAATTCAACGGCTTTTTCCAAATGGAAACAGAGAAAGTGATGTGATCCCAACTAAAAAGATTACAAACAGTTGTTGAAACGCGCTTAAGCAGGCATAAGCTATTCAGCGCCATGCCCCCCCCCCCACCCGCCTCCCTTTGACCAACGACCAAATATTCTTTTTTCAAGAAGCCATTTCCATCATAGCCGCTTCTTCGGTGGAGTGATTGAGGAAAAGTCCCAAATATTTACTACGAAAGTGAGGGTTTTACTTTAGTTCTACACATACAAAACTGGGTTCATACATAGCAACAGAAAAGTAGGCGACAAGGAATGACGCCCAATTCATCGCAAAGACAGTGCTGTCGCTTTACGTCTGTAGATAGAAAACATTTTCGCATGGGTGTCTGATAGCTAACCAAGAATAAATATTTTTTATGGCTCTAGGTATGTTTTTTTTATAGTATTTGTCAATTTATTTGAATTCCTAATTTAAAGCGACGAGGAAATGCATTATGGTGTATATTAACACTAATGCATTCATTGAATTTTGAGACGCTCGTTAAATCGACGTTGATATACAGAAAGTTGCTTGCAATTGTAAGCCTTAGTTAGTCATGCATTGAAATTTAAATGAATTTGAATAATTTGAGGAACGATCTTTGTTGATGGCAGAATTTACTGAGTCAAAAAAATTGAAAGTAGTGTTTATATCCCATTTCCAATCATCCCGCATCAGAAGATGGTGTGGTGCCGAGTTCTCTAAATTCAAAACCATTTAGGAAGAATTTCTTTGTGGGGTAATAGTGTTTCAGAAACCTTTACAACGGAACCATTTCAGTTTGTTTTACCACATTCTGCGTTACTTTTTCTATTTTAATAGCTTTGGTGTCACTGCGTCGAAAAAATATTACATTAGTGTCAGCTCCAACATGTGGCGAACACATCCAACTTATTTGTTCTTTTAACTCTCTGAATCAAACATGAAGGTCACGAGAATAAAGGAAATGATAAGTTACAATCTCTTGATTGTTAGACAAATTCTCTTTACCAGCATCTTAGGAAACGAATAAAGAACAGTGTGAATAATGCGCATACTGATGTTGAGGTGTAAACTGTTTAAAGACAATCGTTGCGTGACATTAATGAGTTATGTTGGAAAGGGACTAGAATAGAAACAACATCAAGCGACAGGCGATATTTTTGCGTGTTCAGGCGAGTCCCACGCTCCTTTTACGCTCTTCCCTCTCCTAACTATCACTTGCGCAGTTTGTGGTTATTTAGAGCAGGTTGTAACCTTATCACGAGAAAGAGGTGGACGTGTAATGGGACTCCAAAAAAAAAAAAAAACCGTCGCGTGACACTAATGAGTTATAATTTGCATTTAAAAACCGAAACTGAATGACGCATCGAAAGCACGCCTCTATTATAATTGCAAATCCAAGCTGAAGAGCAAAGGAAAGAGCAAAGGCAACCCAAGATGAAGGCTGTGGTTTTCCTTCTTGTCTCTCTGCTTGCAGTAGCTTCTTGCAAAAAAATCAGCTACCAGAAGTGCCCGTCTACTAAAGAGCTGGGTGAAATCGTCTCTATTGATGTAGCGCCGTGCGAGGAAGAACCGTGCGTTCTGAAGAAAGGAAGTAATGAAACAGTCACCATCACCTTCATCCCGCACGAAGTTGTCACCGGCGCTAAGATTTACGCATACGCTATCAAGGGACTGATACATGTGCGCCTTCCGGTGCCGAATCCCAATGCGTGTCAAGACCACGGATTATCTTGTCCATTGAAGAGCGGTGTACAAGTGGAGTTTGTTTTGGTCGAATTCGTCTCACCCACTATCCCCAGCGGTGACGTGAAAGTAGAAGCGCAAATCAAAGATCAAGATGGCAAGTCTCTGATCTGTGGGATTGTTAAGTTGCATATTCAGTGAACTTTATTTCAGTATACTGTTACATTGTATATCTCTTAGACTAATTAGTCCTGGTTGGTCAGTGTGAGATATTTGGTTTTTTGCATCCTTTTGCCAGATTAAATGAGGAACAACTTAATTCGGGTTAAATTGTTATTTTAAAACATTTCGTCACATTACGGTTCGATACGATTGCTTGACACATCACAAGAGTGAAAGTGGATAGCAAGTCCAATAATTAATTGAAGGCATTGAACCCGGAGTAACTCGACAGACAGAAGGCGAATTAACTCGTTTTCTTTTTCCTCCATCTTTCGGGCTGCCTTTTTCGCTCTCCTAGTCGCCAAGCCATTTTCACCATAGCCACTTCTTCGGTGGAGTGATTGAGCAAAAGTCCCAAATATTTACTTTCGAAACCAGAAGCGCAAACCAAAGATCAAGATGGCAAATCTCTGATCTGTGGGATTGTTAAGTTGCGTATCCAATGAACTTTATTTCAGTATACTGTTTATTTGTATGTCTCTTAGACTAATTAGTTCTGGCTGGTCAGTGTGAGATATTTGGTTTTTCGCATCCTTTTGCCAGATTAAATGAGGAACAACTTAATTCGGGTTAAATTGTTATGTTAAAACATTTCGTCACATTACGGTTCGATACGATTGCTTGGCACACAAAGTGGGTAGCATGCAACCTTCCCGATCTGAAATTTAACAGCTTTTTCGAAATGGAACAGAGAAAGTGATGTGATCCCAACGAAAAAGGTTACAAACAATTGTTGAAACGCACTTAAGCAGGCATAAGCTATTCAGCGCCATGCCCCCCCGCCTCCCTTGACCAACGACCAAATATTCTTTTTTCACTGGAGGCATTGAACCCGGAGTAACTCGACAGACAGAAGGCGAATTAACTCGTACTCTTTTTCTTCCATCTTTCGGGTTGCCTTTTTCGCTCTCCTGGTTGCCAAGAAAAACTTTCGAAGCCATTTCACCATAGCCGCTTCTTCGGTAGAGTGAATGAGGAAACGTCCCACATATTTACCACGAAAGTGAGGTTTTACTTTAGTTCTACACATACAAAACTGAGTTCATACATAGTAACAGAAAAGTAGGCGACAAGGAATGACGCACAATTCATCGCCAAGGCAGTGCTGGCGCTTTAAGTCTCTCGATACAAAACATTTTCGCATGGGGGTCTGATAGCTTACCAAGAATATGTTTTTTTTTATTGGCGCATGTTATACTTGTTGTTGTTTGTTTCTAACAAACAACAACAAAATACTCGAATAGAGCGGAATTTTTGATCACCCTCAAATCAAATTCTCCAGTTATCATTTTAGAGTTCTGCAAAATTCGTTAATTAGCTTCTTCTTCCATTTGTTCCACTTCATTCACAATCGGCGATCCTGCCTCTTCGTTTATTTCGTTCACATTTCCAGTCCCGTTTTCGTCTTTCTCGTCGCCTTGCTCAGCCGGCTCTTCGTCTTCTTTGTCTTCCTCTGGCGGCTGTGGAATGTTAGCCATGTACTAAAAGATAAATAGGTAAGAAATCTATAACTTCAACACAATATTGGAAGAGCTTAAAGAAATTCGTCCCCCACGCTTATAAATCTTTTCGCACTTGATGCTGCTAGCTCCTGGCTGCAAGTGCTGAGTGCTTTCCCGTGCTCAGAATCGGTTCCACGACCATTATGCTTTGCTCTAGTAACATTATATTAGGCTGATTGCCCCGCTAGCTTACGTTGCAATTCACAAAGATGGGGCTTTGGCAGTGTCCACTGTCCAGTTTTCAATTCCAAAAGCATCGGTTGACGGGCAAATTAAAGAAAATGGATCGGCATCTCTGATAAAACATAAGATATGATAACAAACTAACCTCTCTCTGTGCTCTTAACGATTCCACATACTGACTGTAGAAGTCATATACGAAGCGGTGCATCTGAGGCATGTCCTCGACGATAAACGGTCGCTCAGCTGGAGGAACTCCACGCTTTATTTAATGAGGGAAAAAAAAAGGGGTAAAACAGCGAGTGCATTTCGTGAATAAAAGGTGAAAGGCGCAAAATAAATTGAGAAAAACCACCATCAAAATTAACTTTTTTGATTGATTGTTTAAAACCTTCAACCATGGACCAAATTTTATTGGAAAAGTCACGAACCATAAAATTGTGATGCAACGCCTTTGTGACAATCTCATCTCCCCTTTTCAATATTGGATAACAGGCATACGTTCAATTCCTGAAAGTGTTCCTCCTTACAAGGATGGGAAGGAGCAAAATATGCCCAGACCAAAATGCTCCATGCATTGCGACATAATTTGGAAATCTGTCAGTCGACTTACCGGTCTGGACGGGGGATATCTTTCACTAGGTGCTAAGGAGAGCTTCAGCGGTCGGCTGGTCAACTATGGAGAAGAGAACAATGTAGATGTCATGTTACCTTTCAACGTTTTACCAATGGATGATAGCCTCATGAATAGTCACGCAAACGCCAAATTATGACCAAATTTGGGTTAGGCATAACGCAAAACGGCGTGACGCTTTATTCGCGCGTAACGCTACTCTGAAAAGACCTAACGCAAGCGTTGCGAACGAACCAGTTGTACCTTGTATACTCAGAATATGAGAAGTTCTACTCACCTGAGAGAAGGCAGGTCTGAGCTCAAAGCAGTTCTGGAAGAGGCTGACACGTGCTAGGACATAAAGACCTAACCTGGCACGTGACATAGCCACTACAAGACGGCGCACATCCCGGATGTGACCCACAGTCTTGGTGCGGACGAGAGACAAGATGATGTAATCGTTCTGTTGCCCCTGGTAACGATCCACAGTAGTGACCTGCACAAGTAATAAAAGAGAGGACAAAAGAGTTACTGGAAATAAAATTACTACTTTCATTCAAATTGTGTATTTCTTTTTAAATTATTATTTGAATGGGAATTTCTCGCCAAAATTTTTTCCCGCTAACGAAATCGTTTTAAGGTCCATTGTTAACACACTGAGCTTAGATATGTTTCAGTCACACGGCATCAATAGAATATTCTCCCGCGCTCAGAGTCATTGACAAGTTTTTCTCGCCATTGGCACATATCTCATGACTACTGCGTTTTGCACCACTCACATCTCTCCAGCGTCTAGCACAATGTATATTTCCCACGATCGGTAGCGCTGAGCACCAGTTACATGTTTTCCCGCCCTTTGCTCCAAGAACAAGCTCTCCCGCACTTGAAAAATTCTAATCATTCCCGCTTCAAGCACCACTTTTATTTCCCGCCCTAAGTGACTCTTAGCGTCAGGAACGTGTTTTCCCGCAACCATCTTGTTGTTTTGTTATCCCTCATTATTAACTGCTAGGTTGCTGCCGAGGATTCAGTTGCATACTTTGGCATATGATATGATTGTGTGAAATCCTGCATGAGGCTAGTTCACAACCTTATTGAAGGTACACACACCAAAACAGACATGTGCTATCCAAAGGCAGAACTGACTCAGACCTCAGCCAAGACAGTACCAGTGACAATCACAGCTTAAACATAACCCTACCCTTCTTCCACTTTACCTTGCTCGGTTGTCCAATCAGAGGGTTGTTTGCACATCTTTGCTTAATAACGTCACGGATAAGATGCTTCTGTCCGTTGTACGTTGTTAGAATGGCGATCTTGTCAGCGGGGTACCCAATGAGGCGCATGTACATAAAGATGGCCACAGCGTATTCGGCCTCACCTAGATTCTAAAGTGGTCAAGAAAGAGAAACATTACATTTTCATTTATACTTGTGTGACTCCCACAGTTACAAGTAAAATGATTCATGAATTGAACATTAAAGGAAAAGCTTGGAGAAAAACGCTGGCCACCGGAAACAAACAATAGAACCACTCCGTTATCCCCAAAGGAGGGGGATATCAGATCTTCGCCATGAAGCCCAGTAAAATTCAAAGTACTTACCTGATAAAAGTAAGGATTGGGTTCTGATTCGCCAACGCCGTTGAAATCCTGAACATCAATCAGCTGAAAATCAAAGAAAAATCCAGGATTCTCCACACAGTACTCAGGCCACGTATGGACATGAGGAAGATCACCAAGTTTGTTGTACCTCCAGTTGTACAGGCTACATAGGCTGAAAGAAAGTCATGTTAAAAAGGTTAAGTCTTTCGAGCTTTACCGCCCATTTCTCTGAGGTTTTATCGAATTTTCAAAGCATGACACCGCTAAGAATTTTACTTATTCTGGAGAAACCAAACCTCGTTACTATAAAATTTGCGTGACCCCCAAAAGGCTCTGTGATATTCCTATGATCAACCTCCCCCCCCCTTCAATTGACGGTCAATTTTCTACGGTCCGTCGGTCCGTCCGTCCGTCCTTTAAACTCCGTTGGCGGAGACTAATTCCCCCTCCGGTTCCCGAAAAACCATGTGATCTCCCAAAAATTTTCCACTCCCTCCCCCCCGGAGATAAACATTGACTGGTCCCTGGGTTTGATGATAAAATCAGGCGAGGTTTGAATAATTCATACCTGGATCGTGCACGACCTTGAGCATCGAGTTCAACTGTGGGAACACAAAGTCTGACAAATCTCGTGAAAAGAGATTGCTCCATGTTGGAAAACTTCTGAAAAGCCTTGTTCTTTATAACTGGAGGAAGCTGATAATTTAAAAAAAATATATATATACATATATATAAATGAATAACTATAAATAACTAACTAAAATGAATAACTAACTATAATGACGAATACCACGCGAAAAACTGGCGTACAACAAAGATACCTGATGATGATCTCCGATGAGAATGACCCTCTTCATTCGATTGTATCCATCTTCTGGATTCTATTCATCGTGTGAGAGCAAAGACGGAAGGTGAGTTAGATATTTATTACCGTAACTGTTACTATTTGCTGGTTAATTACGGGTCTCAATGGGAAACTGTGCACGATTACAACAGATCGTCTCTGGAAAAGACAGTGCATGAATTCCTTTGAGTAACAAGTACTTTTCAGTCCTGTTACCGGAAGAACCCATGTCATGGTTTCTACATCTGGAAACTGAGCCTAAATTTTTCAGTTTGCAATCCGTTTTAACCCTTTAATTTCCGTGAGTAACCAATTTCTTACAATGTCAAGAAAAGTGATGACAATACAGAAAAACATCAATCAGAGGTTTATCAGTTAATTTAGTGCCAAATTCTTGGAGCCAACACCATCAAAATTCTATACCAGTAAGGAGAATTACTAACGAAATCTTGGGATTGAAAGGGTTACTCCACTTAATCTTTTGTCATCTTTTCTACCGTATTAATTAAAACCAATATTTTGTAGTTTTCTTCAAACTGTGAATAGTTTAGCACAAAAAAAATGACTTCAAATGTTTTCTTGTCAAGTGTTGGCCTCACTAGTTTGTATCGAACTCAGTATTTAGCATTTGTGATACAGAGCAAGTTTCCCACCTGAAGCAGTAGTGGAATAAACGTCTCAATCTCTAGGATCTGTGCGGACTCCTCCATGAGCACATTGTCGTACTAAAATTCAACAAGAGCAGAATGAAGAAAGGATTCATTTAAACTCAACCGTTTAGCGACGGTTAAGCAAACTTCTAAAACCAAATGAATTCTCATCAGATTCAAACCCGCTAAGACCTTCCAAAACACAGCATTAATTACATTCTTTGTAGAAATAAATTCCTCTTCAAAGAGTCCTAAACTGTGAGCCCTATGCTACGGCAACTTGGTAAAACTCTCCTCACCTTAAATCCAAGCTCCACTAGGTCTCTCCTCTTGAGTGCGGCATGGGTACAAGTCATGGCTATGATCTTAGCTTCTTTCACTAGGAGGTAGTTTGTTCGATCGCGACCTGTCAGATAAAATCCGTCAAAAAACGCAAAATTTAAAAGCGAACAACATATGACGTACTCACACAAAAAGGAAGAAAAAGAGTGAAATCTTCTTACCGCTTCTGAGAAGCTCAAATGCTCTAAATTCCTGTAAAAATAAATTCGTCAAAGTATGTTTTCTGCGATAAAATACAACTATTCGCATTCAGTTTCCTAAGTATGCCTAGACGTTTTCTATCCCACAATGGCAAGCGAACTGTGTGAGGGATACATCAGCAAAAGCAAAGATTTTATAGGAATTAGAAAAGAACTAATGTTCTGGGATAAATCAACAAAAGGAAAACAAACAATGAACCAAACAACAAAAAAAAATCACAAAAACATGGGTTCATGGGAAAAGAGACGGGGGGAAACCAACGGTGGAAATGGGAGAAGGCCGAACGGGGCAATTTCAATACAATACTACAAGAAGCTATTAGATTATCCCTATATAAGAATATTTCCAAAGAAAGATAAAATATGTATCACCCGAAAAAGTACGCAATTACAGAGAAACTGCTACGACAAGGCTACGTTTCAAAGACATGGCAATGTGGCTCCGTGAAAAAAAATTGTAGTGCGTAAAAATAAATGTATCTAACCTCTAACTGCTGAAATATCTTCTTGATATATCGATAGCAGCCCTGAATGAAACAAAATCGAATCAAACAGTAATTGACACCAGAAGAAAATTGCGCATGAAGTAGACTACACCAGCATGTAACACTATTTTTCTGAATATTTCCTTCTTCATTTGGAAAATTTTGTATCTCTTGTCTGTTTCCTGCGTTCAATAAGGGAACAGACGTGCAAAACCTCTTGGTTTCCTTGACGCGCGGAAAATTTTGTATCTCTTGTCTGTTCCCTGCGTTCAATAAGGGAACAGACGTGCAAAACCTCTCGTTTTCCTTGACGCGCCGTCGGTTGTTTTCTTCCGTACACCTGTTAACCCACAGAATAAGCTACCAAAGGTTATCCCAAAGTGCATTGCCAATGAGTATCGTAAAACCAAAAATCACAGTAATCACATCGGCCAATCAAAGCATATGGAAATCCCCCAAGGAACCAATGAGGACTTAAAACTGCATAGCGCGCGGGAAAACCCAAGTGACTTGCAACTGACTTTTGGGGAACAACAAAACCAACGCGATCTACTTCGAAAAGTAGTCAAGAGCTCTTTAAAGCAGACGAACTCGCGAGTTTAGGTATTATAATCTCAGCTCATAAGTTGCAATTATGAACTGAGATTATAAGGCAAATGCGAGTCTTGTTTAAATCTTTTTTTTTGGTATTTCTCTCTTTGTATCCAGTCTCTCAAATCAGCAAAAGAATAGCTTTACTCGAGTCGTAAAGAAAACAAATTTACCTCTGCAATTTCCATGTCTTCTTCATATGAACTCATCTTGAAAATAGGCTACAGAACAACAACATCTCGAATAAAATCATTTGAAAATTAAAACTAGGTGATAAGAGTGACTTAGCGCTATTCAAAAGAACTAACAGATACATCAAACCCTTGTAAAAATCTTACCAATAATAGTGATAATCATAGTAACAATATTGATCAATTAATGAAGTAAACTAAAGTTACCTGTGGTGCGTTCTCAAAGAATTTCGTGAAAGGGAAGAACTCAGATATCGCCGCAGTTTCTCCTCTCTGAAAAGTAAGCCGTTTCTTATTAATGTTCAAGCCCCTTTAAATCTTTCCCATACCACACTATAACGAGGTAAAACTGTTACGAGGCTAGCCTAAAATTTTGCAAAGGAAACAAGTCGAAAACGAGACTGGGTAACATTTAACGATTCGAGTGAAAAAACAAAAAATAAAGAATATTGAACCTCGAGGGCCATTACTGCTGAAACTATTTCAAGTTTTCACGAGAAGTGACAAGCTGTTTTAATACTTCTAAAAGAAAATAACCATAAAAAAGAACACAAAAAAGTGACCCAGCCACGGCTGAAATCCCGGACCTCACCACTTAACCACCCCGCCTGCAAAAACATAGTTTGTAATTGTTACACTTGTAACAAATATTCAAGCGTCCATGTAAAACGGGTAACTAGTTACGTACTCGTGACTTCAGCTTCGCCATGTACTCCTCCCAACGTGAGACGACCTGCAAACAAAACAGGCAAACAGTTCAATTCCATCAGGCCAGAACAGTGCTTTATCAAGAAAAAAACAGGAAAAGGAAGAGTGGATGAAATACCTGATACAAGTAAAAATACCCCGCAGTCTCGCATGTGTAAGAGACATCGCCATGAACACCCAGACTTTCCTGAAAAAAAAAAAAAGGAAACAAAATCCAAATTTGCCCCGTTATTTCGTTATTTTGCAACAGGTACTCAGATTGGCCGAGGCAACAGTTATGATTTTGTTTGTTTGGTTTGTTTATTTTCTTACTTTCCAATTTGTGAATTTTGTACTCAAACAATATTGAGTTGATAAGAAATGAAAATGAGACATTGAGTTTTTTTTTTCCAGTGAGACAATTCTTAAGACAATTCTATTGAAAAGTGCTTACCTGAAACCTTTGCACTTCCTTAAGGAGCTCCAGTCTGCTGGCTAAAACAAAATTTACCCGACCGTACCTAGAGGCATAAGTGAATTGTGCATTAGGAACAATACCCTTTATAACTAGGCTCTGTGACGTCACGGGGCCGACGTTAGACATGTCTGGTTTACTTTCAGTAGACAAAAACAACTCACCGAGATGTCGGGCAGTTCACGGTTTTTTGTTAGTAATTGCGCACGAGTTACATAAGAATCTAATCAACGGCCAAGCTTGCAAAGAGCAGAGGAAACTACGATCGCTCGATTGAAATGGTGAGACATTTGTTCATCAAGACCCAATCTCGAAGCAGTTGAGTCACACACCTGCTGAAGTCCTTCTCAGTTTCTAGAGCTTCTTCCCCGTGACCGAGACGAAGCAAGTGACGCTCTTCAATGTCCAAAGCCATGATCTTCTCAAAAAGTTGATTCAACGCCTGTAGTAAAAGAGTTAGAGCAATAGCTGAGAGTTAGAGCTGCCAGGATCATTTAACAAATGAAAATTGTACTAATCGAGTTTATTCAGTCCCCTATAACGGTTCAGCAGGTACCGAGTGCTTCTTGTCCTTTATATCATCAGCTTGTAATAGTTAGACGAACTTACCTGGTTAGAATGGGTCACAAGCAGCGTTCGCTGTTCTGGAAAATTGTGATAAAGATTGGAGATAATCTGTACAGCGACATCTGTCTTGCCCGTGCCTGGCGGTCCCACAACCTGCGACAATCCACAAAATAAACAATATAAAGTGTAGTCCAACAGAAACGTGTTCCTGTGCAACAGCCATTTTTGGCAAACGTCTGTTCCAAAACAAGAATAAAAAAAGCAAAAGGGACATATCCATTTGAAAGATTGCTTTCCTTCCCTTCCCTCTCCCACCCCCCCTCCCTCCCCCTATAGAAAAACGGCACTTCTCTCTTCCGACGCGAACAGAGACTTTTCGGCCTCCGTGTCCCTCACTGCAGAACAAAATTATGAGTACTACATCAGAAAGAAACACATATGATTTACCATCGTTAACCCGGGCTGCATGCCCGCTCTGATGGCCTCTACTTGGGTTGGAGTGAAAAGAACAGCATTCCTGTCAAAAAAAGGGTAACGATTGAATTATTATTTCTCTATCTTCAACAAATGCAGTGAAAAGAAGACAGGAAAGAAAAATGGAAAATAACCATCTCCATTTCGACGTTTCCTTAAAAACAAACAAACAAAAGCAAACTCAGTGCTCAGGCAACGCAGGATTTTTACTCCAAGTTTAAGACGGGTCGGAATTACCACAGCAATTGAAACAATAAGAAACAAAAGGTGTTTACTTTTTTGGCTGATTAAACGGATATGGTCCTCGGTTGGGAACCACAAATGGCTCCACCAACAACTCCTGCTTGACTTCTTTAGGGTCTTCTTCATCGTGTTTCCGTTTCTTACTGGAAGACGCTGTCTCAGGAAAAGTTATCCTACCGGCAGAAAAAAAAAGGGTTTGGAAGTTACTATCATAATACTTTTCGGTAAGTTAAATTTTTTAAAGTTAAACTGGAATGAGGAGGAATTTTTGGGGAAAATGCATTATACCTTTTTTAAATTCTTTGAAGCAAGAACACAGAGAAACTAAACAAGGCAGCCTGCTTAAAACGGCGAATTTTTGGGCGACCATTCGTGTCAAACTTTAACAGTTCAAGACGCTACTTAAGCGCAAACATATGAACTGGAAATGTAAACTAAGGACAGACGAAGGGTCTTACTTGAAAGGTGGGACACGTTCTGCAGGATCGTCAGTAGTACACTGAAAATAAAATAACGCAAGAATGTTTTGTTTAGTTTTACAATGAAGCGTTGCGCAGAATGGTAGAAAAGACTATCACAGTTCAAACTGCATAGACGTACCTTGACTGTATATTGGGGAAAGCAAGATTTCAGGTGCTCAAAGTCAAGAAATGTGTCGTTGAAATTCAGTTGTCGGATCTGGTTTGGCATTCTGTGTGAAACAAGTATTAAAAAGAAAGTTATTTGATCTGCCAAATTGATCTGCCTTCCTCTTTCGTTGGCGCAAAGCTCGTGTCATCTTCTGAACCAATTGAAAAACGACCCTCATCGTGATTCGGTTGTACGCGTTTTTTCCCGCGCTTTCTCAATGATGAGGTTACGTATGCTTGCATTGTGTTTCCATTGGCTTGTTAAATTTTCTCCCTCTCTTATGATTGGCCGCTATTACCTGGCTTAAAATGGTTTTTCTGTGCTCAATTCAACACTGAAGAGTTATTGCCACTGCTCGTAGAAACCAAACACTAAGTCCAAAAGCGCAAGAGGAACACAACCAGTAAAATGACTTCATGTGATATTAATGTACCTGCTGTAATGAGCTGCACCAGGATCGTCATATCCCAGGAAGATATCGTGGAGCCAGTCTGGTACAATACATTCTGTGTTCATTAGATCACGGATAGTCTCCAAAACAGCCTGCAGGAAATAACGTTCAAGAATGAATTTGTTAGAAAAGACGTGGCAAAGCACACGAAAATACACGTAAGTCAATCTCATCAAACCTTTCAACGGAACAGTTCACGTAAGTCACAAACAAAATAAAAGACAAAAAGATTTGACCTTAAGCATTCCATTAACTCAATTTTTTTTAAAGGAGGCATTTCTCGTGGAATGTTAAACGTCAAAGGGCACCGGAGGTACAGTAGTTAAATTCCTCTTCTGGTTAAGAGTTGGGCTAAGTTTGAAATTGAAACTCACCTTCGCTAAAGTACATATACTCTCTTTCACAGAAACTAACAATGTGTCCTCCTAAATTTCAAACCAAATTTTCGACAAAACTATCATGGAAAACGCATATGTTCGAGACTCAAACTTCGAGTCAATACGAATTCATGGCCGAGACTATGTCGTGAAAATAAATGAAATGATCAATTGTCAGGGCAGGAGAAACGATGAAGGCGAATTTCTCACATGTAACACCAGGGAAAAGGTGAAAACCACTAAGGAACTTAGAATGTTAATCAACATCTACCTTAAAGTTGTTTTCTTTCGGTTTCCGTCTCAAAAGAATGTTAAAAGTTTCATATACATCCTGAAATAACACAAAGTGGTAAAAAGAAAAAACTCAGAATGATAAGTATCAAACAGTTACATTACATTCTCAACCTATCAAAATTACTTTTGTTACATGACGCTATCGACATTGCTGATCCAATCAGCATGTAGGATGCATGTCTTATATAACTTCGTAATGTGCCCAGCTCACCAGTCTTTGTGGCTAAGTGGTTGAGCATTGTAGCGCTGAATCTGAAGGTCTGAGATTCGATTCTTTATGGTGACTCATAATTTTTCCTTGTCCCACGCTCGCGACAAGACGAAAAACATCTTTCTCTATTTCTTTACCGAGCTCTTACCATCTTTCTCATTCTCTTAACTGCTACTGTCTTAAGATTGTTTCAAAGCGGAGGGCCTTACGACTGAATGTCTTGACACCAAGGCCAAAGCAATCACAAGAGCCAATTAGGAAAAACTGAACATCAAAAGGACCTAAAAGAAATTTGCCCTGTACACTAAAACGCGCGCAAATTGCTATTTTGTATGCTGCTTAATCGTTTGAGAAGCGCAAGTTTTCTAAAGAAACCACAAAGATTGAGGCGTAAACCCAACAAAATCCCGGAATACTTGAGACAATCAATAGAAAATTGCTCTCATCATATGGCGAACCAATTACTAGACAAAAACGGCAGAATCTCGAGACGAAAGACATGAGTTTGCCTTCTGAGAGACCAAAGGATTGTTACCTCAGCGCCATGGACAGTCTCCGCCATATCCTGCTGGTATTGGTTCGTGTCCAACCACAAGCGAAATGTTCTGTCTTCTCCTTTAAATTCAGGCTTTGGTTCAGGACCTGAGGGAAAAACCAGTCAGATAATAAATAAACAGTTTGTGGTGTCTGTGTGCCGTGTAATTTCTTACAAACACATTTTCCGCGCTTGCTGATTTTTCCCCTTGTTATTTATGCGCGAAAATGCCACACGCAACAATAACAACTTGGCAGCCTAACACAGATCAAGGAAAATAACAGTCCTCGCATTAAAATACCTTACCTTCTTCGATTACTTTTCCTTGTTCATCCAACATCCCTTCAATTTCGGCTCCACGTACATAATCAACTCCGAACTGAAAGGCACAAACGATACTCTAAATGTTAGTCGGATTTTCTCTGGTAATCTGCGCCACTAAGAATGTAAAATCACACATTTTGTTCCCTTAGTTTTTAACTAGAAATTGTTGCAAGTTATAATTTCTCAAGATGATAAGTAGTGACATATTGCGACACACGCACAAAGAAGTACCTAGGTTTGGTAAAGTGCGACACAGAGTGTAGAATGCTTACAAAATTACCTGCTCTCTGAATGGTTTCGAACGATCATACTTCACTGGGCCGGGATGGGTTGGACGCACAGTCACCAAAAACACCACATCATGTTTCCTCAACGCTGAAATAAAATAACAATTAATAGAGATTTTAGTCGGTAGTGAGCAAGCACTTTGGGCGAAGTGGTGTTGAGGTGGTTATTAAGCTGGACTTTCGTTTGAAAGAACCGCGTTCGAACCTTAACCTGGTCATTGGCAAGACACTTTACTCTTACAGTGTCACTCTCCAACCTGCAGGAGTATTAATGGATACCGGCGAACTTGCCGACTTGTCGTCAGGCTACCGACCAAGGACTGTTATATAACGTGGGACAACTAAGAGCATCTAAACTCCTTATCGCCTCATGCTTAGGACACTGGGAAAGGCTCCAACAGTATTAACCACTTATCAACCTGAAAAAACCCAACACGACCACACACGTTGTCTATTTTAGACATAGCGGAAAGGAGTCAAAAGGCACTCGCACGAAAAACAGCGAATTGTGGGTAGATTTCCTAATAACTACCGCTTTCGCGCCCTAAGTTTTCATTCCCCTACAACACGATGATAAAACGATCAAACTTTATTTAAGTCATGTACCTTCCCATTCTCCTTTCACAATGTCCCTCATGTTCAAGTTAATTGTCACATCGGCTCTAACCTGAGACGGGCGAGTCTCGCCAATGTTTGGTTTAGATACCTGTGGAATAATAACACAACATACACATATAATTTAACTGGATGTATAATTTCTGTCAGAAAATTTAATGTTCATTCTACAAACCTCAATCACGCTGAAATTGATTATTTTCTGCAAAGAAAAAAAATTCAAAACTTGTTAAATTCTCATCTTCCTGAGAATGTCTACATTATTACAAGAATAATATTTGTTCGTTGCTTACTGTGCCCATTCTTGCCCAGCCAGCGAACTCTGTCTGTTCCATTTCGTTTTGCCTAAAAAGTAAACGAATGAATAATATTTAAAAAATAGGACTTTTCCAACTTTCTGCAACACAACAGCTGCACGATTAAACCGGAAGTGAGCAGCACATGAAACGTGAAACGTGAAGACAGCTCTAACCCTGCCCCTTGCATAGTCACTGATTTAAGGCAACAAATATCATCTTTTCAATCGATATCAAAGTATACAAAGTTTAAAAGTTTTGTTGTTAAAACTATAAAGATTCAACATGTATCTCTATGGTTGACTGACACACTATCATGATGTCTTACTCTGCAGTCACAACGTCTTCACAAAAAAGTCCTTTATCCACAAGACATTACTTGTATCTTCTTTTGAAGTTTTGACTCGAAAAGCTTACATCCAAATTTCTACATACCAGGGTTTCATTCTAGCTATGACATCCTCCATGTCCTGACGGATCTCATCTACGATAAAACAATATATGATTAATTAGCACAAAATCAAAATACGAAAACACAAAATTCATGAACATCACATAGTGCTTCATCTGAGGTAACAAAAACCACCCCTCCCCACACCCAAAAGAGGTAAACTTTAAAAATACCAAGGAAAATCAATAGAATGAAAAATATTAATATTGAAAAAAATATAAAACATTTCAAAGCAATGAAAAGTAATTGGAGTGAAAAAAGTGTCAAATATTCAAGGAATTTTCATTGTATAATGGCCAGTCCCCTTTAGGACCAAGATCAGTGAGAAAGATATCTTTTACAGCCACAAACTTCTGTCAATTACTGTGCCTCAGTTAGCTGAAAAAAAATTGCCATTCAATGGTTATTAGCTTTTTGGATTCATCATAATATAATAACATTCCAGAATGGTTTTGATGTGACTTTTCCATTAAATGATCAAAACAGTGTACATGTAAACAATATTAAAAAAAAAATTCATTACATGTAGATTCCAGCCTGAAGAGGTTGAGGTTACGCAACAGATAATCATGGAGAGTCAAAAACTGCAAGTTTAACTTTGGAAGAGCAAGAGTGTCTGTGAAAGAAAAAGTATTTAAAGTTTTAAAAAAATACCAACAATTTCATCATAATTTCATTGCAATCTCTACAGATCTCCCAACCAATTACCTTCTGATGAATAATATTCTGTTGGAACAATATTTTCATCCCACAAAATCTGTTTAAAAAAAAAAAAAAAAAGAAGATTATTTCTTAACCCTTTACACCCTGACATCAGTTTGCATATTCTCCATACTGTTCTCTAGACATTTATGATTGAACTAACAAGGAGAATTTGTGAAACAGTCAAGTGCTTATCTTAAGATGGTGATCATTTCCTTTATTCTCATGACCTTAGTGTGTGTTCCAGGGGTGATACAGTGAGGAGAAATGAAATACAGGTCATTCTCAGGGATAAGTACTGCAAACTGGTTTTACTAAATAAATAAACAGTAAGCCATTTACCTGTTCTGTAGGGTAAAGAGGCATTTCATTTATGGCATCAATTTGAGAAAGGCGTCGCTCATGTCTAGAAACCTTTGAAATGTGCAGAGAAGTTAGGAGTGTTATTGAAGCAGTCATTATCGAAAGAAACAAAACTCATCTCATTTATTTCCATCTCAAATTTTAAAGTAGCTACGACTAGGGAGGAGAAATCTTAAGTTAGCTATTACTGAGCTGTAGAGAAGTCTTTGTTTCTCCAGTTTGCCCAGGAGAGGTGTGGGCTCATCTCATGAACAGCCGCCAGTGATCTGGCCCATCCGCTGGCCATGTACTACCAAATTTTTAATTATGTGATATGTTGTATGATATTTAATGTTAAAGGATCCTAAGCAACAAAAAATAAAATGCAGTATTTTTTATTACAAGGCAATCTTACCAACATCTCTAGAAGAAACTCTCTGTTACTCTCTACTCCCACATCATCTGGGGAAGGCAACAGCTTCAAATATGCTGCTACCTCATGAAGTGTTTTATTTCTAAGAAAAAAACAACAACAAAATACAAGGACAGGATTTTTGTTAATGGTATAGTCTTCATAACATACTTGTGGCTCTCCAAATGGAATTTTAAGGTAGCTAGGAATAAACCAAACAAACAAAGAACTTACGACAAAGATCCAAAATGTTGCAGAAGAGCTTCCCTTGTATCAATGCTGGCAATGTTACTCATTGCGAAATCATGAAGCTCTGGAAAATACTTGAACACTGCTCGCTATAAATGGAAAAAAAAGGTGAAACATAATTTCATTAATCATGTCCTAGGAGGTCTGATCTATGCCTAGATTAACCCAGAAATTGAGAAAACAATAATATGTACCTGCAATGAAGCCATTTTGTTGTAATGAATGTCAACCATCTCATGATCTGTCAGAGCCATACCTGTGGAAAAAGCATCAAAATGAAATATCTGTAAAAACTTAACTAAAAGAGAAGGCATAAAAGTTGCTTTGCAGGTAAGCATTCATAATCTTAGATACAGCCTATACACATTACAAATTTTCATTAAATGTTTTTGAAACATTTACTACACAGTATAGTAAATTACCATGAAACATTATCATTAATAACAATTTTTTTTGTCCATTGACATACCTGTAACATCATTTATCTCAAAACCAGTGTAAAACTTCAGCATATCCAACAACTGTTGGGAGAGGAGAGGGTGTTTGTGAAGCATTGCAGATCAGAAAATTTTATGGTTATAACAAATTATAATTATCTGCCTCAATTTTAATGATTTAAGCTATTTTGTCATAATTCTGCCACCCAGGAAATATTTCTTTGCTCTTCTACACAATTCTTCCTCTGCCACATTTTTCTATGAAACACTGAGAAAAAGTTAACAGGGTTAATCAAGGAAACAGCATTCTAGCTCTACTCTTAAAAGCCTTTAGCATTCCCGTACTTGTTTGAATAATCTTCCCTCTGACTCTCTTCTTACAAGACCAGAAAGGTGGCACTTAACCTGAAATATAATCAAGTGCACAGGTTTTAATGTTACCATAAATGACAAGATTACATAGTTAATTACAAATTTGAATCATGATGTACAAAATTTATTATGTTTCAGGTATGCATGTACATGGTATTCAGGTGAATTGATGTCTATGTGTGTTGCTAATTCTGAATGTACGGTATTTTTCTTTGTGGGTTATGAAAAAATTCCAGAATAAGGAGAAATAAAAATCAAACTACTCTGTCTGGCTATGTGTCATGGTTTAAAAGTATACCTGCCCTCACTTGTTATTTTTTGAATCAGGAAATAAATACTAAACTGGGTTTAATAATTTTCAACACAAGAAAATTATCTTAAAAATATACACTGGCATGGAAAAGCATGTTGTAATTAATCTTACCACTAAATGGTGATCATCCACTAATGTATTGAAAAATCTCCTAGTTGGTAACAATGCCTATTGAAACAAAATTGTTGAGATCAATCAAGATCAGTAAGTTTTGGTCATTCTAAAAGTTTCATACCTGTCCAACACCACTGTTAGAGAAGGAACAACAGTTTACAAAAGAAAAAAGCAGAAATGTTTCCAAAATGTGAATTTCTGGAACACAATAACTGTAAGTTGAACAAAAATTATAATGCTATTAATTATTTCCTACCTCTAAGTCAACCAAGAGTTCAAGGAACCTTTCACAATAGTGAACCTTATCCATATCCACAGAGCCTGGAAATGTTTGAAAAAAATTCCTTAATTTGCTTTTTAATCAGTACACAGAACATGCTCTGATTTCACAAAGCAAAGACAGTGATAAGCAAGAATTGGTTAGAAATGTGGTTATATGCATTTCATCTGAGTAGCTAGCTCTAAAACCATTCTCCTACCGATGGATGTACCTGATGGTTGCAGTCCCTTCTGCCCCCCTCTCCCTAAAACCCTCCTGCCCTGTTACTATCCCCCCCACCCACACACCCACACACCTTTCTCTGAAAAAAATGCAAGAAAAATTTGAGCTGAAGCTGCCTAAAATAGCTGGCAACTGATTAAAATCAGTGACAGTCTAAAGAAAAGGACTTGAAGGTGTTTTTGTACAAACATGATTTACTACTAGCAACATTGGTTCATGATGAGGTCTTTAAATTTTATTTTTTGTTTATACGAAGATGAGATCAGCCTATAATAACTTACCTAACTCTGGAATTGACTGTAAGATTTTCACAAACTTCTGAACAAGGTTTGATAAATATTTTCTTTCTTTCTCTTGTCTAAAAGAATAATAATAAAAAAGATGATAACAAGCACAATTAACACTGTAATCCTGAGCCCAAAAGTGAAAAATGTTATGTACATGTATTTCTAACAATAAACATCTTAAATTGTGAATGAGTATAATTTGTGTGGTAGAGAAATTGTGCTCTAAAGTTAGGCATACTTATTGAAATTTGAACCACAAAATCCATTCTTGTCTCAATGTGCTTTTCTCAAAGCTAAGAGATTTGACAATTAAATCTATCTAGAGAGGGTATCCCCTTTTTTTCATCGCATCCAAGTACTTGCACATTTACTGCAACAACAAAAAAAAAACTCAACAAAAGCAGGACTGCAAAAGTTCAGGTCTTTCTGCATGCAGTTCACATAAACATTGTCTTGAATCTAGTGCTCTGTCTGTCAATAACTAACAGTGACATATTCAGGGAAAGAGATCCATATTTGTAGCACTCACTTTTTCTTGGTTTCTTCATCTGCCTGGGTCTCTTTCTTTTTCAGGTGTTCCCAGTATTTCCTATATTTCTTGGGCACATTCTTCAATTCTTGTTGCAGACGTTCCTTTAACAGAAACAAACCCAGCACACATTAACCTTCAACTCTAATGATCAAAACTGAATTCTTACAACCACTGACAGTACATTTCTTTATTAGATAGTGCTGAGAATTCAGTCTTAAATCCAAACAGCATCGGCCTTAACTGATATTTTCCTTATTCTCATTATCTGTTGGCTAAAAATTATTGGCAAAATAGTGAGGAGTAATCATACTCTGATGAGTCCAGGATTCCAAGGATAGATTCATATATATACATTGAAAGTTTGGTGGTAACCTTCAGATAATACCCTGTGCAGGTTTCCAATTAGTAGATACACTGTCTTGTTGTATCTCAAAATAGTTTCATTAAATATATATACCAAATGTTCAATTTTTGTTCTTAAACTCAGAGGTGTATGAGTCCTTATTTAAAAGGAACTGGCATTTGGTGAAACTGATCCCTGAGTTACACTTGCACTGTGTACATCGGTCATCAACTAAGGGTGCAGCCAGCTTGATTTATTCAATAAGTGAATTTAAATCTTATAACTACTAGAACTTGCTATTTACCACTCTCAAATTGTCAATGATACCAGACTTCTTGGTACACTAAACCAGAGTAAACAAAACATACCGGAAGAAGAGAAATCCACATAGACAGAGACACCAAGTGCTGCAGTTGTTCTCTGATGAGATCCATTTCCTATAAAACAAAGTTACATGTTCATGAAAATGTTGAAATCACAACATTTTATTGCTTAAAATTAACTAACTTGAGGCCTGATAGTTCCAACACAGTGTAGAAAAGGAATTCATTTTTAACAATAACATTAATCAATGTAAGATATCTGTAGGTAAGCTCAAGTCATTGAGAAAGATCTGACATACCAGACTGTTGAAACAATGAATCAAAAACGTCAAGACAATAGACTGCTCCTTAATTGTCACCATCTGGAATTGAATGAAAATTATTGCGTCATTTTCTTTGAACTTTCCATATTGTTCTATATACATTTCCTAAGGAGCTGACGTGAAGAATTTGTTTAACAATCAAGAACTTCTTTGGTTGATGATCAATTCCTTTATTCTCATGACCTTCATGTTTGATTCAGGGGTCATTTTGTAAGGAGAACTTGGATGCTAGTCACTCTTACAGGTCAAATGGTAAATTTTTGCTATAACTAGACATTGCCTGCATACTGTTTAAATTAAAAAGTTCAAGAATTATCTGTGATGAAATCTTCAGTTTACATTTCTGTACCATTTATTTAAGTTACTGTACTAAATAAATATATCTTTAAGTCTCCTTGATTTTCTATGAATATTTGACATACATCTTCATCAGCCAAGCTGATTTCCATGATGCGTTGGAAAAATCCATGGAACTCCTCTGGATTTTGTTTGAATGACTACAAATAAGAATAAAAAGTGACTTGTTAGGTATCAAGCATATTTATCAAAATACCTATTATCAAAACATTTTTTAATTATACTTCTAAGGTCAAGTAATGTTTTATGACAGACTTTGTACCATAAGCTTAACCTTTACACCCTGACATCAGTATAATTGACATATTTTCTCTGACAGGAATTTGTTCATCAAAAACATCTTTAGCCATCCTTTTCCTTTATTCTTATTATCTTAATGCATAATTCAAGGGTTATATTGTAATGAGAAGTAAGTCACTATCGGCGATCTAAAGCGTAACCAGCAAGGAAGAACCTAAACTAAATAAATCAGTTCCAAGGATGGAGATGCATTGTTCATTTAAAATCCATGTCCCCCCTTCCCTTCCTACCAATAAAACCAACATATTTTTCCTTGACAGTTTTGGAGCACCTGTTAAAACTTCTGAATGAAGAGAGGCACAGTGACAGTAACTTTATAGTTAGCATCTTGTTGAAGAGCAAATCACAGCTTCAAGAACTTGAACCTTCCATTCTCCAGTTCAGTGCTCTAACCACCAAGCAGCCAGGTTTCCCTCTAGTCAAACATACATATAATGGATATTTGATATTCTTACCTCCCATGGTGGTACACCTTCCCTAAACTTTTCATTCACCATCACAATGACAGACATGACATACTCAACAGAAGCCTGGAAGAAATCACAGTTGAAATAACTTGAAAATTGAGATTATTCACAGCTACACTGTAAGACAAAACAATGTATCTGAGTATACATGACTCTCAAATTCCACTCCCTCTCAAGATTCACTGTCTGAGCATAAAGAAAAGAGACAACATCAACAATTCTCAAAATTGCCTTTTTTTTGTATGTTTACAAACCTTAGCTGCATTGAAGTTGGGCCACAAATAATTTTCCAAGTATTGGCTGAACTCTAACAGCATAGCACGCTTCACAGAAAACCTATTCAGAACATAGACATAATCACCATATGTTCTTTCAGTTCAATTGAGCTTATTAAAACATTTAATCAGACACACCATATTATTTTTTTTCTTTAAAGGAGAAGCAAAAACTCTGATTGATCAATAAGAGAGTGCAAAACAACAAAATTATGTTTAATTGAGAAAGAAAGCAATACACGTACTCCCTCTTGATCTCAATGCTCAATAAGACCAGTACTTACTTGCTGCCTTTAATTTCATCTCTATAAATGTCATCAACAATCTGTACACAAACAAAATAACAAGTCATCATTTCTCTGGTAAAATGAACAGGAGATAGGACACTGTGTACCCTTTTCCACGCAAAGAACAAAATCATTCTCTTTACAGTTATCTTACCTCTCTTAATACAAAGAAATGTGCACTACATTTTGTATTGTCAAGTGGATTACATGTACTTCTGTTTATTCAATTTTAAAATTTATTAAATTTTCTTTCATCAGAGAGGTAGCTGCCCCCATTAATAGCTTCTTTTAACATGTGCTTATCACAGAAAAAAAACCCTTTCTTCCCTTCTTTATATAGACCTAGTTTGTACCTGTGGATTGAAGGGTTTCTTGCTTTCTCCAGGAGCCCAGTACTGACTTGCAAGCTGTAAAACAAACAAAAAAAAAACAAGAAATCACCATAAACTATTCAATGTAGTGCTCTCTCACACGCATACTCTACATAATCAACGACAATTCATTGTATTTTCTCTCTTTTATCAAGCCATACTGGAGTTATGTTGGAATCACGGCACCTTTTCTCTCCTTCATTATCTCCATATAACTCTCAAAAGAAAAAATATTTTAACTATGCGAACTTTGTCAAACAACCAGACATGAATTATGCGTGCAAAGAAATAATTTGCTTGTCCTTTTGTGTCTGGAGAAACAAACTGGTGACAATCCGACATGTCCACTGTACGTAGATCTTCACACCAACTCAAAGGAACCACGCAGGTACTATTAAATATTTTTAAGTGTGCATCTTTCCTTAAAAAAAAACTCTTGAAAGAAAGAAAGACTCAGCTGAAAAAGAATCAGCAACGTAAACACAGCTGGATGATGCTTACAATTTCAAACTCGTTCCTTCAGAACTGTAATCCAAAATCATATTTTACTGTACCTTGGTGATCCGATCTGAAGAAATTTGCTCCACTGTAGGAACTGCATTCCTCCTACGGCCTGCTGATTTCTTACTCATATTTCGCTTCTTCCGAAAAACTTTAGCACGTGTTGACAAGCTCTTGCAGACGTCCTTCCTACGTAGTCACAAGCGAGATCGCTGTTCTTGACAAGTGTTCGGATTACATTGCAATACAAAGATTTTTTCTAGGACAATCCTTTCTCTTGCAATAAGTTCTTTATCTCTGATAAGGAAAATTTGACAAGTAAATTTTTACACTTCCTACAAGTGTTCGGCCGCCATTTTGAAAATATCCAGATAATGATTGGCAGGGATAACCTGGGCATGAGAGATAATTGTCTCTTACCCAGTCCTCGTATTTCGCGCTCCGATCTCTTCGGCCGCGCGCATGACTCCCGCTTGCTCGCCTTGGTCTTGTCTCCGTTCGCTTGAAAAACGTAAACCTGATTGATAGGACACTTTCCTTCATACACCCTCTCTCTCCTCTTGATACTTTTCACAGGATACAAGCGGTCAAGGGTCAAGGATTCGAAACAAAAATACATGGAAGACCTTAACTTTCGGACATACACAGATCCCCCCTTGGAGTTGTTCTAGGGATGCTTCAGTTGCCGAAATAAAAGGCGACTCCCGAGCAATTCTCCTTCTTCTTCGCCTTCATTTTTTTTTTTGGTGACGGGAACTCGGAAAAGGGTACTAGAAGAACTCGAAAGTCTTCCTCGTTACAGACGATTGAATAACATTAACCACTCAGAAATAGGTACAACACATCCCTTGGTTTAATTACGTTTTATTGCAAGACGTATACAAGAGCAGGATTGGGAGAATTATTTAATTAAGAAGAATATTTAGATTTTAGTTCAATCCTCTCCATCGATTTCAAAGTTCAAGTTGTCCGGTTTTAACCAGTGATAAATAAAACTTAAATAAAGATCTGTCGACTCTTCGATTTTCAACTGATTTTTTGTTTATTCTACACTCGAACCTCTCTAGTAGGGACACCGACAGGAAGGAGAAAAGTCTCCTTATTACGGAGGAGTACGGAGGAGTCCGCAGGGACAATTTCGACAGTATTTGAGATTTTAATACAGTTTTAAATATGGTATTAGATAAGAGCCTTAACTTTCATATCTTGAGAGCGGAATGATAAATATGTAAAATTATTAAAATATTTACTTTTTGTCAAACCAAACTTTAGCTTTGGCTGCTTAGAGCAGATTTAAGTCTTCTTTGACAACTTACAAGTTGTAAATGTTATTTTTTAAGAGCGGTTTCTTTACAACCTGAAGTAATAAGTTAGTCGCGGTACAATTAAATTCCTCATTTGTAGGACGTTACTCAGTCTCCCTTACTTTTCCATAAATTTCCTTAGAAAAACGTCAGACTTCTCTTCAGATTTAGCCCAGGTAAGGAGACTTAAGTTCCAGCATGGTGCCATAAGACATTTGTCAAGGGAAGAGACGGGATGATTTAGGACTATCTTCAACTGTAGCGCCAAGCATTATGGTTAATTGTCTTTATTTGGGAACGTGCCACTCAAAATGTCGGTTACTTCTTGCGAATGCAGCTTTCCAATGCCAACTGCAGGAACAGCCAGAACTCTTCGACCACTATATTTGAGCTAAAACGAAGATTAAAATCTGTTATCATCAAGCAATTGATGGATCAGCCAATAATCAACGAAAATACTAACTCATCCATCAGTCAATAAGGCAAGCAAGAATCCAGTCAAGTCAACTGATTAACCGCGTTTTTTTTTAATCATGTTTCAAGTTACCCTGACTTTCAGTAAATACGTTAAGCAATCAATCTATCGACAAGTTAGTTAGTCAATCAATCAACCAGACAGACTGACTATAAATCCTATTTTGATATCATCAGGTTTACCTTAACTCCCACAATATTCTCAAATCGCGGTGATACGAAACTCCAGGCTCCCATATTCCTTTGCTCTTCTTGACTCCAAACAAATTCTGCATAGAAAAGTCGTATATGACTGTCACAACACTGCTAAAGCATTTCAAGTTGATAGGAACATTGGGGCAACTATTAAAAAGATACCTTTCGCTTGAGGAAACTTCTTCAGCTCTTGACGAATCATTTCAGCAGGAAACGGGCATAACGACTGGAGAGGATATAAAGTAAAATAGCAACTTTAGAACTATCACTTAACTAGTAAAAAGAAAAACAATTGTCTCTTATTAGCATAAATAAAACCTGCTCACGAACTTATTACGGTTTACACCGCGTGAAATCCGCACCAGGAATGTCTTTACCCCTCTCCCCAGTTCCCGGATGTGATCCTAGGTCCTAACCCCAATCTCCCTCTTAAAATTTTGTTCAGTTTTCTGGCCAGGGTTTGAAGTCGAGATTCCAATCAATGGGACACCGCTTTTCATACAAGCCCAACTTAGGATCCTTCCTTAAAAATGTATGCGGTCACGGTAAGTGAACACTCCAACCCTAGTCCCAACAACAGCAAAAGTAACAAAGAAACCAATAAAAATGCCAAACGCCTCTCATTAGGGGACACTTGAAGTGGCCTCAAGTGTGTCCCTGATATAAGGTTCCACTACATCAAGTAATAGATCGCTTTCTAGTATCAAAACGAGTCCCCTACCTCCAGTCTTATAATGGCTGTATCTAAGCTGTTGGTCGCCTCTCTTTGCTTGGCTAAAGCGTAATAATGCTTTCCAGAACAGAACACAACACGGCGCACTGAAGCGCTATTTACACTGGCATCTCCAAGCACCGGTCTAAAATGTGTTCCTGGGCCCATTTCTTGAAGGGTCGATACCGCAGCCTGAGGGGAAAATGAGAAAAAATACGTTATCGTACGTACGGCGCGCCAAAGCCTGTTCCGATTTCATGAGCAAAGCTTCTAGAATTTTCTTGGATTGGATGCTCGTGCATCTTACTCACCGGAAGTCTTAATAACAACTTCGGTCCAACGACAATCAGTGGTTTCCGGAAGTTGCGGACCATCTAGGACAAATAATAATAATTTTAATAAATTAGGAACAGTTTTTCTTGAGGCATCTAGTTTAAGTTAAAGTTTCGCTTTCTGTCGATCGAATCAGGCTAGCGGCATTTCTAAGAGAATTATTAAGAGTATAGAAAAAGAAATTTGATGGCTTTGTGTTAATGGGTTTGTGTTGTAAAGTGGATTCTAGGCATCAAACAATTCGGCTTTAGTTAACAAAATTTCATCAGTCCGTAGTTACTTATAAATTTTAACCTCGAATATCCGAAAATGAATGACAGGGGAGCATCAACTAAAGAGTTGAGGGATTCGATACCAGAAAAAAAACCACAATTCTCTTCCCTTTTCCACTCGACAACTTAGCTTAAATTTTGCCATCTCATCCTTTTTTCCGTCATGCATATGAACTCACTTGCTGACGTAGTAAGTGGAAGTACTGCGCAGGCGTGGTTGGGTTCACTATCTGCATGTTCACACCGTCGCCGTCCACTCCATCTTCTCGACTGTCTGTCATCTACAGAAATAAGAAAACGATTAAGAGTGGTCACCAGTCTCTTTTCTCCATTGCCATCTCTGCCTCAAGAACTTTTTTTTTTTTACTTTCAGCTCAAAGGTCAATAGATCGACAAACTCGAATTTATTGCAAACACTGTGACAGACGGAGACAGCTAAAGACTTTAGTGAAGTCTAAAGCTAATACCACGCACCTGAAGGAATCTCTCTACTCTACAAGAAGAATGTTCAGGTCCTGCACCATCATAGCCATGAGGCAGTAACATCACCAGACCACTCTGAAGCAACCACTTTGCTGAAAAAGAAAAATCACCTTTGCTGTTTTTCGCCTAATCCTTTCTAAAAGTTATAATTGCCTTGAGAGAATATCTTCATCAATATGCCACGGGTTAAAAATCTCATTCCTCTTACCCTCTCCTCCTGATATGAATGTGTCGATGATAATCTGCGCGCCGTTGAAGAAATCTCCGAACTGCGCTTCCCAGATGATCAAGTGATTTGGGTTCTCAATACTCATGCCATATTCAAAACCGAGACAAGCTTCTTCTGACAAAGGACTGTTGACCACCTGTGTGGAAGACCAAGAAAAATTTTTTTTCAGAGATCTACTTTACTGGTACAAGAGTTAGCAGGCAAGTCTCCGACCGAAAGAGCGCAGGTCTGGAGGAGTTCGTAATGGAAATTCTTAGGAGAATAGTGCTAAATACCTCAAGGAATCCTTTCTGTTGTTCGGACATGTTATTCAGCGGTACAAACATCTCGTCTGTTTGTTGATCGACCAGCATCGTGTGTCTGTGGCTAAATGTTCCTCTTCCGACATCTTGCCCGCTAAAGCGCACGTGATACCCTGTCAAACGGAAAGTTCGCACAAAATTAATCGCATAATAACTGCAAATTAAAGATCCGAAAGTTCAAACTCTGACCAGTGCGTAATCATTCGAGTACCGTATCATAAACTGTACAAGGTGGCTCTATCATTTAAGACTGCAAATGAAACTTTCGAAATGTGACCACTAAGCAACACTGACATCTAAATTGTTATCCTCAGCGGGTACATTTTTTATTCGTTACTAATCGATTTTCAATATTGAAGAGGAGTTTTCACCTTGATGAAGAAGACTTCCGATGGCGAGAGCTTCTGCAGTAGCCCAGTCAATTCCGGCGCCACTTTCTAATTTTTTTATCCTGGCCTCCGCGTGAGTCTTTTTCAGGTGCGGGTGAATGTTAAAGGAGTCGGGTGTTTCGACAGACTTCGCTCCAACAAAGAGCAAGCCTTCCAGGGGAAACCCTTTGTAAGAAAAGAAAGCCATTTAAAATGAGAAGATTTCAATCAAGTGTCAGAGCAACCCAGGAAATTAATGGTTTGGCTTAACTATGCTGTGACATTGATAACAAAAACTCATGCTATCTTCTTAGGCAATCAGGTACAATATTAAACCTAACCACTACTTGGTTACGTGCATTTCCTGTGACCATCTTATCGCCTCTGCGGGATATTCTCCTCTAGTCTAATAAGTTATTTTCGTAACCTTGGTTCTAGCTTTATGTCTATCGAACAAACAAGCCACAGAGTCTAAAAAGACAAGCTGCCCCTAAACTGCGAGGCAACTAATATTCTACCTGTGTCCCAAGTAGTAATTTTATCTGCACTGGCCTGAACAAAGCCTTTCCAGTGTCCCTCTAGGTGACTTGTTTGAGGAATAAAGTTATCTGAACGCTTCAATTGATCATTAAGAAAATCGGTATATTGACTGTTATCCTCGCTTTCAATCGCAGCCACGCCCTTCTGCTCTAAACTATTGGCATAGAGCACTGGCACGCTAGGACGACTCTCTATTTCTTGGTACATGACGGGTTGTGTGAAAGATGGATCATCAATCTCATTGTGACCCCTGGAACAAACCATAACAACAACAATCTTAACATGACTTAGAATAGCAAAGGAAGTAACATTCTGCGGTTTGATTCGGTATGGGATCTAAGAAATGTTCCTCATTCCTGCTCGTGAATAGAAGAATGTCGTATACACTCGATTTAGCGCCGTGGTACAGCGTTTCCGTTGCGGCGTGTTCTTAAGGGCGGCGTTTGTTTGAAAATTACTGTTCTTAGATCATTGATGGAAAGTACAGTAAATCCTTTGCAAATATTACGTTAAATAGAAACATCTAGAGAGTTCCACTATCTCGCTATTTTTGTATAAATGTCCAAGGATGGTGTAGATTGGTTTATTGTGACGTAAATACAAATATATTTGCTTTAATCTTCGTATAAACGTCTCGATTTTTGTCTCCTTCCTCCTTAAAAATACATCGAGATTGTAAGGAGAAATTCATTTGGTCACTCCAAGGAGTTCAAGGTTCACTTCATTTACAAGTAAAAGTTAAGCGCCTCTCTGTATCTACAGCTTTCACTTCTCCTGAGAGGGACAATCACAAAGAGATAAAAACAAACATACCATCGTCTGTAACAGAGCATGTCAACGATAACATCCTTTCTGTACTTCCTTCTGTATTCAAAAGCCAAGCGACAAGCTCGAACAACTTCCTATGTGAACAAAATGCAAGAGGAAGACTTTTTAGGATAACAGCAAGTTAGTCTACAAACAATCATGTTTTTTCTTATTTTTCAATACTAACGAACTATCTATTCGACCATTATGGATTGACAACCACATCTCTTATAGAGCAGCCTTCAATTGAACGTCGTAAGTAATCCGCGATTGCGTTGGTTTGGCTTTACTTCTCTCTGTGATTGGTCCAGAAAACTCGCGCCACTCTATCAACCAATCAGATACAAACGTGAACCCAGCCACGATTTGGTCGCCCACGTTTTCCCGCGCTTTGGGTCGTTGGCTTGTTCTCACTTCGAGTTTTCATTGGCTCTTTAGGGTATTTTTCTTTCTTCTGATTGGCCGTTGTGATAACCTAAGTTTTGCTTTTACGAGACTCAATCGAAAAACACTCTATCTAAGCTGGATGAACTTTTACATGCAGGCTGCAGAGTTTAGCATGCACCGCTGGAAAGTTAACAAAATCTAATCTAAAACTCTCCAATCAACGTTAATGCCAAAGTGGTCATGTAATTTTCCTACAAACACTTTTAGTTTGGAACATTCTCTAAATACGTTCTTACATTCATAGCATAGTGTTTTTTTTTAATAATCCAGCTTTTGTTTACAGAGAAATAAAGTGACAGCCCTATGGTCATGAATATGAAAGCGATCTTTGCAGTAATGAATGGTCACAAGATACTATAAGATTAGAGTGTGAATAATTACTTACTGCTAACTGTACTGACCGAAACAGTACTAAAGAGAGAAAAAACTCACTTACTTCCCACGTAGAGGATCATTTTCAAATTTATCCAGATTTTTAAAGAATAATCCTTTAAAAAAAATTCAAGGAATGGATCATGTGTCACAGGAAACATTTACCTCGGGATTAGCTCCATTAACATGAAGTACAGGACATCCAATCATTTTACCAACATCACTGCTGTATCTAGAAGACCTACAAAAGAGATCTTAAACTTCATGAAAAGCATTAACCTTGAATTTCACAATGTATCAAAAGAAAGACATACAATTTGCAAAACATGATGAGATGATTACCTTCCTCTCTCCCCAGGGGTAGTGAAGCCAAGCTGGTTATTAACAATCAAATGGATTGTGCCACCAACACTGTAATGTGGTAGGTTTGCCAGGCAAAATGTCTCTGCTACAATACCCTGTGCATGAGAAATATATTCCTCTGAGATGAACAATGTTTACCTCAAATTTGGCTGGTGCCCTAACAACAAAGAGTGTTGTTGTACCTCTCCTGATGCTGAAAACACCATTTACTTTCCTCAATCAATCACAGAATATACTCACATTCACTAAATTTTCTACTCTCTCTTTGTTAGACAAACAGTTTAAACAGGAATTTGTCATGAAGAATGGAGTGTTGCATTCTAAACTTTGTGGTAATACATGTACAATGTGTAGACCTGAGTGAAAAATTCAAGCAAAATCATGATGCTAAATGTAGATTTTATTGCCAGACGAAAACTGCCTTTTCTTACCTGAGCAGAGAATGAAGCATCTCCATGAACCATTACACTGAGTACCTTGGAGAGAGAAAAAGGTTGGAAAGTTTACGATGAATCTTGTTATTTAAGTGCTTGCCAAAACAGGTAGGAATTTTAAAGGTTGTGTAGTTCTAAATAATTTGTATGGCAGGCATCAATTAGGGAAGGAGGAATAAATCCTCTTCACCCCAACCCATTTGCTTAAGGTGTCTCCTTTGAAAGGTTAGTTAAGATTGGCTGATTGTCCGTCAGACAGCAAACCATTTACTTAGTCAACTGATCAGTCATTCAGTTAATGTTTATCAGACAGTCAGTCAGTCAATCAACCTCTGACTCAGGTCAGTCTGTAAATAATTATCAGTCATAAATCAGTTTACGACAACACACCCAATATACCCTGCATACATATACATGTATGTAGAGAACTCCAAAACAAGAAATAGTAAATTACATTTACCTTATCACCCAGTGGACTGTCAAGATTGCTAAAGCAACCATCCTTTAATGTAAGCTGCCGACCCCTTGCCTTACCAGCCGTCACAGGATTGACAGCTTCCAAGTGTGATGGGTTTGGTAACATGGTCACTCGCAAATCATAATCCTCAAGATCCACAGAAGTGTCTAAGAATATAGAATAAGTAGATAAAACAAAAGCAGGAAATTCAGAAAATCTATGATTTCCAAAAGAAACTATGATTTTAAGGGATACTTTAGTAAATAGGCATTTACGGAAGGGGAGAGTGAGAAAGCATTTTCAGTGCATCAAACATGTTGTGCAGAAAACTGAAGCTGAAGGATTCCTTTTGAGTTAATACTTATGTGGACAAGCACCTTGACCAAACTTATAAAGATTCAGCTGGTTTGCTTCCAACTAGTGGGCCAAAAATTCTCAAATCAGACAATTTATGTTAGGCTGGTTTGATCAGAGACCTCGCTACAATACTACATCTGAAGTTTTGTACAATCACTAACCTAATCAAGTATTAAACTAGAAGACCACTGTTGCACACCTGTAATAACCTTTGGCTAAAGCTGGTAAAGAGTTAAGTAAACACTGGCTTACAAAGATAGACCACATTATTTTGCAATGCTGGTTTATTAATTCAAGACATGTAACACTAGCAGTTTTAAACAAAGGTTCTGAACTACATGTAATGTTGTCATTAACTTACACAGATGAGAGAGGACATCACCAATGCCCTGTGCTCCTGGAGGAAGCTCAGAATTTCCTTTTATCTGTTTTTGTTAAAAGGTATTTAAAGTGATGTTTTTCTAAATACTTTATCATCAAGGACATCTAAATGTATATCAATAGTATCAATAATAAAAATAAGAACAAAAAATATAATTATGTTTCAATGTAAAAACATTGAAATATACCAGTCCTAAAAATGTATTTTCACATTTTATAATCACATTTATTTAAAAACCAACTATAATCATTTGGCAATTTAATTTTCATGGTTGCCCAGTTTCTCACAAGATCATGTGAGGCAATTTTAGTGTTAAGGAAAAGCAAAAAAAAGAAATGAAATCAACCTAATTGTATTAATCTCCAATAAAATAAGTTTTGGAACCTACACATAAGTATAGGTCAAATTTAGTCATGATAATTATTATTAATAGTAAACAGTTTACCAGTATTTACTAAACATCTAACAGTTCAAACCTTGTGGAACAGTTGGGCTGTAGGATATTTCAGAAGACCAGTTAGAAGGTTGAGTCGGCCTCTATGTGGTATGCCTAAGACTAACTCTTGGATTTTACCTGAAAAAAAAATTCAGTTGGAAATGCAGGGGCACTGATTCAGCACATCGTAATTAACATCCTCTGAAATTTATGTCAAGTATTTGTTGACTAAAAGAGTCTGAGGTCCCAAGCCTTGAGAGGTGTCATTGTGCTGTTCTTGTGTGTAAGAGTAGAACTTAATGCACACATGGGGTGACATAAAAACTGTCGAAATCCTGGACAAGTATTCTAGGCATGAGGGCTAGAAGTAACATGAACTCGCCTCATTGAGAGGCCCACAACATGACCAGGCGCAAAACAATATACATTCTAAACACAGTTTGAAGACATTTTAATGAAAGATGCAGACCTAAGGGGTCACTTACACCTGCACTAAGGACATTTCAAAGCTTATTTTCCATTGTTCCATACTGGAGTCGCTTAACTTACTGTAAGAAGACCGAAGAAAAAGTTCATCAAAAAATGCCATCATGCTCTCTGCTCCTTCAGCTCCATATCTCTTGACTGTTGGGAATTTTTTGGCAAGAAAATTGTCAAATGCCTTGTTAAGAAAAAAGCATGAGTATGTTATTCATTAATTAAATGTTACAATATGTACAATTTATCTCAGCCAGTTACAACTATTTAACTTTCATACTGAATATCCAGATTTACGCTTATTCTAAAGATTCAATGAATTTTACAGGAGATAAGAGGGGAAATGCAGTGGCCAGAAGGTTAGTGCGCTGGACTCTGGGTCTTAACACCAGGGTTCAGACAAGGTTGGGTCACAGTTGCGTTCTCAAGCAAAACCAACTTTACCCTCACAGTGCCACTCTCCACCCAGGAGTGTAAATGGGTACTCACATATTGCCAAGAAAGCCTGATGAAATGCTGGAGTGTAACCCTGCATTGGACTAGCATCCCCTTCTGGGCAGGGGGAGGGGGAGGGGGGTGGAGTAGTGATACTGCTAGTCACTTCATGCTTTGGAAACTGAGATAAGTTCAGGGACACTTGGCTCAACTGCTGACTTTATCTTTGGGAGATTAGGAGATTATTCAGGCATCTAAGAGACTTCTGCATAAACTGAGAGGGTTTGCATCATTTTTCATCCACTTTCTACAACAACATCTCTAATTTTTTTTGTCACTAAGAGCAAAGAAATGCCTGTGACCTAAGTATGTTAATACAAGTACATATTCAAACAATCTCAATAAAAGTAAAGAATTTACAATGACTTTCACAAGCCATGTACCTCAGATTTCAACAACAGCTTTGCTAAATAGTTCTGTCTTTTAGATTCATTTTCTAGTGTCCAATACAGAACACTCTTTTCAATCAGCTGAGCCAACCAAAACTTCTCTGACTCATCCTGCAGGAAAGTGAACACACATTAATTGCCAAGTAACGAAATCATTAAGTACTACTATCACAGCAGCTGTTTTCTTTGAGACCCACTCTCCAAGTGTGGCTTGTAAATTAAGCAAGTATGACTCTTATTAATAATAAACTACACAATTGAAGGATTTTAGGGTTGGTGATTAAGGAGGTAGTATTAAATTTACCCTCCTCAGCAGCAAGACATAATCATGAAAAGCAAGCTACAGCTACTTTGCTAGGGTGCAAGATGTAGATTTACAACAGTATATATATTCTCCAAGCTGTTCTCTATACATTTCCCAAGGTGCTGACAAGGAGAATTTTCAGAACAATCAAGAGTTTCTTTAGTTGGTGATCATTCCCTTTATTCTTGTGACATTGATGTTTGTTTCAGGGGTTATATTGTAAGGAGAATTTAGATACTAGTTACTACGTGCAAATAACCAAGAAAGCAATGGTCATGCAGTTAGGAGGTTGAGATAAATGTTTCGAGCTGAGGAATCTAGAGCTAAAAGGCTCCTTAAGCTAGAAATCTGGTGTCTTACTTCAATATGGTGTATTTCTGCCGATAGCTGCCCACAATAAACTTTTTCCAAATGTGTAAGAATTTCTGAGAGAGTGGCTTCCTCTTGACCATTATAACATAACAACCCTAAATGCACAAAAGAGAGTCATCAATAATTTAATTAACAATCAATACTAGCAAAGAAAATTTAAAATAATTGTCTCACCTGATAACTTGAAATACTTATTTACATCCACATTATCCAAACCGAAATTTGCCAAGGAAAATTCCTTGGAGTTCTTTAAAACACTTTGAAAATCTCTGAGAAAAATAGTAACATATCAGTGATTAGAAACAAACCAAATTCAAAATTAGTCCAAGGAGTAGGAATTGTATGCACATGTATGTACCTGTTTTTTGCCTTCAAAGGATTTACATCTGCAAATTTATGCCCATGTTCTCTATAAGCATTTACTAGTCTAAGAATATTGGCATTCTTGATTTTATTCTGCAACTCCTCTTCACTCTCTGAAAAAGATAATTAAGAGAGTACTTACAAACAAAAAAAAATTTTAATTACTAGACAAGGTATATCTCTTTCCCAAGAGTACTGGAGGCATTCTGTCACCTCCATATAGATTTCCTTTTGTACTGACAAGGAGAATCAGTTTAATAATCAAAGCTTCTAAGGATGGAAATCAGTTCCTTTATTCTCATGATCTTAATGAATGATTCAGCAGTATTACTTTAAGGAGAAATAAGATGCTGGTCACTTATAGGGTTTGAAGGGTTGAACTTTTAACTCAGAATTCAAGACAGAATTTCTCCCTATAGCATCAATACAATATCAACCAGATAAGTGATGAGAATAAAGAAAAATATCAATTTGGGAATAATTAGTTGATCCAATACTAAATTCTCTGAACTAACATTATAAGAATTGTATGGTTGAGAGTAAGGAGAATTACAAGTTTGATGTGGGAGTTAAAAGGTTAAGGGACCAGTAGAAGGGGCCAGTCTTTTTTTCTTTCGTTCTTACATTATTCAATAACCTATGCATTCTAAATTTACTCAGTTATAACTGACCTGCATGGATTATTTGAGGAGCAGGCCTGTAACCAAAACATCCACTCTTTGCATGATACAGTTTGACAGTATTAACACTGCTCCTAAGGACAACTTGGTGTAAATTCTTCAAAGGTATCACACGTGGAATAATTCTCCACATGATGGTGTTTGTTGATTGTGGAACTTATGCTGAGGGCTCCTTCACACTGGCATGATATCTAACATCAGAAAAGCCCTTCCTGCAATAAAAAGAGGATAAAAATGAGAGCCATATGGTGCCACCACATGAAAGTGCGGGTCTTGCAAACTCTTCATCTAATCTCAAAATACATATTTTTTTTTCAATGAGTCATGTAGTATCAAACTTTTGCCAAAGATCACAGATTCTGAATTTTTTTTCCTAAAAGCCCTGCAACTCAATTGAAAATGTACCTAGAGTACCATGGAGTCATTGCAGTGAGTGAAGTGAAGCAAGGTGCTGTTGTTTAAAAATATTGCAAGGTGATGTTGATGGCTTACAATATGAATGCAAAAGTGTGCTGCAACTCTATGAACATTATCAGTACTCATCCAACTGGAGAAATATTTTAGACCGATTTTTCTTACATGTTAAATCAGCTGACCAACAAATGATGGCAACATATTAATAATGAAAAATTAATCCAAAGTAAAATTTCAAAATTCCATCGCAACAAATTAATACCAGATTCACCCATTTTTTCAGCAACGTATGTGTTTGGTTAATTGTTTATGCTTTTAATTTACGCATTTTTCGGCAATCGAGGCTTTACGCACGTAAATTGACGTCGATGTCCCAAAAAATCACGTACACCTGTGATTGTCATCAGAAACATTTTTCCTGTCTGAGCGATTGATTTACAATCTCGTTAGGATCGGCTATTCTATCAAATTAGAGACATGTATGCCGAACGAAATACTAAGCTCCCTGTTCAGACATAGGCTTTGTAACCTGCACGTGGCCGAAGATGTTATTTTGGGCCATGTTGCAATACCGTCAAAACAAGAGTACGGTATGAGTACACGACAGCTTTAAGTGAAGCATACACCCTTTAAATTATTGTCAAAAAAAGTACACGTAAAACGTGGCAAATTATAACACTCATAGGTATAGAACATTTATAAATCAGAGGAATCAAGGAGACAAAAGCTAAGAAGAAGCTTCTACTCACACAGTCCCGCGTGACTTGACACTATCATAGCACACTACGAATACGCCAATATGGAAAATTTATGCAAACCCGTACAGCCGCTGAGCTTGTGAATTGACGGCACCCACGAACACCAAGCAACTTAAGGCTTACGCTTGTGTGTGAACATTCTATAAATACAGTCTTACACTTTAGCTGGATAGGATAAAACAGTAGCGTCATTCAAACCTAAAATATATGTATGAGTATGAAAAACTGCGACCCGATCTTCCTCCATGTTGAATTTTCTCTTTCTGCTGCGAGGTTTGTGGGTTATACAGGTCTTTAGTACTCTTGATTTTGCCCCTCTAAGGATTCGTACTCTTTCTTAGAGTCATACTAGACTCGGTAAGCATTGCATTTACTTCATTGACTGATAACTAATTTATTAATTGAAAAGATGGCCAAGAAGTGTCTGTATGTTTGATCTCTGTATAACGTGGCCATGCAATATTTTTCAAATCAGAGGGTATGTTTTGGACACAAAGCATCCTTATACCAAATCACGCTTGCAAAGCACTTTAAAAAGCATGTAAACAAAACGAAGCACCCAGTTCAACAGATGGTTTATTTATTGGTAAACGCGGCTAACTTTTAACCTCGATCGTGCATTATCTCTCCTGTAATTGGTACCTGAGGGTCTTAATGGGGTGACAGCTTTCACTGCTAAAGGTTAAAATTTTGACCAATTTACGGCTAACTTCATTTATGACTAGCGGTTAAAATTTGTCAATTTTTATGCCTAACGGCAAATTATTTTGGCCGTTTTATGGCCGAAATAGGTTTTAACTCCATTGGGAACCTCGTAGTTGTGCATGTGATCACCGGAACCCCATGAAATAATTTTTTCTTTTTTTTTTTCATTATTAATTTGTCGCATGAAAAACGTGAACCGACTTTCGACTAAGCCTGAGCATTGAACACAACGACTCAAGACACTTCCTCTTCAAGCTCCACTTGTCTCGTTTCTTAATTTTAGTTACTTCGTTTTCGTAATTTGAATGCGTCATTCTTTGACTTTCTATTTTCGGAGTGTTTCGTTTTCATGTTTACCTTCTGAACTTTCATGATGGCCCAGCTTCGCAGGAAAAACAGAGGTTTGCCTTTCATGATTTGCAACTTTCTAGCTAGCAAAAATCAACAAAGTATTTTCTTCTTCCCTTTTTCTTCATCACTGATTAAGGGAGCATCATTAAGGGAGGAGTTTTAAATGGGAATTTTTGGGGGCCTCAGAAGGGAACCCCGGTCAGTGGTACTTTTTCTGGCCCACAGTTCACCGATTTCTTGTTTTCATCTATTTTTTCGTCATTATTAATTTGACAACTTGTTTTTGTGCGCTTCACTCCAGTCAGTGGGCTCTACTTCTGTGTCCAGAACATTGAATCGTTTTCCAAAAGATTTTAAAAGAAGGTCAAAATATTGGGGTTGCACTCGAAGAGGTATCGGTGTGACCTGCCGGCAGATATCGCATCCAAAATTATTCAGTATTATTCAAATTGAATAATACTGAATTTGAATTTGAATTCTCGGCGTGCAACGCCGATGCCGTTAAAAAGTCGTCCAATAGGAAAATAAGTTATTTATATATTACTCGCTTCTTAGTAAACTAATCTTACGAATACAATTATTGCTTATTTTTTGTGCTTATCCGTCGAGCGAGCGTGAAAATATTAACTGCGCACCGCGCAAAATCAGGGGGCGATTGCTTGCCTCCCGTTTACCTGCGGCGAAAATTTTTTTACTATTTAATTTAGTTTCTTCAATTTTTATTCGTGCGACAGAACGAGGAAAAGGGACTACCCGGGCTCTAACAGCCAAGAGCAGTCATCCCAACTAACCAAAAATAAAGTTCTGATAATGAAATAATTAAGTTGTTTATTCTAATTACTAAAATTTACACGCGCCCTTTATCACGTCATAAAGGTAATTACGACTTTGTCAAACGTTGTCTGAGGCGTTTTTACGTAGTGCTTGCCAGTGGAAAGTTTTCAAAAGTTGGCAAGATGAAGAAGTTTTTACTAGCTTGTTTTGGTCTTGGATTTGCACTCGGAGGAAGTTACTACATGTACCGAAGATGGCAGAACTCCCGTGAGGAAAGCGACGATACTGACGATCCAAACGATGGTAGCACCACTCAGGTAAATTAATTAAGGAAATTTTTAGAATCTCACCATTTTTTTGTTTTTTGTTTTTTGACGAGCTCTAAAGATTCTAGCAAGTAGTTATTTTCAACTTAAGCGATTCGTAGAATTTATTTTCCCGCGCTTTAGGCGCTTAGCTTGTTTTACTTCGAGTTTTTTATCGGCTTTTGAAATTCAAGGTAATTTTTTCCTTACCACAATCAATCGTAAAGCGCTCTATTAAACTAAAACCGAGTAAAACAGACTGAACCATGTCTGAGGCGATCTTTTTATTTTGTTTCCTAGGAGAGAGCACCATCCCTTGAGCCTGTTAAAATAACACTACCAAGTATCTCAGATGGAGACAGCAGTGGCAAGCGAGACAAAGCAAAGAGTAACAAAAACACCAAAAGCACCAAGAATAATTTTGGGGGCATGAGGTCCGGTTTTCTTTTGTAATCGTGTACTTCTGCTACAATCAACAAAATACTTTCAACCCTTTTCCTTTATAAAAAGAAAAAAAGAAAAAAAAAACGAGTTAAAAAAAGTTCTTTGCATAAATATTACTTCCGAAACTGTTTTTCAACCTTTTTTGTAGCAGGAAAAAGAGAAAGGAACTTGTTTTAATCAAAAATGCCATAAAAAAATATAAAATATACATTTACATAAATAAAAAAATATATATTTTCAGTAACGTAAAAAAGCCAATTGAAAAAGAAGCCAGAGTACAAATCATAAAAAGAAAAATGTGTGAGCAACTTTTTGCTAAGACAAAAGTTGTGCAAAAAAATTAAAAAAGTATTAAAAGAACACGAAAAAATTATATAAGTAAAAAAAAAGAAATAATAAGAAATGGCGTGGCAAGGAGGAGAAATGTAAAAATGAAAAAAAATAAGAAAAATTTTGGGAGAAAGAGAGAAGTGTAAACATGTAACTTGTAACAAAAAATTAAGGAAATACAAATACAAAATGGTATAATGAAAAAAAAAACATGTAATAAAAGGAAACGTTTGCAAGTATACGATTGTAACATTAAGAAAGTAAGCACGAACTGAATAAATCAAAGATGTATTATATTTGGTTTTGACTGAGATTCACCCGGGACATGTACATTGTACATTTTCATCTTAGGGATTGGGGGAAGAAATAGAGCGGGGGGGGGGGGGGGAGGAGGAGTTTGGAAGATTTTGGTTGTGTTGCAATAATTTACCTGAACCTCTCATAACGCTCTTTAACATTCCTATGGTCCCCCCTTCCCCCCCTCATTGGCAGTTATAGTCCCCCTCCATACTCTATTGGGGACGACTGATCTCCCCTTCATTTCCCCCGAGAACCATGTGATCCCCCAAAATCCTTCCTCCTTCCTCCTTCCCCCCTCCCCCCTCCCTCTCAGTACTAATAAAGAGGGAAAGAAAACGGCAAACTTCCGGAATTCTCCCCCCCCCTCCCCCTCCTCCATGAATTTTACACATATTTCTTTTGTTTGGAGCGTCGTGGGTGTGGTCGAGTCTTCGTGACCGGAAAGAGATCACAGCGTAAAGCTCCTGTCCACTTCCGCCTCATCCAAACCCGGAAGTGGAATAGCCAGCAGGTGGTCAAACAGACGACTACTAGGAACCTGCAAGATCAAAATGGCGCCCCACTGGCGCTAAATCACAAGTTATACTTGTTGTTATTTATCTCTTGTATGATTGCTTTTACGAGAGATTGGATCGAGACAATACTTCTTTGTTTTGTCGACGTCTCTGTCAAGATGATTATGAAGTTATGACGTTATGGCAAGAAGGTAGGACTTTAAACTTATATTCGTGAATCAGGTTATGATAAATTGGTGTCATTTCCCAAATAAGTGTTGATCTTCAAAATCGTTTTAGAAATAGAAAAAGCGGTATGAGAAGCCCTTATGGACACAATCAGAGAGTGCTTATATATTTTATTACCAGCAATTTAAGAGGAGCTGTTATGATACAAATATGAAATTTAACTCTTAACGATTCGTTTCGAGAAATTTAGAGTTTCAGCTGTTTCTAGCTCTCTATATATCAAAGCATAAACATGTCATCAAGTCTTTGGATTTAGAGTTAATTCAGCGTTTTTGTGCTAATCAACTACTTCAGAAAGCGCGCTGAAAAATACACAAAGCTGCGATTATAGCACAAACAACTTTAAAACACAGCAGGTGGCAAACCAGCTGGCAAACAAGCTGGCAAACAAGTTATTAAAATTGAAACGATATGATCGCAGTTGTCGTCTGGTTTCTGCATTCGGATCTCAGTGTGAGTTTTCAACATAGGATGATTGGATGATTGGTTTTTGTGTTGTTACTTAGCTGTTTAATATTTTTGGGATTTGTTATGTGACAACGAGCGCCATTGAGAACATCTACTGTACGGCAAGGCTTCGGTAAGGCCCAAAGGGCATGCTGGTTAACTAATGTTAGATAGAGATGTGGATTTTTTGCCGGTTTCCACCAGCAGTTATTTTGAATCTTAAATTCTCATGCAATGCTTGTCTCCTTTATATCAAAATAAGTGAGACTACTCCATCTATTTATGACAACGGATAAATTTCGATATATCATCAATGATTAATCAACAATCAAGACAACTCCTAAGTAAGCAAGACTTTAAAATTAGGAGTCTCCGGGTCGGTGAAAAATTTGTGCTGAATTTTGACGTAGTTTAGCTGTATCACAAACTATATAAATAGACAAAAGCGGTAATAGTATACTTTCGACTGCAAAAACCTTTGGCTTAAGACGTCATTTGGATGGAGCATGTAGCTAAACTTCTTTATTTCCTAGTGAGAAAAATCTGCTAGAATGGACACCATTCCAAAACAGACAGGACCTGTGATTTGCTTGTTCTTTATTTGTGGACGTCTCATTTTGGGACAAGACCCTTACGTCTATTTTGAGAAGAACTGGTGCCGAGAACGCACCCTTCGAACTGATTGGCGGACTTACACTCACTCGTGTCCGAGTTACTCGCGACATTGGGCTTACGAGATTTGGTCGGACGACTTCAAGACTCATCCCAACCTGAGTTTTATTTCAGGGGCGGAAATCAATCCTGCAGGACATTTTAGCAAGATATATATACAGTCTGTGACAGTTCTGAACCGGACAAAGGCGTTCGGTGGAGATGCATGGCGCGTTAGAGTCCAGGGCCCTGCAGATCTTGTTGCTACCGTTAGCGATATGGAAAATGGTACATACGAAGCCAAGTTTTTACCCATGGAACCTGGGACCTACTCCTTACAGATAACGTTGGACTATACGCTCTGTCACGGGCTTAAAAACCCGCCTCCTGATTGGTTTATGAGAGGTCTGACCATGTTTCTTGCATTTCGTAGAGCTATATATAACTTGTTCATTCTTATAAGGTTTTTTGCATGGATATTTCAAATATTCTTGATTCTAGGGATGAAAGGTTTCTTTACTTATGTAGTTTGGTTTTGTTCTACGCTAAAAATGTTAACACGTTAATCGAGTGCTTATCTGTCTATTCATACTCTACCTTCTGACATAAATTTTTCTCAACTTCTGAATCTCGAAAACTTCGTGATTTTGGAGGAAAGTTAAAAAAAATATAAACTTCTTATAATATTGTCGCTGTCGACGCCCTCAGTCGCAATTGACGCAACAGAGCCTTTCAAAAAAACGAGCACAAGTAAAGCAACATTGTTACAGAAACAAATTGAATATTTTTTTATGGTGAATTTGGCAGGCTGTCGACACGGATCGTTTCAAAGACCAGGAACACTAGCGACATCGGACGACTATATAAATAGACCACTTTATTATGGAGCATATTTCACGGTCCAAGTTCCTCCTACCGTGCCACAGGATGCCCAGTGTGAGTGATTAATTTTCTTTTTAGTCCTGTATTTAGCTCTTTAGCGCAAATGACGATGCAGGAGTATCAATTGGAAAACTGAATTATCTCAGGTTTAAAAAAGCTCTCGATTTGCAGACGATGTAGTACAAATATCATCACGTCGTTCTTTGATGGTTCTCCTTAATAATATCACGTTACTAAGCTCAATGTTTTTCTTTTTCCCAATAGATTTAGACTCTCTGTTCAGCAGCAGTACCCAGTGGTGTTCTGAGGGATGCAACCTTCTTTTGGACGGTTTTGGAAGATGGGTGAACAACAACTGGTTACCATATAAAACCAGTAGGTTGACAAGTGTGTTTGAGTTGCCTACGCACAAAGGAATTAATTTTGCACAAAATATGACTACATCCTTGAACGTCCTTCTTTCACTCCTAATTAAAACATGTAGGTAAAGTAAGGCAAAGGCAGCTGACGAATCAGATAGCTCATCCTGTAAGAGCTCACCGGTTTTTGTATGATGAAGGAGCCAAAGATATTGCTACTACCTTCTCCCCGGACGAAAAGCTAGTCCAATAAAGGGTTACCCACCCCTCCTCCAGCTTTTTTTTTTTCAGGCTTCCTTAACAGTTTGGCAATAAACAATTATCTCCCGGGAGGTGAGTGGCGCTATTTGGTGAGAGTAACGCAATCAGCCAAAAACACCAAGCAATACCTGACCAGCTTGGTTCGAGTCCGGAATTCCGACCTCTAATCCCGTGCACAAATCCACTTGATCGACGAATTTTGCTAAATATTGAAAACAATAGGTAACACAATCAATCTTAGCTCAAGCTGCACCTAAAATTGTTGATCCTAATGACGTCTTTCGGCAGTGATACATTTACTTTTTGTGATTAGAATTTGTTCTGTTCTGGATTTCGCCCGTAAGTTACAACTAATCGAGGAATCAGAAAGATTTGCGTAAAACCACATCATATTACTTCATCATTCTAGGAATGCGTTTTGTATTCTTTCTCCAGCTGACTCCAGCGACCCAAGGTCAGGCCATAGGCAGGGATCTGGTGTCTTATGGATATACGGTGACTCGCATAATCGACGGTTTTACGAATCAGTGCAACGCCGACAGCTGTGTTCTCGTGTATTCCGAGCGTGTTATCATACCAATGTGTGGGTCTACTGGCTGGGAACGGTGAACTCAAATGAGATGGATCTTTGGTAATGGAGGTATTTCGTTTCGTGCTCAAACTTCCCTCCTCTTTCAGACATGAGTGAGATCTGGAAAAGAGCTTAAACAGCGATACTGCATTTCTGTTTCTCATGTAGTTTTTGGAGACCGACCCAGCAAGTTTAATTTTACAATTTTTTTCTCTATATATGGAAATAATACTTTGCTCCCATCTTCTAATGTTCAAGAGCCTAATAAACACCGTTGACGTCCAAATTATACGCAACTCTCCCCACCCCTGGTCCCTGGTCCCTGTACCCCTATCGTTGTTAAAAACGGTAAAATAAACCTTAGTTCATTTTAAACGTAGCCAACTGATAACAGATGAATGTAAGAATCAAATCTAATGGACCAATGGTAAATCGTTAAAGATACAAGTGACGAGCTGAAAACGTGTGAAAACGCGCGTGAAAAAATCGTGATGGTTTTAGATTTTACGTCGGACATGTGCGATTGTTGAATAAGAAGTGAGCTCACTACTACCAAGTCCTCACTTATTGGTCTCTGGCTAACTCAAAGCGACGAAGGGCATGAAGAAAAGGCTGGGGACGAGTTAGGAAAGCGTGAAGTGAAATAACAAATGTATTACTTTCTCTTCCTAGTTACGGAGGCCATGATCTAAATGTGACACAAGTCCTGGAAGAACTGCGCTCAATTGTAACGCAGCCATTAATGGATGAAGATAGCGCTTTGGTACTTAACACAGGAGTCCATCTCTTAAAAAGCACAAGTTTTAGAAATTACCAAAAGATAATTAAAGGTTTCATTCGTGTTTTGAAACAGAGCTATCGAGGAAGGGTTGTTTGGAAGACAACACCCTCCCTCGGGAAACAGACTGAGCTCTACACGGGTTGCTGTCGACGTTTTCACACTGAGCAGGTAAAGAAACTGCACTCTCTACACTCCTCCTATTTCCCCGAAGCAATGATGACGGAACGTGGAGAAAAAAAAAGCACCTTTGTTCAAAATTTAAGCCCCTTTTGATACCTTAATTATCAGACAATTACCTCTAAAATGTCTTGAAATCTGTATAATAATTTACGATGCCCATTGTAGAACAAAACAGAAACCAAAACAAAAATCACAATAACCTTTCTTTCAGAAAGAACTGAAAAACTCTCGTTTTATTCCGTGCCACGCCCCATATCGCTTAAATCTCTTGTTGTCGTCTTAAGTACGAACCCGCGTCGAAAGAAAAAAACATTTATATTTGCAGGCATTGTACTGTAGGCTACGTTGCCACTTTGTTTTTATATGCTTTCTTGTTTATTTGTTTGTCTTCTTTTTAGATAGTTAGATTTAGACTCTAAAACTTTTAAAATGAATTTTACAGCGAATTCAACTGTTCAACGCCTACGCCATGAAGAAAATGTGTGAAGCTGGTATCCCTGTCTTAGACGTCTACCAGATTAGCGCAGCATACCCAGGAGGCACTACTGACGGCGTTCACTTTCCGCCGTTTGTGTTCTACCCAGCAGAAGATGCCTTGGAGAGATACTTTACGACATGACATTACTCCGTCAGCTTAAGCTCAACATAGCGATAATCTTAGTCTTTCCATTTATATTCTGTTAGCGACGACTACTCCCCCATCCACCCCCCTGAAAACTATGTGATCCACACCCCTTAAAATCATTTGATCCTCCGTCAACATAAAATGAAACGACAAAAATGCGTAGTAAGTAGACGATAGACACTAAAAGGAACTATTTGAAGGAATAAAAAACCAGTTCTCGATCAAGATTGCAAAGATTTAGTCGAGTAATATTATACACACAGTAGCCTTTCTTTTTCTGTGGTATAGGAAATACTGAAAAAACCCACTACCCCAGCAATGCATCCTGGTTTAGCGCGGCCCTTTAACCCTTTAACTACCACGAGTGACCAAGACAGAATTTCTCCCTACAATACCCATGTAATTTCAAGCAGACGAGTGATGAGAATCAAGAGAAATATCAATTAGGCGGTTATCAATTGATCCAGGATCAAATTATCAGAACTAAAATCATAAGAGTTGCACAGTAGTCAGTATGGAGCATTACTAATGAGATTTTGTGTGATTGGTCCGGAAAACTCGCACCACTCTCTTAACCAATCAGATGCAAGAATAAAATCATTAAGGGCGGAAAGGGTCAAGTTTATTTCTGAAAAGGTTGGACAAGCAGGCGTTCGGTACTAAGTTTACGATAGTCGGACGAGAAACTTGGGCATCCAATCATCGAGGAAATCTTCCCTTCAATCATTATTTTCGCTCACTTTCAAGCCGGAGATTGTCGGTGTATTGTGATCTATGCGTATATTAAAGCGACAGCTATAATCACCTAAAATTTGAGTATGTAAAGTAAAAAATGTCAAGTCTGTACTTGAGCCAAAGGGCACTGTGAGAGTAGAGTGTTTTGCCCAAGAACACAAAAAAATTGTCCCGGTCAGGTCTGGAGCTACTGTAGAAACTCGCCCCTTTAGGTTAATATGGGCAGTTCCGATTTGTATCGTCATCAATAAAATGCACTTCAGTGTAGCTATTTGTCGAAATAGCTAACCCTAAGCAAAACAAACTTGGCGCTTAAATGATAAAACAATTACATATATTGATTGACTCCTTTCATTGCAAAATACGTGTCATTTGCTTTGCCTCCTAGATGTGTTATTTTAAATCATCGAAACTTTATTAACAGGGTTTTACCTTGGAAATATCGATGAGCACACTGTTATGTTCGAATGGTGTTTTCTTTTTGGTTTTGCAGAAGTAACCGCTTCTCCAATATGCATGGACGAAAATTAAGAACTAGGAAAAAGAAGAAATTTTCTTCTAACGTACAATATACGCTTCTCCGATATGCATGGAAGGAAATTAGGAACATTCAAAAGACAAAATTTCCTTTTAGCGCACAATGTTCGCTTCTCCCACATGCATGGAAGGAAATTAGGAACGTACAAAAGAGAAGATTTCCTTTTAACGCACAATGTATCCATCTGTTTGTATTATCTATAGTATTAACCCGGTCTCGTATTTTTAATTTTGGAACTAATAACATTTTCTCACCTGAGCTCATAGTGAATGAGTTACGCTTTGAAAGATAATTCTACTTGAGTGCTAATGTTCAGTTTTTGTTGGCTTTATGATTAGTATTTTAGCAGTTTTAAAGTTCAATTACATTTTTTGGAATTAAACTATGAACAATCCTAAGCCTTTAAACTTGAAAAAATCACCAGGTTTTTTAATTTCTGAGTCATATGAATTGAGAGACAACAATTTTAAAAATTCAAATTTTGACGGAGATTAAAAGTCGGTCAATGAATGCAGAAAACTACAATCAGACGGAGGCTTCCCACGACAATTGAAGATCAAAATGCTGCCAATTTCCCATTTTTAAATATCATCTATATTCCTCATTACGCACACACTTGAATCTCAATGGAGACAATTCTTTGACGTTTAAACCCACTCTTCAAGTGCCTCTATAAACGATTTGTTTATTCACTACAAGGCAGCGTAAGTGATTTTTCTGCTTCAAATCATACAGCTAAAAGTTAAAATGGAGATCCTGTGAAGACAGCATATCAACATTCTCAGATTGTTAAAATCCGTTAAATCTATACCCGCAGCAGATATATAAGCTTTCAGAAGGGCAGAAATGTAAAGGCCAACAAAACGAACAGGTATTTTAATGTTTTAATTCATGGTATGTCTTCAAATGTATGATACTTATGAAGTATTCAGGCTGAGCAATTTTAAAATATTAGCAAACACACGTAACCACACTCACATACAACCACATTTGGAATTAAAACTGCAATTTGTTTTCAATACTATTTCGATAAATTTATTGTATTTCTCTCGTATTTGTTGTCTCATCACGACAATTTGTTTTGATTGCTTTCCTTAGCAGTTTTAAACGGTTTATAAATAGTCAAGGTCTCAAACAGTTACATCGTATTCAAAATAATAGTGAAGTCAAAATTTTGCTCATAAACCTCATGTTATTAATTTTTTAGTCCAGCTTTCCATTAAAACGAACGCCTTAAAATCCATAAGTTTTCCAAACGATGTCAAAGCAAACCCGTTCTTACGAAAATGAGTGTTATCAGAATAACGAATCTGAAAACGCATCTTCAGAAAAATGTGGGGTATTTTACGCGCAGAATTTAATTGAAATAAAACAGCTGTTTTTCTTTTTCGTCAATTCCTCTAAGTCCGATAAAAAAACGAAACCAGGGAAATTTTATGTATTAGTTTCACCATATAACATTTCTTTATGCTCGTATACGAACTCAAGATTTGGAAAATTTGTCATTTCTATACACCACAGTGCATGATAATTGCCTGGCTCAGATGTGATTAAGATTTTTCAGTAGTTGTGCAGGTTTTTTTAAGCCCCTGTCTTTTTCTGAAAAACTTTACGTCATCTAAGCTCGGAATCATACTGTAAAAAAAGAATTGGAATGAAACTAATCGACAAATTGACAAGTAAATAGATAAACAAAATAAAACAGAATTTGTTTTCAACCAATTTAAATGCCGTAAAAGCGGGTACGTTTTTAATGAAATTGTTGTACCGCGTCGGTGGGGAAGTATAACAAGCTAATTTGGGTTTTATCAACTGAGTTAATGATGTAAATTGGCCACAGTGAAGAGTTGAAGTTTCGAGCGTTACTTAAAATCGAAAATTTTCCGTGATCTTTCAGCTAGCAAAACCAGATCCATAACTGAATCCCTAACGGTGTGTTTAGAATGCAGGTCGGATGTATCCAGTGTACTTTCATTCAAAAAAGGACGTCCTAGACCATATAAGGTAAGCATTTTCAAGAAGTGATTTCTTGGAATCTTTATCATTCCTGATTAACATGTTTCACTTCCCCCCCCTTAGCTAAAAAAAACCCCATAGAAGTCTTTCAGTTAAACTCGATTTTCACGAGCGGAATTGTTTTCCAAAGAAGATGCACAGCTCTCAAAAGCATGGTAAACTTTTGAAATTTCATTTTTTCAGCAGAAATGCGTTTTTTCATTTCTCCTCAAGTGTGTCTCCGATACATGAAGCTCTAGTCATTTAGTAATCAATAACCTTTCCATACTTCAACAATACCATTTTTATTTTTCTAAAACTTTTTATGGAGTGATTATAAGAGGATATCCAAATCTCTAGAGCTCTGATGGTTTTCATAGTGTTAAATTCATTTCTCCATAGGTTTTGTGGATTCCAGGTCGCTGGTAGATGCTCAAGTTAGAAGGCATGAATACCTTTTGTTGTCTCTCCACACAGAACGTGTCTTCGTATGCCAACCAAACAGGCCTTTCGCGTAGCAAAATCTATGTGTTTTTACCTTTAAGCTCTTCAACCAAACTTACGTTGCTGATATTTTCTGTTACTGTGGGTATATTAGCGTTTTTCGGAAATGTTCTCATACTTTGTTTTGTTAAGTCCAACCAAAGTACAGCGTCCTTCCTTAAGTCTTTATCTTTCCGGAAAAATTTTGATGTCTACATCTCCAGCCTTGCTATATCTGATGCACTTTGCGCATTTATAGTTCTTCCACTTACTGGTTGTCAGTTATTTGTGGATGTTTTTGAACGAGGATGGGGTTGCAAAATCCTTCGCTACTTGGGTATTTTCTTTCCTTCAATTACCATAAATAATCTGTTGATTATCATCTTTGGAAAATATTTTTCAACACGTAAGATACCTCGTACACTGAAACATTCTACTGTTAAAAAATTGCTTTACCTTATCTGGCTCTCAACATGTCTTTACGTATTGCTCCCCGTTGCAACTTTTGAGGGGATTAGATATGATCTAAATGACACACATTACACTGTGGTATGCAGGCCTAATTATCAGTATGTGCCATTTGGAGTAGTGAACCTGGCCTTTATAGTTTTTCAATACTTTTTGCCAAGTATTGTGATTTTTACTTTAACTATATGCTTGATCTTGACTGTGCGGTCAAGAATGAAAAGAGCTATAGATATTCAATGTGATAATGCCATCAAAGCCATGAAGAGGGCTGAAAACAGACGATTAACCATGATATTGGTTTCTATTATGCTTATGTTTATATTTTTATATGCACTTTCTTTAGGTTACTTTATTTTTAGAATTTCGACGAGATCACAAGGTCACACCATTAGTTTTGAAAGTGATTTTCTCATCCGTTATGTGGGTGCTCTGTTGGCGTTTTCCAACAGTCTTGTCAACGTGATAATATATCTTGTTCAAATGAAGGACTTTGGGCGCTTTTTAAAAAGTAAGATCACTTCGAATTTTCGGCACAAAAATTTGGTTGTCGATTTCAAAGGAATGTAAATGCGATTTATTCCAATTTTGGCAAATCTAGAGTGAAATTCAGAAGCAAAATGTCTAAAGGCTTACATCCAGCCCACAGGATTCTTGTCCCATCTTACACATGTAAAAAGAGCATTAGGTGCAATTGATACTGAAAACGTCGATCGTCTTTTAGTTGTTACGGAAACCAGAAAACAGATTGTTGCTTGCCACAATTCATAATGATACTGGTAACAGCTTTATTAACAGTTTAGTAGCCTTGGCGCTCTACTCATACTCAACTATGCCAGCAGATTTTTATAATGTCTTCTTTTAAGTGTAGCAGGTCTCGCTAAATGCCTCATTAGTAAATAGCCATGTCAGTGACGAGGAAGAGGAAACGAAAACCAAAAGAAGTTCGTAAGTTTCGGATTTCACCGCGGCCCCATTTTATTTGACCAAATTATTACATTGAATTATTGTAAACATTGCTGGCAAACGTCACGGTGCTATACAAACTAAGTGTTACTGTTATTATTATTACTTTGATGAAAAGATAAACTTATATTTGTAATTTTCAAAAAGAAATGTTAATTTACCACTTTAACTTATTGTTGAGACAGTTAGTTGAGATCAGAGTAAAGAGGAGTGAAGTAACTCATTTCTTCTTATTTGGCATAGAAAACCCTTTTTCACTTTTTGCCAGAAATGCTGAAACACAAAATAATTATTTTCGCTCACATTCAAGCCAGCGACTGTCCGTGTATTGCTAATCTATGCGTGTATTGAATGTAAAGTAAAGTAAAAAAGGTCAAGTGTGTACTTGAGCCAAAGGGCTCATCGTCCCAAAGCTTATTCTTGTTCCCTAAAACAAAGGCAATAGGAGTATCACTTGTACCCCTTGGATGATGCTATTCCATCGTAAGGTTACCAAAGGAGCGGAAAAATTCTCTTTGAAGTTAAACGAAAACTACTTAAATATTCCATCTGTTTCTACGACGGAAAGAATCTCCAAATTAAAAAGACGGATGCAATAAACTCTAGGCCATTAACGTAGGAAACTTAGGTGCGAATTTACAGCTCTGATATAGAAAACAATACCTATCTTAATTGCAGCAGCGCAGCTTAGGAAATAAAAACGGAAAAGCAATTAGAAGTTTCTGCTTATCTATGCAAGGTTGGTTTGGAAACTATCGCATGAAAAGAAATTAAAGTTACGAGTATAAACTCTGCTGCTATCCACCATGAAAACCAATATTTCCAGAAAGACCATGAACACTTATATTTACCTTAAAAAAACCATGTAATAAATGACAAAAGTGCCGACAAGCAGGTGCATAGTAAAAGTGAATAATCAACAAAATCCTTTCTAAAAGCCACTGTGGTTTTTATACATTTTATTTAACTACATTATTTAACTACTAAAAAGAAAAACCCGAATAACCGAATATTTCAAATGTGAAAGTATATGAATATATATTGAAGATGTTTACCCAAAAACCCACGAAAACCCTAAATATAATATTTTGTGATATATATCAACAATTCACTTTTTCTGGTTATAACTAATTTGAATAACAACAATTTGAATAGAACAACTCGTTCATCATTCTTTACCGCTCAACCGGCCGAGTAAAAGAACGAACAGAACACAGAACTAGGTCTAAACCGGTAAAATAAATTTAAAATTTGTCCAAAACTAAAATACATAATTTTCCCCCTAACACCTCCCAGCATTTCAGCAGGCTTCCCAGACAATATGCTGTTACCCATTTATATTCTCCTGAGTGCAAAGAGGGCACTGTGAGCAGAGTGTTTTGCCCAAGAACACAAATAATTGTCCCAGTCAGGTCTGGAGCTACTGTGGAAACTTGCTCCTTTAGTTCAATACGGGCAGTTTCGTTTTGTATCGTTACTAATGCTGTTTAGTGAAGCTATTTGTCGAAATAGAACGAGGCCAAGAGCTATTTCCTAAAAAGAGGGAAAAAGTAGCGGGCATTTGCATAACCGACTCTGATTATAACTTAAACGAAATATATTTCCTTCACTTGCCACTGGTTGAGAATCTTCACATGACCTGCAGATAACTGCCACAAGCAATGGTGTGCTTTGGCGTATAACAATGTTTAGCTGCAAATGAAACTCTTTCAAGCTTAGATATTTGTATCCAGGCTCCTCTTTGAAAAAAAAAATGGCCGATAGCTTTCTTAAGTTGACTGGAGTGATTTGGCATGTTTAGTTGAATTTAATTTCCTCCATGCAGTTCTGCTACTTGGCGCTGGTCATTTCCTGCCTTGAAATCATCACAAAAGCAAACTTGGCGCTTAAATGATAAAACAATTATATATTTATTGACCCCTTTCATCGCTAAATATTTGTGATTTGGATTGCCTCCAAGATGTAATATTTTGGGGGCGGGACGCCATAATTTATGAGTCCTCGAAGAAAGCGGGTCTGTAAACAGCGTTTTACCTTGAATAATATCGATGAGTGCATTGTTTTGTTCGAATGATATTTTCTTTTTGGTTTTTCAGAAATAACCGCCTCTCCATATGGAGACAAAAGTTAAGAACTATTAAAAATAAAAAAAATTCCTTTTAACGTACAATGTGTCCATCTGTTTGTGTTGTCTGTAGGATAAACCCAGTCTCGTATTTTAGGACTAATAACATTTTCTCACCCGAGCTCACAGTGGATGAGTTATACTCTGAAAGATAATTTTACTTGAGTGTTAATCTTCAGTTTTTGTTGGCTTTATGATTAATGTTTTAGCAGTTTTAAAGTTCAATAACATTTTTTTAAAATTAAACTATGAACAATCTTGACAAAATCACCAGCCTTTAAAATTTTTTTAGTCATATGAAGGACGACATTCAAATTTTCACGAAAATCTAAATTTCACGGAGATTTAAAGTCGGTCAATGAATGCAAAAACTACAATCAGACGGAAGCTTCCCACAAAAATTGAAGATCAAAATATTGCCAGTCTCAGTAAAATCTTCCGTTTGTAAATGTCACCTATAATCCTCATTACGCACACACTTGAATCTCAATGGAGACAATTCTTTAACGTTTAAACCCACTCTTCAAGTGCCTCAGAAAACGTTTTGTTTATTTACCACAAAATAGCTTATTAAGTGATGTTTCTGCTTCAAATCCTTTAGCTATAAGGAAACTTGGAGATTCTGTGAAGACAGCACATCAACATTCTCAGGTTGTTAAAATCCGTTAAATATATACCTGCAGCAGATATATAAGCAGCCAGAAGGGCAGAAAGTGTAAAGGCCAACAAAACGAACAGGTATTTTAATGTTTTAATCTGTGTTATGTCTTCAAATGCTTGATACTTATGAAGTATTCAGACTGAGCAATTATAAAATATCAGTAAACACGCATAACCATATTCACTTACAAACACACTCGGAATTAAAACTGTTATTTATTTTTAACACTATTTCGATAAATTTATTGTTTTTCTCTCGTATTTATTGCTGAAATTAAAAAAAATCAGGATAATTTGTTTTGGTTACTTCCCTTTGCAGTTTTAAACGGTTACTAGATAGCCAGGGTCTCAAATAATTACATCGTATTAAAAAAAAGCTGAATAATGAAGTCAAAGTTTCACCCATAAACCTCATTTAATAAATTTTTTTAGTTCGGCTTCCCAATAAAATGGACGCCCAAGTCCATATGTCTTTTGTAAACGAACAACACAGAATAACACATCTGGAAACGCATCTTCAGAAAAATGTGGGACGTTTTACGCCCACAATGTAGTTGAATAAAACAGCTGTTTTTTCTTTTTCGTTAATTCCTCCACACCCAATAAAAGAACGAAACCAGGCAAATTTTCTGTATTAGTTTCACCACATAAAATTTTTGAATGATCGTATTCCAACTCAAGATCAGGAAAATCGTCATTTGCATACACCACATGTGAGAGGATAGCCTTCCTTGCACGACGATTACGTGGCTCACATGTGATTAAGATCTCGCATTTTCCAAAGATTGAAATTTTTTGTTTTGTCCTTTGCTAATCGAATATGATTCCCTGAAATAGGAAATTGAGAAACTTCATCTGCATATCGCAGATCGTGATCAGCTTCTCCACAAACGGAGCCAAAAATATTTCATGACATACCTGATTCAAACCATAATTTTTAGTACTTGTGAAGGTCTTTTTTTTAAGCCCCTTCCTTTTTCTGCTAAACTTTACGTCATCTAAGCTAGGAATCATACTGTAAAATACGATTTTAATTGAAGCTAATCAACAAATTTGTAAATAAATAGACAGATAAAAAAATTATTTCAACCAATTTAAACGCCGTAAAAGCGGGTAAGTTTTAAACGAAACTGTTGTACTGCGTCGGTGGGAAAGTATAACGAGGTAATTTCATTTTATCAACTGAGTTAATAATGTAAATTTGCCACCATAAAGAGTTTAAGTTTCGAGCGTTAGCCCTTCGTCGGAGCGAATGGCCGTTAAAATCGAGATTTTCCGTCCTCTTTCAGCTAGCATAACCGGGCCCATAACTGATTCTCTAACCGAGTAGGTGGAGTGCAGTTCAGATATATCCAGTATCCTTTCATCCAGAAAAGAAGGTCCTAGATCGTATAAATATTATACAAATATCAGGTAAGTAGTTTCAAGAAATGAATTTTCGGGCCTTTATCATTCTTGATTCATATGTTTCACCTTTCCCTCCCCCATATCTATGAAAACCTCCATTGAAGTCTTTTAGTTAAACTCGTTTTTTACGAAGGGAACTGTTTTCCAAAGAAGATGAACAGCTCTCAACATTGTGATTAATTTTTCAATTGCATTTTTTTTCAGCAGAGATTTGTTTTTTCATTTCTCCTCAAGTATGTCCCTGATAGATGAAGTACTGGTCTATTAATTATCTAATTAATGACCTTACCACACTCAATATCATTTTTATTTTTCTAAAGCTATTTTATTGGAGTAATAACAAGAGGTTTTCTCAGTGTAAAATTCACTTTTCCCATTTACAGGTTGTGTAGATTCCACTGATAGATGTTCAAATTGGATGGGATGAATGCCTCTTGCTGTCTCTCAACACATAACGTGTCTTTGCATGCCAACCAAACAGGCCTTTCGAGTAGTAAAATCTATGTGTTTTTACCTTTGAGCTCTTCAACCAAACTAACATTGTTGGTGTTTTCTGTAATTATGGGTATATTAGCGTTTTTCGGAAATGTTCTCATACTTTGTTTTGTTAAGTCGAACCAAAGAGCAGCGTCCTTCCTTAAGTCTTGCTCTTTCCGGAAAAATTTTGATGTCTACATCTCCAGCCTTGCTATATCTGATGCACTTTGCGCATTTATAGTTCTTCCGCTTACTGGTTGTCAATTATTTATGGATGTTTTTGAACGAGGATGGGGTTGCAAAATCCTTCGCTACTTGGGTATTTTCTTTCCTTCAGTTACCATAAATAATCTGTTGATTATCATCTTTGGAAAATATTTTTCAACACGTAAGATACCTCGTACACTGAAACATTCTACTGTTAAGAAATTGCTTTACCTCATCTGGTTCTCAACATGTGTTTACGTATTGCTCCCCGTTGCAACTTTTGAGGGGATTAGATATGATCTAAATGACACACATTACACTGTGGTATGCAGGCCTAATTATCAGTATGTGCCATTTGGAGTAGTGAACCTGGCCTTTATAGTTTTTCAATACTTTTTGCCAAGTATTGTGATTTTTACTTTAACTATATGCTTGATCTTAACTGTGCGGTCAAGAATGAAAAGAGCTATCGACATCCAATGTGATAATGCTATCAAAATCATGAAGAGGGCTGAAAACAGACGATTAACCATGATATTGGTTTCTATTATGCTTATGTTTATATTTTTATATGCGCTTTCTTTAGGTTACTTTATTTTTAGAATTCTGACAAGATCACAAGGTCACACCATTAGTTTTGAAAGTGATTTTCTCATCCGTTATGTGGGTGCTCTGTTGGCGTTTTCCAACAGTCTTGTCAACGTGATAATATATCTTGTTCAAATGAAGGACTTTGGGCGCTTTTTAAAAAGTAAGATCACTTCGAATTTTCGGCACAAAAATTTGGTTGTCGATTTCAAAGGAATGTAAATGCGATTTATTCCAATTTTGGCAAATCTAGAGTGGAATTCAAAAGCAAAATATCTAAAGGCTTACATCCTGCCTAAAGGACTCTTGTCCCATCTTACACGTGTAAAAGGAGCATTAGGTGCAAATTGATACTGAAAACGTCGATCGTCTTTTAGTTGTTACGGAAACCAGAAAAGTTAGTAGCGTTTTGCGCACTACTGATGCTCAACTATGCCAGCAGGTTTTTATAATGTCGTCTTTTAAGTGTAACAGGTCTTGCTAAATGCCTCATCAGCACATAGCCATGTCAGTGAAGAGGAAGAGGAAATAAAAAAACAAAAGAAGTACTTAAGGCTCGTTTTCATGGTTTTGGATTTGACCGCGGCGCCATTTTTGTTGACAAAATTATTACATTGAATTATTGTAAACAATTCTGGCAAATGCGCTATATAAATAAAGTATTACTATTATTATTACTATTCATAGTTGTGATAAATAGTTTCGTGTATGCCTTTCGTGTTTATTCGTTTAGATAGCTCATTTATTTATTTCTGTATATCACAATTATACTTGCTGTATATTTAGGAATCAGCTTATTAAAACTTTCAGTCCTCCATGGTAACACGTTGTCTCTACCTTACAAAATTGAAAAGTTTTAATTTCGCTAAAGGATAATTGATTTGGAAAACAATGGTCATTAAAGCCTAGAAAGCGATGAAATGAGCTTTCGGGTTGATTCCCAAACGCGATAAGGCTGGAAGATGAAAACAGAGTGTTCCGCCTTTTCACCTCTTGCAGACCGTTTCTTTGGACCAGTTTGTATTATTTTTAATTGAAGTCTTGGTATGTTCTAACAGTATTATTCAACAGAAGATTTTGTTTTAAATCTGACAACTTCAAAACTTTTCGAGAGAACGCTATGCAATTTTCTATCTGCAAAGTCTGGTACAATAAAGAATCTAATAGGAACCTAACATTTAATATCCTGTTAGGACAAAATTTCTCAGTTAAGCACCCCTCTTGTGAGAACCATTCTTGGATAAAGTCTCAATACAAGAATTTGTTCAAATTTAGTAAAGTACATCGCATGCGATACAAAAAGGTAACAAAAACTAACCAGAACACCGACAGTGCTATGAGACCACAATACTGTACTGTCAATCAGACATCCATAGCTGTGCAAAATATACGACTGTATGTACAAGTTAACCATGAAGAGCAGGACACTATGGGGCCGGCATACAGCGCAGTATCGCATCCACACCCACACTCAATACATGTTATTTTTTTTTTTATCATAAAAGGTAAAAACGCGATTAAGATTATCTCACGGAAAAAGTGACCAAATCGAGGACAACGTAGGATTACTAAAATAATCGCGGTTCATTAGAGTTGGAAACTTTTGCTCAAGAAGGTCCCCCTTTGATGTATAAAACTGTTTAACATCGTTACCAAGTTACAATGTGTTAGCGTTAATTTTTCTTTAAGGGAATACATGAAGTGTCGTGTATCCTTGCGTCAAGGTATTGCCGTTTGAAACTTCCCGAAGTATTTAGAGCAACCTTAATTTTTTTATCCCCAAAATCTTGATAGTAATTCTCCTTACTGACTTCCATACAATTCTAATGATGTTAGTTCCGAGAATTTGGTATTGGATCAACTGATAATCCCGTAATGGATATTTTTCTTTGTTCTCATCACTTGTCTGCCTGATATTGTACTGATATTGTAAGGAGAATTTCTGTCTTGGTCACTCGTGGGACTTAAATTGTTAAGTGAGGAGAACTCCATTTGGCAATTTTCTACATCTAACGGGGAATTCGCCAAAACAGTGACCAGGAAAACATCAATAGATTTTGCAGCACGTAACAGAAGGATTACGAAATAATCGCTGTGTGAATTACTGTTGGAACATTTTGCACACTAAGGTCACCCATCGGAGAGTGAAACTGTCCAACATCACGTTTTTGTTTTCAAGGGAACGCGTGAAAACTTGCGGGAGCGTCGATGGCAATTTTAAATTTCTCATGTGAAAATCCCAAAAACAAGGACAATGGAAACATCTGTAGATTTTGCTGCACGTAACCGTGTAGGATTACGAATAAATTGCTGTTAATACTTTAGGTCTCAATATCTCGGTAGTATTTCTCCCTATTGTCTTCCGTACAATTCTTATAATGTCAGTACAGAGAATTTGGTAGTGGATCAACTTATAATCCTATGTATAATCGATATTTCTCTTTATTCTCATTACTTCTCTGCTTGATATTGTAAGGAGAAATTCTGTCTTGGTCACTCTTCAGAGTTTAAGGGTTAGAAACTTTTGTAAAATAAGGAACACGCTTTGAAGAATGAAACTAACCAACATTATACCAAGTTTACAATATATATATATATATTTTTTTTTTTTTTCATTTATTTTTTTTTCGGTGCATATGAATTTTTCTCCTGCGGATTACTAGTCACGCACGCAGACTTCGTGCAAACATGAATAAATTACGTCTGTGGGTCTTGATGGCTAGAAGACATTTTATGACAGCTTGGGCACTTCAAACTTACCAATTTTTCCAGTTATCTCCTTCAGCGTTCAAAGTTTGGTTAAAAGACGTATTTAGATGCAATAAGAGAAATTTCCATGCATGTTGCTTGTTCTCTTCAAAGAGTTTTTAACAGTAACGGGGGAAATCTGGCTAGTTATCATCACAATAATAGGAATACGAACACAATCGAACGCTGCTAGTGAACAAGGGATTATGAAAATTTGTTAATTATGAATTTCGTGCACTTTGCCTGCGTGAAATATCTACTCTATAGACAGAGGCGTTGTTTCTATACACCACAAAGCTAATGTTGAAGGCGGTCGATCAAGCTTTTACTCCTTGGAGGCTTTCGGAGCACTGATGATGGGAAAACACGATTGAGACCTTAAACTCAAGGTACTTTGATTTTAAAAGTTTTTTTACCCATCAAAATTTTTCAACTGGTTAAAATTTGACCGTAGACATGGTAGAGGCGATATCTAAGGATGCTGTTAAAGTCCTTTTCTGCGATTTGATTTATTTCCTTCGGCGGGGCTTTTTTCTTGATGGATTTTTTAATAAAATTCTTCCTCTACTATTTGATAATCAAAACTTAGACTTTTACCCGGCATATTACTTAATCAGCTGTGACCATTTTTTTTTTTTTACTTTTTTTTTTACCTCAGCTATTCAGGGAAGGAAACACGTGAATCTCAGAATATCTTGTACACAGGGCAAGAAATTGATGAATGCAACCTGAAAGCCAGAGTTTTACATTCGGATTAAGTTACCGTAGGTAAAAAGTTTGAAATTTCGAAATATGCGTTATAAAACCTTCACGTGAATAGCGTTGTATGCCTAAAACTTTTGAGATAACAAAAATTGAACGCCTGATTGGCATGCAAGACCCGAATTGAAACTAATTGATTTTCAACTCTGTGATGACACAGTTATTGAAGCATGGTCGCAATCGTAGTAGAATATCATGGTAAAACGCGGTGGTTAATCGAAATAGTTTGGGTTCCATTTATATTACGCAGCAGTAACATGCACTGCACCTAAAGAGTATCATGATGAGAGTAAAGTGAAATGTGAAATATGAAGTATGCGTGTGTCCTGTTGGTTTATCATTCTTTTTCGAACTTTGCCGGAAAAAGTTTATACAATTTAAAAAGCATCGTGACTTACTGGCTTCTGTGGTTTTTTGTAACTCATGTGATACAGCTTGGTTCCGACAACACGTGACCCAGTCATTACAATCTTTGCTTACGCACTGGCGGTATTATGGCCGCCGTGTCTCTCCGAAAGGAGGTTAATGAACAAGAACTCCTTTCGTGTTGCATAGCGATGAAGAAGGCGAAATCTAATAAAATAACAAAAGCGACTAATTTTGTGGTTTGATGGCAAGATTGAATTCGTTTGACAACAACAACAACAACAACAACAACAACAACAGCATCAACTGATTTTTACTTTAAGATCTTTACAGTACCATATTTTTTTGCGCTTGTCTTCACAGATTCTGCCCGTGATCTCTGATGGATGATGCAAAAAGTACGACTCTGATGTCCGGCCTCTCCACTAGAAATTTATCCTCAGATAAAAACAGAACAGAGTTATTTAGTAAAGTCTATGTCTTTCCTCCATTAAGTCCTTCATCTAGAATAACATTGACGATAATGCTCACATCTGTGGGAATAACAGCATTGTTGGCAAATGCAAGCATTATATGTTATCTTAGTTCAAGGAAAAATGCCACTCCCATTCTGAGGGCATGTTCCTTCCAGAAGAATTTAAATGCCTATATATTAAGCCTAGCTGTTTCTGATGCTCTTTGTGCAGTTATTGCAGTTCCACTAATCTGTTTTCAACTATATTTTGATATACTTCATCACCATTGGGGTTGTAGATTGGTTCGTTACATAAATTTCTTTTTTCCGTCTGTTACAATGAATAATTTACTGATTATCAGCATGGGAAAGTATTTTTCAACACGTAAAAATCCACGTATACTCCAACAATCCACCGTTAAAAAATTGTTGTGGTTTGCTTGGGTATCAGCTTCATTTTCTGCTTTAGCGCCTGCCTCATCGGTCAAAGGCTTAAGGTACGATTTTAATGCTACACATTACACTGTAAGTTGCCACTTCGACAGTGGTTACTTCTCATTTAGAGCCACGATTATTACATACATAACAGTACAGTACTTTATTCCAAGTATTGTTATCGTTTTTATCTGTATGTGCCTCATCTGGACTGTCCGTACAAGAATGAAGAGAAAAATTGATATTCAACGTGATAATGGCATCAGAGCCATGCTAAGAGTCACCAATAGGCGATGTACGATTATGTTAATTGTAATAATGCTTGCAGCTTTTCTTCCATACTTACCCTATGCAGTTCTTGCCACCTATCGTGGTATTGGTTTCAAGTTAGGTACGAACGTTGAAACATGGGTAATCG